TTGACGGAAATAATATGATATAAGTATATCTAGAATGTTTTACCAATAACATGGAAAGATCACGAGAAAATTACGTAATAGAATATTACATAACAAGATGTTACGTAATCACATTACTAATACAAAAATATATGCGTATTAATAATGAACCATTACGTAAGGAAGATTACCTAATAGATGAGGAGGTAATCAAAAGAAGTTAAAACTATATAAACACGAGTTATTCTGAACTTACAATCTGAGTTAGGATTCATTCGTTATGTATATTAAATAAAAAATAAAAAATCACTTACAAATTTAGAAGAAAAGTAACACATACGTTTGCTTTACAACCTACTGTCACCGTAATAATCTTCATTACCCATCACCACTTATTTAATATGCAAAACCAATCCGAATCTAACATCGATATGTCTGCTTCAGCTCAATTCTATATATATTCGACTGGATTTTGTTGTTGTCATGATTATGACACTTACCCATCGATGACATGTTGAAAACTTTTCTATCTTTAAAGGTTTTCTCTTTAGGAAAGAGTTTGATTTATTATAGTGTCTCAAAACCCTAATTAGGGTTGGTGATGAGGGCTTTTGATCTTTGTCATTATCAACAGCTATTATAATTCATAGTATAGTCATATAACGCTGTTGCCCCATTATTTCTGACAAAATGAAAGAAGAACTAACGAATCATCACAGAGTTTTTGACACTTCTTACTTCTCATTTGACTGATTGGCCCACAGACAGAAAATTTAATTACGCGTCAAGACACGAATCCCATAATGAAAAAAAAAAAAAAAAAATATATTTAATTAATGACGGACAGCGTACGGGGAGGAGGTACAAAAACAGGAGAAACTGGAAGAAGAAAATGAACGCGAATGGTAATTTGTCCAATTAGAAGATGGTTTAGGAGGAGACCCCGTTCCTGTGGCAACTAAAGGTCTTTGATTCTCCTTGTCCTCGAGGGATTTGCGCTTCTTACTTATATAAGGGTATAAATTATATAAAACGATTGAGTTAAACTTTCTTTCTTACTCTTTTTGAATAATTGTTATCAATTTCTCTTAAAACTGTTAAATTGTTCCTTTAGTAATCTTAAAGTTTTGTCGCTCCTTTTAGAAAGTTAGTAGATAAATTGAAACTTATACCACACGATTACAAATATGTCCGTCGAAGAAAGAACTTTTATTGCTGTTAAACCAGATGCTGTTCAAAGAGGTCTAGTATCAAAGGTTATTGAACGTTTTGAAACTAGAGGTTATAAGTTAGTTGGTATTAAGATTATTCAAGCTTCAAAAGAATTATTAGCTAAACATTATGAAGAACATGTAGGTAAATCATTCTATCCAAAGATGGAATCATTTATGAGTTCTGGTCCAATCGTTGCTATGTGTTGGGAAGGTAAAGATGTTGTTAAACAAGGTAGAAGTATGTTAGGTGCAACTAATCCATGTGCATCTGCTCCGGGTACAATCAGAGGTGATTTTGGTATTGATTTAGGTAGAAATGTTTGCCATGGTAGTGACTCTGTTGAAAGTGCTAAGAGAGAAATTGGTTTATGGTTTAAAGATGAAGAATTAGTTAATTGGACCTCTAATCAAGCCAAATGGTTATACGAATAGATAAATTTATTATATATGTATATAATTTATTTTAATACAAAATTTATTGTTAATATTATCATGTTGTTCGAATATTTTTCTCGTCTACATTCGTGTAAAGAACAAATTACAAATAAATATTTATGTAGGCAAATACATGAAACAAAATTTGTTCTTTAACCATTTCTGCTAAACAACAGTGAAAGAAAACATGGGTATGTTTATTTTTTTTATTCGAAACTTCCTGCTTCGTTTTCTTGTTGTTATGTAATATGGAACATGCACAGCGATTGCTTACATCAAACTTTGATTTTTTGGGTTCCTGAAAAGTCACCGGGAAGGGAGGCATAGAAGAAAATAAAGGGCCCGGAGAGATCTCATCCCTTAAAAAGCATTAGTTTATTAGTCTTGAATTCGATAATTCCATATCTTGGTGAAATAAACAGTTATAAAGTTCAGAATATTAATTGAATCAGACGATGTTCTTGTTGGTATATATAAATAGTGGTATCAAAGGAATGGAAAACAGTTATTAAAAGTAGTCTTCAAAATTAGTATATATTGATTTTTTTTATATAATCATCCATACCATATCAAGAACTATTTATTATATATTTATTCAAGCAAACAAAAAATGATTATGCAATCTATTATTCGTAAACAATTAGGTGTTAGAGCCTATAGTGCCATGTCCAAAAAACCAAATGCATTCAGCCAAGCTGTTGCGGAAGGTAAAAAGGGACCTGTTGCGGCACTTGCATTAAGTGTAGCAGGTTTAGTTATTGGACTGAATGCTTATAGAGCATCTGACAAAAGTAGAGGTATCAGAGGAATATATAGTAGAGATAGAAACATTTAAAAAAAAAATGTATATTGATATAAGCCTTTATATATGTTAATATAATATTCTTTCTAGTTAATTTATTCTGTCTTTGTCACAGTTTCATCAACCTTTGGTTTATTTTGTTCATCAAAATAATTTTCTGCATTAGTGAATTGTTTTTCTAAAGTCTCCAAATCAATAGTTTTGACTTCTAATTCTTTCTTTAATTTTAAAATTTCATCATTATCAGTCACGATTTTTGTTTGATTATTAATTAAATCTTGATATTTAATTAATCTTCTAATAATACTCATTACAGTTGGAATTCCGACCATGAAATATAATATAAATCCAGAAATATAAACATTTCTTTGGTTATAAGCTCTTGAGGCTAATGCTTGAGTTGGAGTTACTGCATGAGAATCATATTGATTTGAATTTACTCCGTCGTCTTCATTATAAAGCTTTTGATGACGATATAATGTAACATTGATTTGTGCTCTTTTCCAAGAATCAATAAACAATAACCCAACAATAATTGAAAGAATAATGGCAACTGTCTTAACTTGTTGATTTTGATATAATTTTTGATATGTATTATAAAATAATTTCCTCATTTTATTAGGTAACGGTAATACCAACACAAATAGTGTTGCCATTTCTAATGTCAATATGGCAAATAAAAGCGTAAAATATAGACTCATCTTGATTAGTTTTTTCTTCAAAAATGGCAACAAATTTGATCTGAGTTAACTGAAATTAAAACGTTGCTGTTTTTTATTTTCTCCTCTGTTTAAAAAGAAAGGTTCCTGATACAACCAATGGTACTTCTAACTGTTAACCAAGAAACCACAATTATTACTGAACCGTTCCTTCAAGTATATATATTCGAAACCTTTACTTCCTTTACAAATTGAACAGAAAATGTGGCAAAGTTTCCCTAATTTCTAAAGGATTCTATTAAATTTTCTAATAATTTTTGGTTAAAAGGAGGGTAACCCCCCTGCCCCCTGCCCAAAGCTTTTTTTTTCACCTCGCGCGGGCGCGATGAGCTGACAGCTCAAATGGCGTGGTTTCCGCATTGAATGAATTGCTCACTGCGTAAATAATGGAAATGAACCCAGAAAAAAAAATAATTAATGGCAGGAATATTTTTGATGTGATTTGAATCAGGAAGAACAAGGAATTTATAGGTTGAAATCTATATCGATGGGTTTGGGTAAAGCTATCTTAATTGTGTTTTTTGACACATGCTTTTAAACAAATAGTTTTGTTTCTATGTTGTTGTTGTTGTTTTCTTGATTAGAGAGTTAACAGGTATATGTGTATTTTGTGTATATTACTCGATGAGAACCTTGTTAAGTTAAGTAAGTTCAGTGAAATTTCTTTTATATAAGCATTTTGTTGTTAGAAGTGAAAACACATGAGGTAATACAAGAATATATCCATATACATATAATATTATTAGATTTTCTTTATCCGTGTACGTATATCACTCCCTAGAAATTTAATTGGCCATTAAAGAAAGTAGTATAATAAAATTTATGGCAAGAATGAATAACGGTCATAGAGAGGAACAAGAAGAAGTTCCTCTGTTGTCCGATAATGGAACAAACAACAATCCTACCACCAATAACAGTAATAATATTAATAATAATAGACGTGCATCAACTGTCTCCACACGAACATCAGGCTCTAGGCGTAGTGGTTCAAATAAGTTAATTAATAATCATATTACAGATTTTGAAAATGCAGATTCTTGGGGGATTCTACATGAATCAGATACAGATTATGATTTAGAAAGAGCCGGTAGAATAGCTAATTCCAATACTTTTATTGACCATAGACCATCCATGTTAACAAATGATAGTAATGCTACTATGAAACCTCAAAAGAATGGATATTCAGTGACAACCCCTTTAATTAAAAAAAAGACTAGAGCATTTAGTGTATCTAGTGCTAAATATAGTAAAGATAGTAGAACAACAAGTATTCCAAGAAGAGATACTACTTCTAAAGTTGGTACTTTAAGACATAGTAAGACACATGCCATCGGAGATGATGTAGTGATAGACGTAGATGCTTTGTTGCAGGATGTACGAAAGAATAGATCAAGAGATAATAAGACTCAATTATCAAATTTTAGTAGTGAAAGTGATGAAGATGTTGGATTGGATGAAGAAGATGAATATAATTCAAGACCTTCATCAAGAGGTTCTTCATCAAATTCATCCTTAGATGATGTTTGTCTTGTATTAGATGATGAATCTGATAAATCAAGAAAAGTTTGGCCCGATATTTCTATATTAGAGGAATATTCAAAGGAAGAAACTGCTAGATTAAGAAGACAAGCTATTGAAGATGCCGAAGCATTCCATTATCGATATGATACAGAAGATGATGATGTGTTTAATAGTTCTTTACAAGACATGAGAGAAAATGATGGTTTAACGGAAGATCAAGATTTTGCAAGTCCTATAGTATCTAATAATAGAGAAGGAATTTTATTTTCAAAACCAATTGTGACTAATATTGATGTTCCTGAACTAGGTAATAAACAAGTAAATGAAGCAGCTCTATTACGTTCAGGTAGATTAAGGCCTAAAAAAATTGCACCATGGCATTTAATGCAACGTCAAGGTTCAACAAATATTCCACAAAATAAAAAAGATCTTTCAATGAAAGGTGACTCAAGAACAAAATTAGAAGATAAACAAATGAGAGATAATTTCCTTGTTGGTAGAAATATTCAATACCCACCACATATCATTTCTAATAATCCTGAACATTTTAAATTTACGTATTTTAGAATTGATTTAGATTCAACAGTTCATTCTCCAACAATTTCTGGTTTGTTACAACCAGGTCAAACTTTTGAAGATTTATTTGTAAGTTCAGTATATGGCAATACCAATAGTAATGGTAAGGGTAATAATACTACTGCTAATTCTATTGCACCACCACAAAAGGAACCTTTACAACAACCAATACCTACAAATTCAAACGGGCCTAAACGTGTTTCATCATCTATTAAATTTCAATCAGTATCACCATTAGATACAAGTGCCGCAGGGACTGTGACTGGTGTTCCAACTGCATTAGGTCATGGAATTAATAAAGACACTAATAATAATAGTAATAATAATAATAATAATAATGGAAGTATATTACAATCCGTAAACAATGGTACATCTTTATATAAGAGTTTATCAGGTGTATCGACAATGATTGAGGATGATGTTGCTCCATTTTGGTTGGATGTAAGTAGTCCTACAGAAGAAGAGATGAAAGTGATTAGTAAAACGTTTGGTATTCATCCTTTAACTACAGAAGATATTTTCTTAGGTGAAGTCAGAGAAAAAGTTGAATTATTTAATGATTATTATTTGATTTGTTTTAGAAGTTTTGATATTGTTGCGGAAAAGCATACAAGAAGAAAAAAGGAGAAAACTAATGGTATTGATTCAAACGGTAATCCAACAATGGGATCAGATTCTGGTAACCGTGGTTTATTGAATTTATTAAAGAAATTTTGGAATGGTGATAAAAAAAATCAAGATGAAGTTACAAAATTATTGAAAAGACGTGCGTCTATAATGTCATACAGTAGTGGTTACAATGGACCAACCTCTTTAAATAATAATACCACAAATAATCCAATCAGTGTTAAGAGTGCATCAAGTCATAATAGACGTAAATCAATTATTAAGAAAAGACAAGAAAGGGAAAGATTTAAAAGAAAATCAGGTGATAGACATAAACCAAGAGCAGGTGAATTAGAACCCTTAAATGTTTATATTATTGTGTTTCGTACAGGTGTCTTAACATTCCATTTTGCACCAACACCACATCCAATCAACGTTAGACGTAGAGCTCGTTTATTAAAGGATTATTTAGATGTTACTGCAGATTGGATTGCATATGCATTAATTGATGATATTACAGATGCATTTGGGCCTATGATTGAATTAATTGAAGATGAAGTTTATGATATTGAAGATGCAATATTAAAGATGAATCATAATGATTCGGATAGTGATAGTGATAGTGATTTAAGTTCCAGTTCGGATGATGAGAACTCAAGTTCTGATGGTGATAATTCGAGTGAAAATGTTGGATTTTATCGTAAGTCTAATAATAATCGACGTCGTCCCAATGATAATAATAATAATGGTGGTGGAATGGGTATACCACGTAGTATTCGTAGTGGTAGGGGTATCTTTGATACTAATGGTAGACGAACAAGTTATACGAATAGTGTATCGAGTGGATTAACTAGATCATCAATGACATTTAGTTCAAGTACAAGTTCCAGTTCATCAGGATCATCGGATGCGTCGACGTTCAATGCGAATTTAATTGGGTGGAAGAAAAAAGGTGATATGTTAAGACGTATTGGTGATTGTCGTAAACGTGTAATGAGTATACTTCGATTACTTGGTGCTAAAGCAGACGTGATTAAGGGTTTTGCTAAACGTTATAATGGACAATGGGATAGTACAGCACAGGCGGAAATTGGAATGTATTTGGATGATATCCAAGATCATATAATAACAATGGTGTCATCATTGAACCATTATGAAAAATTGTTAAGTCGGTCACATTCAAATTATTTAGCACAAATCAATATTGATATGACAAAGGTTAATAATGATATGAATGATGTTCTTGGCAAAATTACAATATTGGGTACAATTGTCTTACCGATGAATGTTATTACGGGTCTTTGGGGTATGAATGTTTTAGTACCTGGACAAGCTGAAGAATCATTAAGATGGTTTACAAGTATACTTGGAACAATGGTAATATTAGCATATATTGCGTATATTTATACCAAACGCAAGTTTGGTTTTTGAAATAAATACATAAATTGAAGAAGAAAAAAAAATAAAAGGTATGCATTGTTGTTCTATAAAATAAAAAAAAAAGAGTTCAGAGTTATATAAGATTTGTATCCTCTTTCAAATTTTCAACTTCTTGTTGTTTAGCGACTTCATTATGAAATTGTTTATCCTTTGGTACTGTCCCTGAATCATTTGGTTGAGTATCCAATTCGAAATTTGTTGATTTATTGAAATCTTTAAATGCTACATTAAGAATCAAATAAGCTAAAATTAATAAACTTAAATAGCCGATAATAATTTTAAACGATCTTGAATATTTACTATTTATTTGTCTGTTGTCATAATTACCAGATTTTTTATACCTTGGCAATAAGTCTTTCTTTCTTCTAATACCACCTTGCATAATTTACCAACACAGTGCTGACACGAATCATACGTCAGAATAATAGTAGTAATAACAATAATGTTGTTTAAATATTTGATGATGCAACAGCCGTTTACTTTGAATATATATATTTGAAAACATTCCCATACCTCACTTTAAATCAATCTAATAATATTCAGTTTTGTCTCTCTATATATTTTTCAAACCACGCGAACATCCATCCATCCACCCACACACCCACACACCCCAGTAGAGCCCTCACATCACCACGCACGACGCCCAAAACCGTATTTCCGAACACAGACACTGTTCCAGGAACCAATAATCCCAACAGGGAAACTGGCCCAAACTCAAAATCCCCCCACGACATGGCCAAAAAATAAGGGGTTGCCCAAGCCCAGCTCCCCTCTCTCCTCTGCCCGTCTGCCCGCCCCCACGCCACACCACACCACGGCACGGCACGGCAACCACACAGCACCCCCACTCCGCTCCGTATACAGTGACAACCCCCACCTCCCCGCATACAGCGTCCTTCGCGACGAACAGCTTCTTCCCGCAGAAACGTTCCCACAACCACACCCTAACAACCGAAAGACAAAACAATGAAAAAACGAGCAGCTTACCCGCGCGTACCGCCCGTCGCACCCAGCACCCACCGCACCGCACCGCAGCAAAACCGAGCGAATTTCTAGCCAAACAATTAAAAATAGTATGCAACTCACCAACAAAAAGTCCGTATAATAAAACGAATTTTCTGCATTTCAATCTGTGCCAAAGAATGAATAATTTATTCAAAATTGACGTGCCCGCGCCCTTTAAATAGACACACACACACACACACACACACACACACAGATCTTCTAGACGGTGTAGAAAGAGCTCTTTCAGCTTCGGAAATGAACAAACAACAAGAATTTTATTTCTTTATGCATGAGATAGAGATAGAGATAGATTATAATTTAATATTACTCAATATATTTATATATTTATATATTTATATATATATAGGGAAATTTTGGTAGTGGGGTAAAAACTAGTACTTCTTTTTTAATATCTTTCTGTCTTTTTTTTTGGCAATAGTAGGATTAAAGAAGAAATAACGAACCATTAAAGAAAGGGAAAAAAATACTGACAAAAAATTTTCTTTTGAAGAGACAAACGAATTTTACGAGATATATTGACAATCGCTATGGAATCTACTTTGTTTGATACTTTATTAAGTAATGAATCGATGTTTACAAATAACTCAAATATTAAAAATAATGTAATTGACAATTCTGACGATTCTTTATTAAATAGAATGGAAACAAGTGTTACACCTGTTAATCAAGAAGATTCAACAACAAAAAACTTTAATAAAATTAATCAAAAAGATAACTATATTTTAACAAAAGATAATTCGATTAAAATTAACAATAATGCAAATAGACCAACTTCAAATAGAGCTGAATCTTATTCTTCTTCAACAACAAAATTAAACACAGCTAATAATAGCTATTTAGATTTACAAAATTTAAATATTGAAAATAGCAATAATAATAATATTAATGTTAATATTGCAGGTAATAATATTGTTGAATCAATCTCAACACCATCAATGATGAATGATTTAATGGCTTTATTAGATGACGAAGAAAATGAAAATAATTTTAAACAAGATTCAAATATGATAATAGATCTTCATATGGTTTCACCAAAGGGTAAAAACAATAAGCACTCAATGGATTTCGATAACGGTTTCATTGATACGAATAATAATAACATTAATAATAATAATGAATCTGATTCATTTGTTCAACCTTCAGATTTACATACAAATTATAATAGCAATAATAATATTATTAACAGTAATAATTTTCAAAGAAAAAATTCATACGTGGATGATTCTTTAACTTTTAATAATAATATTTCTTTTGGTGGTAGAAGAGCAAGTGAATTAGTTACAACAGGAATTAATGGAAATTCAATATTTCCAAATTCAAGACCTTCAATTTCAGATTCATTAGATTTTTGGGAACTTACAAATAATAATAATAATGCAATTAAAGGTTCACCAATGTCATTTGAAAATAATAATATTAATAATAATCAAAAATTTATTGATGAAAGTATTAGTCAAGCACTTAACGATTATAATATGGATTTTAATAATCAAAGAAAAAATTCAATTAAATTATCAAATAATAATAACAATATTACAAATATTCAAGAAAATCCATTTGATGAATCGATTGATTCAAATATTTTAAATTCTCCAAGACAAAATATAAATAATTCAAATACTACGAATCTTTTACAAGATTTTTCATTTCAACCACTTATGAAACCAACTGACCAATCACACACACAACATCACCATAATAACAATAACAATAACAGTAGTCGGAATAATGATAATAATTTATCAATGTCTCCAGATACTAGAGGTAATGAATTATTCTATTCTCTTTATAATCAAACAGAACCAAATAATTTGGATCTCTACAATGTTTCAATGTCAAGTGATGATACTTCAAATAATAATAGAAATATGATTCCTCTTCAAGCAGATGAATTATTATCTTCACCAAAGAAGAAATTTATTAAACCTTCGATGATGTTATCAGAATCTGCATCATTATCTGCAAAATTAGCTATAACAGGTTTACAAAAAAAACCTGAAACTTTCCCAACTATTGATACTCAAGTTTATCATCATCCAACAAAGATTGTTAAAAGAAAATCAGTCTCTTCATCATCAAACCCTGCAAATTCAAGATCAGAAAATAATAGAAGGAGAAGAAAGTCTACTATTGGTATTACTAATACAACAACAAGTAATTCTAATATCATTAATAACAATACTACTACTAGTAGTAATAACGTTGCTTCACTTACAACTTCTCCAAGGACTTCTTCTTCGTCTGCATCTTCTTCAAAACGTAATTCAAATGCAAATTTAAATGCAGCTTTGCTTGAAGATCCATCAATTAAACCATTCCAATGTAAAGATTGTGAAAAAGCATTTAGAAGAAGTGAACATTTAAAGAGACACGTCAGGTCCGTGCACTCTACAGATAGACCATTCCCATGCATGCTTTGTGAAAAGAAATTTAGTAGAAGTGATAATTTGTCACAACATCTAAAGACACATAAGAAACATGGTGATTTCTAAGCCAACCTTTACTTTTTTATCTTAATTTAAAAAAGAGTAAAAATAAAAATATTTTTTTGAAAAGAATATTATACAATTAAAAAGAAACACCTTCTAAAAAACAAAAACAAAAAAAAACAATACATTTTTTTTCTCTCTCAACTTTTACATACATTCATTCCAAACTTCTATTTATATACTTTATATAGACACGCAGACAACTTTTAATTTAACTTAAAGATGACATTCGATACTTTGAATCTCTTTTGAACTTTCACCTGTTTCTTAGTTCTTTTTTTAGTTACAGTTAATAAACGCGACCTCGTTAACTATTTATTTATTTATTTTTTTCACTGCACAGTGCATTAATAATAATAAAATAGATAAATATAATAACAACAACAAAGAGAATAAAATTTAATTCAGCTAAACTAGATAATTAGAAAACGAGAAATAATTAATAAAGAATTTCATACAATTTTTTTAAATTTCACCATTAGACGATCGTCACACTAATTACATATACTGATACCATCATATATGGGGCATCAATTACCGTCTCTGTTAGCAGATTCAGACATAACATTACGCATCGAACAAAAACAACATTCAGTTAATAAACTAGTTACAAGCATTCCAAACTCACAATGGATACCGGCATACCATACATTAATTGAACGAAATATATCGAGGACAATTCAGTCAGATTTGAAACCATTCATACGACCAATTATTCGTTTTGAACCGTCAGAGATGATGGTTAATGATTTTAAAATTGGTTCTACTATTGGATCTGGACAATTTGGTAAAGTATTTAAAGCATTAGATAAGTCGGATCCTAAAAGAAAACATATAGTCGCATTGAAAAGAATTAATAAATTGAAACCTAAATATTCTATGAATCAATTGATGAGACAAATTGCTTATTGGAAACAATTTAATATTGAAACTGATGATTTAGATGTCGATTTAATTACAAGAACTATGAATGTAGATCGTTGTAGATGGGAAATATATTTAATGAAGAGGATGACCTATGATAATAAAGGTAATTCTCATATTGTAAAATTTATTCAATGTTTGGATTCCTTAAATAGTAAAGATATTTGGATTGTTACAGAATGGTGCAACTTGGGGGAATTACAATGGAAACGTCCCAATACTGAGTCCACGTTGAATCAGTGGCAACAAATATTGAACGATAAAAATATATCTGTAATGGAATTTGCTATTAAAGCCCTAGATGATTTAAGTAAAGGGTTGCAATTTTTAAATGAAGCAGGATGTATACATCGAGATATTAAACCTTCTAATATCTTGGTTGATGGAAATCAAAAAAAATTAAAAATATCAGATTTTGGTTGTGGTTTATTAATACCTGAAAGTTTACCATTTAAATATGATCCTTCTAATGAAATTAAATTAAAACAATTAGATATTATTAATAAATGTTTTGAAAAGGAATTGAATAAAATTATTGGAACCCCTGCTTTTGTTCCACCTGAACTTTGTAAATTTACCTCCGATGGATCTACTGAAGATGAATGTAGTAAGCATAAAAGCCTAGTCAAGGATGGATTCAAACTTGATGTTTGGTCCCTAGGGGTCACTTTACATTGTATCATCTTTAACAAACTACCATTTAGTGGAGAAAATGAATTTGACACATATCATCTAATAAACTCACAAACCCTTACATTAGATAAAAAGGATGATACTTGGCTCTCTAAACTGGTGGTAACTAAGATGTTAGAGAAGAATCCCGATATTAGGGTTAGCATTAAAGATATTAGAAATTTGATTCATAAAAATAAATTGAAAAAATCTCCATCTATGAATAAAATTGGTGGTAATGCAAAGAAATCATTAAAAAAATTCTGGAAGAAAATATCAAGTTCTAAGTCAACGGAAAAGTTGTCATTAAAAGAAACTAAACCAATAGATGATCCAAATTTGACTGCAATTTCATCGAATACATCGTTCTCTTCCGGATTAGATGTATCGGATGAACCTATAAATATAACAGATTTTATTGATTCCTTGACAACAAATTTACCAGTATCATCGGATGAAGGTGGTGATGTTAGTAATAGAGCTTTAACATCACAAGAAAATGGTACAAAAACCCGTCGATCTTCTTCTTCTTCTTCTTCTTCTTCTTCACAATCAACACCATCATTGGGAGTACCCACCCCAATCAAAAACATGATTAAAATAAAAGCTTCGCCAGAAAAATCTAACAATGATAATAGGCAAGATGCTACCGAAACAGACCTTCTTACAGATAAAAATTTGCCAAATCATCCAACAATTAAGATGAAGCCATCTAAAAACATTATTAATTTTAAGAATTATATTCAAGATGATAAAGACGTCGAGAGTAGTGACACGATTGATCAGATAAAAGATTATTTGAATTATAAAGGCGATTTCACTTAATTCTGAAAAGAATTAGTTTATTGTCAAATGATATTTAAGATATATATATATATATAATTTTATATATCAGTTGTAACATTAACATAATTTTTTTTTCCCAAAGAAAAAAAAAGGAGAAGAGCTGTATATGACAACCCTTCAGATTGAAGAATAGATGAAGAAAAATATTATTATTACAATTCAAAGGTGTATATCAAAATTACATACAATTACTCTCTCTTATTTACGCATGTTTTATTTATTTATTTTGGTTTTAAAATTCCACATCCCATATACATTCAGGACCAAACTTATCATAGTTTTCTCTTGTAACATAGTAAACATCTCTGGAATGAGTAAAGACTTGTTTGGCTACTACTTGACCTCCAAGGAACTGAATTTCAGCGTATCCATATTTTTTCCATTCTGGGAAATATTCAGCATATTTAGCAAGCCTTATTGCTGTTGGTGCTTGAACATAATCGATATTTTGAACAGTTGAAGTTATCATATTTTGGAAAGCCTTTGTAGCTTTCTTCTTATTGTTTGTCTCTGTAACTTCATCTTTTTCTTCTGGTTCAGTTTCTGGTTCTGTAATTAAGTGATCTTCAATCAAACGATTTAATAATGCATCTTTAAAACCTTGAATAGAGGACGTTCCACCAATAATGACGATATTTTCCCAAACTGCTTTTAATTTCGTAGTATCACTAATTTGTCCTAAAGTAATACCAACCCTTTTTGAAATAGAACTTATCAATTTTTCACAGCCTTGAAATCTTTCTTTACCTACTTTAATGTTATTACCATTTGTATCCCAAAAATAATTAAAGTCTAATTCTGCATTAGAAACATTTTTTTCCTTTTTATTACGTTCTCTCTCTTCTAAAATTTCTCTAGCGTTACGACCACTAGTTACAAGATCTGCAACATTAATTATATCTTCGTCATTACCATCATTATTAGCCATACTAATACTTAAATCATCTTGATATTTCTTACGAATAGCATTATCTGTCAATACTTCAAAGATATTTGATTTCTTCAAAGATTCTATTTGATCCAAAGATAAATGTGATAAATATTTATCCTTCAAAGTTTTAGTAATTAAATCACCACCAATAGGTAGTGATGATGTTAAATGATTCATTGCTGTATAATCAACAATTGGTATGATATCTGTATGATTACCACCAATATCAATTACACAACAATTTTGTAGAGAGACCATAGCATATGCTGTTGCTACGGCTGTTGGTAATAACATCATGTAATTAATCTTTAATTCTTCAAAGATAAAATGTGTAATTTTTTCTAATTGGTACTGCGACCATGAATGTTGTGTAATTAATAATAATGGAATATTAGCTAATTCTAAATCGAACGCATTTGGATTGTTTTTAGATTTTTCAGCTAATACGGATCCATATATTGTCTTTAATAATTGTAAAAAAGCTTCAAGATCTTTAATTTCACCATTCACTATAGGATGAATGGTTTCAATATTATTATTATTTTCATCATTAGTGGATAAGTAGTGACCTGTAATTGAATCTTTATATATACACGATGGAATCTTATAGTCCGGTATCATGAATGTTTCATCGTTCACCCCAAATTGAACCAAAACATGATCAGATTTCGGGTCGATAATCAATATACTGTCGAGTCTAAAGGGAGCCATTGAGTTTCTTGATGTCTGGTAGTATTGTTTACCTCGAAGTAATAGCCAAAATAAATAAGTAAAAAATAAATGAAGAATACACTAAACCTTTTTCTGTTACGGCCTTCAAACAAATTATTAAATTAAAATTGAATGTAATGAATTCGATATTTCTATTTCCAAATTAAAAATAAAATGTCTGTTACTGCAACTTCTCAATAGTGAGATAATAAACTTCGCGACCGTTAGTCAAAGATTACGAACGTTTCAATATTTTTCATCGCTTTTCTTCTCTTTAAAAAAATTTAATGATAGTGCGGGTAAGAATTTAAGGCAAACAACAACAAACACGAAATTTATTAAAATTGAAACGATGAGATTCGTTATTTAAAACGACTCCTTTAGACGAGGAGAAGGTGGGTACACAACTTATTTAAGTGATTCAGTAATAAGTGTGAGTTGTGAAAGGACTATAGGTTAAAAGGATATTGAAAAATGCAGAGTCAACAGTGGTTTGAAGGTGATTCGACGTCGTTATTGGATGGATCCAACAATCGAACATTAAGTAATTCTAATCGACTGACTCAAATAAATGAACAAGATCAGATAAATGAACGTGCCAGACAATTGTTGGAGAGGACTAGGGAGAGAAGAGATAGACTTCTACGGCGGGGGGTTGATGTATTGGCCACAAGACCAATAACATTACAACCACCATTAGAAGTTGCAAGTCGATATATTAATGAGCCTGTGACACCTGAAAGGCACCACGAACCAATGAACGATGATAATTTTGATCTTTATAGCCAGAGTAATGATGGTATTAATGAAAGGTATGAATCACCAAAAAAGCATTTATCATCACATAAGATAGTTAAACGAAATAGAAAGAAGAAACAGAGGATAAATAAAGAAATTCAAAATAAGATTGATTCAATGAAATCACATATGGAAGAGACTAAGACGTATACAAAACCAAGTAATCTTGCATTGTATGAGATTCGAAAATATCAAAGGTCAACTGATCTTTTATTATCAAAGATTCCATTTTCTAGATTAGTTAAAGAAGTAGCAGATTCATTTACATTTGAAAATGAAGATCTTCATTGGAATTCAATGGCTATTTTAGCATTACAAGAAGCTAGTGAAGCTTATCTTGTTGGATTATTAGAACATGCCAATCTGTTAGCAATTCATGCAAAGAGAGTTACGATTATGAAAAAAGATATTCAATTAGCTAGAAGAATACGAGGTCAATTCATATAGTTCGACGTATATAAAAAATATAAATATATATTTTACAAGAGATCATATCATTCTTTATTTTTTGTTTACATCCCATTAAGGTTAAAAATATTTAGTAGTTCATTGCAAAAGTAAATAAATTAAAACTAATCATTAAAAAAAAAAAAAAAATATGGCAAAAATATTGCTAAACTTGAGGAATTTCTTCAATAGCAGGTGCACTAGTCAATACTATTGTTCCTGAACTACTCTTTGATTCAACTTCTGACTCAACGTTATATAATTCTGAATGTTTATCTCTATATTCTTGCAATTTATAAAATGTTCCAAAATTGTTCAAATAAGGGAAATATTTTGATTTTTTCCATTGTGAACCTAAATAAAAATCAATTGAAATAATTATAAATATAACACCTAACCAAAATGCTAATAACCATTCAAATTTTGCACTTGTTGATTCATCTGGTAAAGTAGCAAAAGAAATTGCCCAAATTACAGCACATACTAACCATAAAGTTTTAAAAATTGCACTAATTAAAAATTTATTCCAATGAGCCGTGCTTTTATTAGTATTTATTGTTGAAATATTTTGACGTCTTAATATCGTATAATGAAATCCCATTAGATAATAATTTACTGTAAGACAAACCAGCGATAAAAACATAAATATTATAAAAATAGTAAGCATTGCAATATGAACATGATGATAACTTGCAGTTGTAAAAATTGAGCAAAACAATATACCTAGTTCACCAATACTTCCTAAAATAATACTTGCAATAATTAAATTACGTTCATCTTTAGTAAACCATGGATTCATCCAGCCATTATTTCTTTGTAATAATTCTAAACACAAAGTAATTACATAACCAATACCTTGCCAACCTGCACAAGCAATAAATAACGGTTTTAAATTAGTTGCACCAATGTCTGATATAAATACAGGAAATTGATCTGTATCCATAAACCAATATATTGGATGTCCCTGAGCTGCCCAACATACTAACATAGCAATAAGCATACCATACCATGGTAAGAAAGCAATCCAGGGAACAATAAACCAATAATTACCAGGTTTCTTAAACAACGATGCCATAGTACAGATCTAACCAATTTGTTTATCACGTCTTCTTAACTTCCTTTTAAAAAGACACCTATGAACTACTTACGCAAGAAATTGTTCGCACTTTGCAATTACAATTATACACGATACACATCCACCTTATATATATATATATATATACATATATACCCACACCACCATCCCTCACTCCCCCCCTCCAATATTTAAGGGTTCAAACCAGTTCCCAAACCCTTTAAAAACTAACTTGCAAATCCTTTAAGTTCAATCAAATCAGTTTTGATTTCAGCTTCGATTTCAGTTGAGACATTTCCTTTCAACATGATCGAGCCGCACGACGCGAAATTTATATTCAATTTTTTTTCTTTAATTTTATTGAAATGGAAAAATGGTTTTTGGTTAAATAAACAAAGAATTATTTCCATATAAAGTTGAACAGAACAGGGCATATTCACTAGAGGGTATCAATTGGAACAAGTAAGCAGGTATCAATCAAATATGTCGGAACAGGAACGTGTAGTAGTAGAGAAAGAGATCGAGAAACTGGATCAAGAGATCACTTTACGATTACAAACAATAGATTCAAATTTTAGTTATTGTTTTAGAAAGATTACACAGGATATTATTCCACATGTACGCCAATATTCTGATATATGTGATCGTATCATTGATAATACAGCCGTTTTGACTACTTTGTTTCAGGAATCTGGGAATTTAACGTTACATCGTAATGAATTGGAAGATACAAAAATTGAAAAAACAAAAGAACCTGTACAAGCAGTTACTACGAATATTGTACCTGATACCACTACACAAGAGTATCATACTGCAAATATAACATCAACGGGACAAATTTTAAGATTACCTGATTCTAGTGACGATGAGGATAATGATAATAACGCCGAATTAGGAACCGTTACAACACATACCACTGAACAACAGGATTCAATGTTAACAGACATTCATGATGATAGTACTACACAAAGACAATCACGTAAACGGAAAGTTTCTTTATTATTACAACAAGAATATGGTTCAAGTTCAAGTGCATTACCATCTCCAGTAACAAAATATCAAAAACCGGCTCATTCCACAACAAATAGCTCTCCATTGAAACAATCACAAGCAAATGAAAACGATGATACTAATGATCTATTGAACGTCGATAGTTCTCAATCATCATCATCCTAATACATTACTTCAGACATTCACACAAATACACCCATACACCGCACATCCCTCATGTGTTTGTTTGCTTTGGGCTTTCTTATAGAAAGAAAACAGAAAATGCGTTTTATTTTGGATATCAATTACTCTTTAGTAATGATAGAGGTAGTTATACAGGATGGTAAAGGTTTCACATCTAGATATAGATATATAGCGAATGGGGAACAGTATGTCTGCCAGTTTTGCACCGGAGTGCACGGAGTTAAAAAAGACATATGATAATTGTTTTAATGAATGGTATAGTGAGAAATTTTTAAAGGGGAAATCTGTCGAGAATGAATGTTCAAAAGAATGGTACGCTTATATTGGTTGTGTGAATGAAAATTTAAAGAAGAAAAGTATTCAATCTGCATTAGATGATGCTCGTAAAGAGGCACCTTTTGAACGTGGTGGTGAATTAGTTGATGATAATATAGATAATAAAAAGAAATCCAAATAACCACCCACACCCACACACATACCTGTAAATAATCACATGAACGTATTGATCAAGGGAAGCTATAGATGAGTTGCATCCATATGTACAACTAAGTAACTGTTTATATATATATTTTACTTCGTAGTAATAAAAACCGTTATTACCCTCCATATCACTATCGACGAGTGGCAAAACTTCAATTTCCCAGCGAAAAGAAAAGATTTTTTTTCGTTTGAAATTTAGGAATTCTCCAAGGAGGCAGAGAGAGGAGGATCTCCCACAGTTATAAGAAACAGGAAAAGGATTTAAATGTATTATGGATCAATCAATATATTTAGCTCAGGTTTTTTTGAATTTAAACTTAGTAAACATATATTGTAACTAATATATACATATAAAACAAAATATACATCCCTACATAAGAATGTCTGCACAAAACAGATCCGTAAATACGAGCAAGAGTAAGAGCAAGAAGAAACTTGATCCAACAGTTCAATCAAAGATAGATACTTTAAGAGAATTATTTCCTGATTGGACTAATGAAGATTTAGTTGATATTGTTCAAGAATTTGGTGATTTAGAGACTATAATTGATAAAATCACATCTGGTGCTGTGACTAAATGGGATGAGGTAAAGAAACCTACAAAGAAAGAAAGAAAAGAACAAAATATTAATTCATTTGCATCATCATCATATAATAACTACGACAGTAGCAATATAACTTCGCAAGATTATGAATCCTCTTTGCGTTCTTTACCTAAACCAGAAGATGACTGGTCTCCTGTTAAAGGTCATCATACTTCTACATCATCTAATGCATTTAATAAGAAAAGATCAACCAATAATAACAACAACAATAATAATTCTAATGGTGCAACTGCATCACATCATGCTATTTCTGATCAAAGAAAGAAAAATAGTAAAGCCATTACTCTTGACAAAGCTACCGCTGGTAAAACCGTTGGAAATTTATCTAAACCTGTTTCACATACTACTTCATGGGCATCTGCTGTAGCAAGTGAAAATTCGGCACACGGCCAACAAATTCATAATACCGCTATAAGAGAACATCATGATGAAACTGTAACACAATTAGAAGAACCACTGAACGAAGAGGAAGAGATTGAAACCACAGAAGAACAATCCACAACTCAAGAAGAAACTAAACCAAAGATTGGGACAACTAATTTACCATCTCTATCCTCAGGTGGTACTTCAGTTGCATCAAGTGGTCCCAAGAAAATGTCATGGGCTGCAATTGCAACTCCAAAGACTAAAACTCCTGTTAAACCCGAAGTGACAGGCGCTAATGAACCAGCGTCATCCTTAGAAAACTTGGAATCATTGAAAACAGAGATTGAAAAGGTAGAAGAAGAAAGTTCTGGAGAAGAGTCCTCTAGTCAAGAAGAAGAAAGTTCAGAAGAAGAAGAATCCTCTGAAGAAGAAAGTTCAAGTGAAGAAGAATCATCTGAAGAAGAAGAGTCATCTAGTGAAGAAGAAGAAAGTTCTAGTGAAGAAGAATCTTCCTCCGAAGAAGAAGAAGAGGAAGAAGAAGAAGTAAAAGAGACTAAGACTGAAGTCAAGGTTACCGAAGAAAAGACAATCGATCTAAAGAGCAACCCAGAAACTATCATCCAAGAGACTGCAGTTCAAACCACTGCAGAAATTCCAGCAGTAGTTGCCGCTGCCACTACTGGTGATATTGCCACTCCAACTTCTGCCGATGCCACTGCTCAACTACAAGCTCAAGCACAAGCTTTGGCTCAAGCCCAAGCCCAAGCCCAAGCCCAAGCTCAAGCTGCTCAACAACAACAATATTACATGTACCAAAACCAATTTGGTTACAATTACCCAGGTATGTTTGACAACCAATCCTATGGTTTCAACCAAGTTAATAACCAAAACATGGGAATGAATAATCAATACAGCAACATGCAACGTGGTGGTTTCGGTAACGCTTCTGCTGCAGGTGAAACCGGTACTACTGGTGATGCATCATCATCTGCTGCCGCCAATGCTTCAAACCCATTAATGAACAATATGAGTCAACAGCAACAACAACAGCAACAACAAATGTATGGCAATTCATTTATGCCATATTACAACCATTTCTACCAACAATCTATGCCATACGGTCAACCTCAATATGGTGTTACCGGTCAATATCCATACCAAGTTCCAAAGAACAACTACAATTACTATGCAGGTCAACAACAAGGCCAACCACAACAACAAGGTAATGGTGAAGCTCCAGCTAATACTGGTGCCACTGGTGCCGCTTCCGCTGGTCAAACCCCAGGTCAAACTCCAGGTCAATTGCAACAAGGTGATGCTACCCAGCAACAAATGAACATGCAACAAATTCAATTGCAACAATATTACCAATTCCAACAACAACAGCAACAACAGCAACAAGCTGCCGCCGCTGCTGCCGCTGCCGCTCAACAAGGTGTTCCATACGGTTACAATGGCTACGATTACGGTAGCTCTACTAATGGTAACGCAAACCAACAACAACAACAAGGGTCCAGAGGTTTCTATTAGATAAAATATAAATCAACAAAAATAGAAAATCTACAAATTTCACCCTGGCACATGCATATATATTCCCTCAAAAAAACAAAAAATCTTAAAGGGAATACACATTCACGTATTCACACATACAACACTTATATACAAATATAAAAGTCAAGAGTATTTATATATAATGTAATAGTAATCATCGATAACTGATTGTCGTTAAAAGACATATTTTTCGTTTTCCTTCACTATTATTTTTTGAGCCTCTTTAAAACAAAAGAGCGACAAATAGAATCGAGAGAACAATAATACAAGTAGAAAATAAGGGTATATACATATAACACAGACCATAAAGAAGTAAAAGCTACGACAGATACACAACTGGGGATTAACGAATATATATACTGCAAAATATAATTAGGTATGAATCATATACCTGTTGCTGTTGTTACTGGTGCCACCAGAGGTATCGGTAAAGCTATCGCATCTCGATTATCCAAAGAAGGCATGAGTTGCATACTAATTGGGTCAACAAAACAAAGTATAGCGCAAATAAAAGTACAAGAACATTTACATTTTGTAAACCCATATCAAAAACATCGAGCATTGGCAATTGATTTATCACAGTGGCCGCAATGGACATTAAACTCCAAGGGAATATATTCTGGTATTGATTTCCAAGGTGATACTAGTGATAAGATAATACCTGGTCAATATAGATTATTTCCAAAAGTGAATCAACAACTTTGGGAAACTCCAAGGACCCAATATTATATAAGTTTATTAGTTAACTGTGCAGGAATTTCACAACATTCATTAAGTGTAAGAACTCCAACAGAACAAATTGCTAGAATCATGAATTTAAATTTTGCTAGTTGTGTAAGCCTTTCAAATTTATCTATAAAACATATGATGAAGACAGTACGACAAGATTTGTCATCAAAACATTGTATACCGGGATATGTTCCACCATGTATCATTAATATTTCATCCATTCTTGGTGAACCAAAAATGACGATACCAGGAACCACGATATACTCTGCGTCAAAAGCTGCATTAACTCAATACACAAGAGCTCTCACACAAGAAATTACTACCTGGGGTATTCGTGCTGAATCTATTTCCCCTGGCCTTGTTACTGGAACTGACATGACAAACGAAATGGATCCAATTGCGAAAGCTCAATTGGTAGATTCCCTGATAGGATTACCCACACACACTCCGAATGAAATAGCCACAGAAGTATGGAAAATATACTCCGGTAACAATAGCCTTTGATCAGAATCCTTTTAAGGGCCAATATTTTCAAATTCCGATGAGCTAAATGGTCACCTTACACGAGCAACGTGCTGGCAATAAAAATTTTTTTTTGTTCTTCTGAAATTCTTTTCTTTTTCGTCTCGCCAAACTGAAAATTTTTTTTTTTTTCATCGATTTTTTTTGGTTTAGCTAACTTATTGGGAATGCTTAAATGGATATATATATATATATGTGATATCTGAACATAAGGGTATTTTAAATTTGTTCCAATTCATTTTTATTTTTTGTTTGGTTGTTTGAGTTATAATTGTCATTCTTTTTTTTTTTTAATTTTGTTTCAAATACCTGTACAATCCCTTACATAAACCTTACACACAATGATTATTTACAACGATATCTTCTCTGGTGATGAATTACTATCTGATGCTTACGACCTAAAATTGGTCGATGAAGTCATTTACGAAGCTGACTGTGCTATGGTCAAAGTTGGTGGTGATAACATTGATATCGGTGCTAACCCATCTGCTGAAGATGGTGATGATGATGTTGAAGATGGTTCTGAAGTTGTTAACAACGTTGTTCACTCTTTCAGATTACAACCAACTGGTTTCGACAAGAAATCCTTCGTTACTTACATCAAGGCTTACATGAAGGCTGTTAAGGCTAAATTGACCGAAACTGACCCAGAAGCTATTCCAGTTTTCGAAAAGGGTGCTCAAGCTTACGTTAAGAAGGTCATTGGTTCTTTCAAGGACTGGGAATTCTTCACTGGTGAATCCATGGACCCAGATGCCATGATCATCATGTTGAACTACCGTGAGGATGGTACTACTCCATTCGTTGCTATCTGGAAGCACGGTGTCAAGGCTGAAAAGATCTAGATAATTGTTTTTAAAAAACAAAATTGAAAAGAATAATGATGGCTATTAAAGTTCCATTATTAATTTTTTTTTATATGTAATTTATATATATATACTTATTAATAAAATTCAGATTTCTAGACTAAAACAACTACAACAATATTAGTTAACATATTTCATTCACTCTTTTTTGAGTTACATGCAACGATTCTTAATTTATCAACATTAATAATAGTTTGAGAATCGGCTTCTTCGGGATTCCCTTCAACGGTAACTTTACATTTTTTAACAATGAACGTCCAGACGTCATCACAAAACCCGTATGTATCTAAATTACCCTTTACAGATAACTTTGATTGTGTCTTTTCCTTTAATGTCTCTGCTACAACTTTATCAAATGTCTCTAACACTCTCATAGCTAAAGAGGCTTCAATTCTACCATCACTAATTAATGTATCTAACGCATCGACCAAACTGTTACCAATCGTACTTCTTCTATATAACTCATAGTATCCAGGTACAGCCATATCTCTCTCTTTTATCCTCCTTATTCTTCCCTGTTGTCCCTCTTCTCTTGTATTTTCATTGTATTATATAAAGTTTGTATTACTTAATATATATAAAATACGTTAAATTTCAATGTAAAAATTAGTAAGAGCGATATTCTTTTTTTTTTTTTGAACCGATTTTTTTTAAACAAGTTGAAAAATCACATTAAAGGAAAGGGACAAAGAAAGATGTGATATAAGAAGTGTTGATAAGTTATACATGGTAATAGGTGTATTGGATGTTTATGAATTATGAGTAGTACTATATTTTACCGTTGGAAATCACAGCGTGAACCATCAAGAATATTATTTGATGGAACAGGTTTAACAGTATTTGACCTTAAAAGAGAAATAATTCAAGAGAATAAACTCGGTGATGGTATAGATTTTCAATTAAGATTATACAATCCAGATACTGATGAAGAATATGATGAAGATCAAACAGTCATTGCTAGATCAAGCAGTGTCATCGCTAGAAGATCACCTGCTATATCGAAAATTAGCATGGGTAATGGAAGTAGTAGTAATCGAACACCCCACAAGATGATTGGTAATGCAGCAAGATATGTTACCGGTAGACCTCGTGTATTTAATACAATGTCGAAACGTCCTGGACCCGGTATGGCCACCTCGATGAATAATACAGGCGGTGGTGGTGCACCAAATGGAATCAGTGAAGAAGATCGAATAGCCAATATGTTTGCCAACCAAGAGAATCAATGGGAACAAACACAACAAGAGATGTCGACGGCGACACCTATATTTTTCAAGAATAATAGCAGTGCGACGAATAATGCGGATGATGGACCACCACCACCTGGGTATATGTGTTATAGATGTGGATCAAGGGACCATTGGATTAAGAATTGTCCAACAAATACAGATCCAAATTTTGAAGGTAAAAGAATTAGACGTACAACAGGTATCCCAAAGAAATTTTTAAAAAGCATTGAAATTGATCCTGAATCCATAACACCTGAAGAAATGGCACAAAGAAAGATTATGGTAACGGATGAAGGTAAATTTGTGGTTCAAGTTGCAGATGAACATTCATGGGAAGATTATCAAAGAAAACAGCAACTTCGAACAATGGATTCCAAGGAAGCAATTTGGGGTAAAAATTATTTTAAGGATTTACCTGAAGACTTAAAATGTCCAATAACTGGTGGATTGATTAAAGATCCAGTTAAGACATCAAAATGTTGTAATAAAATTGTATCGAGGGTAGCCATGGAAGATTCATTGTTAGAAAATGATTTTACATGTGCATTATGTAATACGGATGATATTTTGTTAGATTCATTAATTAAAGATGAAGAGACCCAAGAGAAGGTAAATGAGTTTATAGAGAAATCTAAGACTCAGGATAACAACAATAATAACGATGTTACTAATAATGATACACATATAGATAAGAAATTAAAACCAATGCCTCCACCACCAATGATGCCATTCCCTATGTTCCCACCATTCATGCCACCTGGTGGGCCATTACCAAAGTAACCCTTATATATACATATATATATACATATATTATTTATGTTATTTATATCAAAGATATATTGTTATTAATAGTAGTAAAGGGCTTAAGAAGAAGAAGAATACACGATGAGTGCCGTCTAACCCTGCTTGCCAAACCCTAGCGAAAAACGGATTCCTGCCGTGCCAAACGACACACGCCGGGCTTCCTCTGTGCGTGTCACGTGGCTGGCAGCGCGTTTCTTGGGATCCCTCCCTCCCGCCCCCCCACGGGCATCCACTAATACAGGACACACAGACACGCGCCCGCACAGACACGGAAGAAACCCTGGCGACGACACCCACGCACCGCTGACATCACTCGGCTCCTCCACCGACTCGCTCAGTAATCAATCTTCCCGCAGATTGCGCAGCCCACACTGAAAATTTTTTCTTTCTGTTTGCTTCGCATTCATTGCCTTCTCTCTCCCATAGCTGAACTTCTTCCCAACGCAACATTCTGATTCAGTTTGAACCGTGGAATTTGCAGGAAACTCACGCAAAAATGTACGTACTCTTTCTTTCATTCGTGATCCCTCCCTCCCATTACCACCTTAGCACGTAGCTTCAAAGGATTGCTTAAATAAAAATATTTCAATCTTGGGATGTCACTCTACATCTGACGACGTCGAACCCGAGGTAAAAACCAACTTGAAGTTTGAATTACCAACTGAATACCAGTTATGTTTTATTTATCTTTTCATTTTTTCTCTTATATAAAGTCAGAACCTATTCTATTTCAATTTGATTAATTAATTTTTACAACTTGCCTTCTCTAAATATCTTTCATACTCAGTTTCTTTTTCATTCTACTTTTCAGTTTTTTCTTATTTCTTGTTTCTAATATAACCAGCCTCAAAAATATATAAATTCATATATTAAATATTATTAAAAATGGGTATTCTAGACGTTATTAAGAGAAAGACCGGTGTTATCGTCGGTGACGATGTCAGAGCTGTCTTTGACTACGCTAAGGAACACAAGTTCGCTATCCCAGCTATCAATGTTACTTCTTCCTCTACCGTTGTTTCTGCTTTAGAAGCCGCTAGAGACAACAAGTGTCCAATTGTTCTACAAACCTCCAACGGTGGTGCTGCTTACTTCGCCGGTAAGGGTGTCTCTAACGACGGTCAAAACGCCGCCATCAGAGGTTCCATCGCTGCTGCTCACTACATCAGATCCATTGCTTCTGCTTACGAAATCCCAGTTATTCTACATTCTGATCACTGTGCCAAGAAGCTACTACCATGGTACGATGGTATGCTAGCCGCTGATGAAGAATACTTCAAGGCTCACGGTGAACCTCTATTCTCTTCCCATATGTTGGATCTTTCCGAAGAATCCGATGAAGAAAACATCGGTACTTGTGTCAAGTACTTCAAGAGAATGGCCGCTATGCAACAATGGTTAGAAATGGAAATCGGTATTACCGGTGGTGAAGAAGATGGTGTTGATAACTCTGGTGTTGAAAGAGATGCTCTATACACCAAGCCAGCTCAAGTTTTCTCTGTCTACGAAGCTTTGAGCCCAATCTCTCCAAACTTCTCTATTGCTGCTGCCTTTGGTAACGTTCACGGTGTTTACGCCGGTACCATGGCTCTAGCTCCAGAAATCTTGGCTGACCACCAAAAGTACACCGCTGAAAAGATCGGTGCTCCAGCTGGTTCCAAGCCATTGTACCTAGTCTTCCACGGTGGTTCCGGTTCTACTGACCAACAATTCCACACTGGTATCGACAACGGTGTCGTCAAGGTTAACTTGGATACTGACTGTCAATACGCTTACTTGACTGGTATCCGTGACTACGTCCTAAACAAGAAGGACTACATCATGTCTATGGTCGGTAACCCAACCGGTGCTGAATCTCCAAACAAGAAGTTCTTCGACCCAAGAGTCTGGGTTAGAGAAGGTGAAAAGACCATGTCTGTTAGAATTGCTCACGCTTTCGAAGTTTTCAGAACTCAAAACACTTTATAAGTTGTATATTTATGATTAATTCTATATAACTTGTTTAACCGTTTAATAATATAATAAAAAAAAAAATTATATATATATTTATTAGTTATTTGTTATATTTTTTTTTTAGTTAAAAGTGTGCATTTACACTGTGCTGGAGTTAACCTCGTTGTAATTACATCATATCATCATCATCATCATCACCAGTTTAATGATATCATTACCGTATCCATTTAGTAAACCATTCAACAAATCAAGAACAGATGCTTCTCCAAATTCATTGAAACAACTAGCATCGTTATGTGACGATCCGCAAGTTGCTGATTTTGTATCAACGTATAATAATCTAACAACAAGAAGAGAAAGAACTCCAAGCTCTAGGTTCACCAAACCTAACTATACTAATTATAAACCACCAAAATATCCAATAATTCTTTGTCATGGACTCTCTGGATTTGATACTTTAATTCTAATTCCTTCTGTGAGAACATTTATAAACGTCATTTCTAATGCAGTTAGTTATAAAAACTCCGAATATTTTGTAATGGATGAAACTGATAATGAAGTTAAAAAAAATGTTTTGGAAGTTGAATATTGGATTGGCGTAAAACGAATATTAGAAAGTAAAGGTTGTACAGTTTTCATTACAAAAGTACCACCATTTGGTAGTATTGAAGAAAGAGCAACTTCATTAAATAAAATTTTAAATACTGTGGTTAATCAACAATTACAAACAAAGAATGATAAAATCACTAAACTTAATTTTATCGCACACTCAATGGGGGGTCTAGATTGTAGATATTTAATCTCAAGGATTCCAGAGAATGAAAAAAATTATGAAGTTGCAAGTTTAACAACTTTGTCTACACCTCATGGTGGTTCAGAAGTAGCAAATTATGTTGTTGGACAATTTGGTAAGATTCGCAAATCATTAAATGATAATGGTCCCTTATTACCAATGTGTTATTATCAATTGACAACTTATTATGCCCAATATTTTAATAATATTACCCCTAATGATCCAGATGTAAAATATTTTTCATATGGTGCTTATTTTAGTCCCAAATGGTATAGTTCTTTTGCATTAACTTGGAGCATAATTAATTATGCTACAAACGGGGAACCAAACGATGGAATGGTAACTGTAAAGAGTAGTCATTGGGGAAAATATATGGGTACTTTACCAAATATGGATCATCTTGATATCATTAATTGGAGGAATAAATTTCATGATACCTTTGAGCAATTGTTACAAAATAAAAAAAATCCAGAATCTATTCTTCAACTTTATGTAAATATTACAAATGATCTTGCAGAACAGGGTTGTTAAAATTTTAAAGAAATGCAATGCATGCACACATGCACACATACAAACACACACATATATATATATACGATAGATATTATAATCATCACCTACTTCGCTCCACTTTAGTTTTCACTTCCAGTTCTTTACTAAATTCTTCCATCTCAATACAAAGCTTCTCAAAATATTCAACTTCTTCTTCAAGCTTATCGATCTTCTCTATATATAACCTTTTATCTGTTTCAAATGATTTAAACTCTTCATCAGTCTTAATTTGATAAGTTCCTGCTAACGTTGTCGCCCATTTTTCATTGGATGTTGTCTTATTGCTAAATACAGAAATGGCCTCTGCTGCCTCTGTATCTACACCTTCTTGCAAAACATGAACACAGGTTTCAATATCTCGTTGCAATTGTCGTCTATTGGCTCTTTCAGTAGATCCACCTTCCCCCATTATCTTGTTATGGTCCTTAGGGGATTATAACTCCTTTGCAGTGTAATGTACTGGAAGAATGGATTATCCGAAATAAATTTCCACAGCCTTAAAAATAGTTTATATAAATATCATCGATGTAGGCAATGTATAGCAACGATCCATTCAACTACACAAAAGAAGGAGGTCAAAGAATTGTTTTACTGAACAACTATCCAGGAACGATGTTGTCTGATAATAAGTCACCCATTGTTGGGATGTTTTTATCCCAGTTTGATATGAAGAAAGGGAATATCATAATATGGCAAGAGAATTGTAATAATTTTAAAAACCTTGAATTTAAAGCTCTACCGTCAGGAATCCATGAATCGAACGATGATGTGGTAAATTTTATGGTTGTAGACGAAAATCACCCAACTAAACTTTATCATGGGATTAGTTACTTTCGCCAAAATAGTTTTGATCAGGACATCAGAGAAAATGGTCAGGTTGATAGGAGTCAAGTGAAAATGTATTCATTAGGTCTGATCATAGAGACAGATGTGATTGAAATTGATAATTATGTTGCAGATTTGGAACAACTATTAACCAACTGGCTAGCAACCAATAATTTTAACAATTTTGATATGTTTTCTCATTATTATACTAATCGCCATACACAAACATCTGATCAATTGAAAACAAAGAAAATGATTGAGTACCTCCCCTTTTGGATGACGAAATTAGGTCCTTTAATATTCACTGTATGGAAGACTTGTCTTTTAAATAAAAGAATTATTATCTTAAATCCAGCGGGTGGTTCATTCGATATGTGTAATTCGTTGGCATTATGTATTTCAAAATTATCAGACTCGTGTTCTGCCACAAATGACCTTACTCCTCAAGAATTACTTTACACGATAGGAACTATTGACCTCGACAATTTGAAGAATAATAATAAAGGCTATATTGCCTGCACCAGTGATGAGGTACTTATATACAGAGAGGAAATATATGATATTGTTATAAGATTACCAGCTATAGGATCTCTAGAAGATATGATTGAACCAGGTTCTCCAATCTCAATTCAAGATAATAAAGGGAATGAACTTAGAGCTACACCTCACGATTTGGAGACATTCACATTCTTCTTTGGTGGATTGATTGAGGATACCCTTATGTCTACACAGATACATACTCAGACGGAACCACTCTCGTGGTTGCAATTCCTTATCGATAATTTCTATTTTTGGTTAACAGCAGGAACTATTAAACCAGGTTATTATCAAGACCTACTATCGATAGGTAGTCCAATTGAACCAAATGGGATAAATCATATTCTTGAATATTTTGCCGAAAAGACAAAATTATTGTATAAGAATTTAGAATTACTCTTGTCGACTGGTGAACACATTCTCTCACCTTCTGATCTTCTTCAATTGGAACTAGACTGTTTCAGTTATCAAGATTATCATTTTGTAGAGTTTTTGGCATTAAGATGGTTCCAAAAATCAATAACAGTAAGAGCTTCAACCTATTGGCGTTTGTTATAATTGTCTTTGTAATACCTTTCTTTATAAAATAAAAAAAAGGATTCAGTGATTGTTATGTTTATGTAATAGTTATGTATAGAAAATAATAATAATAATAATAATAGTAGTAATAATATGATAAAAGTATAATAAATGAAATAGGGTGAGTATAATAAAATTTAATAGCCTTTATTATCTCTTATGTTTAGTTAAAACAAATAAGATAATCCATCAAAATTTTAGGTCGTACCATATTAAAACACTAGCCACAAAGCACATGCTACAATAGAAATACCGATAACTGCAGTGATGATACCAGCTGCAGCTCTAGAACCCGCGGTAATATTCAAAGGATTCAAATTAGTAGCGTGAGCTTCTGTACCAGCAGCACCATCACCTTGTGAAGAACCACCGTCCTGTGCTGTGTATGGAGCTGGCTTGTCTAGAGCTCTAGTATTGACCAAAATTTCAAGTGCAGCCATTTGTTCACCAAGACCATACTTACCATCCCAACCGTCATAGAACCAATTCGTACCACAGGTATGACCATCGGTACCACCAGAACAAGATTGGGCTGCACCAACGGCAGAGGCATTGATCCAATGCATAATTTGGTTTCTACTTTCAGGGACCAATTGTGCAGTAACACCAAGGAAACGAGAGAAATAAGCCTTGAAAGAACGTTGATCTGTATTACAAGTGTCTCTTGGTTGACATGCAGCTTCATATAATATACTGTTATTGAAAAAAACTGAAGAAGAATTTAACAATTTCAAAGTTCTTTGATGCCATGTATCATTACCAGTAGAATTATACAGATAAGCACAACCTGCAAGTAATAAACCTTGATTATATGTCCATTGATAGGGAGTAACTGCAGAACAATTATTAACACTAACACCATCATAAACAAACATATAGTCACCATGAGAGATAACATTGACATCCCACATCCAATCATACACCTTTTCAGCCCAGTCTGTGTAACTTGAATTACCTGTGTATCTAGCTAATCTAGCAGCTAAATGGAATAAAGCACCATTAGAGACAGAATTCTTATAATCATAACCAGAATTCCAAACGAAAATTTGCCATCTTAGACCACCACCACATGTGTCTGCATCCCAACGTAATGCCATTGTGTTAAAAACAGCTTGTGCCAAATATAACCATTGAGGACTGTCTTCAGGTGGATTAGTGAAATTTCTCTCAGCTGCCGTCATAGCAGCAATACCCCAGAAAGCTTGATCATCATTACCTTCAGTGGTAGATTGATTCAATGGGATATAATCGTCGTTGTCACCAGTCTGATGCATCATAGCAGCCATAAATTTATCGTTATAAGTGTCATTATCCATGTAATACCAGTAATCTAGAATACAACCCCAAGCACCACCGGCTTCCCACCAATAGTATGGATCGGAGAACATACCAACAGTTTTACCATATTGATCACCAGTGTAATAATCCATCAAACCGTAAGCAACTAACGAGGTAGCATTCTCGAGAGATTCAAAACTGTTTAAATCAAGTTCCACTGCTGTGACTTTACTGGTAAGGAACAGAGTCGTCCACAATAATGCTGACGATAACGGTAACGATACCATATTTTATTTTATCTTAATGTTTCCAAAGAATTTTTCTAGGTTCCACAAAATATGTGCAAATCAATCCTATATATACTAGGTAAAATTTTCTTCTTAGGATATATAAAAAAAATTCCCCCAAAATAGTACAATATTATCGTAATAAAGAGAACTAAAAGAAAAAGCAAACTTATTTACTGTGTGAAGTCTTTAAATTTTTTTTTATACTATAGAGTGTAGAGGCCTTGGATCAAAATTATCAAGCAAAATACCTTTACTTCTAAATACTGATTTGCGATTCTATTGTAATGAATTATGCATAAATTCTAGTATGAGGTCCGCCGACTTAGCCTGCTTCACTAAATCATAAGAACGAACGTTCAGGTAATTTTCAGAAAGGTTCTCAATATTCTCTCTCTATACCTTTCCCCAGTAACGAACAAAAATTCAAAGAAAAATACGGGAGAAGGCTTTGAAAGCCAAAAAAAAAAAAGCTCATCACAAAATTTTTGAGAGAGGGTAACACGTCTTTGATACATTGGGCGGCTAATTGGTATCACAAGTTAAACATAGAATTACCAGTTAGAGAAGAAGAAGAACAACAACAACAACAACAGCAGCAACAACAACAACATTGCCTGTTTTTTTTAGTTTAGCTTGTTTAAAATGGAATGCGCCCAGAGGTTTTCGGTAGAAGTGGCCTTTGAGGAATGAGTTTAAATGATTTTAGTAACTCGACACTTGCATTCTCATATATGTTCCCTCAAAAGAATTGCACTTAACAATTTTAGAAGTAGATCATAACTACATAGCATAGTTGCTAGGAACTGTTTGTCTGTTTGATTCCTTTATATCCAATGTACCTGCCCTCAATTTGAAATGTTGGGTGATGGTCTGCCTAACCATATTTTTTTTAGCGGGTTTATTATCTTTCATTTAACTAACCATATACAACCTCGACAATCACGCAACGAACCTCAGTGTACCCATGTCCTAGTTATCTGGTGTTGTATCTCTGTTTTATTTTTAAATAAAACAGATAAAGTAGTTAATATCCCATTTCTTCAGCGGCTATACTGTATTATATAAATCGAAATTTTTCCTTCAAATTTTTGCTCTTTAACAAACTCCTCTGCTCGTTCATAACGATATTTGTTTTTTCTTTCTTTAATAAGATGCCATAATAATTTTGAATCGCGTTTACCATAACAATTTAACTGTTTCGCGTTAACTGTCAACAAATCAATACATAGAAATGTATATATATATGACTTATTCCAATGGAAAGGAATTCTTATATTACTAATTCAATATCGAGCTCATCAACCGGTATTTGTTTGTTAATATATACATATATTGCGTGACTATTACTAAATATTTTCTATTGAATCATCACAAATGTTTAGACAGAACAAGAGAAGATTAGCAGCTAGAAGGAATAACGATTTATCGTTTGACGATAGCAATACCTCGATCAAATTAGAAAATGGTACCACAGGATTTCCTTCAAATGGATCGCTTACTTTAGATGAACAGAAACTGTACAATAATATTAGTAAGACTAAATTGAATTTTTATGAATTACCTCCACAAGGGGAAATTACTTTAGAAGAATTTGAAACGTGGGCTATTGATAGATTAAAGATTTTACAAGAGATTCAATCATGTATTTCAAGAAATAAATCTATGAAAGAAATTGCTATTATAATCAAACCTCAATTACAAAAATTGTTACCATCTACTTCAGCATCATCTTCAACTGGGAATGATTCATTTTTAGAAAAGAAAAAAGATTATTATTCTCATTATATTTTAAGATTATGTTTTTGTCGTACAAAAGAACTAAGAGAAAGTTTTGTTAGATCTGAAACTTTATTATTTAAGATTAGATTTAATATGTTAACCTCTGTTGACCAAACAAAATTTGTTCAATCATTAAATTTACCATTACTTCAATTTATCTCTGATGAAGAAAAAGCAAAATTGTCTCAACAATTATATCAAACTACATCTCCTTTGCTACAGTTTCAATTAAACTTAAATGATGAACAACAACGTAAAGCCTATTTTGCGCGGGAGAGATATATTAAACTACCATTTGAAAATGTTATTGAATTAGTAGGGAATCGTCAAGTGTTTATAAAGGATGGGTATGCATATTTACCACAATTTCAACAATTGAACTTATTAGCATCTGAATTCTCTAATAATATTAATAATTCCTTGATAAAGACTTTCCAATATATGCCAAGGTTAAACGAGGATGATAGACTTTTACCAATTCTGACACATCTGTCGTCTGGTTATGCCGTTACTGACTTTGATGAAAATAATGGTCAGTATGGTGATAATTCAGATAATGAAATTAACGCTGAATCTGTTTGGTCACCAGAGATTATGAAGCATTATCCACTTTCTGTAAAGCATTTGATGGAGGGTTTGAAAACCAATCATCATTTAAGATACAATGGTAGACAACAACTAAGTTTATTTTTAAAAGGTATTGGATTAAGTGCAGATGAATCATTAAAATTTTTCTGTAAAGCATTTACTGATGGTGGACATATGACGACAGAAAAATTTAATAAAGAATATAGATATAATTTTAGACACAATTATGGTCTAGAAGGTAATAGAATTAATTATAAACCTTGGGATTGCCGTACAATTTTATCGAAACCAAGACCAGGTAGAGGTGATTATCATGGTTGTCCATTTAGAGATTTTAGTAATGAAAAATTGACGTCAGAATTGCAAAAGATGAATTTAACTCCATCACAAATTGGTAGTGTATTAGACTCGTGTAATAAAGGTGAATACACTACTGCCAATACTAAAGTCTTTGAATTCACACATGATTTCAACGGTAATGACCCAGAAATTAATGATCAAACCTTAATTGCACATCCAAATCTTTACTTTGAAAGGTCAAGGCAATTAGAGAAGAAAAAGAAAGAAATGGAAGAAAAAATTAAAGGAACAGCAGTTAATTAAAATATTACATAATTGATATACAAAAATAAATACACTCGTTAATGTTTTTTTTTTCATAAATTATGCGAATTATAGTAAATAATTATTTTTTGGTTGTTTACTTTCAAAGTGTAGTTCTCATATATAAGATTATTTATACATGACTATATATATATTTACAAGTTTTTCAAATATTCTTTTATCTTGAAATTGCTAACACTTTGGGTGGCACTTATTATTGTTGCGTAGTTTCATTAAATCTTTATCTGAATACTGACGTAATTATGACGAATGGTTGTTGTTTTAAAAAAGAGAAAAATCGAAAATTTAGTTCGTTATTTCTCCTATTACATCATACCTGGCATACCTGGCATACCACCTGGAGCACCACCACCAACTGGACCAGCTGGTTGTGGGGCGTCAACGATAGCAACTTCGGTAGTAGCCAATAGAGAGGCAACACCAGAAGCATCAACTAATCCTGACTTGACAACCTTAAATGGGTCAATGATACCAGCAGCTAACATATCGGTGTATTCACCCTTAGCAGCATCGTAACCCTTAGAGAAATCCTCACCGAATTCATCGACTAACTTACCAACAATAACGGAACCTTCTTCACCAGCATTTTCAATGATTTGTTTAGCTGGTCTTGTGATAGCCTTTCTAATGATATCGACACCTAACTTTTGGTCAAAGTTCTCAACCTCAACATCATCTAGAATTCTGGAGGCCTTAACTAAAGCAGTACCACCACCTGGTAGGATACCTTGTTCGACAGCGGCTCTGGTAGCATTTAGAGCATCATCATAACGATCCTTCTTTTCACCTACTTCAACTTCAGAAGCACCACCAACGCGAACGACGGCAACACCACCGGATAATTTAGCTAGACGTTCTTGTAATTTTTCCTTTTCATAAGAGTTCGTAGTAGTGACATCAATAGAGTTCTTAATTTGTTCAATTCTTTCATTAATAGAGCTCTTGGAACCATTACCATTTAGAATAACGGAATCTTCCTTTGTGATAGTGATAGAATCACAAGAACCTAGATGTTCAATGGTACATTGTTCTGGTTTCAAGTCTAATTCTTCAGTGAATACGGTAGAACCAGTCAATACAGCAATATCACCAAGAGTGTTCTTTCTGTTATCACCAAAGCCTGGTGCCTTAACAGCACAGACCTTAACTTGACCTCTTAATTTATTTAAGATACAAGCAGCTAAGGCTTCGCCGTCAATATCTTCAGCGATAATTAACAATGGTCTTCTGTTTTGATTAGATAGTTCCAAAGCAGGTAAAATATCTTGAATGGAAGAAATCTTCTTTTCACTTAATAATAACAAAGGTTTTTCAAATTCGACTTTACCAGATTTAGCATCAGTAATAAAGTATGGAGAAATAAACCCACGGTCAAATCTCATACCTTCAGTAACTTCTAATTCATCTTCTAAAGTTCTACCTTCTCTAATGGTAATCACACCTTCCTTCCCAACTTTTTCCATTGCGGAAGCTAATAATTTACCAACATGGGCATCACCATTAGCGGAAATTGTGGCCACTTGAGCAATTTCAGCGGAAGTAGTAATTTCCTTCTTGTTAGAACTCAAGAAGTCAATAACTTTTTGGACAGCCAATTGAGAACCTCTTCTTAGGTCCATTGGATTACAACCTGCAGCCACATTCTTGACAGATTCGGTAAAGATAGCTCTACCTAGAACAGTTGCGGAAGTAGTACCATCACCGGCAGCTTCATTGGTCTTTGAAGCGACTTCTTGTAATAGTTTAGCACCCATGTTTTCGAATTTATCTTCTAGAACAATGGCCTTTGCAACGGTAACACCATCTTTAGTGATCTTTGGTGCACCAAAAGGTTGTTCAATTAAAACATTTCTACCTTTTGGACCTAGAGTAGCGGAAACTGCATCTGCTAGGGTTTCGACACCTCTTAATAAAGCAGCTCTACCTTCAACACCAAACTTAACTTCCTTGAAAGAGGAGTAAGAACGACGTACGATAGGTCTAATGGAAGAACGAGAACGAACAATAGATGATCTTAGCATAGTGTTATTTTTTTATATCGATTATCAGGAGGTTAATTCGACGATGAAATAACTGTTATGTTGTTATGTAAACGGTATTATAAATTGAAAAAAAAAAAATAGCTTTAACTTTAATTAGAAACTTTAAGGACTCTTGAATGACTGTTTAATCAACTTCCAAGCAAATCAAAATCCTTTAATTTCGGTTCGCCACCGGAATTTGTCGTCAGAGGTTTCACTTCAAAGAAAAAAAATAAATTCATTAAGAAATGACTACATCGTATAAAGTGATGTAGGTCTGGGTTTTCAATACTTTTTAGCCACACATCGTAATACATGATATCCAGAGGTTAATAACTACTTAAAGAATAAAGCATATCAATTTACCTTTTAAGATTTAAATTGAATAATATAAAAGGAAATCTTGGGTTCATGATGGGAGATAACAATTCCCAACATCAGAGTGTCTTCTTTTACTTGTTTCAAAAAGATGGATCTTGGTATGGCTGTTTTTTTTTTTACCATTGCGAAACATTTGTTTTCCTTAGGTCTCTTCCTATAGTCGATATCAATACTTTAATAAAAGTATTTTGATAATTTTTGAAATAATATTGTCAATGCTCATCCAATTTTACTTCTAGTTGTTTAATAAACGTTCGACGATGGAGTTCAAATGGATAAAATCTTCGAATAAATAAAAATAGAAATAAATAAAACAGCATTTATTGCTGACACTTGAATAAAATAATTAAATAACAACAATGAATCTAATGTAGTTTCAAGTGACTAGATAAAAATCGGTTTTGTAAACTTTCGAAACCAATCTCTTCATAATATGACTTTTCATGAAGCACATCCTTTTTCATTTAATAAATATGTCTTTGAGATAATTTCTTTTGTCCTTGTGAGTGTTCCAATCCTTGAAATTGCGCATCATAGTTTCCTTGAGTCGTCTACTTAAGCACTGTGATCCACTCATAAGTTCATATGTGTATTATTCCATTTTCTTCCAACTTTAATAAGTAATTATTTTCATAAAAAAAATTGAATTAAAACTTCATTTGTTACATAATAAACATCAGCAAGAAAATAAACCTAAGTTTATGTAAGGTTTGAAAATATAAAAACTAATCCCCGACTTAAAAATGAACCTTTTGAGGGGGGGTATTTTTCTATTCATATTGTAATGATATTCATATTGAGAATTTCATACCTTTATGTTTACTGGAACCGAAACCCTATAGAAAAATAATATTCATATAAGTGTATATCTTAGACAATTATACAACATTTACTCTTGAAATTATCTGAAAGGTAGAAAAAATGATTATTCCATAGATCTAAATCATAGTTGTTTTAGCTCTATTGGAGTTAAGATTCCAAAATTGGCATCGTTACGTTACAAAACAACGTCAATAAAAGAGATATGGATTATCATACTAAAAACCATGTCAGCTTGAGGTGATTTCCATAGATACAATGGTAATCTATTAGTTGAGGAACTACTCTATTTCAAATGCAAGATTCAACACTTTTGGTATGTTCCTATCGATGTGACTTAGGTGTGTCTTAATTCAAAAACAACTACCGTTTCATTTGAATTAATTACACGCTTTTACAATTTATAAGTGTTTATTAGATTTCAACAATTTCGAAGATTAATTCTTTCAGATCATTCCATGAAATTGACAATATTGAAGTAATGTCTTAACTAATGTTAATTATTCAAAATTCATTTTCTCCTTTATGATATTATTTCACAGTTTTGTGTCATTTCCCCTTGTCAAATAAAGAACAAATTCCGGTTTTCATTTTTTTTATTTTCGTTTTCGATTTGCTCTTTCAATACTCCCAAAGAGTACTATTTATTTTCCTTTTTAGCGATGTGATCAAAAGAAATGTGAACTTTAATAATGCTTAAAAGTTTATTCAAATATCCACAGAATTTTTTTCTTTTTCTCATTTTTAGAATCACTTAAGTGGAGATTCAGCAAAAAAGAAAGAAAATTCATTTTCCGTTTTCCTTGCAATAATAAGAACACCACTACTTTCGTACGCGATTTTAGTAAACTTTAACCGGAAATTGAAATTTCAAAAATAAATAATAAACAAACGAACATTTTCGACAATAACCTCGTAGGAAAAGAAAATTTTTCTTACAAAAACAAGAGAAAGATTCCAAAATCCGATGGTGAATACGTGGTACTATTTCTTTGTTGCTTTCCAGTGATGTGTTGACCATTTAATGAATGAGAGGGATCGATTAATTTACTGAATATTTTTAGCAAATCAAGAAATTCTGTACTTAATTACTTAGAAAGGGGTTCTATTCGCTTAGCGTAAATGATGTTTATATTCGCTGCTCTTGCTGCTGGTGCTTACTTGGATAATCCAGGGAAAGGAAGATCCTTCTTTTCATATTAAGTAAGTCCCTATGTAAAATAGGTGTATTTTGGTTCCTTGGTTCCTTTCATATGTAAACTGGTACACAGTAGAGAACAATGAACTAGGAACAAACTAATTAGACGTACAAATAAAATAAATCAATAAAGGAGATTTATAGAGGGATGGAAGACACAAATGCATAAGAAACGAATGATGATCACACAAGATTTTATTTATAATTTGTTTTCATTGAATCGTATAAGCAAAAAAAAAACAAAGAAACAAATGATGGGATTAATACAGTATCTAAACATTATTAATTATTTTCTTACATTCTGAGTATATTGAATTACTTATCCTTTCTTGAGAATTCAAAATCTAATATAATTTAATACGACCAACTTGAGAATTCTTGCACATCGAAATATGTAACGTACATTAAAATATTGTTCATCGAATTACTTAGCGATGGCAGCGCCTATACTAAAGAAAATATTGAAAAAAATGCATGACCACTGCAAAAAGTAGAAGAGAAGAGATTAAATTATTAAGTAAAAACCATGTTTGATAACTAAATTCAAAAAGAAACGTAAAAATGACGTACAACTTTTTTTGATTATGTTAATTTCTTTAAAGTTTTACTTTTAATCGCGTAGTATGTAGCTAACTAACCGAAGGAAAACAAAAATGATAAATATATTTATATATTTATCATTTTTTTCATTTATACACGAAGCAGCATATTAACGTAGGAGTGATTGATGGTAGAAGCAATAGAAGAAAAGGAAGTAGGCAATTAACGCAAAAGAAGAGAGGAAGGGAGTAACAATGTTCTCGACAATAAATGTTCGAAGAAAGGCATGAATTATGTATTAACTACGTATAGGTTTACTTTTCTTACTACTTTGTTGAGGTTTTTTTTCATTTGTTATTCAAATGTTTTACTATACACTAAATAAATACCGTACAACATTTACGCAGATTACATGCGTTTGTATCTTTAAAAAGTGATTATCCAAGTGTATGTAGACACGTAGAGTTTTACTCGATATGTGTGCATATATATCACATTACCTTTATTAATGCTGTTAGTAAAATAAGTTTGTTCTCCTTATAATTAGATGTTTAAATTACTACGGGCCCGCAAGTTTAGTTTAGTATATCATGTATTCTACCAGCTATTGGTACTGGTGGCAACCACTTCGGGAAAGCACATATTAGATGAGATAAAGAAATCTTTTATCCTGTGGACAACTTACTGATGGTCCAATTAAAAGTTTTAAAAAAATTATCTTGTAAAAAGTCAAATAATAATTCTGGTTATGATAGAAGAAAGAAACAATATTTATCCTTCATCTAACATTTCTAATTTTTCCGTGGGTTGCAATAATTATTATTATTACTAAAGCATTAATAATAAAATCTATTATTATAAAGAAGAAAAATATGGGGGAATACACTTCTTCTAAACAAAATAAAAGCAGCAGTACATTAAATTTTTTTGGCGCATTTTGAAAAACCGGTTTTTCAAACAAGAAAAAATTAAAAATAAGGAATTTTAGTTTTTTACTACGAATCATACACTGCATAAAATATCTTCCTTAATAAGGAAAAGAATCATAGCTCGCGCACTATCTGCCTGTCAAAAACATATACCTACGCCTATTTTAAACATTTTTTTTGTATTATTATTAATTTTGTATTTTTTCACTTTATTTCGGTGCTACAGAAAATGTTAGCCTTAATGGGTAAGCATTTTTTTGAATTCCATTTCTTCTACGTGTATGTTTCTGTCGATCTAATTGTTTATTTCACAGAAAAATGCGAAAAACAAATTTTAAATTAACCAAAAAATAAATGATACCTACGCCATCTGTGCTGTTTAAGAACAAATTTGCGCAACCTGAGCATCCTTGTTAAAATAAATTTGTTAGTATTTATTTTTGAAGAATACGAGTAGACAAAAAAACTTTAATTTTTAATAACTTTTAAGAAAAACTGCGTAGAAACCCAATCTTATTTCATTTCTTGGTTGACTGAACGATCGGCTTTTTAGATCCACAACAGAGTTACACTTCTGCGAGTTTGTCCCCTTTATTCATTTCAGTCATTTATCCACAAACGCGTATTTGCAAATATGCACACTTTTTTCTTATAACCAATAAAAAAATAAATTTAAATGAAAATTGTTGTTCGCTAAATGTTATTGCATAACGCACATTCTGCGCATCTTATTGGAAGTATAACATGAGCAACTCCCTGCGCATTTTGCGTTTTATTCATTTGTCCATCTCTTGGACTTGTTTAATTTGTTTTATTTATTGACTGTTTTGTTTCTTAAAACAAATTCTTTTGTTTTCTACAGGTTCCCTTCTCTCTTTTTTGCATTTAATCCGCTACGTTATTTTCTTGGCTTTTCTAACTAAAAATCAGTTATTTTATATTTTGTTTTTAATTGTTATGCCCTTTGCATCATTTTGCATCCTTTGCCCCTCTTTGTGCTTGAAAGAGCACAATTTTTTTTATCGCGTCTTTTTCTTCTGAGCCTTCTTCTTAACTATTTTAGACCCAATTGCCATACGCAAATGTCTGACGCTCGCGCACCCCAGAATATCTTCACACACACACTCTCTCTACCTCTCTCTGGACCTTTCATGTTCAAAAAATGAGAGAGAGGACCTAGCATTTGTATGAAATTACAATTACATTTTTTCTTTTCCTATCCCGCCATTCTTGCTTTCTTTCTTTTTTTTCCGTGTCTTCCTCAATTCTTCCTCAGGACCTTCTTCTATTCTTCTGGTAGATACAGAATTAAATAATCTTAATTTTTATACGTGGAAAACCGTTTTGGAACATAACCTTTCCAAATATTTTTTGAATTTATTTTATTTCTTTTCTTTTCGGCCTCTCTGTGATTTGGTGCACATAAAATTTTGTTTTCTGCTTCGGATGTATCAGTACGGGGGGCAAGAGTAGGAGCCATACAAATAAATACACGCAAAGCCCAATAATTTGGTTCATATTAGAGTTTTTCCATACACATATCCCAATTTTTCTTTCTCTCTTTCTGTTTCTTTGTATATTATTATGTAATGAAATTTGAGGTTTTACTCCGATTGTTTCTTACCTACTGCTTTACTAAGCCATTCATCCTATCTTCCAGTTCTGTCTCTTTTTCTTTAACATAACTTTAACAGAGTTTGTTGTCAATAAATCCTGTACGTAGACGACAAGAGAAAAACAAAATAAAATGTACGAAAAGGAGTAGATGTACAACGATTGAAAATCCAGATTATATAATATTGAAATTTCCGTAAAACTGGATTTATTTATATTATATAATATAAATAAGAATTTATCAAGGACTTTCATTTATTTTCTATTACTATATATATGTAATAATTAATAATAATATCCAGATCTACATTTTGTTTCCTTCTTCCTTACACTCTATAATTACACACGGACTGATAAATTTTATCTAATCATTTAAATCAATCATATTGAAATTTTATAAAAACGAAAATTTATTAACACCATTATAACCGTTAACCTCTCTTTATTTTATTTTTGAATCTTTGTGTTTTTTTTTCTTTAATTTGCATCATTATCATCATATTCATCTTTTGTAATACTATTTTAACACTAATTTTTATTCAGATTCATTAATATCTAATTGCATTTTGTATTCATTTCTAAAAGATAAATACAAACCAAGATAAAGAAAAAACGAAAAACATAACAAAAAGAATGAACACTAATAACAGTTCATTGCATAATCCAAATTCTACTGGTGTCCCAGAAATGGGAGCAGCTATGCCATATCAATATATGACACCAGAACAATGGCAATTTCAACAGCAACAACAGCAACAACAAATGGTTCAACAGCAACAGCTAGCTCAGCAACAACAACAGCAACAGATGGCTCAACAACAACAACAGCAGCAACAGCAACAGCAACTAGCACAACAGCAACAAATTGCTCAACAGCAGCAACAGATGAATCAACCTTATTATTATTACTATTATCCACAGGCTCAGGCACCTGCTGCTGGACCTGGTCAAATAGCGAAATATCCATATATGGCACCTGTACCCAATGGTCCTACTCCACAACAACCACAACAACCTCCACTATATATGTATGCTCAAGATCCACATGAATTACAAGCACAAATGGGTTACTCAATGAATCCTATGATTGCTAGTCAAAAGACTTTCCCTATGCAGGCTCCTGTAGGTTATGCTCCAAATGGGATGGTACCTATGATGGAGGCTTATCCATATCCTTATCATGCTAAACAATATGCCAAACCTAGAATGATCACTACTATGTGGGAAGATGAAAAGACTCTTTGTTACCAAGTAGAAGCTAATGGAGTATCTGTTGTTCGTAGAGCGGACAATGATATGATTAATGGTACAAAATTATTAAATGTTACTAAGATGACTCGTGGTAGAAGAGATGGTATATTAAGAGGTGAAAAAGTAAGAAATGTTGTTAAGATTGGTTCGATGCACTTAAAAGGTGTTTGGATACCTTTTGAAAGAGCTTACTTAATTGCTCAAAAGGAAAAAATTGTGGATTTATTATATCCACTATTTGTTAAAGATATAAAAGCTTTCTTGAAACAAAGTTCTATGGCAGATGGTTCTCAAATAGAGATCAGTTCACAACAAGTCTCTCAAGATGTAACACCTGCATTAGCAAATAGCTATACTGCTTCACCTGTAGCTGAAGTGTCGGTACAACCAATCCAATCTCCAACACAGTTAGCACAATTACCTTTGCAACCACCTTTGACACAAGCGCAATATACTCCACAATTACCTGTAGCAACGTCTATTGATACACCTCCACCTCCACCTTCACATCCATTACCAGCATCGGTAGTACCAGCATCTGGTATGACGACTACCAATGTTTCACCAAGTGATGTCAAGGATAACTCTACAGAACCTTCCACAAAGGAGGCATCAATTAACCATTCTCCCTCTTCAAGTTCACATATAAAACAGATCAGTATAACAAGTCTCGTTGGAGGTAGAAATAAGGAGACAACAACGGAAGGAAATCTATCAGAAGAAAAGGAATCAATTGCACAATCAAATACTACACCTGTAAGTACTCTTCGAGATAAGAGTCCTTCAATTGCATCAATGGTTACTTCAGATAGTGTACCTGCCAAGTCAATTAGTCCTGTTAGTGGACCAAAGGAAAATATTATTGAAAAAATAGAAAAAACGAAATTACCATCATTGGTAGAAAGTGTAGTTTCCAATGAACCTACTCCTTCCACAACTGATAAGGTCACTGAAGAGAGTAAATCAAGTACTATACCCCGTAAAGAACATGGAAGTTCACCTGTAGCAAGTATTTTAAATTGAATTTAATCATTGCAAGTACATAAATAAACGAACCTCTTTTTTACTTTCTTTACCTGTTTACAGATATGTATATATATATATATATATATATAAAATAAAGACCCCGTTATGCATTATTAATCTTCGCCTTCTTCTGCATATATAATATTAGCTTTATATAGCTTTCGTTACAGTTATTATGATGATCAGTGCCATCTTAATCTTATTATCGCACTGTCTGTGTGACGCGTCAGATTTGTTTTTCTTTTGTAACAAACAATTTATTTATTTATTTATCGTCGCGAACAGTATTTTAGCATTTACAAACACAATTGTATATATAAACAATTTTAACATAAAGCTATGAATTTTTGATTGAGATTGACAACTAGTTGAAGGGAATAATATTTGTCTGTCTGTGTGTGTGTGTGTGTGTACTTTTATCTTTTATTTACCCCAATCCCTGATCCTTCTTACGCATTTGCATTCTTCAACGATGAATATTTCACCTACTCCCAGAAGATATGCATCACGAACTGGTAATATTAGACCCAATGCATTTAATGTTGAAGATAAATATTATTTCAGTGATCCCTTGAGAAAAAATAATGGTTACGGTAAGAGTAATATATATGGTAATAATGTTAATGTAAAGACAGATTCAAATGACGCATTACTTCCTCCAGAATATAAACTATCTGCACAAACGTTTAATGAACTAATAGAATTGAATAAACGATTAACCAATATGTTGGAAGGAAAACAAAGAGAAATCAATGAATTGAAAGCAGAGAATAATGAATTTAGATCAAAACTATGGAAATACACAGAGATGGCCGATAGATATAAAAATGAAATAGATAGAAGAGATTCAGAAGAAAGACAAAGAACAAGATCTCAAAATATGAGTCAACCTACAGATTATATTCAAATAAATAAAAAAAGAGAAAAGAATACAAGTACACCATATAGACCTATGAATCGGTATTCTAACGGTAAGGTCAATGGTGGTAATAAAGAAGATGATGACGAAGATGATGATGATGATGACGATGATGCAGAAAGTAGGTTTCAAACAGCAAAAACATCAAAGGAAGATATTCAACAATCGCAAAAACTTGAAACGTTAATTAAAAACGTGGAACATATAAGTAGAATCCTAAGTGATTCATTTGAAGAAGGCCAAACACCTAAGACAAGACAATCATCTACTGTACATCCAACAGATACCGATATCTTAATGACAGAATCCTCTGAATTACAAGTTTTGGAGGATCAGATACGTGTATTACAAAATAAATTGAATATAAAACAGCAGAATGAAAAGAGAAAGATATCATTACAACAGCGACTTGGAGAACTTCAAAATATGTTAGATTCCTCGAGCAATGAAAATAGTAGTAAGAAGCCAACTAGTAATATGAAGAAACATATTGAACATACAGTCTATGAGAGTGATTCGGATGATTTTGAAACAATTCCTGTCAAGACAAAGACAAGAATAAAAAGAGTAGATAGATCAAATATCTTTGGAACACCTACTAGTGAGATATAAAGGGGTAATTAAACCAAAGATAAGAAAACGAAAAAGATCCACTCTCATAATGAAAATCTTCAAAACGTGTTTTTCTTACATCTATCACAGTGATCAATCTTCACAACCTTCTGTCTACATGTTTTAACTTATTTCAAAAGGAGAAATGAAATGAGCGTAACCTCATAGAAGTAGTCCATCTATTTAAGACATTTTACAAAAAACTTGTTTGTATTATATTACGTAAAACAGATACATATAAGTATGTATTAGAAACGGAGACGTTGTGCTCGATATTTTTACATTATTACGTTAAATGAACACATTTTAGAAATATCAATTCAATAATCATATATCACTAGATGGTTTCTGTCCTAAACGTTTTATCATTACCATTTTCTGTTATATCTCTTAATGTATTTTGAGTTTTTACCTACGACTTATTAAACGTAAAAAGCCAAAAAAAATGTATTAAAAAAAAATGTATCAAACAAGAGAAAGAGCGGACCTTAAATATGAATAGCTTTCTAGAGGTAGACATAAAAGGAGTATTCCTATGCAAACATAGATCTAGTTGATAGTTTATATTGTGTTACTGTGGAAGAAGAAAGAGTCGCCATTACTGTTTCACTACACTGTTCATTTGCCTCTAATATATAATGGATTATTTTAAGAAAGCTCTTTGGGGGCCTGATGAGAAAGAACAACATAGAAAGATAAAGGCAATTTTAAGAAAGAATGGTAGAAGTGTAGATAGGTCATTAAATGAACTGAGTCAGTTACAAGCCAAATCGAAGCAATTAATTAAGAAAGCAGCCAAAAAAAACGATATAAAGACTGTAAAATTATATGCTAAAGAATTATATGGTATTAATAAACAATACTCTAGGTTATATACGTCGAAGGCTCAATTGGAATCTGTTGGGATGAAGATAGAAGAAGCATATAAGATGAAGACATTGACCACACAAATGGCAGAGAATACAGATTTAATGAGAGAAGTTAATTCATTAGTACGATTACCTCAAATACGAAACACTATGGTTGAATTAGAGAAAGAATTAATGAAATCGGGAATCATTACAGAGATGATCGACGACACGATGGAATCCTTGGATGAAGATGAAGAATTGGACGAAGAAGTTAATGAAGAAATAAATAAGATTGTAGAACAATACACAACTCAGAAATTCGCAGCTATTGATGAACTTCCAACTGCTGCACCAATATTGCCAGAGCCCGTCGCTAAGGAAACCGAACAGGAGGTCTCCGAAGAGAATATCGATGAAGAAGCAGACAGGATGTTAAGTGATATGAAGGAGAGACTAAGAGCATTACAAAGTTGATATTTAAAAGGTAATATGTACCTATGTATAGTGTAGTTTTAGAAGTGTTACCCTACCTGTTCAATTAATTTCGAATTTTTTTTTCCTTTTAAAACTTGTTCAGGGTAACCTTGCGGCAGGGACCGCTTCACAGAGAAACCCCCGCAGAACAAACGGAAAACTAAAAATTTAAAATTTTAAAATTAAAAAAATGGCGCGCACTGACCGTTTTTGGGTGGAAATTCAAAGTGGGAAAACTTGAATTTTTCTAATAGAGAGATAGAGAGAGGTATTCACATCTTATAATCAATTAAGCACAATGGGACAAGAGTTTTTGAAATGTTTGATTGTTGTGTGTTGTTGTTTTTTGAAAAAGATATGTAATGAGAAAAGGATTGAATTGGTCGATTCGTTTATAGATATATATCTGTCTAAGAAATTATTTAATCCTATTAACAAGCTATTTAATACTCAACTAGTGAAATAAAATTAAAAATAAAAGAGTTGTAACTGTATCTATTGTTTGATTTCCACAAATATTCCTATAGCTTTCTGATCTGTTATTTTTTCTTTTTTTAATACTCTGGTTAACATTTGCTTTATTTTGCTTTTTAGTTCTTTAGTTTGTGATTTTTCTGTTTAAGCTAACTGCAATCTTAATATAACAATAAGTGATCAAATTTTTAAAGTGAAAAAAAAGGGGAAATATTAAAAATAAAACAGTTCATTGATAATAATAATTTGTTTTCCTTGCCAAAGATGTTTTATAACCATGTTAGCTTTAAAGTCGTAACTTTATTATTATTAAGTTTCACAAACCTTGTATTAGGTAATAGAGAGACAATTAATGAAAATAACTATGAAATATGTGCTGGTATGTATTCCAAAGAAGATTGGGGTGGTAAAGTTGATCCATTTATTTCATTTAATCTAAAAGAAATTAATGAAGGTGGTGATGTTATTGTTGCTATTTATGATTTTCAAGATTTTGAACATTTAGGTGTTGATCTAAGTGATGGTGAACATTATTATTTATGTAATGATTATGCTATTCGTTTAGGTTTATGCACTGAAGATCATGAAGGTGAATTTATTATTACTGATACAGTTTATGATCCATTCAGTGGTAGTAATAGAACATTAGTTAACCCAATTATGACATTTTCACAAAATGAATTAGGTCTTCATGATACTAAATATCCAATTAGTAGTACAGGTTACTATTGTGTAAGTGCATTTCAAAGTGATTCGAATGTTAAATTTAAAGCTGTAATTAATTTTAGAAATGCTTATGGTCATTTGTCAGGTGCAGAAGTTAATAATTTACCATTATATGGTTTATTAGCAATTTGTTATGTCGTTGCAATGGCATTATATTCTTTTGCATTTTGGAAACATAAACATGAATTATTACCATTACAAAAATATTTATTAGCATTTTATATGTTTTTAACTATTGAAACTATCTTTGTTTGGGCTTATTATGATTTAAAGAATGAAAAGGGTAATACAGCAGGTATTAAAATTTATTCCGTATTTTTATCAATTTTATCAGCTGGTAAAGTCACATTTTCATTTTTCTTACTTTTAATTATTGCGTTAGGTTATGGTGTTGTTTATCCAAAATTGAATAAAACATTAATGAGACGTTGTCAATTTTATACAGCATTCAGTTTTTGTTTATGTTGTGCATTTTTAATTCAAAGTTATTTTCAAGACCCTGAAAATCCTTCTGCTTTAGTATTTATTTCTTTTGCACCAACTGCTTTATCAATGTTTGTCTTTTATTTTATGATTATTAGATCAATGTCAAATACTGTAAATTATTTAAAAGAACAAAGGCAAGTGGTAAAATTAAATATGTACAAAAGATTATTGGTTGTAATCTATGTGTCATTAGCAATAATGATGGCAGGATTTGTAATTTCATCAATTATTTTTGCCAGTATGAATACTTTAGATATGATTGAAAAATACTGGAGATCAAGATTCTTTTTCACAAATTTTTGGCCAACTTTAGTATATTTTACAGTATTTGTAATAGTATCATTCATTTGGAGACCTACAGATACATCATATATGTTAGCAGTATCTCAACAATTACCAACAGATCCTGAAAACGTTGCAGATTTTGATTTAAGTGATTTACAATCGTTAGGGGATAACCTTGATGATGAATTTGATGCAGATCATGATAGAGATAATTTAAGTATCATTACAGATGATGATAACGATATTGCATCTACACAAGGACATCATTCAAATGATAACACTGTAGAAAGTTCAAACAATGATCAACTGCCGCAATTGAGCCAATCAAATAAAGATACGAATCGTTTAGAATTAACGATGTCTGAAGAAAATTTAGAAGATGATGAACAAGATGATAATCCAGCAAATAAAAGAACTATATTATGAGTGAGCTAATAGCGTTTAGCGTTATATTTGTCTTCTCATATACATATATATATATAGATAGATATAGATAGATTTGTATCTCCCCTTTTGAGTAAGTATATAGTTTATTTTAACTCTCTTTTGTATTCGATTAAGCATCATAATTTTATGTATTTTTTTTTTGTCATGTTCCAAGATATAAGACCCAATCAACCTATCACCGAGGCAAAACCAGGGAAAAAGGAAAGCAATAAAGCATCACGGTATCGGTAATTAGTTTTAAAAACATGAATCACAATAGAACAATAGTTCTGAGTCAAGCGTACCTCCTATATACATATATATATATATATATGTCTACAAGACCCAGTTATCAATTGGATCATAATTTATTTAATCAATTCACTCTGCGCTCTGCTGCTCGCCTTCTTCTACGGGGCGGGGGGAGGACAGAAGCAGGCAGAACCTGCGGCAAAATAGCAGAATTTTGCCAGAAAAACGCGGGGGACAGACAACAAAAGCAGTAACAATTAATCATATCACATTATGACATCTTGGCTTTCTGGAGCTTGTTTGGCGATGATGATTATCGATATGAGCTGCCCCACATGTCCTGCCTGAACTCGGCTTTGATCTCGATCCAACCAGCTTTAATTGTGTTTGTGGTGCTGTGTGGATTTCAACCACAAGAGAACTCAGCATGGACACGCCGTCTCCTCCGCGGTTTGTTTCTTGGAAGAATCGGGAATTATCGACGTGGATTCTACCGTGAGTGGGATGGATATCCGGTAAAGTTACACTCCATTGTAATTTGGTAAGTTCTAGTTCTTTGGTAATGGCTCTTGTATGTTGTTCTTGTTCTTGTTCTTGTTCTTGCTGCTGCTGCTGCTGCTTCCCTCGATCAATGAGTATTCCAAGAAGAAAAAAATTATGTTCCTGCCAGTTGCAGACAACTTCGTGCAGGAAAGCAGAAAACACTCAGAGAGGAAGAAAAAAAAGTGAGTAACGCACTGCCAAAGTTTGGTGAGTTTCGCCGGTTTTGTCAGCCAAACAATCCCACGAGAGAAAGAAAAAATTAAACAAACAAGAAAAAAAAATATTCAGGTGATTTCGTAAAGGTTTTCTAACTAAAGGGAAAGTACCTAATTTAACAACGGTTTGTTGTTTGCATCTGTGTTCTTTTGCGGGAGTTTCAAGTAGTGTTTGGATTACTCCATCCTCTGAAAATAGTACCTGTATTTACATACACATTCACAAAATATATATATAAATATATATATATATATATATATATAACGTTATTACTGGAACTATCGATACATTTAGACCGTTTTGATAGCCGATATCGTGTATTTTTATTGATCTTCAACGAACATTCCCATTTAAGAATCTTTTTTTGTTTGGAGGGCAAAGTGAAAAAGAGATGGCTACTATGTCCAAAGTGTCTATTGATGGCATACGAACGAAGAGTAATAACTCTCAAGATAAATCTACAAACAAGAAGAGAACAAAAGCTTCGAGAGCTTGTGATCAATGTAGGAAAAAAAAGATAAAATGTGATTACAATGATGAAAAGGCAATTTGTACACATTGTTCAAGAAATAATGAGGCTTGCACATTTGAACGTGTACCATTGAAAAGAGGTCCATCAAAAGGATATCATAAGAGTACTACTAAGAAAAATAAAATCAATAATACAAATATTATGAATACTGTGGATCCATTAAATCCTGGAATTATTCAGGGAGGCAATACGGCTACCACGATTGGTAATGATCAGAATTCAATGGTGACACCGACTACGTTAATACCGTCTGGTAATATTGGTGTTCCATCCGTATTTGCACAAACAAATGATAATACTCCTTCAAATGAACAACTTGTATTGATGGATAACAACAACAACAATAATAATAAAGTGATACCTAGAACGCCGTCCCGGTCTAACTCTGCATCCATTTTATTACCTCCATTATCTCAATATATGCCGCCTAGTATTGGAAGTAGAACAGGAAGCGTGAGTGCTGGGGCGAATAATGATTTGGGTTATGGTCCTACAACTACTAATAATAACAATAATACCACTAGTATTGCTGTTGCAGGAGTCACTACAACTAGTAATAATAATAATGGAGGTAGTAATACTAATAATTTCGGTGTATTGAATATTAATAACTCTTCTACGTTACCTAATTTTAATTTGGGACAACAACAATTTTGGAAAGTGCCATATCATGAATTTTCTCATAAAAGAAAAGGTTCGATAGATTCTTTGTCCAGTGATATTTCAGTAAGAAATGTGAATCAGCAGGATCAATTTTATATGAATACAGGTAATAATGCTAATACGTCTCAAAATATGAAAAAAACTAGCTCTTCAGGTTATAATAATAGTATAGGAAGTGGTAGTACATCAGGTAGTAATTATTGGTCATTTTTTAAAAGTACCGCAAATATTAATAATCCTCCAAATAATATTGTCACTCCAACGAATAATAATACTAATAATATAATCGCCACCAATAATAATAATAATAATAATAACAATAGTAATGATGATACTCAAAGTGAACGATCTAGAGGATCAAGTCTTATTCCATCAATCATTAGACAAACTTCGAACTCGGTAATAATGGGAGGGCAACCTCAGTTACCTCCGCCATCATCATCACCTGCATTACAACCTCAAAACTCATATTCATATTTTCAGTTTCAACAACATCAATTACAATCACTAAATGGTAACAATAATAATAGTAATAGTAATAATAATAATGGTAATAATCCAAACAGCATAAACCCAAATAATTATAACCCATCGTTAACTATGTTTAGTCAATATGCAACTACGGGGTTTCAATCAAGAAATAACTCAATTACTAGTGATGCAATGTCGCCATCAAGTTCATCGATTTATCCACCAGTGGTAAAACAAAACCTTGCCCCAACAGCAATAGAATCTACTAAGATTTCCTTACCACCACAAAATTTAACTAACCATAACAGAAACAATGAAAATTTGGATTACAACAAAGTGAGCTCACAAAGAGAACCTTCCCCATCTATAAAAATTAGGAATAACAGCAACAACAATAGATTGCATAGAAATTCAAGTGTTGCATCTATTGAATCTCTTCTTTCAGGTAACGATATGGATTCTAATAGTGACATCAAGAATAGAAATCGTAATAATTCAGCAAATAATACTTCAGCAGCGTCAGATTCTAATGTTCAAAAGAATGAGTTATCTAAGAAGAGTCATGACATGATAGGGAAGCCACAGGAACATATTCAAAATACGGCTGGCAATGTTATACTCTATGGCCAAATATCCGATATTGAATTAATTAATTTATATTATGAATTCATACATGTTGGTTTCCCCATTATTCCTTTGAATAAAAGAACCTTAACGAATGATATTTTGTTAGTCAATACACAACCAATATCCTCAATCCATGAGTTGAACAATTATGTTATCCTGTGGTTTAGAAATTCATTAGAACTTTTGGTAAGGGTCGCCTTGAAAAAAGAAAATAAAAATGATCATTTCTTTGATAATAAATTTAGTAATCCATTCGATAAATTTAAGAATCTATCCTCACATCAAAATAATAATGAGTCAGGAACAAAAAATGATATCAAACCAGACGGGACAACAGATGGAGAGAACGAATTACCAACGAAAGAATTATTTGAAGTTCAAAGTATATTTATCGCAGCTTTGAACGAATGTTTCCAAAAGATTGTTGATATTCATCCAAAATTTAGAGAAAATAAAGACATTATATCGCCAAAGATTAAAATCATATATTTATCTACATTATTAATCCTTAATTACATTTTGGGATACGTTGGATATGATAATTCTTTTGTTTTAGGTATGTCAGTGACTATTTTCAACGAGTTTAAACTATACAAATTACTTATTCTACCTGAAAATGATAGTTCTGGTTATTACAATATATTTAGAGGTTCTTTGAATGATATACCTACTGGAAGTATCGATTCAAGCATAGACGAAAATGAAAGACTTGAAAATATCCAATTTGAAAGAGACACATTGGTAATCTTCAAAAGATTATATATTTCTTTAATTATATTTGACTCTTTACAAAGTTGCACATTTGGAGGTCCGAAGTTATTAAACATCTCTGTGGACAAACATATGATTGATGCAATTTTTAACTCTCTGAACGAGAGTATTAACGCTGGTACCGATGATAAATGGTGCTTAGATGAAGATCCGATACGTTTAAAGATTATTGTCCAGAATTTGAAATTAGGAGTATTACTTTCACAACTATCGATGAATAGAGTCTCTTTAAATTCTTCCAATAACACAAAAAATGTTGACCTCACCAGGCTAGTATGGTTGCCGGAGCATATGGCACATAGTGTCGAAATGTGGAATAAGGAAAACGAATCAGATGCTCTTCCACATCATGTTGTAAACCATAAACATAGAGAATCAAGAGGAAGTTTATGTGGCAGTATGTCAGAAATAACAACAATGTCAGCGCTATTTTCAGCTGTTATCCAAACAAAACAATATCTGATTAATTACCTAATTTCCATAAACCATAAAAGCGATCCAAATTTTAAAATGACGATTGACATGACGGGCGTAATTGCAGATACGTTATGTAGTCTTTTAAAACAAATTTTGAAGTTATTAACTCTAATGATGAGAACGAACTCTGTTAATAGTATCGACCCCAACAACAGGCCCTCTTTGTCTCCAGCTACGACACACATGGCAGCTCGTACAGGAAGTGTTCCTGACGATAACACAGATGCTGCATTATCCTCAATTCCAACTGCCGCCTCGATGACAATGAATGCGGCCACTCCGAACGTTCCGCCATCTGGACGTTCTACGACTCCAATAACAAACGATTTCTATCAGAAGCTATTAGGTTTGGATGGTGACGGTAGTGATAGTTCGGGAGCGAATAAAGGTACCGTTTCACTTTTTGGTATTTCAATTTTCCATGAATTGTATAACTTAACCAATATCATAAAGCAACTGCCAACTGTTTTGATCCGTGTCGTTATGAAAATATCTTATACGGATAATTTGAAGGCACAAGCACAGGTGGTCAAATTATCGAATTCGCTAAATGAGGTTGTGCAAATTGTAAGCTTATTGAGCCTGATGAAACCGTTCAAAATGTTCGAAAGTGAAAGTCTGAAGGATAAGGCATTAACAATGGATGGGGAGTTCAATCCAGAACTCTCATTGAAATGGAAATACATAAGCAAGAGTGCTGACATATACTCAAATGTTGATGTTGCAAGTGATGAGTGGATTATAGCAAGATTTATAAACGTTGGATGGATGCTACTGGATGACGCAGAATTAGGCTGGTATCAGTAAATTGAGAAAGCCTTCAAAATATGAAATTTCTTAAGACATATCTTTGAGAGATATGGTATGTATTATATAGGAGAGTGATTCGATTAGTACTTTATAGATAACTATCGCATTCTCAATTAGATGAATTTATGAAGCATTTTATTTACCTTGTTTATATTAAATTTTGTGTGTATGTGTGTGAGGTCGCGGGACTTCGCACTTCGCAGCCATTTAGTAATATCAACTTTTAGAATAGAGAAAAGGGATATCACATATTTTGACGATTGGAAGTTCCACTGAGTAAATATAACTTAAAATAGAGAGTTAATCCGAACCATATTGTTTTTACTTTATAAGGTTTCAACACTTCAAAGACCTCTTTCCATAATTAAGGATACTTGTTTGAAAAGAAGGTCCTCAACTTTATATGCATCGCAGTTTCAGTTTCAATTTAATAAAGTTTAATCGGAAAAGCAAAGATGGAAATTGATGGTAATACATTAATATTCATCATTCTGATATTATTCTTATTTTTCTCATCACCTGGAGGTAATGGTGTCACATCACAGTATGAATTTAACCAAATTCACCTTTTTACACAACAATTAGAAACAGAATATTCAGCATTCCAAAATTTAACATATAACTCAAACTTTAAAAACATTACAGGATTAAAGCTAAGTTATAATGATGTAATGGAAAACCCATTAATTAACGCCACTTACCCAATAGATTCAAAGAATTACGAACAGTGGTACAATAATGAAAATTATTTGATTATGCCTGATGAAATAATACAAACAATTGGTGACAGTGTCTGGAACCTTACAAACGACGAACAAAAAAATATTTTCCCACCTATAATCACTAGTACATTATTGGGTTCTATAAATTTGGATTCAAATAATAAATATAGTAAAATAAGAATGCCCTTGGCGAATTTCTATGAACCAGCGAGAGATTTTTCAGATAACGTCCCCCCTATGGGAGAAACCTATATTGATGATTGGGAAGATTATGGTGAAATCCATAACGTTACGTTTACAAAAGGAGAGATGAAAGTCCAGTTTACACATGTGGATAAAGTTCATACAAGTCTACAGTCAAAGAAAAAGAAATATTTCAATACTCAAGATGAAAATTGGAAATTGTTGAATGTTAAAGTTGATTTCACTGATAAGAATGAAAATGAAAAGCACTCGATAAATACCTTAGGGATCTACGATATAAGGACCGGTAGAATCTTAGCCATGTCAGAAAGTGCCAAATTCCATTCTTTGTTTGCTCTTCCACACTATATGAGTGTAGGAAACAGTAGAACAGAACAAAAAGAGGTATTCGAACAATCCAAAAAATTAATCGCTGAATATTGGAATACATCCAATTATATTGACACTCTTACAATGGGTTATCTTAATACAATGTATGATGATGCAGTGGAGAAATGTGAATTTATGATGTTTTTCCAGCTTAAACCTTGGAACCAATATAATAAAGACCAATTAAAAATAATTGACGATGAACTCAAATGGCCATTAGGAAGACCAGCTAATTTGTCACATATCCCTGATATTACAGTTACATCTGCTTTAGTATATTCTCCTGACTGTGGGATTTCATTGAGTACAAAGAATATCCATGGTGAAAGATATGAACTTAAAATTAGGTCAATTAGAATGCACTTATTATGTGGTATATTCCTATTCGTAGCACAAATTTATCTGCTATTGCGTCAAATGCAACACACAAATACACCATCTAGCGTAAATAAAATATCCTTCTACACGTTTTGCATGATTAACTTGGTAGATGGTTGTTTAGCAACCCTTTATTTTATATCTGCTACATTGGTCCCTGAATTGTACCTACCATTGGTGATTAGTGCTTTTGCGTCTTTCATTTTAGCGTCAATCTTCGAAACAAGATATTTGATTTCTGTCTATGCATCTCAAGTTAATGAAAGAAATGTTGGGATAGTAACTTTATTAACAGGTCATACGGAAGATCCTGAAACTTCTAATCAGAGACCAGTTGTTATTCCCGATGAAGCATCCATCAGTAGTTCTCTATATGGAAGGTTTGCAATCACATTGATTACATTTACATTTTTGATTCTAAATTCCATGTCATGGCCAAGACATTTTAGAATAATGTTTGAATATTCTGCAATTTTCATTCTAAACTCATATTGGTGGCCACAGGTCTTTAGAAATGCAATCAAGGGTATTCCATCCAGAAGAGAAAGAGAAAGGATTGAAAATTTGGCTAATAGAAGACAAAATAAAATGCCTTTGTTATGGAAGTTTATTATTGGTACTACCTTTATTAGAACATTACCAATCGTATATTTTTTCACATATTCTTCCAATATTTTCAGGCATCACAAAGATACAAGGTTTGTAGTAATTCTTTCCTTATGGTTATTATTCCAAATAGCTGTTTTATATTCTCAAGATATTTTGGGAGCACGTTGGTTCCTATCGCAACATACTATTCCAGAGGGATATACATATTTCAAGCCAGTTTCCTTAGCATTATTGAAGGAGCATGATGATGTCAATGATACAATAGATACTGGAAATAAGGCTATATCTAATGAAAATCACCCAAGTAACATAACTACTACGGTTGATTGTGCTATATGTATGTCGGAGGTACCTGTATACGTGGAAGAGTTACCTGAGACACACGGAGTTGATATCCATGATTACATGGTCACACCTTGTAATCACATATTCCACACATTATGTCTTGAAAATTGGATGAGTTACAAATTACAATGTCCAGTATGTAGAGCACCACTTCCTCCATGTTAGATAAAGGGGATACATTTAACTTGCATACAAATTATATAAATTAAATATTTATATAGGTTCAAAAAAAAAGAAAGAAAGAACTACAACGAGATCTTTCATAGCCCAGAAAATACAAATTATGGATGGTGGTAGAGTTATTGGCTCCCTTATAAATGGAATAATGGCTCTCTATTATGCTTGACTCATAGAGATTTAATTCAAAATGTTAGAAGAGTTATGGAATTGTTTCTAGAGTTCATTTCAGGAATCCATCATTTTTCATCAAGGGAGCCCCACACGAAATGCATATTTTTAAGATTTGCAAGTGGGTCCTCCCCAAGAAACATCCGTAGAAAGTGTCAAAATACCAAACTGAAAAAATTTCTTGCATGAAAAAAAAAAGTAACTATTATTGCTATATAAGCAAGTATAAGTTTAGATTAGTTAAAAACAGCCAGTATCTCTCGAGAACTCAAACTCGAACGAAGTCCCGCAAACTATCCCCACATATAAATATTACTAATGACTAACGATAAAATGTATGTATAAACTAAAGAAATCACTTAACCCAGACAATTTCCACTTATGTTATGTTCACAAGACTAACAAAAAGAAAACATCTTAATGACGTTCTGGATGGGGGGAGAGGACGTTCTTGCGATTTTTTCCAAATTTCGAAATTACAGAATCAAAGCATGTCTGTTTGATATGGATGGTCTCTTAGTCAATACGGAGGACATCTACACTATCACCTGTAACGAGATCCTAGAGAAGTACAACAAGGGACCCTTAACATGGGATGTAAAATTACAGTTACAAGGGTTACCAGGGTTTGAAGCTGGAACCAAATTGATCGAACATTATGAATTACCTTTAACATTTGAAGAATTTAATAATATGAATGTAATCTCTCAAGATTTGAAATGGCCTACTTGTGAATTCTTACCTGGTGCGTTAGAACTATTGAATTATCTTCATGAGAAGAATATTCCAATTGCATTGTGTACATCTTCTAACAAGACTAAATTTCATGCAAAGACTAGTCATTTGACTGAAGGGTTTAAGTTATTTGATGCCGTTACTACAGGAGATGATCCAAGATTGGCTAACGGTAGAGGGAAACCATGTCCTGATATTTGGCAAATCGGTTTAAAGAAATTGAATGATAAATATGATACGAATATTACACCGGATGAATGTATCGTCTTTGAAGATGGTAAGCCTGGTGTTGTATCAGGTAAGGCCTTTGGTGGTAATGTTGTTTGGGTTCCTCATCATGATGCATATGATCATTTAGGTGATGTTGATGCATTCTTAGAAGGTAAAGGTGAATTATTGCATTCTTTGGAAGACCTTGATAAAGCAAAGTATGGTTTGTGAAATGTGATTTTTTTTTTAATAATAATAAATTAATTAATTAATCAAAATATATTTGATATATATATATAAACATATAAATTACAGATAATATAAAAACGTAAAATTGAAAAGAAAAAGAAAAAACAAACACCGTTCTTTTAAAAAGGGAAGCAATAAACTCATGAATATTATTAAAATATTCATTATTATTATTTTCTTAACAATAATAAAAGGAGAAAAATATATTTCATTATTAAAAGGATATATCTCTTTAAGAAAAAAGTAGGAATTTTGTAAGTTTTTTTTTTAAAAATTCATTCAATAGAGGGGAAAAAAAGTATTTTTTTAATGATTTAATATTACAATGATTTTGAACAACAACACCAATATTGTTGAAATAATCCCATATTAGTTTAGAAAAGGGTACATTGTTTCATTTCCATTAAACAAAACAACCGCAATAGTAGGAAACAAAAAAGGTTATCCTACGGAGACAGGAAAAAAAAAAGAAGAAGTACAGTAGGATAAATGAATAATAATAATATGAAGAATTAGTTTATTTTAACAAAAAAACTAAATCATTCTGGCTTGATGATACCATTTCCAACGTTATTAACTTCTGTGTTAACAGGGTTAATAGTTTGTGGAGCACCTGTAGCGTTTAAATCACCTGGATGACCAGTAGCAGATGGGTTAACCAAGTTTAAATTTAATTCATTGTTATTATTATTTTGTTTCTTATTTTTCTTGTTCTTACGTGGTTTAGTTTCTTCAGTCTTTAATAATTCTTCAGCAGGATAGAATTTTTCCCATTCCTTTAATTTTTGTTTGTAAGCATCAGTGTATTTAGTCTTTTCAACAGGATCTAAATTTCTCCATCTTTCACCAATTAATTTTGTTATTTCAATTAAATTCTTATCAGGATTTTCTTTAACAATAATAGGTCTAATTTCTTGAGTAAATTGAATAAATGGACCACTTGGTCTCTTTGGTGGTAAAGTCTTTTCATATTCATCTCTTAATACTCTGTACTTCTCCCAATTAACTCTAAATTCATCGTAGAAAGGTTTTTTCTCTTCACTTGTTAATTCTTTCCATCTTGCAGATGCAAGTTTTGATAATTCTGGAACTTTAGCATCTGGGAATTGTTGCAATAATTCATTTCTAATTGACATAGAGAATAAGAAATAAGCAGAAGAAGGTCTCTTTGGACCTTGTTTTTTCAATTGTTTTCTCTTTTCAATTCTACTTTGAGTTGTTGATAATTTTTTTGGTCCATTAGCATTTTTACCACCTTTTGTAGTATGGCCTGAACCATTAGTACCAGAATTAGCATTACTATTACGAGAATTGTTGTTGGTGTTACGTGGACCCTTTGGACCTTTCTTTGCATGACCACGACCTTGTGGACGTTGTTGAGCTTGTAATTGTTGTTGTTGCTGTTGTTGTTGAGCTTGTAATTGAGCTTGAGCTTGCATTTGAGCTTGAGCTTGAGCTTGCAATTGAGCTTGTTGAATAGCTTGTTGTTGTTGGTATTGAACAGAAGTTTGTTGAGGCATTTGTTGATGCATCTGTTGATTACCTGATTGAGATTGAATTTGATGAGAAGGTTGTAACATTGATTGATTTGATGAATCAATCATTGATGGATAACCGGATAAATTATTTTGATAATATCTTTGAATTGATGGATTCATAAAACCTGGGTTATTAGCGGCAGCGGCAGCAGCGGCAGTAGCAGGATTTAAAGAATTATTCATATTCAATTGTTGTTGATTAACAGATTGAGATTGTTGAGGTTGTTGTTTTTGAGATAATTGAGTTAAGAAAGAATTATACATTAATTCAGAAAATTGTTGCTGGTTAAAATTTGGATTGTTTGTGTTTGAACCAGCACCAGTTGTACCAGATCCTGCTGCATTATTAGTGCCTGTAGCACCACTACCACTATTGGCATTATTGTTAGCGTTACCACTACCGCTGGCATTAGTACTATTGTTATTACCACTAGTGTTATTACCACTTGCACCGGGATTTGAATTTGATCCAGTTGATCCATAGCCAAAATCATGTGGTAAAGATTGACCATATTGATTGTTTTGGCCTTGTTGTTGAGAAGGATGAGATTGGTAATATAAAGGTTGACCAGGTTGTTGTTGTTGATTACCAGCTTGTTGTTGACCTTGATATTGTTGATATTGTTGTTGTTGATATTGATTACCAGCAGCTCTTTGGTTCCCACCAGGTTGTTGATTACCAGCTTGTTGTTGACCAAATTGATTAACATCATTTGAATCTAATTGTTGATAAGATAAACCATGATCTTGACCTAATGATAATAGTGAATTACTACCATTTTGATGGCTAGCATCATCGTTCTTTGAAGTAATACCAGACAAAGGCATATTAAAAAGAATATTCCGTTGTTGATGTTTAGTTTATCCTTTTAATGATTAATAACGAAGAAAAAATAATATAATACTAAAATATATTAAGTTCCTTTAATAACAGTCAATAAAATAAAATAAAAAGTGTTGTACGAGAATAAAATAAACAAGGAAGTACTAATAAAAAAAATACTGTTTGTTTATATTAATTTTTGGCGATCTCTTTGTTTGTTTATTTTGCAAAAAAAAAGCAGCGAAAAATAAAAAAGAGACACTGAAGGGGGTGTTTGTTTTGTTTATTTTAATTTTTCGCGTTGTTAAGTGAAAAAACTGTTTTTATCACTTCTAACGACGCCGATTCAAATATGAAAGGAAGAAAGTTTCTCTCTCACAATTTTTGGGTGGCAAAATTTTAAAATAAAATAAAAAAAATTTTTTACTCAATAAATCTGATAGTAATAAAAATCAGTAAATAAGTAATAAAGAAATAGTTAGTAAAACCTTTAAGCAAAAAAAATAATAATATTAGTATTAGTAGATATTACTATTATGTGTATGTTTTAATCACAGTAAGCTTCTCTTAGTTTTTTGTTCTAAAATGAATACAAGTTAATAGGTAACAGATCCTTGTATATATTTTCTTCTTCTTCTTCTTCTTCTTCTTCTTCTTTGTTAGAGAATAACAATAGCAGGTTAATCAGAGATAATTAAAAATGTGAAGTAAGGTTAAAGGATTAAAAAGGGACTTAAAAAGTTAAGTAGGTTGTGTAAAGAGTACGTCCTTTTTTAAATTTCTCAGTTGTTAATTAAAAGAACGAAGAAAGAATGAAAAGAAGTTTTTGTTATCAAAGTTCAGAGAAATTTAAAAGTATTTTTTTTTGCTTTTCATTCTTTTCTCAATAAAAATTGTGTTGGACGGGGAGGGGGCCGAACTGCCATTCACTGGGGCTTTGAAAGAGAAAACTGTATTTTTGCGGAAGGAAAGCGGTGAGAAGAAACAGCGAATTTCTTGTTTCGTGCGGTGAGTGAGTATTATTCTCCTTCCATTGGACAGACAGAGAGGGAACTGCTGCTGGTTGGTGGGAATTAAAAATGGGCAGAGGGCAAGTTTAGTAGTAGTAATAACGTTAGAGTGGAACAAAATAAAATATATATATACATCATACGTAGACCATTTATTCTCCCAGAAAGAAAAGAGAGAGAGAGAGAGAGAGAGGGAACTGTTAGTTTGCGTTAATGTAAGAGAGAGAATTTGAACAGGTTTTTTTTTCTTGGAATATTTGAATGCCTGCACAAAGTGGAAAAGTGCATGCTATTATCTCAAAGTTTTGGAATAGAATAGCTGCTCTCTCTCTCTCTCTCTCGCTTTTACTTTAATTATATACAATTTCTATTCTCTTTGCAGTAATTAATACTAATGTAAAAGATTACAAACTACGTACTACTTTTCTTACCTGTGGAGCTATACAAGTTTTCGTACAACTACTAAATTTTTTTTTTCTCTTGTTTATTATTATATTACTATGTATTATTTTTTATATATGATATAAATTGTTAAGGCGTTACATTGTTATAATTGATAGGTATGTATGCTTTGATCGAATTTAACTTTAGTTAATGGTCTATAGACAGGTTGCCACATTTGTTTTTGAACCCATTCCATACACCCATCAAAATCACGTGGAACTTGAACTAATTGACCAGGATGTTCAGAATCTTCTTCTTCTTCAATTCTGGCAACACCTTCCTCAATAGCTTGTAAAATTACCGCTGTAGCAATTCTTGCACTTGTATTGTTAATAACTTCTAACCCAGGTAATAGACCAGGAGTGGAATCACCTTCTTTTAGTTCACTTAATCCTGCTAATTCGTCAACAGCAGCACTAATCATTCTATCACTAATTGTACTTGCATGAGCTAATACTGCACCAAGACCGATCCCAGGGAATGAGTAACAATTGTTATTTTGAGAAATTCTATAACCATTTACTGGTGGGAATGGAGACCCTGTGGCAACAAGTGCTTCATTGTTGGTCCATGCCATTAAATCTTCTGGTACAGCTTCATGAAGTCTTGTTGGGTTAGATAATGGGAAGATGATTGGTCTCTTATTATATTTATGCATTTCTTGGACGACTTGTTTATTAAATGCACCTGCAACAGTTGAACAACCTACAAGACAAGTTGGTTTTACATTTGATACAACTTCGAATAATGATTTTTTATTTATTGAGTTCCAATCAGAATCAGGTTTAGCAAAAACATGTTGTTGTTCGGTCGATGTTTCCTTTAGGGATTCAACAATTAAACCTCTAATATCCATTAAATAGATTTGACCGCGAGCTTCTTCAATTGTCATACCGTGTGTTACCATATGATTAACAATTTGATCAGCAATACCTAACCCAGCTGAACCTGCACCATAAACTAAAACTTTACATTCTTGTAAAGATCTATGAGTATGTTTCAATGCAGCTAATAAAGAAGCCATTACGACGGCACCTGTACCTTGAATATCATCATTGAAACATGGGACTTCAGTACGATATTCTTCAAGAATTCTTCTTGCATTTGCAACACCGAAATCTTCAAAATGTAGAATTGCATTTGGATAAATTTTTTTAACGGAATCCATAAAATTTTTAATAAAATGATCATATTGTTTACCTCTAACTCTTGAAAATCTATTACCTAAATATAATTCATCTCTTGCTAATTTTTTATTATTTGTACCAACATCAAGACAAACTGGTAATACACGACCAGGATGGATACCACCACAAATTGTCATTAAGGCTAATTTTGAAATTGAAATACGAACACCACCAACACCTTGATCACCAATTCCCAGAATCCCTTCAGAATCAGATACAACAATATAATCAATATCTTTTGAACCACCAAATGCCAATAAACGTTCTTCAACAGATTCAGGTTCTGTGATATCTAAAAATACACCTTCAGTTTTTTTAAATCTATCACTATAAGAAGCAATAGCATCACCTTCGGTTGGAGTATAAATAATTGGTACTAATTCTAAAATATATTTTTTAATGATTGCAAAATATAATGTTTTATTTGTAACACGTAAATTAGTCATAAAATCATTTTTAGTAATTGAAGTTCTTAAGAAACATAATTGTTTATAAGTTCTTTCTAATTGTTCATCAAGAGAATTGATTTGTGGTGGCAATAAACCATCTAATTTAAATTGTTCACGTTCTTCTTGAGTGAATGCGGTACCTTTATTAAATAAAGGTGAATTTAAAATTTGAAACCCAGATAAAGGACATTCAATTCCTCCATTAACAGATAATTGAGTACTTTGAGCAACCTTACCATCATTTAACAGAGCAGTAAAACTACTATTAAATTGAGACATTTTGTTTTGTTTTGTTTTATCCTACTTTATTCCAGAGTAACCTGATTCAATGATTTAACGACAGAAATAAGTAATAAAAGAATAGTTTAAAAAATAACGAAACAGAAAAATTCTTTTAAAAGTTAAAAGAAAGAAAATAATACTTTTGTTTAACAGTTAATATATATAATATAGCAAAAGAAAAGAAAAATAAAAAATGAAGCAGCCTTTTTTAATCGGTTAGAAAATATCCTATGAGTATTTGTTACTCTAACAATTTTTAATTTTTTTTCACTTTTGAAAGTTGTATGATATGCGATGGTGATGAAGAATCACGGTGTGTATGTGTCTATATCACTGTGATATTGAAATTTTCCTTTAGGATGTGTGAGTGCGTGACTGTGAAAAATAAAATAAATAATCACCAATTCGAAAATATCGAGAAAGAGTAATAAAAGTTATAACAGATCAATTAATTAATTAATTAATTAATAGTATTTCAAGATGATATAGTTTATATGATTATTAAGATTACTCAATCTATATATATATATATAATTATAATTATAATTATAATTATAAGTTGAAATAATTTTTCAGTGACATGATTCTTATTATTCCTATAATTCCCGGTTCAATGGCAAGATTTGCTATATAGCAGTAGTGCTATCCATATATAATTTATTATCAACATTTTAAATCTTGATCATCTCAAACTTTATCAGTTGTTGCTGTTTGTCTTATTATTCATTTACAATGAGATTATCAATAGTACATTATTGTATTAAGAGAGAACCCTCACTCTCTCTATCTCTCTCTCTCTCACCCGACATCCTCCGATTCATAAAGAGAGATGATGATATACGTACTGTTAATTAGTCATTTTGAAGGTAAAATTGCGCAACCAATCAATTAATTAATTTTTAATTTTCAGGCGCGCTGCAAATAACAATTTGGGCAATTTTTTGTCTGTTTGGTGACTCTGTTTTGCGCTGTGTGAGCGGAGCAGTGGGTTTCGGTTTGGCGGGAAGTTTGGGTTTTCGTTCCCGGGTGAATGGGGGAAGCGAGAGAGAGAGAGAGAAAGCAGGATTTTAAGGAATTCGCGGTCACGTGCAGTGTGTCGCTATGCACGGTAGCCCTACTTTGTCTGTTGGCAGTTTTGGCTCGGAACCCTAAACTTATGTAATTTTTCAAATTCCTTACAATAAGTAATAATAATATTCTATTTAATTAATTAATTTTCCCACTTCAGTAGAATAAAGGAAGAACAGTAAGAAACAAACCAACTATTTAATACAACAAGTATTCTTTGTATACATTGTCCATTAGAATAGTCATTATCTGGATATTGCTCCTCTGTGTTAACCAGTATACAATACACCTTAAGGTAAAATGGATAGACCTATCGATGAAACTGTGAAATCTTTATTAAAATTTGTTGTGAGAGGATTTTATGGTGGTTCATATGTTTTAGTCATTGATGCTATCCTATTTCATTCTGTCTTAGCTGAAGAAGATTTAAAACAGTTGTTAAGTATTAATAAAACTGAATTAGGTCCATTAATTGCAAGATTAAGATCAGATCGATTAATTTCAATTCATAAACAACGTGAATATCCACCAAATAATAAAAGTGTTGAAAGAATCTATTTTTATATTAAATATCCACACGCAATCGATGCAATCAAATGGAAAGTTCATCAATTAGTTCAACGATTTAAAGATGATTTAGATAAAAACTCTGCACCAAATGGTTATATGTGTCCAATTTGTTTAACAAAATATTCACAATTAGAAGCTGTTCAATTATTGAATTATGATAGAACAGAATTCTTATGTTCTTTATGTGATGAACCTTTAATTGAAGATGATTCTGGTAAAAAAAATAAAGAAAAACAAGATAAATTAAATAATTTAATGGATCAAATTCAACCTTTAATTGATTATTTGAAGAAAATCGACGATTCAAGAATTGAAGAAAATACTTTTGAATTTGCTTTGGCAAAATTAATTCCACCACAAAATCAATCTCATGCTGCTTATACCTATAATCCAAAGAAAGGTAGTACAATGTTTAGACCAGGCGATGCTCCTTTGGCAAATGTTATGGGTACTGCTTTGGGTAATGATAGTTCGAGACGTGCAGGTGCTAACTCTCAAGCTACTCTACATATTAATATTACAACAGCTAATGATGAAATTGCTCAAAGACAATTACAAGAAAGACAAGCTGAAGAGAAAAGAAAACAAAATGCTGTTCCAGAATGGCATAAACAAAGTACTATTGGGAAAAGTGCATTAGGTAGATTGGATGCAGAAGATGAATTTGATCCACAAACTACTCAAAATGCAGCTTTGTCAATGAACGAAAATACTAATAATAATGAAACAAATAATGGATTGCAAAGGATGGATGGTGGATATAATGGATATAATAATAGTAACCGTCGTGGTCTAACAGAATCAGAGATGGAAGAAAGAGAAAATGAAAGAACTTTGAATGATTATTATGCCCAATTAGCTAAGAAGCAAGCACGTGAAGAAAAGAATAAAGAAGAAGAAGAAGAAGAAGATTTTGAGGATGTGGATGAATTTGAAATGGGTGATGACGATGATGATAATGATGATCAGAATAAGAATGAAGATCAGAATAATAACGATGATGATGAAGAGGAAGATAATGGTGAATTTGAAGATGTAGTTCAAGATGTTCCCCAACCGTCGAAAGCTGAAGAGACTAATAAAGAAAGTGATGACGAAGATATGGACATTGATCTTGAGTTTGAAGATGTATGATGTGGAAAATGTTTCTTTTATTGGTCATGTACATGCATTAAACAAAAGTAAATAATTAGGTATTGTTTTTATAAAAATGTTTTAAAATAAAATTTGAACCTTTTTTTTTGTTTCATTTAATAGTTTGTAAATTATAAATTTTAAATTTTTTATATTTTTTTTTTTTTCAAGATCAAGAACCGATGAGCTGCTCTTCCTTCAAAGATGAAAAATTTCAATAGAGTGAAAAGACTGGAATTTAATTATTTTTTGGTAATTTAAACAATACTTCTATTCTACTTGGTAGTAACTAGTTTTACGAAAGAACCAAATACGTAGTTTCTATTGGGAGAACAATCAAAGATGGCTAAGGACGCAACAGGAACTTGGAAAGTCGTAGTTGCTACAGCAGCATTGGCTGTTGCAACTACAAAACTTGCAGAAATTGGATGGAAGAAGTATCAATTACAAAATGGTAAGAAGATTAGCGGCAAGAAAATAATTACAGGTAAAGCTGCTTATGATGATAGTTTATTCCGCGAACAACTTGCTAGAAACTATGCTTTCCTTGGTGAAGAAGGAATGGAAAAAGTTAAAAATCAATACGTTGTCGTCGTAGGTGCAGGTGGTGTCGGTTCTTGGGTTGTTACCATGCTATTACGTTCAGGGGTTCGTAAGATTAGAATCATCGATTTTGATCAAGTCTCATTAAGTTCTCTTAACAGACATAGTTGTGCTACTTTGAAAGATGTCGGTACACCAAAAGTAACATGTTTGAAGAATCATATGTTAGATGTCGCACCATGGTGTGAAATTGATGCTATTAATGAATTATGGGAATTGAAGGATGCCGAAAGATTATTATTTGGTAACGGTAGACCTGATATGGTTGTTGATTGTATCGATAATATTGATACAAAAGTGGACCTGTTGGCTTTCTTACATGAGAATAAAATCGATATGGTCTCTTCAATGGGTGCATCTGCTAAAAGTGACCCTACTCGTATTAATGTGGGTGACTTGAGTGTTACAGAAGAGGATCCCTTGGCTAGAGCCGTAAGAAGAAGATTAAAACAAAAAGGTATTGTCACTGGTGTACCAGTTGTATTCAGTGCAGAAAAACCAGATCCTCGTAAAGCTAAACTATTACCATTACCAGATAATGAATATGAAAAGGGTCAGGTTGGTGAATTGAGTGCTTTAAGAGATTTCCGTGTTAGAATTTTACCTGTATTAGGAACCATGCCTGCAATTTTTGGTTTAACCATTGTTACTTACATTTTGACTAAAGTTTCAGGTTATCCAATGAATCCAATTGAAGGAAAGAATAGAATTAAGGTATATGATGGTATCTTACAATCCTTGGCAGGTCAAATGTCACGTATTGGTGAGAAAGACCAACGTGTTCCAATTGCTTTATCCGATATAGGTTATATTGTCGTAGAGGTCTTTAGAGGGAAATCCCCTGTGAGTGGTTACTCTACAAGACTTGCATTAACCAAGTGGGATCCAAAGAAGCCAGTAAGTTTACAAAATGTAGTGCTTGTCACTCAAGAAGAACAGAAAGAACATGAGAAGCGTGTGTTGAGTGGCGGTGAAAGAATGGAGGATGTTTATTCTCCTGAAGTACTGGCTCTAATCAATAAGAGATTCGGTGAAGAAGAATATTACTCTCAATTTAGATAACTACGTTTTATATAGGAATTATAAAAAAATATGGTATTTTATAAAGCTTCTTAACTGGCTCTACTCCACTCTTCTAGTCTTTTTTTGCCTTTTTGACACATATTGGAGATCGATTAGCCATTTGTCAAAACGTTGTTTACGCATTAGAATAAATAACATAAACACAAAGTTTGTCCCTCTGGATACTTTATTATATATTATAACCTTGCACAATGTCCCAAACTAGTATATGGGCATAAATGAAGTTACAACTTACTCATCCTTCTTCTTTTCTTCTCATTGCACTTCATAATATAACAGCATTCAGAATTTCCCGACGGAATTTTTCTTCAAACAGCGAAATGCCATCGCGAAAAGAGGTGAAAAATTTCAATGGGATTTATTTCTGCTCGAAGTTTAGTCATCTCTCACAGGTTTCGCTACTGGAGCATAAACGGGACCTAACTGAACCAGGTTTCAATGACTGGTTCACGAGGTATCTCTTGAGCCATATATAAGCTGAACAATGTAAAAGGCAATACAAGTTTTTAATTCTTGGTCTTTTTTTTATATTTTGATAATACGTAAGGTTACTAGATCATTCTTGCCAATAAATACTAATTAATTAAAAGAGTCTTTAATAACAGAAGAAGTAAGATGTCAACTAAAACCGAGATCAAAAAAGTTGATCCAAGAAAATCATTCATAGCAGGCTCTTTAGCTGGTGCCATTGAAGCATGTATAACGTATCCATTCGAGTTTGCTAAGACTCGTTTACAGCTGATTGATAAGAATTCTAAGGCTTCCAGGAATCCGCTGACCTTAATATATAATACAGCCAGAACACAAGGTACTGGAGCCATATATGTCGGCTGCCCTGCTTTCATCGTTGGTAATACTGCCAAAGCTGGTATTAGATTTTTAGGGTTTGATGCTATCAAAAACTTATTAAGAGACCCTGTCACTGGTGAAGTCAGTGGTGTTAGAGGTGTCGTTGCAGGTCTAGGTGCTGGTCTTCTGGAGAGTGTGGTTGCTGTGACACCCTTTGAGGCTGTTAAGACAGCTTTGATTGATGATAGACAGTCAGCTAAACCTTTATATCAACGTAATGGTTATGGTGCAGTAAGGAATTACTCAAAATTGGTTGCTGACCTTGGTGTAAGAGGTTTATATGGTGCTGTTATTCCTGTTTCTATGAGACAAGCAGCTAATCAAGCAGTTAGATTAGGTTGTTATAACAAGATTAAGACATCTATTCAAGAGATTACTAATTCTCCAAAGGATAAACCATTGTCATCAGGTATGACTTTCATCGTGGGTGCATTCAGTGGTATTGTTACTGTTTATAGTACAATGCCAATCGATACTGTTAAGACTAGGATGCAAAGTTTGACAGCTTCCAAATATTCTTCTACTGTAAATTGTTTCACAACGATCTTTAAAGAAGAAGGATTAAAAGCATTTTGGAAGGGTGCCACACCAAGGCTGGGTAGATTAGTGTTGAGTGGTGGTATCGTTTTCACCATTTATGAAAACGTACTAGTTATGTTGGGCTAAATAAAAGGATAAAAAGATAGATATTCATATATATATTTCAATATATATAATTTTGGTATAAACATTTAATAGAATAAATTCATGCGGAAACGTGGTGGCTAATGGTTATATGTTATTATTCTATATGTGTATGTATGTGTGTATAAAGTAGTATCGTTATCTATTCCTTTGCATACTTATACGCATGCCCTATGTTTATATTATTATATATATATATATGTGTGTGTGTGTGTGTAAGAAAAATGTAGTGTGTGTGCAATATATATATAAAATGCTTTGCTCTGGTTCCTCTATCCCATTTTTTTAATATCTATCCTGTGAAACGTATCTACGTTCCATTCTTTTTACTTTGATATAGTCTACAAAACTTTTGATGGTGATAAATGCACCCAGTATCCCAACGAGCACAGCTAAAGTAGGTAAGCTCTGCTTCTCTTCTTCAAAGCCATGATTCAAACTAGATTCAAAGTGATCCTGTGTTACAGAATCGGAATCAATCTCCAGATTATCGTATGAGTTAGGATCATTTAATTGGTATCTATCAATTGTCTTGTATTTACCTATTTTAGAGGTAACATTATTCGGAATCATAGAGTAAGCATATCCTATAAAAGTTAGACCTAATCCAAACCTGGAACCTTGTTTAGCGGCGTGTGACGTATGCAAAATATAAGTTATTAAAAATCCAACGAATTGGAAACTTGAACTGACAATAATATTCCAAAATAGATTTGCCGCGTTACCCACTGGTAAACCCTCGATACAAATTTCGTCCACATACATGTCAGAGTTACTCAAATCCATACCATAATATGATGGAACATTATCGGCTGCAGCTTCGTCATAAGATGGTAACGCATCATTTTGAGCATTTCTCTCGTCTTCATTATTGTCAGGCTTGGCCGTTAGATTACTGAAGACACCATCAAAGCTAGATGCTATACCGGCAAGTGTTGATTCACCTTCAGGTCGTCTTCTGAATACTCTATCTAATATATTAAAATGTCTACCAATATTATCAATTTGTCTTGCCGCCCTTGCTCTAAATTGTTGTGGTAACAAGCCATCATCGACACCAGATGTCGAACCTTCTGCATCTTCTAGTCTATTCATCTCTAGATCTCTGACCGTACCATCATTATCGTCTAATCCTATATCATCGATGGTATTGTTTGATTCAGGAACGGGTATCGATGTTCCTGATTCCTCGGTAGAGGTAAGTAATGTCTCTTGCTGTGGATTCACAGTAGCGTCATTATCATGGATTTCTTCAGGCATACTGGTCGTTTGTTTCCTTTCGGTGTTCGGCTCTAGTAATGTTGATATAACAAAGTGTTTTGTTTACTTTGGGGATTTGCGTAATAATTTGTGATGGTTAACCCTGGAATTATATTAATAACACCAAAAAAGTACTAGAATGAAAAAAGGAACAAAGTGTATAGGAGTTTCAATGTATTGCGCCACCTACACTATCCGTATGTTTTTCTTTAATTGACCGTTTATATAAAGAGGTCCTATATTCAAGATGTTATCTATGTATTAAGGACTTTACAGGTTCTTGAATTGCATATTTCCATTATTATTAAATAAGAAAGAAACATTTAGTTTCTGGCTGAGGCCTCTTCTCTCGTTCCGCCCTCTTTCTCTTCATTTTTTTGGCTCTGTGTCAAAATACAATAGAAATAAGGTGTCGTTTATAGTGACCGGCGCTTAAGTCGAACATTTGGCACATAAAACCAAAGTAATGGACATTATTGGATTTTATTACAACTATACAACACTGCATATAGTTATATGTCTGTGTGTATCAATATTTATTTTATTTATATATGTAGAACATCTCCAGTGGAGATATTAAGCGGTTAAATTAGGGTCCTGGGGTAAGTTAGCTGTCTGATCAGGCAAACGTTGTGGAATGGAGTTGATATTATTTGTTGAGACAGTTGGTGCTTCGAATTTCTTTTGTTCTAATGATGTTACTCTTTTCATTTGTTGTGAACTGTTATCCACTTTTATTGAAGAATCACGTTCTGGGTTTGTTTCTGTCTCGTTTCCTTGACTATCTTTCTTCTTCAGTTTTATACAAAGAAGTAGTGATTTACCAGGTATATTATCAATAACATAACATGGAGGTGGTGGTGGTTTAGGACCTGCTGGCCTTGGTTTATATTCTATCGTTGTATCTAAATCATAAGAATTGACAGAAGGTCCAAAATCTACACCACCAGGTAGTAAAGTCGTTGGAATAGGTGTACGGAATGTTCTTGGAAGATCTGAAAGATCAGGTAATGGGATATCTGTAGCTCCTGCGGCACTGCTACTAATACCAGAAGCACTGCCCGGAACATTAGTTTTACTGGCACCAAGTAAACCTGTAGAGCCAGCCAAACTTTCACCTACAAGGTTTGTATTGCTGTTCGCGGTGATTAAACCATACCCACGTCTATTGAAACGCCCTTGTCTTCTCTTACGTCTTGTATCTCTATCTTTATCCTTATCTAATCTTTCTAATTCAGCAGCAGATATTTGAAGTAAGTTAGGTGTGTAGACTTTAGTTTCACTTTGTGGTCTGAAAATGTCATCTAAAGTTATCACAGAAACTAATCTGCTTCTAATGTCATCATCCTCTACAGGTTGGCCATCGAAGGTATAACCTAAAAGTGCTAATGATTTGTGATACATGTGTACTTGTTCTCTTATAGAGTGTGAGATGGCAGTCTGAAATTCTCCAGGTAATTGTAATTCTTGACACATATTTTCTGCGAATTCTTCAGCATCATTTTCCGTATTGGAGATATCCCATTCGAATTGATCAATTAATTGATTTTGTCCCACTACTATGTCGAGTTTAATCTTGATTCTAAGATCATCACCACCGACACGATATTGATTCAATTCAATATATGGGTTTGGTTGAAATTTTAAAATTTGATCTTTAATTGAACGCGATATAGTATGTGTTAATGATTTTAGATATGATTCGTCAAATCTATAATCCATTAGCATGTCTTTCACGAACTCGTTAATATTGACAAGCTTATCATTCTTATTCCATAAAAGAGTATCTCTTAAGAAGAACTTGTCCCTCTCTTGATCAAACTCTAGTCTAATTGGAACAAGCTGGTCCCTTGTGTTGTAATCGTTATCGGACATAGCATCTTTGTAGACAATTTCATCATCAAATAACACGTTCTTACGCATCCCTGTGGGGATGTATTCAGGGATAATATTAGTAACTTCGTTCGTGTTACCGTTACCATAACCTGCATAACCAGTACCCCATATACTAGCAGCAGGAATATTCTTTGAAGTTAAGGTTATACTTTGCATTCTTGTATTCTTTAAATCTTGATAATATTTCAATACATGGAACTGTTTGGCAATATACTCCTTATTACTAAAACCGTATATGCTAAATGGTTCATACCCTTGACTTTCCTTTTTGTGATCTTCTTTAAATCTTTCATCACGTTTAATTATTTGTTCATATAGTAAAGTATCAGTAGATGGATTATCACTTTTTGAAGACCAATAATTAGTTGCTGGTAATTTTGTTTCTTTTGGATCATACTTAATAGTTTGGAACTTAGGCAATTCAAGTCTTGGAAGTTCTAATTCAGGTAATGGCATCTGCAGATTAATTTGAGGTGTTTCTCCAACAACAGCAGGTACTGGAGTTGGTATATTGACCTGGTTCTTAGGTGTTTTTGGTTTTGCCTTCCTTTTGGGTTTTTGAGTCTCTGTAGAGGTTACCTTCTTATTTGCAGCTCCAGACTGGATATTGGTACCCTTTCCGTGAGGTGTAACTGAATTTGCCTTTTTCTGAGAGGGTTTCCTTTTCGTTGTAGTTTGTTTTGTCGCTGGAGTATTCTTCTGAGGAGCCGGAGCATTCATGGAGGTATTATTAATGGATGGACCCATTGATGACATGTTTCCTTGCATCATAGAATCACCTTGTTCTAACTGTTGTTGATAACGTTGTTGGACTTGTTGAAGTGCCATAGTAATAGTAGTGACCGCAGCGGGATTTTCTTTCAACATTGCTTGTTGCTTTAAAGTATTTAAAACCTGTATTTGTGCTGGTAATGCCAACTGAGCTATTTGTGGTGGTAGATTTATCATACCTGGTTGTTGTGGATCTATAGGATTATTGTTATTAGTATTACCTTGTGGAGCTTGTTGCGCCTGTTGTGCTTGTGTATCCATTTGGTTTATTCCTGAATTGTTACTGTTACTTCCTAGATTAGCTGCACGCATATTATTATTGTTGGTGTTGCTATTGCGACTATTATTGGTAGAATTATCATTCATATTTGATTGTCCAACATTACCATTTTGTTGTTGCATTTGTTGTTGTTGTTGAATCCTATTTAACAGAAGTTGTTGATGTCTCTGTTGAATCATCCTAAGTTGTTGTTGCGTTAGAGATTGCAATATATGTTGTGGTATCTGTGAGAAGCTGAATGATGGGGTCCCAATATTACTAAATACATTACGGATATTATTTGGGTCGTTATTAGTATTAGAATTATTGGCGCTTGCATTTGGTGGCGCGTTATTATCATTAAAATTGTTGTTACTATTGTTATTTTGCATGTTACCATCAATCGGCACGTCACGTACAGTGTCCTGGTTGTTGTTATTGTTCATTGTTTAAAATAGTATAACTAAGGTTGGTTGTACTCGACTTATTATTAAAAGAGAACGTTGTATAAATTGCTTTAAAAAAAAAAATATGTGTATCTCACTTACAAGCTCGTTCCTCCTAATCAAGTGGAAGTTCAAAGAACAACTATGTACCTCTTTTGAATATGCTAGTAAAAGGAACAAATGAAAGAGTTCTTACCTCGTTGTTTTCCGTCTAGACTATAAGAGTTTCTGCACTTTTAATCTTCTCTTTCTACCAATACATTTGTTGTCAATTTGTTTACTTCTTCTTAATTTTTTTGTAAAGTTCGTCTTTCTTTCTTCGCCTTTGAAAACAAACAAAAAAAAAAGTTGAAATTTCGCAGTTTCTGGTGACAGGATGAATATTGGATTGGATATGTAGAGAAGGAATGTTACAAAGTAACTCGATTAATAATTGAACTTAAAGAGATTGGTTTGAGTTCTCGACGTGTTTTTAACATTGGTGGTTAACAGTTGAGAAACATACCTAATACACTAAAAGAAGAAAAACAAGGAAAAGTCAGGTGAAGTAGGAAAAAGGAACAATGTATATATCGTTCTATATTACTGATTCCAAGAATGGACTCATATTTCAATATTTACCCAGCGCTAGTGCTCCAACGTTCAGTAATCTATGGGTGAAAATTAAATCTGTGACATCTGATACAGATCTAGCTCTTCGAAATGAGATCAAGATAGGTAAATATTTGAAAGTGTCAAAATATCACTCCGATATAAACAATTTGAATTATTGGTGTTTAATATCAGATCAAAAAAACAAAGATGGTAATATGGGGACCAAAATATCAATTATAGATCCATTTGTATTTTTAGAGACCATTGATAACATTTTGATGGAATATTTCGATAAAGATACATTAACGGTTAAGAAACTCACTAACAATTATGATAGATTAACAATGATTTTCAATTATATAATAGATGATGGTGAACCACACATGGCAGGTAATTTGTATTCTAATAGAATTAAAGATGTTATTCCCTTGCAGAATGATCTAACTAAATTTATACATTCTACTGCCAAAAATTTAGGAAATGTAGTGAGTAACAGTGCTGTTACTAATGCTGCTAAAACTACTAGCGGAACTAGAGGTGTTCAAAATGGAAGAATGTTTAGTAATTCATCTACCCTTGGTAATGAAGAAATTGTGCCATGGAGAAGTACACATTTGGAACACCATACCAAAGAAGAGATTTACTTAGATTTTGAAGAAACTGTTCAATTAGTCTTTCAAAAAAGACATAGACGTGACAAACGAAATGGTAAAACAACAACAACATTGGATCGTGGGTATATAAATAATTCTTTAAAGACTTCTCGAATGCAATTGGTTCATGGTAATATACATGGTTCAATTAAAGGTAATAGTTTATTGAATGGTACACCTATTGTTGAACTCAATTTGAATAATAATGGTTGTGATTTAGGGATACCTCGATTTAATAATTGTGTTAATTGTGAAGATTATATTATTGATAATGAGGATAAGAATCTACTTAATACAAAAGTGAAATTTATTCCACCTGATGGGAAATTTAGTTTAATGGAATATAATATTGGATTAAATTCGGGACAACAAGATAATAGTAATCTAGGTTTAATAAGTATAATTTTTGAAAACAACTTAGGTCGAAATGAGGATGAATTTGAAATCACTGTAAACATTAGTGGCTCTTCAAAAGTTGATAAGATTAAGAATTTAACAATAGATTTACAATTCTTTGAGACACAAAGCCGTGAAAGGACACAAGGACCAAAAGATTCTCAAGTAAAGATTAAAATAATTCGTAATACACATGGAAGATTTTCTCATGATATTGATTCCGTTAGAGGAGATTGGATATTTGATGTTAATACACCTACAGGTACAATTGCAGTTCTTAGAGGTTGTGTAGAGAATAGTGGCAATAATCTACAGGCGGACAGAAATGACAATGAAGATATAGATCAAGAACAAGAACAAGAACAAGAACAAACGAATGATAAACATAAAATGACTTTACAAACAGTAAATGTTAAATATGAACATGAAGGCCAATCAGTATCTGGTCTAAAAGTGAATTCTATTGATGTTATTAAACGATCACATTCTTCATTACCATCTAACATTTTTAAGGGTGTTAAATATGTTAGTAAGATGGTAGATTATGAAATACGAGAATATTAAATTTTAATCAATGAAATATAAACTTTTGTACATATAAATTAATAGATCTTATAAGAATTGTCAATGATACAATTAATTCATTAATTATTAAAATATTTGTTTTCTGTAAATTTAATTTTATGAAAATATTACAAATTATTAATTTTCGTCTTTAAAATGGAAGATACTACTCAATACTCCATTGTAAATATACGTGTAAGATGATGTTACTAAACACACATATCTTTTCAATTAATAAGTGGTCTTAAGTTCTCTGTTGTTTGACAGAGATATAAGTCAATATATCTACAGTTCAGTCGCTTTTCAAGACAAGAAGTTAGAGTCTCTAAACTCCAATCACTGGAACAATCGATTTCTTCCCTCTATATACATATGAGAAGACATTAGTTGACAGAAAGAGATGTGACCCGTATCAATATTGTTCATTATCTTTGTCTTTAGTATCATTATATATCTATATTAGTTAATTAACTTGCTGTTTTGTTCTTGTTCCCTTAAAAGTATCAAATTTGCCCCCTCTCTTCTTTGGCGGTCGGTGTTAAGCACATGTTCGGGTCCGGGCGGCTAAATTTTAATTGTTTTTTTTAAAGGAAAACTGATAGAAAGTTGGAGTAACAAAGCTTTAAATCTAAGAGTAGAAGGTAATTTAATAAAAATTGGGGTAAAAGAAGTTTGGAAACTTTGAGATATATAAATAAGAGATGGAATAAGATATATTTTGAAGCTCAGTTACTTTGAAACTGTTTTATTTTATTTTTAATTGTAATACTTCAATATATAACTTTTTTTGCTCAAAGGGTATAGATATATAGATATAGATATATATATATACAATAACTTAAACAAAAATGTCTGAAACTCTTTCTTTTAAGGATAGAGTTGTCGTAATTACAGGTGCAGGTGGTGGATTAGGTAAAGCCTATGCTTTAGAATATGCTAAACGTGGTGCTAAAGTCGTTATTAATGATTTAGGTGGTACTTTAAAAGGGTCAGGTCATAATGCTAAAGCTGCAGATTTAGTAGTTAAAGATATTAATGATCTTGGAGGTATTGCTGTACCAAATTATGATTCTGTAACTGATAATGCTTCAAATATTATTAAAACAGCAATAGATAATTTTGGTAGAGTAGACATTTTAATTAATAATGCAGGGATCTTAAGAGATGTCTCTATTGCAAAAATGACACCTCAAGATTTTCAATCAGTTATTGATGTTCATTTAAATGGTGCTTATAAAATTACTAGAGCTGCTTGGCCATATATGCGTGAACAAAAATTTGGTAGAATTATTAATACTTGTTCGCCTGCTGGATTATTTGGAAATTTTGGTCAGGCAAATTATTCTGCAGCAAAATTAGGTCTTGTTGGGTTTGCTGAAACTTTAGCTAAAGAAGGTTTTAAATACAATATCTTTGTTAATTCCATTGCACCTTTAGCAAGATCAAGAATGACTGAAAATGTTTTACCAGCTCATATTTTAAAACAATTAGGTCCTGAAAAAATTGTTCCTTTAGTATTATATTTAACACATCAAGATACTACTGTAACTCATTCAATTTTTGAATTAGCAGCTGGATTTTATGGACAAATTAGATGGGAAAGATCATCAGGTCAAATTTTTAATCCAGAAGATCCAAATTTTTTTACACCTGAAGCAATCTTAAATAAATGGTCTGAAATTACTGATTTTAAAGATAAATCATTTAATAAGACACAACATCCTTTACAATTATCTGATTATAATGATTTAATTACAAAAGCAAGAAATTTACCAAAGGAAAATAATCAAGGTTCAATTAAGATTAATTCGTTAAAAGGTAAAGTAGTAATTATTACTGGTGCAGGTGGTGGACTTGGGAAATCTCATGCCTTATGGTTTGCTCAATATGGTGCTAAAGTTGTTATTAATGATATTAAGGATCCACAAATCATAGTAGATGAAATTAATTCTAAATTTGGTAATCAATCTGCAATTGCTGATACTCATAATATTATTACTGAATCACAACAAATTATTGAAAATGCAATGAAACAATTTGGTCGTATAGATATCTTGATTAATAATGCAGGTATCTTACGTGATAGATCATTTATTAAAATGACTGATTCTGAATGGGAATCTGTTTTACAAGTTCATTTATTGGCAACTTTTGCAATGACAAAAGCTGTTTGGCCAATTTTCACTCAACAGAAAACAGGGTTTATTATTAATACTACTTCAACATCAGGTATTTATGGTAATTTTGGTCAGGCCAATTACGCAGCTGCTAAAGCCGCCATATTAGGATTTTCTAAGACTTTAGCAGTAGAAGGTTTTAAAAAAGGTATTAAAGTGAATATTATTGCACCTCATGCAGAGACCGCAATGACAAAGACAATATTTGGTGAAAAAGAATTAAAGAATCATTTCGATGCATCACAAGTTTCTCCTCTAGTGGTATTATTAGCATCTGATGAATTACAATCTTCTGTAAAATCTAAAAACGGTGTTACTGGTCAATTATTTGAAGTTGGTGGTGGTTGGTGTGGCCAAACAAGATGGGAAAGAAGTTCTGGTTATGTTGCATTAAGTAATGAAGTTACTCCAGAAATGATTAAAGAAAATTGGTCTCAAGTTACTAATTTTTCAAATGGTAAATCTATCCATCCACAATCAACTAACGAATCATCTATGGCCATTTTACAAAGTGTTCAGAGAGCCATTGCCACACAAGGTACTAACAAATCTTCAACTGATAAAGGTTCTGTTTCTTTCAATGAACCTGGTGGATTTACATATACACACAAAGACTGTATTTTATACAATCTGGGGTTAGGTGCAAAGAGTAATGAATTACAATATGTTTATGAAAATGATTCAAAATTTCAAGTTTTACCAACTTATGCTGTAATTCCATATATGCAATCAACAATGTCCTTAGATATGGAATCTTTAGTTGACAATTTTAATTATGCTATGCTTTTACATGGAGAACAATATTTTAAATTGGGTTCAACCAAATTACCAACTAAAGGTCAATTAAAGACTGTAGCTAAACCATTACAAGTAGTCGAAAAGGGAGGGAAAGCAGCCGTTATAGTTGGAGGATTCGAAACCTATGATGTTAAGACTAAAAAATTGTTTGCTTACAATGAGGGAACTTTTTTCATTAGGGGTGCTAAAGTACCATCGTCAAAACAAGTTATGAATAAGAGAGCACCATTTGCCATTGAAAATTTTAAAGCACCAACCTCTACAACACCTGATTTCGAAATTGAAATTACTACAGATGAGGATCAAGCTGCATTATATAGACTTTCTGGTGATTATAATCCATTACATATTGATCCTATCGTTGCCCAATCTGTAAGATTCCCTAAACCAATCTTACATGGATTATGTACCATGGGTATTGCTGGTAAAGCACTTTATGATAAGTATGGCCCTTATGATGAGATGAAGGTTCGTTTCACAAATGTTATGTTTCCTGGCAACAAGTTGAAAGTAAGTGCTTGGAAGAATGGTAATATTGTTATATTCCGTGCAGTTGATTTGAATAGAGACGTTGTTGTCCTGGACAATTGTGCTTTGAAATTGATTGACAAAGCTAAATTATAAGCAAATAACCAAATTAACGATTTCTACAATTATTCCCCACAATCCTCTTCTTTTATTTTCTTTATATCTGTTTGTATATTCCTTTATTTTAAAATATTATCAATGTAACGAAGTCTCTTTTGTTTCCTTCAAGTAAAAAAATACTTTTAACAGTCAGTCCATAGTTGTTAGTATATAATAATTACTATTGAAAATGGAATATATATATATATATTAGTATGTTTCTATGTGTACATATATATTTGGATAAATAGATACTATTCGTATTTGTGAATGAATGAATATATAGTTGTTGTTTTTTTAGTTTTTTCTTTCTTTATCTTGTTCTTGTTTTCCTTAATTTGGTCTATCCTCTGCAGGAATTTCCTTTTGCCAGTTAGCTCCTAATATTGGAATCTTGCTAAACATAGTATTTTGAAATAATGGCCAACCTTCAACAAAGACCAATGCACCTACTAATGAAGCACCACCCCAAAGCATTAAATTTGGAGTATATGCCATTAAATTCTTTATATTGAGTCTACCCAAATGAGGTAGCACTTTAAAACGTAAGCCCGATGTGTACTGTATTGCAAATAGATATCTTACTTTTTCCACACTTCCAGTGAGGAGATGAAAAGAACACAAAATATTTGTTAGTAACAATTGAACATAGTTGAACTAAAAAGGGAATATGATACGTACTGCGACCATGATGATGTTATATTTGTTATTTTATAGTGAGAGAGAGTATATGTGTGTGAGTAATAACTCTTAAGTCTAAACCCTTGATAACCTAAAGAACTAGAGGTGAATTATACTAAAATACAAACCGATGTCTTCTAGTTATCTAACCTTCCATGTTTCACAACATGCAGTTGTGATATATATAGCAAACAATCCCTGATATTTTGCAAAATTTGGCATCGTTAACGTAGCAAGAAGGGGCCACACAAATTTGCGCGGGAGTGAAAGTATTGCGCCGTTCGGCAATGTGATTGGCTGTGGGCATCGCGGAGAGAAAACAACGCACAGAATCGGATTTTACGGAGAGATTCCAAAATTGCGCTGTGAAGAATATTTTCGATCAAAAGAAGAAATATAGCTGACTCAAAGAGAGCTGGTGACAGCAATGATGGGAATGGAATAAGGTAACTGGCTGTTCCTGCGAGTTGAGAAACAAGATTTCAGAATGAAGTGTTTTTATTTATACTTGCAGAGCATCGTTGTTGAACTATCATCATTTTGATAATAAGAATACGAGAAGTTCATTCAAGTTTTACATAGAGTTCTAGAAGCAAACAAAATTGTGGATCATCATTTTAATAACAATAAATTTTCTAATGAAACACAATAAAAAATACAAAAACTATTCGTTTCACTGAAAAATCTTAAAGAGAATCAAGAAGACAACAGAAAGAAGACTTTCCGTTCTTTCTATATAATAACAAGAGTTTTCTATGGTTTGGTAGCAGTTATAATTGTTACAGTTGTGGCAGCGGCAGGATGGCATCTAAGTTTCCCTGAAACAGAGAGAATGGGGCAAAAACTCGCAATAGCTGTAGCTGTTCCGGCCAGCCTCTTTATATTCTCGATATGTTTCCGCCTTTGGAGCGATGGACTGGTTTTACGACTAGGTAGGTAAATAAATAAACTTCATATATATAATAAAATATCTAAATATAAACACGCATATTTTAACTGCATCGATCTTCCTATTTTTCTCTGTCCTTTCTTGTCAAAAATTTATTGAATTATTTGTTGCATAGTTAACGAAACTTAAAGAGGTAGTTAAACGCTACTTTATCCCCCTAAATTTCCTGTATTCTTAACGTAATTCAACTTCAAATTGCTTTTCTTCCTACACCTTTCGGGTTGAATTCGCAACTACATTCATTAGGGGTTTTTGTGTAACGTGGTAGGTCATCTTCTCTAGCATCGTAATTGCCAAAGTAAGTCCTATACCTAAGAAGATAAACACAATATCTGTTTAAATTTATATCGGCCCAGGTCCAAGAACATTCTTGTACAGATCGATCCGTTGGGATAAGCTTGGTGTTTGAGCGACATCTACAATCTGAGACCATATATCTATTTCTGAAATATAAATGCTCGTTCCTACGATGCAAAAATTCTTCATCAGTGAGATCAATATTAGGTAAACGTTGTCGGTATAAAAGATTATCTCCAACTATGTTGAATACTAACGGTCTAAGAATAGCCTGATTAAAAGCACAGGGAGAGTAAAATTCTAGTTCATTACGAGCTCTTAGAAGGGATGTTATATTGGTATACATGTGTTTTATGTTATGTTGGGAACATTTAATGAAGAGTACTGGCAATATTCCATTGGTTTTGGAACAACATACACCTTTACTTTGTTACGCTTTCGTAATTTTACTGTTTTATACCAACCATCGTCCAAGTTCATAGGTTTAGCATCATAGTTAAGTGACGTAAATTTAAGGCTTTGTTCCAAATATTCTAAAAACTGTATAGATATTTCAGGACTGAATGGAGTGCCAAACTCTGATTTGAATACTTTCCCTTTTTTTTTTATTGGGGAAGTAAGAACAATAGTATTACTGTTGTCACTTCCAACTACAACTAAAGTACTACCAAAAAAAGGATTATAGAAAGGTTGTAATGGAATTGGTACTGGTACTCCCTCAGATCTAGATCCATCGGATTTCTCGTAATATATGACTTCTTTACCCTTTATTGGTGTCCCGTTTGTTTTGGACATACCATATTTTTCCATGAGGTCAATGACCACAGCATCAAACCGGCTTTGCTCGAGTGAACAAAATAACGGTTTGGATTTGAAACTAGTTCCATTTAGAATGATACTGTCATTTTTTTGGAATGTATCCATTTTCTATAGTTTGAATAATCGTGCGGAGTTGTTTGTTACTTATATAGAATAGCGTTTTACATGATTTAAATTGAAGAAATCAAATTTCAAAAAAACTATTGTTATGGTTATATTTATATAATGTTTGGTAAAAAAATTTAAAAATGTAAGTAAAAGAAGAAGAAAAATATGAAATAACTCAAGCACGTATTATTAGTTCTCCTTTTATCTTCAAGTAGGCGTTTTACCTACAATACAACAGGTATATATAGTGTTGCTGTGCTAAGCAACATCATATAATATTACTCAGGTATTGCTATTAACAAATTAGTTAGTTATAGAAACTGCTTACCTGTAGCTTCTCTGTAAGGGTAAAAAAAGGAGTATCGAGTCCTCAGTATAGAAATAATGTAAAATTTGACATGCCAAAAATTCGGACTTTTAAAGGCGCGATGACATCATTTCATAATTAAAAGGGTAAATCAATTTGCTCAAATGGCACATTTTGAAGGAGAGAGAGCAGATCATCATGTAGAGAATCTTTGGAGGTGGTTTCCCTCTGTTTTGGTTCATTCACTTATACCTTGTTGGTAAAATTTAATTATGATAATTGATGATTTATTTTATTATGTAATCGATGAATTATTTAAACTTCCTTTTTTCTTATTTTACTGCTGAATCTTAATTCTCTAGTGAGTTATAATACAAACATATAAAAGAGTGCAATGATAATAAAAGGCACACTAGAAGCGAGTAACTAAATAAAATAACATTAGCTTATTCAACTTAATCTGAGACGAAAGGATTCTTGAATGAACAAGAATTTAAATGAACGCCAAACATATATAAAGTGTATGGGGGTCTTTAAAGTTAAAAATATTCATGTCTTAAAGGCTATGTATATGACATTTCGGACTCAAAAGATAACCACGAAGAATAAGCTTAATAATACTAACTAGAAGCATTGGTTAATATAAAATCGACAAAGTAGAATGTACACTACATTATAATGATTCAAGTAATGCAATCTCTTATTACGATTGATTTGGCAATACACAGTTTAGGATCAAATAATGTAATACACAATCATTGAAAACTAGAAAGCGAACAAAGAGGCAATATCAAAAGAAGACAAAGAAAGAAGTAAGTTACATATATAACTTGCATATTATTTTGTAATTCTTATAAATATGTATACATACATCATGGTTGATTTATCTAGCATTACGGATTACAAAGTCGGAAGCCACAATTACGATAATTTTAATATAAATAAAGATTTTACAAATAAAGGCTAAGCAATGCAAGAACAAGCAAAAAATTAAAACCAGCACAATTTACATATTACCTGAGCTTAAAGAACGTAGCCTTATACACTCTATTAAAAGCTGTTTATTCTAACCGAATTTCCTTCACGTACATCTGTTTTTTGTTCCTTAAAAAACCATAACAGAGAAAAACATACAGTAAAAAAACCCATGAGAAGCGCCATTGTTCCAAAAATGAGTCTAGAGGAAAACTTCAGTCACGAATGCCTCCAGGTGACACAAATAATATAATAAATATAGAAAGAAAAAGGAATCTAGAAGACTGCTAAAAGTCTAACAAATAATTTCATATTAAATTTAAAATTATTTTATTTTATTTTACCTTGTAATTTAAGCAAGATTATTATTATTATTATTATTAATATTATTTTCATCATTATTGTATGAATACAAATACATTGTTGATACTGATCGTTTTAAAATTTGAAAATGCCAGCTGCTCTAGAAACTCAAGATTTACTATGCCCTTGTGAACTCCCAGGCTCTTCAAATCTCACCAAAGAAACCCCACTAATGATGTATGGATGTGTCGGAGCAATGCTGAAAAACATAACTCCAATAAGCTGGACAACAGGGTTTAAATCCCTCTTGACTATCCATAATGGTGCCGTAATCTTATTGGTGAAAGATAGAACAGATGAAAAGTATTTAGAAGCGTTGAAAACATACGAAGAGTGGAGCCAATGCGACCCAAGCGATTTGCTATTCGAAACGTATTCTATGACATGGTTTGAAAAATTTGATGAAATTCAAAGTTCAGAAGGAATAAAGTCCTTTACATGTACCATACAAGATAACATGCTTATACTTTGCGGGGAATTCCCTAAAATCACTGTTATGGTAGGGGATTTGTTCGAAAATTCTTTTATAGTTTCAAACCAAAATCTGAATCTTGTGATAGTGGGTGTTTTTGATTGGTTTACGAAAAATATAGAAGCCCTTGTTAAGCAAGTGGCAAATGATATTACAAAAGGAATGGAGGAAGCCAGGTATACCACTTACCTTTGTACTTCTTCTTTTAACATGTACATTTATTCCAGGAAACTATGCCTCTCTCAGTTATCAAGCATGGTTTTTCAACAGAAAAAGTTTATGTCGTTGGTGAAGAAGAACCTTGAAATATTTGGTTTAGAAAACTGTGCTCCTTCCATAATTGTTAATAACACTGTTGTAGAACGAAATTTTGAAAGATATATTACTAGTTTGTTTATAAACTTACTAGAAATGAAGGAAACACAGGAACGTAACCGAGCGAAGACTTTCAAGTCATTAAAAGAAATAGCATTTCTTTTCTGGTTATTAGTAATACTTATTTGTATAGTAGCGCATTTTGTTTTGCTGGACTAGAGCAAACGATACTAAACAATAACAGCTCATTATTGACTTAGTTGGGACGATCGCCCGGTTTTATTATATGTAGATATCGCTCTCTAGTATGCTGGATTTACTATGCATCTTATTGAATGTGGTAGTTTTGAAAAACTCTTGAAACATATCTATCCACCTTTTGAATAATTAATACACAAACCACCTCCTGAAATAACTATTCGCAAATATAAACACATATATATTATACGGTATACTACTTTTGACTTGATTAATTTAGGTTTTTTATAATCCACTGGATTAATATGTTTAAAATGATATATTCATATATAGGAAAAAAAGATATTTGTGGGAAATTGTCAGAACTAAGAGTAACTTATTGTAGCACTTGTCCAAAAATATCGAAGAGAAATAGTTGGAAATACTGAGTCAATGGAGAATGAAATTTCTACCTCTGGTTTGAGCTGAAGCAGACATATTGATGCTAGATTCGGATTGGTTTTGCCAATTAAATAAGTATTGTTGAGTACTGAAGATTATTTTGGTAATAGTAATTTGGAAAGCAAATGTACGAGTTACTTTTGTTCTAAATTTGGAAGAGGCTTTTTTATTTCTTATTTAATATACAGAGCGAATAAATTCTAACTCAAATTGTAAGTTCAAATTGACTCGTATTTATATAATTTTATTTCCGTCAATATTTACTAAAGGTCAGGACTCTGGGTCCGTTGCTTGCAGCAGAGCACCTCCCCCTCATATCAGAGAGAGACATGAGAAAGTGTAATACATAATTCTATATAATTTGGAAAATGGGTTCCTTTATATAAAGAAATTTTCACAGCAATATCGCATTGTAGGAAGATCACTGCGTGTCACACTGTTATATAATTCCCAACAATACTACTAAACAAAGTTTAGGAGTAGTATAGAAACTAGGCATCTCTAAATTGGAAGTGTTAGTGAGAGACATATTATACGTAAACAGTTATATAATATTTTGTGTGTGGTTTTTTTATTGTACATAGAAATATATAAATTAGTATTTGGGTACAAGTCCCATTTATATACTTACTGTCTGACAGTTAAAGATTACTCTCATTTTATAAAAATATCTTACATTTTGTCTCACAGTACGACCGAACACTGTTTCATAGTGTAAAGTGGTCTGTTTAATAATGTAACATGTTTCAAAATATAACAAAAAATCCATCAAAACTCCCAACTAGAATTGAAACGACACCTTTTAAAAATTTTAAATTTCAAATTTTATTTTATTCTCAAATAGAAATATTTTCCGAATTTTTCAAAATAATAGACTTCGTGGCCAAGCTGGTTAAGGCGTGCGACTGTTAATCGCAAGATCGTGAGTTCAATCCTCACCGAGGTCGGATTTCTTTTTTCATATTTTTGTTTTTATCAAAATTAATGGGTAACTCTGAGTTATACGTTAAATAATATTTCCAAATCCCAAATAGAAGATTATATTATCTCAGAAATAATATTTGTTTGTATTATGACTGAGTTGCTGAGTGATTTTTTGTTCAAGTTTTTTGAGTAATGGGACCACGAGATCTGAACTGTTTTAGTTCTGGACAGGTAAAAAAGAAGAAAAGCTCTACTTTTTTTGTGCTTCCTTAATTATCACTTATTTATTTTTTTTTTATAAAAATTACACTTTAAATATTTACATTTACATTTTTACTATTATCACCTTCTTTCGTGTCTCTCAATATTATGGAAATACATTAATCCAGAATTTCATAGTTTCTTTTGACATAACATTATTATTTTCAACTTCACCATTCTCAATATTAGTAGTTTCACAACTGAACTCCAAAAGATTTAGTCCTTCATTTAAACGAATATCAAAGTTTTCAGTGTGTGTTTCTGAATCTGTAAAATTTTCGTTTTTTTCGTCTTGCGTTGAGAGACTACCAGAATTAAAATTTTGTTGTATCGTAGGTTGATGTTTCTTATTCTCCACTCTAGGTTTTATAGTATCATTGTTTAATTGTAATGCTGATTTTAAATTTGAATTATTTACTTTAGCCACCACTGTTAAGAAAGTTTGAATTGGATCAACTGAAATAGTGAATATGTTTTCATTTTGATTTAAATTTTTACCAATAAAATTGAATTCTAACCAATTCTGTGAACATGAAGGTTTAGATCCTTGCATTGGGTTTATTCCTTGAGTATATAAACCTTTTGACGAAAAAATCGACACTTCTCTCACTAATTCATATGTTTTCTTATCCTTTTTAAATTGTTCAGAAACAGATTCATTCTTTAATGATTTTAAAATATTGAATTTTGGTGTCTCTACATGTTTATTAATCTTTTCATTTAAAATTGGAGTTTGATTTGAAACAGAAAATTTCGATCTCATTGATTCAACATGATCTGGACCAAGCAAATAATCCTCAGTTAATATATTACGTGTATAGCCATTTCCTAAACCTTCCACATGATTGAAATCATCAAAATCATCTTCAGATTCCTCATGAATTACATGTCTCTCATCAACTTTACGATCACCTAAAAATTTTTCGTATTCATTTTTTTCAATATCTAATGTCAATTCTCCACGATCTTTTAAATCTTTTAATTCATTAAACATATTTGAAGAAATGAAAGTAAAATATTCCAGAAGAGCCTTTGCTGATTGATAAATTAAAGCAGTTGAACTATTGAACACAAATGCATTATCAAATACTAGATTTACATCAGTAATAAAATCATAAATTTTCAAATATTGATCATTTTCTAAATTGGTTTTTATTATATTTAGTGCATTTGGTCTATGAATGACTTCATAATATTCGGGAAGTTCTTCTTTATCAACAAGCTCCATGAAGGGTTCACTTAATTGAAATTCATCATTTTCAGAATCTTGTAAATTTGCCTTTAAATCAGGAATTGTATCATATATTTTTTTAGCTGTCGCCTCAATTAGGGTCTCTAAAAGGGAAATGAGTCTGGTCTTAATAGTATCATTAATAATGTAATTTCTCTCAACATTCTTAGCCTTCAATGCTTCAAACTGAATATAATTAACCATTTGGTAAGAATTCTTCACGATTAAACTATCTTCTTCATTATAAGAGGCACAATTCTTAGCTAATAATTCAACATCTAATAGAAAATTCCTAGTACCATCTGCATATTCATAGTCCCTATTCTTTATTTCATTAATGGAGATAGGTTGATCAATCTTATAATAATATTGAGGATGAAATTTCCTACTTGGTAATTTGATAAAATCTTTAAAAATCGTTGAATATGTTTCTCTCAAATGATCTAGAGTGTATGTAACGAATAGATTAAACCTAGGGATGGACCAATCGTCTCTATATAACTCAGAATCAGGGTTCAGAGGATCGGAATAATCAATAGGAGGATTAGCTCCATGTCTAGCCACTTTACCAGCGACATATTTTGGTGATTCGTTGTTTGAATCTTCTTCGATCTTTCTCTTCTTTGGAGGCATCTTTTTTTTTCCGGATATGTCTATTTCTTTACCAAAAAGAGATGCAGTTTGATAGGGGTTTATACCTTAATAAATAGATATCAATTCTACAAGAAAAAAGGTTTTGTATCAAAGACTTCTTAGTAAAAGTGTCCTTCTATCGACGACTTTGTTTGGTTTTGTTTGGTTTTGTTTTTGACTTATTTAATATTCTATAACTAATTGCTTACATTTTCGTTATTTTTATTTATTTTTTTTGCGCGTGAAAAGTTTATATACGTCGTACACTATGATATACAAGACCCATGGAAAAGGTAGCCACCACTCTCCCCATTTCTTCAATCTTAGAAAGTCATTAATAGACTACCCAATGGTTCAACTTTCAGTTGTTCTTCCAATGATTTCTTTATCTGTTGATGTGTATCTTTCAAATTATTCTTATTCTCTTTTGTCATCTGAATTTTAGTGTCTAATGGTGTAAAAACAGCCTTTGCTGATAAGGTTGCTCCCCCCGTATGCAATATATCATCCAGTATTTGATCGTCCAGCAATCTACTATGTGTACTACTTTGTGTAGTGTGGTTATTATAATTATTATTAATATTATTATTATTATTGTGGTTGTTGTTGTTATGAAGACTAGCGCTATTGCTCATAATAGCTGCTAAGTTTGAACTAACAGGTGCTAAATAGTTGTCATTACTGTCTCCTGTCTCAGACCTCTCATCTGTAAATTTTCTCACATGATCAACCAGATCATTACTCTGTATCACAATGCCACTATTTGTAATCATTGATATATCTATCATCTTGTCATTTGTTGAGTTAACAATCTCTCTCAATTGATTTTCTCTTGTTTGTGCTATACGTTCTTCGTCCTGAAGTCTTTGTTGTTCTGCTGTATACGAATCAGTATCTCCATCATTGATGTTGGAACCATAACCAGCTTGTTGTGCTCTTAATAAAGAATCTTCTTCTTCGGAACTTCCTTTGTTACAACAACTTAACACTGAACCCATTTTTGATTACTGTCACAATTCTCTCAGTTTTTATGTAAATTTGTGTTCTCCCTCAGTTTCTAATTAGACTTCTCCCTACTAATATAGATTAAATTATTCTAGCAATAAGTAATTAGCTTAGAGCTACCAGTTAAATATTTCTCAATGTTCAATACTCTAGCGACAAACTGCCTCAGGTTAGGTTCTATCTATATAACTTCTTTTGATTGTTTCAAGTTTTTTTTTCTTCTTTGCTTAAAGGGAAAGAAAAAGATTAAAATTGGAAGGGAAGGCGAGAGACGATAAAATAATTGAAATTAAAGTGAAGAAGAAGAAAAAGTTGGGTAGACTATAAACAACTTGGAAACGGTTGAGAGAGAAGAGAATACAAAGACATAGAGGTATTAGTTTCAACACGAGTATAATTTTCGAAGATTCATTTTAAATTATCGTAGTTGCATTCTTTTCCGTCTTTTTAAGGTGAAAATTCTGTGCATTTAATCAGAGAAAACAAAACAAAACAAATATATATATATAGCTTTGAGATGTTTAATACTCGATTGCTTTCAAAGTCAGGAGCTCGTTTATCATCCTCATGTATCTCTGCGACTCAACGTTCGAGGGTTACTACCAGATCATTTCAATCGTCAGCTGTTAATAACGATTTTTTCTCATGGTTCAAAGATAAAAAGAAGGAGAAAACTAAAGTGAAGAGTACTAAGGAGGTTATAAGTGATATTGAAGCAGGGAAGGACGTAGTTGAAAAGAAAGATAATGCGACTACTTTAGAATTAACACCTGAGAATTTTATTGGTAGTTTTGATAAAAAAAGAAATGATATCCCACTAGATACAGTACCCTTTAATAGATGGATTTCGTTAGATAAAGTATCTACCGAGGCAAAATTGAATTCAATTATCCTTCAGAGTTATAATGAAACGTTTGGTACACAACTGAAAGAGGCTGATAATGATAAATTTACAGAATCGTTTACAGATATTACGAAAAAATTTAGTTTTGCTAAACTATTACAAGCTAAATCTGGTTTCGTTCTCTCAGACTATCAATTTACTGTATTGACCTCTCCAAACTCATTTAAAGATTATTATCTTCGTGAATTTGTCTCTGGAAAATCTTTACGCTTTAAGGAATCTGAACCAAATGCTATTCATTTGAATAAATCATCATTTAAAGCACCAAATATTTATATAATTCCAGATGTCCCAGCAAAGGAAAAGAGACAAAAGTTTAAGACACTTGTTAATGAAGTTAATGAAATAGAAAACAAGATTACAAGTGATGCCATAGAAAATGCAAAACAAACATAGTGTTTCTATAAAGAAAAAAGGAAGATTTAAAGGAAGGTCAGGGACAAGGTTGTCAAATTACCACAGTGGAGTATGAAAAGTTATTTTTTTTTCGTTTTTAAAAAAACACTAAACCATAACCAATATTTCCCATTGACTACTCGACAAAGACCTTATACCATTTGTATATTCAAATACCATGTAAATAAATACATATAACAGAATATTTTTACTCACTTGTATATTAATACCGTTTTCATGGCAATGCGCCACTTGTCAAGGTGTCACATAATTAATTTTTCCAAGCAAAAAAAAATAATTAAATAAATTATTAAATAATGACAACACAAAAGTCAAACAAATATAATTATATATATATTTATATAAACTGAAGTATTAAACATTTGTTATAACTTCTTCGAAATAATTAAAATTATTAACTGTCTGAAATTTAAGGCACAAGTATTAACAAACACGAGTTACTATGATGCAGCACCTTCTAAAGATATTGATAATATTATTGATATATCAATATCACACCTTTGCCTTTGGGGCAAATGTTAATAGTTTAAAAAAAGATGAGTTTTGTCCTGGGTTCGATAAAGACTCCACGACACCTTTCTTAACTCAAAATGTATGTTATTAGTTATTTATTTGTAACTAGAATATTTTTCCCAAACAATTTTTACTAACAATTTATTTTTAACAGACAAAAATAATGAATGAATGTATCTCCAGAGAATTAGAAAATCAATTCGATTTCTGTGGTTCATGTGTTGTAATGGAAGAAAATAATCCCAAAAAGATTAACAATTGTTATTGTGTTCAATGTGCAATGAGTGCCTTAACTACAAAATGTTTGAACGATCAAGATATTAATCAAGAACATTTAGTTAAATTGAATTCTTTGGTTAATTCATTTCCAAATATTTCACCTTCCCAAGTATTAGAAAAAGAAGATGAAGATTTAAAGACTAAAAGTATTCATTTACAACAAGAAATAACTCAATTACAATGCAGAGCATTATCCAAAAAGGAAAAGGCCCATCTTATTGATTCATTGTTATATACTCTTCAAAAAAGTCATAAAAATATAAAATCAGGTTTCAATAGAGGGAAGAAATTTATTCCTCATTGGGGTAGAAAGGCTAAAGATAACAAGAAAAATTCAATTACTGTTACTAAAAGACCTACTAATGCTTTCACAAAATATTGGCCGGTAGAAAGAACATTAACATTTAATTATTCCACTTCTACTCGTACCACTCCTAATTTTGAAAGTAGTTCTCATTTGACTGAAGTACATGGACCTAAGACAACCACGAATTTTGACCAATCCTCATTATCAACAACGAGTTTCCAGGGTGAAACCGACTCGATCATAGACACTGATATGAGTGTATTGGATAATAACCCTGAGGTGCATAAATTGTTTAAAAAAACTAGAACTGAGACAGAGACTGAAACTGAGACTGAAACTGAGACAGAGACAGAAACAGAGACAGAGACAGAAACTGAAAAAGAGTTTATGACAGCAACTGTAACCAAAAGGAAAACAATATTTTTGCTAAAAACAAAGACTTCAACAGAGACCACAAATTTGACTGCAACAGCTACCTCTATCACAACAGCGACACAAACTTCAACACAAATTTCAACACGAATTTCAACTGAGACTGAAACTGAAACTGAGACTGAGACTGAGACTGATACAATCACCAAAAAGAAGATCATTTCTCCAGGAGATGTAGATATCGAAACTGAGACCGAAACTGAAACTGAAACTGCTACTACTACCGATACTGACACTAAAACTCTCACCAAGACTGAGACAGTACATCATATTCAAACAATTATAGCATATATCACTGCAACTGAATATGATACAAAAACGAAAGAAAAGACAAAGACGAAATATAAATACATATTTGATACTGTAACCGAATCATTCTATACAGGTGCTACTAAAATAAAGTATAAACATGATTTTGTTACGACAACCGAAACAGAAATCGATGAAAAGACTAGAGTGGTCAAGGTTGCGAAAACAACTGTTACAGACTACGATACAGATTATTTGACAGAAACTGAGACAAAATTTAAAACCACAACTAAAATCCAAACTTCTGTATCTACAACAACTGAAAAAATATTTAAATTTAAAAAGAAATTTAAAACAATCACCTTAACGGATCTTGTAACTAGTACCACAACGAAAACTACTACCAGTACTAAGACCAAAAAGATATGGGTCCCAAGAGTTAGTACTGTCACATTACTTTCCACTACAACATTTACTACAACAGCTACTGTTACAGTCACAACTACTCCACCGGCTGCAGTTTTTGGAAATCCTATGTTTGCTGGATCACAACCACATAATGGTTTCAAGTTTAAAATATTCAACTCAACTGATGATGGGGAGAGCTATAAAAAGGGAATAAGAAAGGATGTACCCGACGGTACGCAAGAAGCACAGGAAGATTCAAAGATTTCTAACAGCAATCACAAAAGAGATAAGGTAAGTTATGCCACAGAAGCTTCAGATCACGATGTTTCCTCAATTAAATCAACAAATGTTAGCAATGACACCAATATATTGATTCCAGCTACTTCTTTTGCGCCCCTAGCATACGGTGATAAACATATTCCAAAAGCAATCATATTCTCTATTCTCACAGTGGGAACTATAATGCTATTTTCAAAGGTGCAGTTCTTTGGAGATAACACCAATGTTTCAAAAGGTAGTTTCAAAATCAAAAGAGAGAGGAAGGATTCTTATCAAAATGGAGGGAGCAAACTGAAGGGCATTAACGCATCATCTGAAAACATTGGTATATTACAGGAATTGGTGCAGAATTTAACAGTCGATTAATATAGCTGCCCTCATCAAACCCAACATAGCATTAGCTTCTTGTGACATGTTGGACTTGTGTATTGATATCTCGCTTTTCTATTCCCCAAACAGCTATAAAATATTTGTATTCATAACTTATTCATGCGATTTATAAATATTTCAGTTTTATTATTTATAATTTTTTTTTTTTTTTTCATTCTGTTGTGATGACCATCAACATAATGGCTCCTAGATTTTGTCAAGGAAACCAACAGATATCATATATTGATACATATGCCAAGACTTGAGGAACCTCATATCGCATAATTTTAGAAAGAGTGAAGGGATCAAATGGATGGGTTAAGTTTACCTTACTGTAAAAATCTATATGATTACTTAATAAAATGGGGAGACTTCCTATCGTTTAAACTGGAATTTTCTCCAGATCAACCAGGATTTGAAGGTCAATCATTCTTTATCAACGAGGATACTCAAAATCAAACCGTTGAATTGGTCTGTTTCAAAAGTACATTTCTAAAAGTATTTGCAGAAGCTCATAATAATTTTAACAAATATGTAAGTCATTCGATTGAAAGTCCTATTGACTGGGATGTTTACTATATGACCATAGGCTATTTAATGACAACACCCGAGAACAAGACAATTCTGAACTTGCATGAAGATTGTGTGCTAAAGTTGTTATCGCAGTCCCCCGATAGAATGGATTTTTTGACAAAGGAACTATTAGTTACTCAGAGTCTATTGACATCGACACGGAATTCATTGAATAAATCATCATCCATGTGGTATTGGTATCGAAAACTATATATATTATTCGGGCAGCATACTGCAGTTTCAGATGAAACTCTATTAATGAAATGGATTCCCACCTTTAAAAACTCCGCAGAATTACATAAATGCAACTATTATTGCTGGAACACAGTTCGATGGTTTTTTGATATCGTACCTTCCCTCAAGGTGAAAACAGATTTATTTGAGATGACAAAAGAGTTCTGTTTTAAGCATGTTTCTGACTGTTCAAGTTGGGATACATTAGGGTATATAGTATCTCATCAACAGGAGAATAACAAGTTTAATTTTAAGAATTACACCTTTCTACAAAAAAGATATCAATCGAATAAAAATCTCAACACAAGCGTTAACCTAACTCCACCTGCTTCAATGGCACTAACTCTGGATATTGAATCTATTATCAATGAACTTGTCCGTTATATCGACTTGTTACCGGTGAAAGATTGGACAGTGTTTGTATGTCTTTCAAGAATTATTAATTCATCAAAGATAAGTCTCGATAACCATATAAGAAAATGTTGGTTGGATCAAATATCGAAATTTGAGGATCGACAAGGTTCAATAAGTTATAAAAATATGAACCCAATTGTTCCATTATCAAAAATGGACGATTTAACTATTTCTAATCAGGTTCTTCATTTTGGATGGAAAAAAAGGTTTCTAAAAACCATTTGATTTGGTTATCTCACCAGATAGAGTGTGTACTGTATCAGCTGATTGATACTTCTGTCATATTATCCTATATTCAATGATTATGAAAAATTGCATCTATACATAATTACATATGTACGTATCTATACGAAACATCTGCGTTCACAAATTCAACTGTCAGAAAATATCATCTTGAAGTTTGGTCAATGTTCGTTTACTTAAATTAAGCAGCTGCAGTTTGACCGATGGCAGTTGTTGATGATGATTCTATCGATCCTGCATCGGACTTTGGCCTTTTTGTACCATTATCATCTTCAGTATCCTTTGTCCTTTTACTTCTCTTTTTCTTTATTGGTCTTGCCTCATCTTCATCATATACCTCATTTGGAAGGTCGTGTAATTTAACATATCTAATAATTAAGGAAAAGACGTCATTATCTTGAAATTCTTCATTAAAATTACGACAAAGGTTAAAATATTCAGCACATGGTACATGTATATCAACTTTTTCCTTTTTATTTTCAACGTTAACATCTAATCCAATGTACATTGTAGTTAAGTACATTGTAGGTTTATCCTTTATGGATTCATCTTCCCTATTTTCATCCGTTATCTTAACCAGATTTTGTAATTTATTTTCTGTTTTATGAGATCCATAATTTTCAAAGATATTTTCTACATCTTTATTATCGTTATAAATGTAAGTTGTACCAAATAATGCTGGGAAGGGATGAGCAATATTAATTCCTGGAAGAGCCTCAAGTTTTAATATTAATAATCTCAATTTACTTTCTACAAGACCAGTCCATTTTAAATGTTGTTCATCATCACCTTTTGTAGTGACAGCTACAGTCAAATAAAATTTATGTTTATGGAAAAAATCATGTTTATCAAATAAATCACTCCAATTTTTCTTATTTGAAAAAATATCATTAGTAATTTTAATACCTCTATCGAATTCTCCTAATATAACTTTCTTAGTAGATTCAGAGATGTTATGTGTAGCACACATAGAAGGATAAGCTGGTGTTATTACTGGCATTCTGTGAGATCTATCTTGTGCATAAATCTTTGGATTCCAAACACGAACTTGTAAAGGACCATCTTCAATAGGTTTCAGCACTACAGGTTGTGGCCATTTCCATTCTGAATAAATTTTGAAGAATCTGTTTAATATCACAGCAGAACATGCATTAGGATATAATTGACAAATTCTAGCGACTAACATAGCCCATGCAACACCACCAGGGAACCCAAAGACGTTACCATATATACCACGTCTATTAGCCCATATTTTAACAGCTCTCAAGGCAATTCTAAATACACTAGTCTTTGGTACTAATTCTAAAATTTCATCAGTGACTCTTGTACCATTAAGAGCTCTTAAATCTTTTTCATCCAAGTTTCTTAATAAGTTTTTATCACTCAAAGTTAATGTTGCAGGTACTTGAGCCACATCAAGTCTTGCACATAATAAATCAATTGAAATACCACTAAACTTAATCTTAATAACTGGAACAAATGCATCAGGAACTGGAGCAATTTCATCTAATTCAGGTCTTTCTCTTAATAAAGTATCAAATACTGTGAAAAAATCTTCTCTCAAGACATGTTTTGGAACTACAACCAATGTATCAATATCACTACCTGGACCATGGACACCTAGTTTATAAGAACCAAATGTGAAAATCTTACCACCTGCATCCTTAGCCATACCATCGGACATATTTTTATTCTTAGAGACTTGATAAACGAATTTTTGGGCTAATTCTTGTAATGTCTTTAAAATCTGCACTCTCTTGGCAGTATCAGCTTCTGATTCAAAGGAACCTTCTTTTTTCAACTCTTGGATCAATGCATCATTAAGTTTATTCTCTGGAGCTGTTGGACCCGCTACAGACACAGGACCTGTGATACCATAAACTTTTTGGTAATTCATTGTTTTATCTGTTTATATCTCTCAGGGCAAAAAAAAATAACTAAAAAAAATAGTGAATGCTAGAAAATTGTCCCTTTGATAATGTATACACTCACACAAGTTCTAATCTAGTGTTCTAAACTTTCCCTCTTTTGCTGACTAAAACGTTTCAAATGTGTCTCTTTCTTCCCTTTAACTGTTTGTACTTCTTTATTTTAATTGTCTTACTTTTAAAGGATTTATTATTTAATTTAACTTGTGGTAACGAACAGAGAGGGAAATTGTGTCGGCGAACCTAACAAAGACAGAAGTAGACAAAAATTACACATATAGAGAGGGAAAGAGACGAATACTTTGTGTTAAACAACTAAATTGGAGCTATGCATCAACGTTATAAGTTTCGTCATAGTGTATACATAAGTTATTGAATCATTTTTATTCATTTTGTATCGAAACACACCTCGTACACAGTGACCATTCTTGAATAAATCGTCAACTATTTTTTGCCCGCAGAGAGTTGCGCCTCCTAAAAAACGAATTGAGAAATTCGACTCTCGAAATTTCCCTATTCTGATCAAGGTTCTACTAGAATGGGTTTGATTACATTCAACAATAAATATAACATATATATACATAGAAGATTAAAAAGTGGGTTTGAGAGTTTGCAAATAGGTTAACCTCTGCTGAATTTCTACAAGAACACAAGCCTTTTCATATTTTTTAAAAAGAGAGTATACTACTAAAACAGTCGGAAACACTATGGATGAACATTTGATCTCTACTATCAACAAGTTACAAGACGCTTTGGCGCCATTAGGTGGTGGTTCTCAATCACCAATTGATTTACCACAAATTACAGTGGTGGGTTCGCAATCTTCCGGTAAATCTTCTGTCTTAGAAAATATCGTCGGGAGAGATTTTTTACCTAGAGGTACAGGTATTGTCACTAGAAGACCTCTAGTATTGCAGTTGATTAACAGAAGAGCTCATGGCTCTGGTTCTGCCGCTAAGGGTAAGGATTCAACTGGATCTGTCTCCAATGAGTTATTAGATCTTGATATCAGTGACAACTCAAGTGAAAAGAAAACTGATAATAAAAAGGATCCTGGACACCTAAATGGCCAATCTGAGGATAATAAAGAAGAATGGGGTGAATTTTTACATTTACCCGGTAAGAAATTTTATAATTTCGACGAAATTAGACAAGAAATTGTTAAGGAAACAGATAAAGTCACTGGTGCTAACTCTGGTATCTCTCCTGTACCAATTAATTTAAGAATTTATTCTCCACATGTTTTAACCTTAACATTAGTCGATTTACCAGGTTTAACTAAAGTTCCCGTCGGTGATCAACCTGTTGATATTGAAAAACAAATTAAGGATATGTTATTAAAATATATTTCTAAACCAAATGCTATCATCTTATCCGTTAATGCTGCCAATACAGATTTAGCTAATAGTGACGGTTTGAAACTTGCTAGAGAAGTCGATCCAGAAGGTACAAGAACCATTGGTGTTCTAACTAAAGTTGATTTAATGGATCAAGGTACCGATGTCATTGATATCCTGGCTGGTAGAGTCATTCCTTTAAGATATGGTTATATTCCTGTCATCAACCGTGGTCAAAAAGATATTGAACATAAGAAAACCATTAGAGATGCTTTAAAAGATGAAAAGGATTTCTTTGAAAGTCATTCTTCTTATAGTTCTAAAGCTCAATATTGTGGTACTCCATATTTAGCTAAAAAATTGAATTCTATTCTTTTACATCATATTAGACAAACTTTACCAGATATTAAAGGTAAAATCGAAGCTACTTTGAAGAAATATCAACAAGAATTAATGAATTTAGGTCCAGAGACTATGGATTCAGCTAGTTCTGTTGTATTAAGTATGATTACTGATTTTTCTAACGAATATAATGGTATCCTTGATGGTGAAGCTAAAGAAATATCAAGTCAAGAATTATCTGGTGGTGCAAGAATTTCTTTTGTATTCCATGAAGTCTTTAAGAATGGTGTCGATTCCTTAGATCCGTTTGATCAAATTAAGGATTCTGATATTAGAACAATCATGTATAATAGTTCTGGTTCAGCTCCATCATTGTTTGTTGGTACTGAAGCCTTTGAAGTATTAGTTAAACAACAAATTAAGAGATTTGAAGAACCTTCTGTACGTTTGATTAATTTAGTATTTGATGAATTGGTACGTATGTTAAAACAAATTGTTAGTCAAACAAAATACTCAAGGTACCCAGCTTTAAGAGATGCCATTTCTAATCAATTCATTGATTTCTTAAAGAGTTCCATGATCCCAACTAATCAATTTGTTGTTGATATCATTGAAGCTGAACAAACATATATTAATACAGCCCATCCAGATTTATTAAAGGGTTCTCAAGCTATGGCTATGGTTCAAGAAAAATTACATCCAACTCCACAAGTTGCTGTAGATCCAAAGACTGGTAAACCTTTACCTAACCAACCAGTTAATTCCTCAGGTAATAAAAATATGAATGGTCCAGTTGATGAAAAATCTGGATTCTTTGGTGGCTTTTTCAGTAGTAAGAATAAGAAGAAATTGGCTGCTTTAGAGTCTCCACCACCAGTATTAAAAGCTACAGGTCAAATGACTGAGAGAGAAAATATGGAAACTGAGATTATTAAGCTATTGATCAATAGTTACTTTAATATTGTTAAGAGAACCATTGCTGATATCATTCCAAAATCCATTATGTTGAAGTTAATTGTTAAGAGTAAGACTGATATTCAAAAAGTATTGTTAGAAAAATTATATGGTAACCAAGACATTGAGGACCTAACCAAGGAAAACGACATCACCATCCAAAGAAGAAAGGAATGTAAGAGAATGGTTGAAATATTGAGAAACGCCAGTCAAATCGTTTCAAGTGTGTAAGCAAACAAAACAGCAAAATTTCAACTTTTAACTATTCCCTTACCCGATAAATAAGGATCATCAAAAGAAGGAAAAAAAAATAAAATAAATAAAAGTTCTTGAACTTATATACTAGTAAAAAGATTATAATAAAATGAAATAAATAAAAAAACATTTGAAAATTAACCGAATGGTTTGCGAACGTCAAAAACAACTTCATTGTGTCTCTCTTCTTCTAAATAAAAATATTGTTTTGTTATTTGAAAATTCACTCTGTCACGTGATATGCGTGCAATTCCACGTGATCCTTCGCCATTGAAAAGGCATTATTCAATTTCTCATTGAATTAACTTGTTTTACGTCGTTTTCTTTCATCTGGAAGTAAAAGTCAATTATCCAGATGGGTAGAGGAGAGGATCATTGAGCTCACTACACAAATTGGCAGTTGATTAAAACAAGAAAGGTTGGATTAACCATTCATTCGTTGGTGAGTGGAAAGTAACGATTAGTCTCTTAACTTTCTGTTTGGAATAATACACACAACTACACAGTTAGCAGTATTGAAGGTAATTGGCGTGCCCATGCTTTAAGATAGTCTTAGTATATATATATATATATATATATATTTATGTAAACGATATCAATAAGTTGGAATTTGTAAATATTCTCTATTGTTGTTGTTTTATTTAAGTTCTTCTTCTGGTTTATATATCTCTATATATATTCTTTGTAATTGATATCAAAGTAAAGGTTATTCCCCCAAAATAAACAAAAATCATGGCTACTAACATTACCTGGCATCCAAATTTGAGTTACGACGAACGTAAAACTCTAAGAAAACAACATGGTTGTACTATCTGGCTTACAGGTTTAAGTGCATCAGGTAAGAGTACTGTAGCATGTGCTCTAGAACAATTGCTTTTACAAAAAAAATTGGCTGCTTACAGATTAGACGGTGATAACATCAGATTTGGTTTGAATAAAGATTTAGGTTTCTCAGAGGCTGACAGAAATGAAAACATTAGAAGGATCAGTGAAGTCTCTAAACTATTTGCTGATTCTTGTACAATTTCTATTACATCCTTTATCTCTCCTTACAGAGTCGACAGAGATAAAGCTAGAGAACTTCATAAAGAAGCTGGTTTAAAATTCGTTGAAGTATTTGTTGATGTTCCAATTGAAATAGCAGAACAAAGAGACCCTAAGGGTTTATATAAAAAGGCTAGAGAAGGTATTATCAAGGACTTTACTGGTATTTCTGCTCCTTATGAAGCTCCAGAATCTCCAGAAGTACATTTAAGAACTGACTTGAAGAGCATCGAAGAATGTGCTAACATTATTTACGAATATTTGGTCAGAGAAAAAGTTATATAAACGACAAAATAGATTCTGAGATTTATTATTTAATTTTACCTCAAATTATTTATACATAATTACTTATACAGCTCAAAAATGATAAAATAAAATGTTGAGAAATCTAATGATTATTGTTGTTACTATTGTACATATCCCTTATGGATTATTTTATGTAGTACCTCACTAGAAGCTTGGACTACAAACTCGTATCTATGTATATACATTTTGTGTATATATAATTGTTTTTTTGAAAAATATCATTTTCATTGCCTCTTTAAGCTATCTAAACGAGCCTGTAGATCACTATCTGGATCAGATGGACCTCCACCTGGGGATCCACCTTCAGCTAATAACGATTTTTGATTAGATATCTTATTAGACTCATCAAGACCAACGGTTGATCCTAACTGCCCGTTTGGTGCATTTGCTAATTCAGTGTTCAAATCAACACCAATCTCATCCAGGACTTTATTAACAATTTCATCAGCTTCTTCATCTTCATTAAATTCATCATCTTCCATAACACCATCAATAGCTTCATCGATAAACTCTTGTCTTTGGTCCATTAATTCATTTTGTTTCTCAAATTCCATAGAGATTTTTTGTAACTGTGGTAAATTCATAGATCTATTCATTCCTGCAAGAAGAACCGTAGCTTCACGCATAGAATTACTCATTTGATCACTACTTCTTACAGCTTGGATTCTTAAAGAGATAGCTTGTAACTGTGTTTGCATGTTATTAAACTTGGATACATAACTTCTTGTACGAACTAAATCCTTTGCTTTAATCTTTGCTGCATTAATTTGATTATTTTTGGCTGCTTTTTTAATATCCTGTATCAGTTTCTTCTCCTGTGCTTCTAACTTCCTCTTTTCCCTTTCTAACTCACGTTGAGTTCTTTCTAATGCCCTTTGATTCTTCTTGAGTCTTTCTTGGGGGGTCAAACTCTTTCCAAAGACCCACTCAAATAAGCTCATATTTTAGATTCAAAATATAGGTATATTTTTCCTTGCTGAGAATAATAAAATTAAGAAGAATGGTTAATATGGTTTGTTTTTACTTTGTTTCCTATTAGATGAGATTATTCTTATGAAAGGGGTTTTTAAAAATCTATCACTTAAACTGAAATTTACTTTGTTACGTTGAAGCGCAGTCTTAATGTGACAACCAAATTAATTTCAATTTCTTTTTTTTTTATTAATATAGCTAAATTTTTCTTCAATGAGATAGAGATGATACACAATAGTTGGAAAAGTACTCACATAACAATCTAGTATTATAGAATTCAGGACGTTTAATTATTAGGTTTAAGTTACACATCGTGCATTAACAAAATACATATAAATATGTCGCATAATTGTGAAGACGAAAGTCTAGGGATTCATCATAATCATAACCATAGTCATCGCGGCCATGATCATGACCATGATCATGAACCACCAGCACCAACAAACTCAGAACAATCTCTTTACTCATACATTGATAGTACAAAGATTAAATTGTTAAATGGTATAGTCATGTCTCAAGGAAGCCAATCTTCTACGCTTGATAAGTCCTCTGTGTTTATAAAAAATAGGGATGATAAATTTAAAATTGATACATGGTTACAATCTGACACTGATTGTCAAATGGTCATCCATATACCGTTCACTGGGGTTTGTAAAATTGATTCAATTATTTTAAGATGTAATAAACCAAATTTATCGGAAGAATTCGATGCACCAAAGACAATTCAAATATATAAAAACTGGAGAAAAAACTCCAATATTGATTTTAATACATTGAATTCAAACCATATTAAGACAAATCATAAAATAGAATATCCACAAGATGTTGGAATTGATCCAACGACAACTGAAGTAATAGATCAAGATGAATCTAATATGATTGAATTTCACATGCCAAAATCGAAATTTAATGATTGTCAATCGATAACTCTATTTTTCAAGGATAATTGGTCTGACGACGAGGATAATTGTTGTAAATTGTATTTCCTTGAAATTAGAGGTAGTTTTACTGGGAAATTAGCCAAAGATAATGCCGTTCCAATAATGACTGTGTATGAAAGTGCACCAAACCTGCTAGATCATCAAAGAGTTGAAAGTGATAAACCAAATATTCACCTTGGTATGTGATGATTATTGGGAGTATTATATATTTATAACTACGGTCAATGAATGTATATAAGCATATGGTATTTAAGGCTAAAGAGCAGTATTTATAAAATATTTTTTAGCATATTTTTTTTATATTTTGGTAAAGATTCGATAAATATTATTTATGAAAGTTTTCATACTGAGTTCTTTTGCTGAAACTTGCTGTTTAGTAAGGATTATACACTTTTCTACACAAGACTATTGGGAACTTTGTTCTTATCTCAGAAAACCTTCTTCAAGAGAAAGGCTCACTTATTATTTTTTCATGATACTAATGATTTTATGCATTATATATTATAGAAAAAAGATACTAAAATTAGTACACTGAAGCATCAAATTAGCAAGTCACCTACACATACAACAAAAAGGAAAGATGATCTAGATAACTGATCGAACATCACAAATATCCGGTCTTTACAGAGATATGAATACTTTCTATAATAATGTTTTGAAGTAATAGAAATTGAAATAAAATTGGACGCTAAACTATCATTACAATAAACACTACCGTTTTTAGAGTGGCAGATGCTTAGCAACCACTCTCTGAAGAAACATCCAGATACTAACCGACCCAATTGGCGCAAATTAGAAGCATCTACGAGGGGAAGGAGAAATGGATTCTGCAATATATATATACATAGATAACTAGCATCTGAGTGTGCCACCGAATATACGTAACGATTTCTGCTCTGTTGTCGAGCTCGTTGTACCAAATAGAAACAACGGTGCTAAGAATTAACAAAACTGTCAATATTTTTTTAGTTTCTACGGCCTCTTCTTGCGGGACCGTATGCTCCGAACCACTTTTAATGACCAAAAACTAAAAAAAACTTCTCTGAAATTAACGCAAAACCTTCCTAATCGTTGCCATGTTTGACCATGTTGTCATTCATTAAAATTCATGGCCCTTCCCCACAGAATGAAGGATTGGTTTCGCCGTCATTAGCTGGATTTCTTATTTCTAATCATTGCTGTTAGTGGGGCAATCCAGGCAAAAATACTTGAATTGTTAAGGGGAACCCTCGTGAATGGCCATCACTGCTGGTGTTAGGTGACTTTATTGAATTAAATAACTATCTACATAGAGATCATACTACATATGATATTAGGGGCAGTGAATACAGAAGGAATAAGAAGTTAACTTTGACTTGTTAATTGTTGTTGTCTTACGTGGGTCGAGTTCTTGTGCTTATTAAATAAAATAGCCTCTACGGGACGTTCTGAGCAAATTTAATACAAAAAATTAAAAATAGTGAGATTTTTTTTCGTTCAGCGAGGAATTCAATCGTTTTTTTCCAAACACGTTAGAAATCTTATATAATAAAGTGAAAATCTTTAGGAAAACAATATATACAAACAATATAAGGAAAATTAAGTAACGATTGAACTTGATTGCTTGTAATTTCTAATTAAGATACATATCCATATATACCACCCTCTCTCTCCATATATATATATATTTACATATATACTCCATACGCTACTATGAGTGACAAATTGTTTAGATTAATTGCTGCCTCCCAACAATACGACTGGGGTAAAATTGGTTCCAAGTCTGCTGTTGCTCAATACGCCACCCTTTCTGACCCTAATGTTAAGATTGATGAAGCTAAGCCATATGCTGAATTATGGATGGGTACTCATTTGAAGGCTCCATCCAAGAATGCTGACTCGAATGAATTATTAAATGATATCATTGCTAAGAACCCAGAAGGAACCCTAGGTAACGATATTATCAATAAATTCCATGCTAAGAATGAATTACCTTTCTTATTCAAAGTTTTGTCTATTGAAAAAGTGTTATCTATTCAAGCTCACCCAGATAAAGCTCTTGGTAAGATCCTACATGCTCAGGATCCAAAAAATTATCCAGATGCTAACCATAAACCAGAAATGGCCATTGCTGTTACTGATTTTGAAGGTTTCTGTGGTTTTAAACCATTAGGTGAAATTGCCGATGAATTGAAACGTCTCCCAGAATTTAGAAACATTGTTGGTAACGAAATTGCCGACCATTTCATTAACAATTTTAAAGAAAATGTCACTGTTGGTAGTGCTGACGATGAAGCTAACAGAAAACTTTTACAATCCGTCTTCAGTAAAGTTATGAATGCTCCTGAAGATCAAATAGTACAAAACGCACGTGCTTTGATTAAGAGAGCTCATGACAATCCAGCTGATTTCAACAAATCAGATTTACCAGATTTATTAATCAGATTGAATAAACAATTCCCTGATGATATTGGTCTATTCTGTGGTGGTCTATTGTTGAACCACTGTAGGTTGAATGCCGGGGAAGGTCTTTTCTTAAGAGCTAAGGACCCACACGCTTACATCAGTGGTGATATCATTGAATGTATGGCCGCTTCTGATAACGTTGTCAGAGCTGGTTTTACACCAAAATTCAAGGATGTTAAAAACTTAGTCGAAATGTTAACTTACAACTATGGTACTGTTGACGAACAAAAGATGGTTGCCGAAAAGTTCCCAAGATCTAGCGGTAACGGTGAATCTCTTCTATACAATCCACCAATTGAAGAATTTGCTGTCCTAGAGACCACTTTCAAGACTTCTACCGGTAAGAGACACTTTGAAGGTGTTGATGGCCCAAGTGTGATTATTGTTACGAAGGGTAATGGTAAGATCAGCACAGGTGATGTTAAGTTAGACGCTAACACTGGGTTCGTCTTCTTTGTTGCTGCTAACACACCAGTCGATTTAGAAACTACTGACAGTACCTTTACTTCTTACAGAGCTTTTGTTGAACCAAACTAAGATAAATGAAAGACAGAAAGAAATAACAGTAATTTAGAATCCCTGATCCTTGGGATACTCTTATATTTATATAAATTTCCTTAATTTTAATAGTAGTTGGACGTATTATGATCCTTCCTCAAATTGTTTTTAGTCAATAAAAATATAATGTTATTTTCAATTTATTTATTTATATTTTATATTATTATTAGTGTACATGTGAAAATTATGTAGTTATATGACAACTATATTATGCAAATAAGAACATATATCAAATTTTAAAACAAATTTTTTATATGTCTATATACCTCATTTAATTATCTTCTTCAATATTATGGTTCTTCTTCCATATATTCATTCTTTTCTTTATGTCACCAATAGACTGTTGATAGATATTCAATTTTTTATCAAAAAACATCTTCTTATAATTATTACCATGCTTCTTGTACATTCTCTCTAACCAAGCTTCTTCTCTCTCACTTTGAATTCTGATATCGGTGACCTCAGGTCTGGCTGCATAACGTTCTAATTCTCTCACAACATCTGTCTTATTTTCCTCTTCTTCTTCTGCTGCATGTTTTCTCAAAACTTCTACATCTTCATCGATATCAAATTTTTTTAATTTTCCATACACAACCTTAACGACGTTACCTTCAGAATCACGCTGTATTCTGGCTTCACCTTCTGGAATCTTATTCTCATCAAACTCTTCGTCTGACTTATCATCATCGCCCTCTTGGTCCTCTTCACTCTCATCTTCATTCAAGTCATCATCTTCATCACTACCATCTTCAACTGTAGATGATACTGGGACCTTTTCTTTAATTTGACTATAATCGACTTCTTGACCACCTGTTGGTGCTTGTAATTTCGCTCTCAAACCCAGAATTTTATAGTTCTGTTTCATAGTCAAAGAGTAATCCCAATTAGCAGCAATAATAGGATTAGACTTGATATTGATCTTTCTTCTCTTATCCTTCACTCTTCTTGTGTTCTTCCCAACAGAGGATCTGTTCATCTTTCTCTTTCTGACGGAAACCATTTTATACTAGTATTATGACACGGATACTATGATTTATTTTGTCTTAGATATTATTCTTCACCTCTAATACTACTATCAATACCAAAACAATGTTATACTATTATATATAAATGTTATATTTCATTATTTAATTTACTTGCGATGAGCATTGCAAAGAGAATTATTTCAATTTGAAAAATAATGAAAATTTTTTTTTCCTCGGTTCACTGATCGGAGACTGAAATGATTTGTGTTGAGAAAATACCGTAGAACTTACCTATATTTAGCGGTAGTTCCTAATTCACATACATCATCTGGCAGTTTGATGAACTTCACTCTAAGTAACCTGAATTTGGATATTTGAATATATATATTTTAGTATGACTATTATAAACAGGAAGTGCCTTTATAATAGATAGGACTGGAAAGGTACTATCGTTAGTGAAACTTGTCGAATATTTACTAGGTTATCTTCAACGAGCTGTCCTGCGGTAATCTTCTCTGTCAAAGTACTATTTGTAAAATATGTCCCTTAAGATAGAACCTGGATTATTAGAAGAAAACAATGGCATAAAAGTTTCAACATCAATGACACAAGGGGAGCGTAAACGAATCCAAACAGAGGCCGATACAAGATCCATTTTTGTGAGCAACGTAAACAGAGACATAGCTCCTGATAATATAGAGGAACATTTCGGAGAATGTGGATTTATAGAGAGAATTACTGTAGTCAGTGACACACACCATAGAGACCTTGCGCATGCTTATATTGAATTTGATTCCATAGAGAGTATGACAAGAGCCCTTGCTTTGAACAAATCGGAGTTTGGAGGTAAAGTTATCACAGTTGCCAAAAAAAGAACGAACATTCATTCTCATAAGAAGTTTTCAACAACAACAAGGAAACAAGCCAATAAGGAAACTTGAAAGAAATATCGATGCTAAGAAAACAATATATGATAACACATAGTCGTGACTCATTATAGCATAATTATAATATCTTCTTCTGGTGAACTATCGTTCAAATGATGGTAGTATTATTTCTGTACAAGTACAAGTACACACCAAACTATTTCAACTGACTCATATTCCCGTAGGAAATTTACAATAATAAAATAATTTACCTAGCACCCCGAATTTACTCATGACATATTGTACGCCCTGCAATATTTGGAATTGCGAGACAACCTACTTGTTATATAAATTGCACTAAGATAGTAAGAGCACTACAAATATTACCACTTTTTATATATCTGTAGCATAGGTTGATATTTATGAATTTATTATTATGTTTGCCCTGTAAATTTTCTTATATAAGCAGACTTCCGCAAGATCCACACAACATTGAAAAATAATTATAAAATACCTCAATAAACTACAGTACATAAGGTGCAACAAACAATACATATAATTCTAAATATTAACATACCAGCGAACGAAGAATGAGTAAGGACAAAGAAGTCAGTTCTTTCCTTAAGGGTGATTTTAATGATCTATGTTACTCCTGTCGTACAGGGGATGTCGAAAACGCTGATCGACTTATATCAACTGGGATTAACATTAACCAGGTGGACAAATTTGACAATTCACCTCTGTTTTTAGCAAGTTTATGTGGTCATATAGAAGTGGTCAAGCTTTTGTTAGAAAGAGGAGCTGTATGTGATAGGGATAGACATGAAGGGGCCCGTTGCGTATATGGTGCCCTTACTGATGATATTAGGAATATGCTTGTGAGTTATGATATTTCTAAGAAATTCGATTCAAACCAACCATTCGCTGCACATATATCATCTTTATTAAATTATACCGACTATAGATTCGATACATGCGATCTACGTATCAATTGTAAAGATGAGAAGAGAGCGGTCTTTGCACACAAATTTATGGTATTTGCGAGGAGTTCAGCGTTGCACAACTCTTCACCAAGTGAACTGAATGAGATGTTTACTGAAGTATCCATGGAGGTGCTCGGTACTTTAATAGAATTTATTTATTTGGTTCCAATACTACATAGCACACCATCTACTGATTTCCCAGAGTTAATTAAATTGGCAAATTATTTTCAATTGGACTCATTATCGGAGTTTTTAAACAAGTTCAGACATACGGCAGATCCAGTAGAAAAGTCAAATTTAATAGTTACTTATCAATACAAATTTACTGAGTTGGCAAGAAGACAGCTAAAGAAGTTTGTTAAGGATAATATTATCGATAGACATATAGATATCGACAATGTTTCACCCAATTCTGTATCTATTCCAGACCCACGGAGTTGTGTTCCATTCCCAGATATTTATTTAACAGTAGAAAATTCTGTTGGTTCACGCAGAATATACCCTTGTCATATAGCTATGTTGTCAAGAGCTGGCTTCTTTAAGGACATAATAAGCAAAAATTTCCAAGAAAATAAAACATACATGACGACAAAGTACGCTTCTAGAGCTGATGTAGAAGATTCTCATATGTTATTTGTAGAACTCCCTATTTGTGATTTTGGTGTAGCGGAGGCTGTTATTAATTATCTGTATTACGACAGCTCTGATTTTGACCCCAACTATGCATTTGACGTCATCAGATTGGCAGATTATATTATGGCAGATAGATTGAAAACTATTGCAGCTGCTGTTATTACCCAGTCTTTAGAAGGTACACTCTCTAAGAACGTTTTTGATATTTTACATTTGGGATGGGAAACCGGTGTGGTGAGATTGGAACAATTCTCTGCCAAATATATAGCACAACACTTAGAAGAACTAAAACTCTCTGAAGAATTGAGACGGATAATCCTGGAAAGTTCTCAACGAATATCAAGCAGAGAGGAGACAGATACTATTGAATTAGTAGCTGATATACGGTTTTACCTTTTGAGTAAATATGACCTCGAAGTTGATGATTTAAGTTTACTGGAGAGTGATGCAGATGACAGAGAATTTTTACAAAGTTTAGGATTACTAGATTACCAGAAAGATATTGAGACATTAAATACAATATTAAACAAACTGGGTCTTTCTTTTTAATATGTTTATTGCTTTTACCTCCTTTATGCCAATCTTTAATAAAAAGATAACATTAGTCTCATTTTAGTAATTGCACATATGAACAACGTTGAGACGTTTAAATAAAGGTTATGTAAAAGAAACACTTCAATGCCTGAAAAATATATAAATCGGAATTATTAGTAAATAAATGACATACCTGACACACTTGTAGATAGTCCTTATAATCTTAGGGGTGTAATTTGCATAATTGTAAAAAGAGAATCTAGTTCCTATTAACAAGCCTTCCTTAAATGATGAGAAATCATATCCTAGAGGAACAATCGGACATAAATCAGATATATCTATTTCCAATCATTGCTTAAGTATTATAGAAAAGAGGTAACATAATATATTATTAACCATCAGAGATTAACTATGCAATACTTCGTGTATGTTGGGGTTCACCCTTTGAATAAATTACCCTTGTTATAAAATGCAGAAATAGCACTATACTAAATATACAAAAAAGAGTTCGATTAAGAAAGGCGAGGGGAGAAAAACAGGACGAATATTTACAAAATAAAAATAATAAATATTATATTGGTTTAATATATTTCGGAAAGCGTACACAATTTATAATATAGAATTAAATATAATATATTATAAATATTTTATTTAATCATGTGATTGATAACCATAGAAGTTTTCTGAAATCCTATTTGTATATACTTTTGGCTGTTAAGGTTTCCTATTTAATAGACAAGCACTTTGCAAAGAGCCCATCTATGTATGTAGCTCTTATGTACATATTTTTGTGTAATTTGACGACCGAGACTTTGAATTTGTTAAAGAACGAACCGAACGGTAGTAAATAGCATAATACACATATATTAATATATTTTTAACAGTTCTCAACCTAGACGGAACATTAGGTACATATGGAATGCGATGATTTTATAAAAATTATCTAAAGTACTGGGCTAATAATATAAACCTCGTATATAGTTGAACAAAGATATAGTTACGACGAGATATTTATATTGAGGGTGGAAGAATCGTTTTCTGAATGCGAATATCAATAGCAGATTTAGGAAAGAATAATGAGTAACAGTTCCGATTGCATTGTAACGAACTTTTGAAGACACTAATTTTACTACTTATTGTTGCAATAGATATGTATAACTAAAAGTCGCATATATTCTACCTTTTAGCCTTGTATCATCATTCTTCTTTTTTTTATTTGTTTTTGTTTCTAATTTTCGAGAGGACTCGTTTAAGGTGGCTTTAGATAATATTTGTTTCGCATATAATGTTTACAGAAATGAGGCCGAGTTTCCGATGATGTATTTATAAAAGTTCTATATATAACAAGATATACATAAAGTAAACTAAGTAAGCTATGAAACCAAAGGATACTAGATAGATGGGTACCTTAAAATGTCGGATTTCAGAATATATATTGGAAGAAACCCTCGTTCCATTGTCTTATCTTATAAGGATTATAACCTTTCATTCAAAAGATATCAGGCCCCTTCTGGTCACAAAGCACAGCAATATGGAAGACCACCTACGGTTATCATTAATACAATTACAAAAGAGGAACTTCTAGACGAAGCTAAATACTATGAAGTTACATTTGGGATTTTTAGTGGATTATTGGGTATAGTAACGGTTCACAATTCGGCCTACATCGGTGTTATTACAGGTGTGCAAAATGTTGGTTTTCCTAGATGGACATTAAGTAAATCACACGTTATCCCTTCAGAAAATATATACAAGGTTTTGGATGTCGACTTTTACAGTTTAGATTCTAATGTATTTGATTCGTGGTATGCTGATCGATCGGAACAGGCGTATGATAGGATGGTGCATGAGCACCCGTGTGGATCTCTCAAGAAACTCTTTGGAGATGGGTCTTTTTACTTTTCCAAAGATTTCGACATGTCAAATAACGTAAAAAATCATACTGTAGTTCATAATTTGGAATATGCAATTGATAATCAAGATTCTTCATTTATCTGGAACACACCACTGACATCTGAGATTGTTACGTGGCGGAACCGACTTCCAGGGGACGAACGACTGGCATTTGATAGTTCTTCATTGCTAACATTTGTAATTCGAGGGTTTTGCAAAACTATATTGATTGAAGATTCTATTAATACATCATCAATCACACTTATATCTAGAATATCGACCGAGAGTAAACAGCATTGTTTGAGTGCAGATGGCCTTAGTGAGGATGGAAAAGTTTCTAACTTTGTTGAGACAGAGATTGTTGTAACTACTACGAACTTTATCTTTTCCTACACCCAAATCTGTGCCAATATTCCATTGTACTGGGAGTCTGTTGATAAGCAGATATTGTATGGTCGTAAAGCAAAGATAACAAAGGATGCAGAACATACACAAACATCATTCGGTCGACATTTCGATAATCTAGAATCAAAATATGGTATTATTACAATTGTCAATATTGTTAAACCGAGAAGTGAAACACAAGAATCACTAGCAAGTGTGTATAAACAATGTGCAGATAAAAGAGGTATAAAAATGACAAATCTAGAATGTAGTTCAAGTACTCTTTCGAAGACCCCACACAAGTTGTTGTATCTGCTAAAGGAGGATCTATTTGAGTTAGGTGCATTTGCATATGATATTGAAAGGGGGGTTTACTTTGGGAAACAGACAGGTGTTTTAAGAATCAGTGCATTTGATTCTGTTGAAAAGCAGATGTTAGTAGAAAAGATAGTGAGTAAAGATATTATTGAGCTTGCTACAAAAGAACTTAATAATTTTGATCTGACATCCCCATTCATCGAGACTCATGATAAATTATGGTCTGAGAATACGTTCTGGATGGACCGGATCTTTTCCAAAAATTCCAAGAACCCAAGCAAATACCTTAAGATTTACTCCTTGTTGTTTGATTCTAAAATGAAGCTGTATGATCCACTACATTTCTATATCTCTCGTTATTTAAAACAATTGAAGACTAACTTTACTTATGAGAGAAACATAAGTATATTCTGCGGGACATTTAATATTAGCGGTAAAACCTCTAATGACAGTATCGATGAGTGGATTTTCCCTGAACGTTCTGGTATAATAGGGATGGCAGACGCCTACATTATTGGTTTTGAGGAAGTGGTTGATCTTACACCAGGACAAATGCTATCAACCGATCCATATGCGAAGAGATTTTGGGAACAACGTGTATTGACGTTGATCAATGCTAAAAGTGATCAAAAATATGCCACCGTTTGGAGTAGTCAACTTGGTGGTGTTCTACTGATGTTTTTCGTTAAAGATTCTGACTTTTCTAAAGTCAAACATATCGAAGCAGATGTCAAGAAGACTGGGTTTGGTGGTATGGCATCTAACAAAGGTGCAGTTGCCATCAGTTTTAGATACAATGCAACGAGTTTTTGTATAGTGGCTTCTCATCTTGCTGCTGGTCTCGAAAATGTCGAACAACGACATAACGATTATAAGACTATTTTCAAAAACATTCGTTTTGCTAGAGGTCAACGAATTAAAGATCACGATGCAGTTATTTGGATGGGAGACTTTAATTATAGAATCTTAATGAATAACGAGGATGTTAGAAATCTGATATCGTTAGAAGATTATTCCAGACTTTTTGAGAAGGATCAATTAAACCAACAAATGATATCAGGTGAATCATTTCCTTATTTCCACGAAATGCCGATAACGTTTCCACCAACATATAAATTTGATCCTGGGACGAAGACTTATGATACAAGTGAAAAGATGAGAATTCCAGCATGGACTGATAGAATCTTAAGTAAAGGTGAAATTTTAAGTCAATTAAGCTACGGGTACGCAGAAGATGTCCTTTTTTCTGATCATAGACCTGTATATGCAACATTTGAAGCTACAATTACAGTTGTCGATGAGCAAAAGAAGGAATTATTATTTTCTAAGATATACGATAAAGTGACAAAAAAATTAACTACGTTAGATGAAGATGACAAAGAGGCATTTCTTAATGGTAGAGATATATTTATTGAAGGTTTAGACAAGGAGAGTCTGGTACCAAAGTCAATATTATCAGCAAGTCAAGTATCAGATCGAGTAAGGAGCAAGAAACTACCACCACCAAGTTCAGAAGTTAAAAAATGGTGGATTGGTAATGGTAAGCAAGTCAAGGTCGAGTTAGAAGTCGATCCAGAGAAATATATGATAAACCCAAACAGAGATCCTAACCCATTTCGGGATAGTAATGACAAACCATTATTTGTACCAAGACAATAACATTCTTTATATATAAACCTTTCATATTTTTATTTTTATTTTTGTGTTTATATGTCTACTCATATCGCATTTTGCATTTGTTATATACGTAAATAAAAACAAAAGAGAAGAAGAAGAAGAAAAAAAAATGATATCACTTATTATTATGTTACATTATATGCTTAAAAGGATATTTCTATATTCTATATTTTTTTTGATGAATCGATGTCATCATTCTTGTCACTATCTGTGACTTTTCCAGTTTCAGGTTGTTCCAGTTGCTGCAATAACCGATCCAGTTCTCTTTCTACTACATCTAACTTCTTTTCCATTGAATCTGCAGTTTCTTCACCTTTTTGTAATAATTTGAGCATGTCAGCCATAGTCTTGGCGTCTAATTCTTCAGTCTGTTCAGAATCTACTGACATTGTTAATAAAACTTTAATGTCCTAAAGAAAAATATCTATATATCTTTATTCTTTCCACTTTCAAGGAATGTTGAAGGTAACCAATAAACTTAGCCAAAGATTCATATTAAGCAAGATAACACAGACTTCAGCTCTCTTTCTTAAACAGATTTAAGTGTAGAAACTGGAGCTCATCTCTTACCTCATCCATCGTATTTTGTAAGAAACCCTTTAGTGTAAGTGACCGGTCAGAAGTTAATGAAATTTGTGGCTGTCTGAAAGAAACGAATTTTTCACCGCAAAAAAATCCTAAAAAAGATTGAGAGAGGGTAATTTTCCATTAATCAAGATTTTGGTGTCAAATTAAGAATTTATTAGATTGATATCTATATATATATATGCGTGAGCACTGTATGTAACTTGCAGAATATCTGCTACTGAGAAGTTGATCAATTTAGTGGATGATGGAAAAATATTTAGTACCTCCTGTTCCATATAGATAAGATTTTGTATATTATCTTAGGTAATATTCGTGAACTTAAATTTTTTTTTTCTAACTTGAAATATGACAAAAATTCTCACGTAACATTGAAAGGTTGGGCATAGTTCTGTCAGTTACACTTACGAATTTGCCACTTCCTTTGTTAAACCCATTAGTGGTTATATAACTTAAAATGAATCATCTGTATGGTGCAGTTCTAAGTAAATAGAACAACTTTTTTTCTTGATGTGAAATTGTAAGCTTTCTTCGCGTAATTGAAATTTTAATGATGTAATATAATATGCATACTGATATGTTGAATAAATTACTTCCAAGAGAATAAAATTCGGTATAGGTCAGATAATAACTTGGTACTCGAGGTTAATTTGTTTTCTTAAGTGAAATTTTTGCACAATTCACTGTTGAAAGTAAGTGAATATTCAGAAAGATGAGTTCAAGGTATGTTTGCTGCCGTTATATAAGGTTCTTTTTTTTTTGTGAGTCTTAAAGTGATTAAGTCTTTTACTACTATATTTTTCAGGATTTGTTGTACTAACTTTGTTTTATTAAACATAATAATGTTGAAGTATTTCAATTTAGACACACAGAGGATAGTTTATATCAACGAGATAATGCTAGGACACAGTTATTTGGTACGATAGTGGATCGAAAGCCTGCGAACGGTGATGATTATTCTGCTTCACCATACGCTAAAAATACAAAATTTGATTATGATGAAAATACACTTTCACAATTAGAATCTCAAAGTGATGAACAAATGGGTCAAATGGGTAAAAGGATTCAAGCTTTGAAATCGTTATCACTAAGAATGGGTGATGAAATTAAAAATGGGAATCATTCGTTAAATGATTTAGGTTCTACGTTCGAAAATACAAAAGTAAAGTTAAAGGATACCTTTGGAAATATGATGGACATGGCTAAACGATCGAGAATTAGCATTAAGACATGGCTTCTTATATTTTCATTTGTTGGAATCATGTTCTTCTGGGTATGGATCACTTAATAATAAATAAATCCGATCTTAATATTGTTTCCTAGTTCATTGTCACGTTTAAAAACACATCTCATTTACATACACTCTTTATATTTGTTAACGTGTATATATTATAGAAGGCATCTTATACATTCTATTATGAAATAAACATTTTGATACTAGAAAAAAAAAATATGTTCTGTATCATCAATATTTTAACATTAATAATATTATTATTATAATTGATACATAATTTACAATACATTTAATCCTGAAATTGTTCTTTCCCTAACAAACCGACCGTGTCTCTTTTGTTCATATACGATTTTCTAGTTTTATATTTCCTGTAAATTTTCTTTAATCTTGTTGAGATCAAGACGCATAACACCACAACACATAGGTATATCTTATGTGTTGGTGTGAACAAAGTCTTTTTTGTAGTTCTATCAATTTTGACTACCATAGAAACATACTCTGGGGTAACAACACTTGTCTTATCAGGCAACGAAACAGAAAGAAGAACATCCCTTAAACTAGATGGAGATTCACAATCAATTAAATTACCAGAAGAATCGAATTGGAAGACTCTTCCGTCTGTTCTGTCGATGATAATGATCTTACCAGTCCCTAAAGGTTCCTTTAGAATAGGAGTTCTCATCCATGACATAGTCTCATCATATTTGCCAATGTCGTAATATGCTAGTGATAATCTTAAATTATTTACATGATCAACGTCTAATAATGTAGCATCCACGATTTTGTCAGGTTTAGATTTTGTATCACGTAGGTGCTGTATGTATTCTTTCTTCTCAGTACGTTCCCTTATAATATTTTCATACATTTCTTCTAACCTTTCATGTTCATATTCGTAACCAGCCACCTTCATATTTTTTAAATAAGTTAAAGAAGACTTGATAAAAGTAGGATCAGATGAATTAGCAATCAGTAAAACAATTGTACTGAAGACATCACTATCTAGTTTCATGAAATTACGGAAATTAGATGGTGTCATTTCTGAGTAAAGTGGTTTTGCAAAAAGTTTAACCCATGACATGATTAATTTCGGATCTCTTGTTTCAGTGGTTGAGTAACCAGGGAAGATTTGTGAAGTAGTGTCCCCTTCTCTAAATATGAAAAATGTTGGCATCTGAGTGATTGAATTCAACACTAAACTATTTTCGTTCAATGTCAACGGTTGAGCTTCTTTATCATTATTTTGGATAATTGAGTACATGTTATTGTACCCTATCTTTGTCACGTCGACGATCGATTCATTAACTTTATAAAGATGGACGTTTGGTAGTGCTTGTAATGGTTCAATGAGGTGTTCCAGAACATCAAAGTCTTCAGGAACGACAGTCTTAGGATCATATGAAAATACCAGATGAATTTTTTGATCGTTAATGTTAACTTTATTAGAGTTACCAAAATCGATATCTCTTTGCATGATTTTTAAAATATCCCCCTTAGAAATATCAGGCGCAATGTTATTATGGGTTAGACGAAGTGCAAAGTCTTCGTACACTTTTGTATCCAATTCAAAATCATTGTTAGGGAAAACAAATAGATTGTTAGATTGCTTATTTGGTATTATTAAGATCACGCGTGGTTCTCTTTCCCTGGAACCATTATCCAATGGTACTAATTTCTCAAACCCTAGTTCTTTACAAAGAATAGGTGAATCTACACAATTAACATGACCAGTCTTAATTTCACTTGCTAGCAAGCTGTTTGAAAGTATCTTCCATACCCTTTTGAATGGTGTACATTGAGCACAATCTACAAATTCTCCATATGCATCTGTATTATCCATTGTCTTTGTTGGCCAAAATGAAACAAGGTAAGGTTTATCACCCTTCCCAGCCAATAAATTTATAATTTCATTATCTGATAGTTTTACACTGAGTGATCTCAGATCTGCCTCAGCATAATTATTTGGGTTCAGAGCTTCTTTTTTAGCAAATTCAATAAAACTCTCAACTGTTCTCTTATTATCAGATGGGTAATTCTTAATTGCACCTTCTGGTCCATAGAGTCTTATAGTTGGGTAATATTCAATACTTTCTGCATTACAAAGATCACCACTTGCAACACAATCAACTCTAGAAAAGGTCAAATTTAAATTGCCATATTCTGTCTCAAATTTTTCCCAAGTTTTCTTCCATACAGGTTCTAGATGCTTACAATGGGGACAGTAAGGACTGAAAAAGTCTATAACATGAAGACCTTTAGATATTTCTTTTGCAAAATCTGCACCTGGGATAGGCTCAGGGAACTGTAATTCTTCTTTGGAATCAGTAGCTAGATTTGAACTCGAATGAACAAGTTGGTTGAAAAATATAAGCAAGCTTAAAAAAGTAAACATGAAGCTGTCTACCATTATGGATAATTTCCAGTAAAACTTCCTCTAAAGAATTTGGGCGTCCTAAAGGAAGAGTGTAGGATTAGTATAAGTGGTTCTTCATATGGTGTTTCAAATACTTCGTGGTTAGTTAACTCACCACCCTTGCATAAAAATTATATGTGTTCGGACATACACCTCGTGCTGCCTAAAGTGATGACAATTTTAAATTTCTTACAAATTGAATTGATTAGGAAAGTTTACAAAACGGATCCCTCATGAAGAGTAACTTTTACAAAACTTCAGTGTCGGATAAATATATATTTTAAGTAGATGTGGTACATATACACGAATAACTATATAAATTGAAATGAAAAATAGCCAATTCTCTGTTTATCTTGACCAACATGTATGTATAATAAATTTATCGTTGATGCTTTTCATCAGTGAAAGAAGAAGAAAATTAAGTAGATATGATATGATATGATTTTTAGTGGAAGGTTTGAATATATGAGCTTTATAATAATTGGTGATGATTTGAATAATGATAATAATGGTAAAGAATATGAATAAAAAAAATGGTATGCGGTTAAGAATGAGTAAAATAATGTCTAAAATATTCGAAAGAGACTAATGTTACAGCCGATGCAGGAACTGTTCTAAGTAAGTTTGCTGTAAACCCAGAATAAAACGCTCGAAATCCCTCATTTTTATAAGTAGTTTTTATCATTGGGATCAATTTATGTTGGATACTTGCAGGTAAATTTGATTTTAACTGCATTCTCGTTCGTAAGATTTCATGTGGATATGTTATTAAAGATGCAATCATCTTTGAAAATGATGAAGCCATTATTAATCTCTTAATGTTTATTGTTTGATTTAATGATCCATCTTCGTTATAACTCACTGAATAACATTGCATTCTTGTCTTTAATTTTTCATATACTGGAAAATGAATAGCAACATGAAATAATCCCAATAATGAAGGAACTAATCCAGAATATAATGTTCGAACACCTTCTTGTTTAGTAATTTTAATAAAAGCATCTAAGGTACCTTTATAATGAGTGATATTTTCGCCCATATTAGTTTGTAACATTAACCTTGTCTTTATTACCCATATCGGATTAGTTAAAATTGTTGATGCAGCACCTGCTGTAATGGCGGAACATGAATTTGTAAGAAAGACCCATGATGGAAACAAAACGGAATAATATTCTTTGGATGGTTCATATACGGAGAAATATATTGTCCAAGTTGGGAAATAGCCTAAAATAATCGGTACTAATCCCTTATATAGCCCTCTAGCCCCTTCATCTCTAACAATGGTAGACATTGTACCAATTACTCCTCTGTAATAAAGATTCTCACTAGATTGTAACCCTTGAGCTTGAAGTCTTGTCTTCGCAACATCTAATGGACATACTATTATTCCTGATACAAACCCAGAAAGTGCACCACATAAAGCTGTTAATTTTGCATCATTAAAAGGAATTTTCGTATTTTTTTTCAGATTTGGATTGTTTGATAACGTAGGCTTTTCTAAATTATTTTGAATCTCAATAGTGGACGGCCTTACCGTACCTCTGGTGGTTAAACCTTCCAGACTACTCAATTGCTTACCCTTAATTGGATCTTTATCACCCTCAACATTATTATTATTATTATTATTATTATTATTATTATTATTATTATTATTATTTTGAATCACAGATTTATCACCTCTCGGAGTTGAATCATCTTGTGACATTACTTTTTAAACATCTGCAGAAGTGGAAAACCGACTAAATCTATTGCTAGACAGAGACTTCAAATGATAAAGTAGTATTTGCAAATCAAATACCCAGTGACAATTCTGTTATTTCTCTATCTAGCTTACGGTATCTTTCCAAACTGAAGAGATTTAACGAATAAAGGAATGTGTCTGTCTCTTTCTCGCTCTTTCTCTCCTCGGGCTTACAAAATCTTTTTTATTTTTTGTTTTCGGCTTAACGAAAAATTTTGGTGAAGTCGAGGGCTCGAATCCTAGAAGGACAGAAATTATAATACATTGTTGAACTGAATAATTTGATAAGGATAATGAAGGCAGGGATTAAAGGATATATAAGTAGTAGATTATCTAACTGAGATAAGGTAACAAGTTTTTCATTAAATCAAAAAAATATTTGTGATCACAGAAAGAAAAAAACAAGTATTATAATTGAGATTAATTTTAACGCGACTGTCCTATCAAAATCGTCAGTTTTGTCATCTGAAAAGTAAAAACGTTAAAATTCTTTATCTTGAGGTAAACATAAAAAATAATTAATAATAAAAAAATAACGATAAAGAAAAACACCATATTTGACAAATTATGAGATTTAATTAAATAAGATCAATATTCTTATTCCAACAACATATTTGAACTGTTAAATAAATGTATCTAAATATAATATTACATATATATAGTATGAATGCAAAAGGTTGTGATATTGTTTTACTTTTAAATAATATGCTAGTTAATTTGGGAAACATTAATTCAAACAACAGCAACGACAGAAAATAAGCATGTAGGCAATATGATGTTGATTGGTAGAAATGTAAGAATTTTTTACTCATGGGAGACACACCAATTTAATTATTTCTTTTAATGATTATTGCAAAAGGTCCTGCTTGTTGCTAATCAATTTTCTCTTGTTGTCAAACACATACTTGCAATGTGATTATTTATCTATATATCTTTGCCATTTCTATCGAAGAGAAGGTTAATTGAAGATAATAAATTGACAATAAATTATTTCGAATGTGCTATTTCTTGGAGAACCACTGGCAATGTAGATAGATGGTTTATCAAAAACCAAGAAAAATACGGTTGATGTTTCACAAACTCAAAAAGATGAAAGATAGATAAGTTCGAGAAATATATTTGTAGTGTTTTTCTTTCGCTACAGAATTTATCACTTAATTAAATTCAACAAAAGTAGTTAAATAATTTATTGAATCTGAACCATTTATAATTTCATCAAAATCTTTCTGTACAAATTGATTAAACGATTACCACTAATGCAAAAACATACACATAACGACTATCATCCTAAGGGTAATAAAAATACTCAAAAGTTTATCAATTTAATGATAAGTTTAATTGTTTCGTTACATTTGTCACATTCATTTTAAATAGTTGGAAATTTCTATAACATACCAACAATAAAAATTAAAAATAAAATGAAACATGCAAATCTTTATCTATTTGGCAAAAAAAAAAAATACCTATTTACCTATTAACGAAAAATCATCATATTTTTCAGGTTTTATTTTTTAAATTTTTTTCTTATTCCCTCCAAACATCTTTTCCAACGCACTAAAAACCATTGTTCTCCTTTAAACCCAAAAAAGCTTAAAAAAAATAAGACTTATACTTTGCTCGAGAATCTACTTTTTAAAAAATATCATAGAATAAGATAATATAACATAATCATGATTATTGATTTCTTTGAATATATGGACCACCTGGATGCTGCTGCTGCTGCTGTTGTTGTGGAGGTGGTTGCTGATTCCTATTAAATGAGGAAGATGCAATTGATGAAGGAATTATGTTGTTAGTTGCACGGATTCCTTTATGCGCCAATGGAACCAATGACGATCCATAAGGTGAATCTGTCATTGTTTGACCAGTTAAAGTATTATTCAAACGAGTATTATTCATTACAGATACATTTATTTGTTCTACTCGATTGTTAGTATTATTTGTACCCGAATTAATATTTTCTGCTAAATAACCATTTCTTAATTTTTCATTGTTTACGTCGTTATTACCATAAACTGTTTCATTATTTGGTAAAATAGTACCTTGTCCATAATAACCTGGATAGGCTTGAACATGATTTGTTAAAGATGGGAAAAACTGTTGAGGCGGCATATTTGTTTCATTGTTTGCAGATGAAACCATATTTACCTGATAGGGTTGCTGCTGCTGCTGCTGCTGTTGAAGTAGTACCTGTGAACGATCTATATTTTGTTGATAAGTGCCGTTGTTATTTATATTTACATTACCATTATTACCATTATTATTGGCATTGGTATTATTGATGCTATTTTCATTACTTTGATTACTATTATTTGAATGATTGGAATTGTTATTATTAATATTATTTACGTCGGATGCAGTTTGTTGATTTAAAGACATTGGAAATTTTGGAATATGTGAGACACCGACCGATGGCGGTATAGCAGCATAATAAACTTGATAAGGATTATTTACCATCATTCTACCATGATTATTTTGTTGCTGCTGCTGTTGTTGTCCATATGGCATGGCGTATAAACTGTTTGGATTTGGTATTCCAGGAGGAAATGCTAATCTGATATTATTATTATTATTATCTGAACCACCAGGTCCACCACCATTAGTATTATTGTTATTGTTATTATCGCTGGAATTATTATTTATTGGAGTAGTATTCGAATTATTATTATTTTGAGGGTTCCATAATTGAGTTTGAGGTGGTCCATATAATTGTTGATGATAAGCTTGATTTTGATTTGTTGAAATTTTAATATCATCCGATATTTGTTTTCTATCATTAATATAAGAATATCTTTGTTGTTGATCATTTGAATTATTAGTAATATTAATACTGCCTAAATTACTACTATCCAAAGCTTGAATCAATTCTTTACTGGGTTTAATATCATTAAAAAATGGAGACTCTGATGGACGTTGTAATCTATGAAAATTAATATCATCTTCTAAATAATATGAAACTATGTGAAAATGTTGTTGAATCTTTTCATCATTATTTGTTTTTAATTTCATTGAAATTGTCTTTTTAACAAATCCTGTATATTTTGAAAATTGTTGAATTGGATAATTTGATGAATTATTAGTGCCATTAATTAAAGAATTAGCTTGTTGCTGTTGCTGTTGCTGCTGTTGCTGCTGTTGTTGTGATGAAATCATTTGATGTTGTTGTTGCAATCTATTATTATGAGATGATTGATTAAACATTGATGGATTATTAAAACTTCTATCCAATTCTTTATAAATCAAAAATTTACCAGAAATTCTTGATGGTGACCAAGTAATACCATCTGTCCATCTTTTAATACCTGAAACTTCTTCAATGAAGACAAATATACTACCTGAAATAATTAAATAAGGTCTCTCGATTTCATATGGTCTACGTGGTACATGATTCAATCGTGAATCTAATACAGCTTGAAATATTAATAAAGCATCTAATTCATTTTGAATGTAACCTCTAAAAGTTGGTTCAATATCCATTTTTTTTACTTTTTATTGTTTTCAAAAAAACAAAAAACAACTAAAAAGGAGAAAGAAATGTTATAATAGTATAATTTTTTCTTTTCGAATAGGAATAAAATTCAAAAAAGGTAACTTGTTTTAAGTTTTTATCCTTTTTTGGTTAATGATTGAGAATGTTTAAAACAATAGGTTTAATTCGTTAATATTTGAAGAAAAAAACTTCAAAAAGCAACCAAACAAACTTTAAAAAAGAAATTATATTGTAACAAAGAAAACAGATCAAAATATCTTTAAAAAGAATGATAGATATAATTGATGTGTCAATAAAAGTGTATTGTGTTTTTAACAATAAACGAGAATGTAATTATAAAGAATTCAGGGAAAAAAGACAAATTCGGATTTCGTTTTTAATATGATAATAATCTTAGTTGCGTTTTTCTTTTTTAATGCAACCTTATGATTACAGACAAACAACGAGAGAATTAGATTAAAAGCTAAAATAATATATCAAATTTCTATTATTTATCCTAATAACGGTATCGATTTTCTATCTTTTTTGTTTTGTTAATGGAAAAAAATAAATAAGTATGGTAAACAAAAACTAATTCCTTGAACTGTTTAATAGTTACTACTATGTTTGATTATAAAAAAGAAATGGAATGTTGAAAATAGGGGAGAAAAAAATCTAATAGATTTATCAAAAATATTAAAGAATAAATTAATAAACTTAACAATGAAATCTTCTTTTATTTATTTTCCAGAATTTTTTTTTTACAAAAAAAAATTAAAAAGTGAATGAATCTTCTATGTTTCTTTCTTCTTTGCAGAATTAAAAAGGTTTAAAACTTGATTTATAGAACTAAACAATAGTAATAAAATTTTAAGGAAGAAGTAAGACTTGTAATAACAATACTCGATGCACTTATATATATGAAAAGAATCATAAAGAAGGAAAAGTTAGTTTTAATTTTTTTCTTTCTTTCTTTTAAAATTTATTATTATTGTTATTATTTTCTTCCTTTATTTAACAGAAACAAATCAAATCTATCTAACTAATAGAGAACAATTAAACTTGCAGAAGAGAGAAAGAGAAAAATACCACATGGAAGAAAAAAAAAAATCAACAAAAAGGAATAATCACACAGAGACATATGTGTTTTTTTGTTTTTGTTTAATTACAAACAGAAACTTTTTTTTTAGTTTTTTAGTTTAATTCGATAACATTTTGCAGTAAAAGATTAGAACAATATTAAGAAATTCCTGTACAGAAAGTCTAAATAATAAGCAGGATAACTCAAATTAATTAAAATTGAAAATTAATTTTATTACGACGATAGAAAAGTGCCCACTAAAAAAAATTATTTAAAAAGAAAATTAAAGAAACTTTTCAAAATTAAGAGGCTGGGACCTGATTTGCTTGAGGGGGTTTAGCTATTATAGCTCATCCATAAACACATTCAGTGAAAGAAAAACAAAACAAAAAAAATTCCACATCTTCTTGCTTCTTGTTACTTTTTGACCTGAGGTGGTGTACTACAGAGGTTCAAAAAGAGGTAAAAAATATATATAGGATAGATTAATTTATTTTCTGCTTTACTTATTTTGGGTTTTTGGGTTTTAAACTAAGTAGTGCGCACTTCGATCATTATAACAAATCTCTTGCAGAGTCATTATTCTCATATGCTTCCTTTCATAACTACTTCTTATAAAGAAAGGATAAAAAAAAGAAGTAATTATTTCGGCAGTTATTTAAACCCCTGAGGTACAAGAGAGAACATTTATACTATTTTTTTTTTGTAATTTCTTACTAGTATTAAGTACAATACATCTTATAGAGAATTTTTAGAGAATCTTTAGTATTCCATTACATTTGAAGTGAAGTAAACAAGGTCAAAGTAAGGAGGGAAACTAATTTTGAAATAGTAATCAAAGAAAAAAAAGAACGCAAATGTGTTGTTTAGTAGTAGTGGTCGAAGATAAATCTGCATTGTATTTTTAAAAATACTTGCTGAATGTAAAAGATCCCACAGAAAGCATCGCTTACATAACAAACTTTTTCCAGAGAAGAAGAAGACAAAAAAGAAAAGAAAGGACAGAGAAGAAGAACAGCCAATAAACTCCACGGAAGCTACGTCATTTTAAGAGCAGATATTAATGAATAAATACTGCAGAAAATTGATTTTATTGCAATATCGTTGAAGTAGATAAGTGAACAATCTTCTATTTTTTTAAGTTTTCTCTTACTAACGAACTATAAAATCAGGAACTTTTGAATTGCGAGTGAGGTGGGACATACCATAGTGAAAAAGAAAGAGAACACCACAAGGTGACGGCGTAATGACCCTCTTTTCTCTCTGTGTGTATTATTATACTTGATCCCTTTATTCATACAGATATACATGCACAATATATTTGAAAATAGTAAGATGACGCAAGACTTTAAAAGAAGAAGAGGAACAAATGCATCAAAACAAAGAAAATTAAATAAATACCTAGGGAAAGACGAAAGATCTTCTTTTCATTCCAGTATGAAAATCCTTGTTTTTTCCTGTTAACAACAGATAGATAGATGCAAACTACTCATATATGTTCAACAAACTGTTTTTAAACTTTAATTATATAATATTGCATCATTAATAATGTTAGTAGAAAAGGATAAAAAGCTCTAAAAAATTCAGTTTTTTTTTCCAAAATTATTCTTTTTTTTTTCATTCTCTTCTTTATGGTTTCGTTCGTTCAGTACGTATTTTTTTATTTTGTTGGTGGTGGTGGTGGCCAAGAACAATTATTTACACAGAGATGAGATGAGATTTGACCCTTGAACAAGGATTAGAGAAGGAACTATTAAAGGATTTTTTGTTTTGTCTTTTAAATTAATTTGTTCACAAGAGGATAGATAGCAATGGAAAAGATGCATGAAATATTGACTCCAACTATTGGTGATGAAGAAATTCCAAAACTAGTCGATAAGATTTCATTATTATCATTACAAGATTTATTATCATTGAAAAAAAGAATCGAATTACAATTATCGAAGGATGTATCGTATTTAGAATCTCAAAATATTGATATGAATTCCAAACTTATTACGGAAGATGGATATCCAAGACAAGATCTCGACGATATAGTTCAAATTACTCTAACTAGAAGAGATATTATTCAACGTCGGAATGATCTAACAGCTGTAATCAATCGATCCCATATTCTATTAGAAAAACAATTATCTAAAGAGAATAAGTCACAAGAAAAGGATATTACAAAGTCCTCTACACCTTTCACTAATCATATACCCTTTGCCATCTTTGAAGAAATCGATATGAATGGACCCATCGGCCAAAGTGGTATTCAAAATGGAGATACTTTAATATCATTTGGATCTGTTACAGTTATTAATGGTGGATTACAGGGACTTTCTAAAGAAGTTTCCATTGGGAAAACTATACCAATTAACATTAAAAGAGATGGAATATCGTATACTTTTAATGTGACTCCGAATAATCAATGGGGTGGTCGTGGTTTATTAGGTTGTAAACTAACAAAATTATAAAATAGTACTAGATATGTAAAGTTTTTTAAATCATTCTTCTTTATTTAATTTAGAAAAGCTATCGTCTCTTGTGTTTGTAGCTGAACGACCGGCCCATTAGGGAGGAAGGGGGTGGAAACAGGGAAAGTCCTTTATTTCTTCCTTATTTTTCTTCTTCTTCCTTCTCTCTCTGCGGTGAGTTAATGGTCGTGATAGTTCTCTCATCCGACTTCAGATCTCCCTTCTTCTTAATTAACCTATGAATATCGGAGTTTATTAAGATTTTGAAAAGATGAACTGATAGAAAGGTGATCAAGTTCTCTAAAATACTTTAATTTGAGTATTTTTAACTTTTTTGGTAGTTTCGTTTCAGTTTCTGTTGTCGACCCTAGAGTTACTGCCCTGCCCCTCTCCGTCTCTCTCTTTTTCTATTTTCCTTTTTTTGTTGTTGGTGATTCTTAAAATAACGTAGCATTAAAAGAAATGCGATTCATTGGATGAACACCTGATATGACCATGATGTCAATGATTTATAGTTTCTTTTCTGTCTCACCTTCTTGGCTTCCATGTGGAGGACAGAAAAACACACACAACATCGAAAGATGGGCGTGGTACGTCTCTCCTACGTCACAAATATATATACATTGTATATATTATGGTTATTCCAATGCAATTATCGATATTTTTCAGTTTCTGCCAGTACAAGATTTAATTTTAATGTTAATTACTAAACTTTAGTAATATTCTGAATTACTCTTTATGATTCTGCATACAAAATGAATACTATTTATTTTTTTTAACTTTTCTTTTTTTGGTTCCAATGATAGTTTTATTGTTAGATTCAATTAAGCATTTTCTTTCTTTTTCTTTATAGGGTACTTCAAAATTAGTGTTAATTCTACATCTTGATTTCCACGGAACATTTCCAATGAAGCTAACGTGTATATCAAGCAAAATGTTTTGGCGTTGTGTTGTTTGGCCACTTTTTTAGCCTCTAATAAATTAAATAAAATATTTTCCACTAATATTCTGCTGAGATGTGCTTTTTTTGTCATTGGTTTGTTTTCTACTAAGCAAACACACATTGAAAAACTAATACGGAATGCTCAATCCTTTGGCGTTCTTAATATTTTAATAACATAGTTGGAAAATTACTTAGTCTTACAGAAACAACAACAACAATTTTTTACCATTAAAAAAGAATAGAATTTAACTAAAGGTAGAGGTACCAATTCACTAGTGTTTATATAAGATATACATATTAGTATGTCATACAAAAATATTTTATGATATTTAGTTTATAATTAGCTATCGAAACGATTATTTATCCTAAAGGAATTAATGAGAGATGGACAGCTTGGTGTAAACACAGGAGATCTGAAGGAAAGGGGAACGAAGTGATAGTAGTTCTGAATTAGCACTAGTAAACTTGTTACACATTTGTTAATAATGAATAATGATCCAGGTAGTAGTGATACCTGACATGGACAGTCATTGATGTAAGGAACACAGAATAATGACAAGACATATCCATCCACTGCGTTACGAAAACAAATGTGCTCCAGAAATGAATTGATGTTCACATTTTCCAATTCGTGCTTGATTTATTGCGTTATTAAGATGGACCATCAAAGTCTCTGTAAACAGTTTTTGATACTGACTAATATCATCAATTTAAATATTAAAAACATCCAAAAGTATTTGGAATATTTATTTTATTAATACCATATGGTTGAGTGGTTAGTATGAACATGTAGTTCAGACTACTGTCATAATTACGGAGATATTCAGAAAAAGTAAACAATTAATGCTACGTCACTTTTGATCGAGGGAATCTTATATCAGAGAATCCAAAATTACCATAGGGAATCAGAAAATTAAAGTTTTTCGATCATTCTGTACTCTTTTGACGTATAGTTTATTGCCTGTTTCAGATTCATTTGAATGTGCCATTATCTTTTATTATATTACACCATTTAAAAATGATAAACACTCAAAATTAATATTTACTGGAGAGTAACACTATATGGAACCAATTAGATGTATTGGTGTATAGCTGCCATATTCTAGGACCTTCCATTCATCGTTTATAGCAGATAACCTCTTTCTTCTTCAGAGTGGAGAGGATAACAGAAAAATAAAGATACAGAATTTATATATTTTGCCAAGATATCTGGCTTGTAAATATGCTACATATACAGGAGTAGGGTATCCCCAAAGAAATATGTGTAAAAATTTTGTGCTTGATTATTTTATGAATTTGTAATATGAACGTAATTGGCCAAGAGAAAATACCGAAGGTGATTCAGAATTGTCAACCTTTGACATAATTATAAATATATGCTAGTATAATTATTATTAGTTGTTTTATTGAGTAATAGAAGATAATTTGCATTTAATATACAGTAATTTGTAATATAAAGGAATAAATTGAAGAGTAAAACATGTTTTCTATTTATATGAATAATTGGAATTTTCCACCGTAAAAGTCACGGCGGTGTAAACTGAGATTATTAGTAATCAAGAATATCTTGGAACATTCTAGCATAACCTGAAAAATCCAGAATATTCTTGTTGAAAAAGTTGTTCTGGAACACTATACATAAAAAATCACGAGCAACTATTGCAGCTTATATTCTTCCCCAACAAGTAGCAATTATGAGGATATTTTCTGATATGAAGAATTTTAAAATTAAACCTTTAGAAACATTTTATATTCAAATTTCGGCCAAATTTTTCAAGAAATTGAGCTCGCATGGCGTAATGGCAACGCGTCTGACTTCTAATCAGAAGATTCTGGGTTCGACCCCCAGTGTGAGTGCTTACTTTCTTTTTTAATTTTTTTTAAGCCTGTGATATGTGAACCTATATAGCCCATATTGCTCTCAGTTCACTAGTTCTGATTATATCTTAGACTTATCATTGGTTATTACACGATCTTATATCGCTGTTTTTTTATTTTTTTTGTTAAAATATCCAGCCTGTTGTACTATAGTTTTTGATTAGTTAATATATTAACCAGAAGTTAATTATGATAACCTTTCTTATATATATTTCTTACTGTAGTGTCCTCTTGTTTTCCTAGGTTTGTCTCAGATGCCAATCTCCCTAGTTCAGTTATCGTCCTTAGTGTTGGACAATTATCTTCACAAGCGCAATAGTGGGTTCTTTTAGACAAGATCATGTTTTTTTTTCAAGTTTCTACAAATTTCTACTAACCATCTTGTTTGTAAATGTTACTCTACTGTACTACCGTTTAAGTATACTTCATTTAGAATTTTTAAAGAGGAACGCTTTCTGTTTGTAACAATATTTTGAAGTTCTTCAACCAAAATTTATTGTACCTTTTATTACATAAGGGTAAATAAGCGTCTTCGTCAGTAAATATTAATTGAAGTACCGTTTAGAAATGTTAAACTCTCCCTTCTTTATATTCAAAATTAAAAGTGCTAAAAGAATCATTTTTCTATTTAATTTTTTGTTTCGTCAAAAATGTCAGAATGTCACACTTCTAGAACTGTTCCCAGTAATCCATCTTATATAATTAGGATAAACAATTGCATCACCCATCAATATTTAAGAGTGGTAGTTTATTGTCCATGATTGTTCTCTTTCTTCTAAATTAATTTCTTAGCCGTTGTTTTGTTTTTGTTTTGGTGGTATAAATTTTTTGAAGTGGGTAAAACGAAGTATTATTACCTTTATTTTAGATCTTATCAGTGAAGACTAATCGGAAACAAAAAAAATAATACCTACAGTTATAAGGTTTCATGACTCTATATAGTGTCGATATTCGATTTTACATTACACTATTGTTTAGTACGATTATCTATCACCCATTACCCATTTGCGTAAAATTGTACACGAGAGAAGGAATTACTGAAACTAGGTGGGTAAACTTTGTAATTAAATAAATATATAAAAGTACAACATGATCCCAAGATTTTTCGTTTCCAAAGTTAACTTTGTTAACAGTTAACTCTTATGATAGATCATCAACCACAGATATTTAACAATGTTCAAACTTACTGCTCTAACTTTTGCTATAGCCTGCTCCCAATTAGTAAACGCACTACCATTTAATAGTACCGTCAATGCGCTAAACAATCAAAGTTCCAGTAAGAATGTCACACTGGCTAATACCACTCCAATTGAAAGGGCTACCCTCCATGATGAATTGATCCGTGCATTAGACATCGATGATATCTCAGAATCTTTCAACAAAACTTTAGACGAAATTATCGATAAATTTGGATACCCAGATGAGTTTTATACTGACGATGATAAATAAACTATGTTTATTTTTTCAAAGATTTAATTCCCTTATAAGCTTACACACGCTTAGTCTGTTTTTAAGTTCGTTGACATATTTATTCTTTATAAACACACAAAATCTGTACGTATACAACTGAATAAATATATCCTCTTTTTTCATTTCTTCAATCGAACTCGACACATGTACATTAACCCCCTCAAATCAAATTTCTATTACATTCAAACGAGATATCGTGTCCTCACAAATATCACCTTTTGAAAGATATAAAAATATCCCAATTACTAGTGAACCACTAGCATAGTAAAAAATAAATAAATATAATAACGATGTCGTTAGAATAAATAAACAGAAGAAGTATTCCAAAAATTCCCTACATAATCAAAGATATTCTAAAGCGAACATCCCATGGCGATCATGAGGAGTAGGTCTGGTTAATAAATTTCAACCAGCAAAAACACAATCTCGGACGAATCCTCACTGATATGCGTATTTCCCTTGCATAAGGATACTCTCTTTAAACCCAAAAGGACAAGAATAAAAACTACAGCCTATAATAATGTTGATGGAAAGTTGAAATGAAGTTCGTCTCTTTTATTTCTCCTTTTATACTTCACCTGATATGAAAACTGTTTCGAGGCAAAAAAAAAAAAAATCAAAATTTTTTTATGAGACAGGATAAATATCACTTTCTACGTTGTTCAGATTGAACCATTTGACATACCAACTTACTTTGCGAAGTATAAGGATCATTCGCCAGTTTAATCATCTATATTAGAAATGCAAGTGTCTATTCGTATAATTATGTAAAGTCTATGATGTTATATATTTTAAAAGTCTGAATCTGAACCAAGTATATCGTCCAGGACCTTTTCGTTAGAAAGATCTGGTATTTCTTCTCGGGTTTGTGTTGACTGCGACATTGATGCTATATGGCTTCTTAAGGACATGTCAGAGCTCACAGATGTATTGAAACTTTGGTTAGAACTGCGTAGAGCTTTTGCAATGCAATTTGTTCTATTCATATCGATGGTTCGGGCAACGTTATTAGTGCGAAGATCAGAAAATAGTTTAATAATGATTGCGTTAGAAGTAGAATGGGGGATCTTTGATGTCTTTGTATAGCTATCAAAATTTGGTATAAGATCCATAGAGAGAGAGCTGTCAGGCTTATAATGTTCTTTAAAATATCTGTGCTCATCAGGTGTGAGAAACCCATTTTTCGTTTCATTAGTTGAGTTATTCCTGCTGGCTGAATTATGTTTATTGCTTGGTAACTTCCGATCGACGGAAAGTACTCTCTCAGTATTGTTTTGTTGTAATCTAGATGTATTTGTCTTAACGTCCGAAAGAATGGGGACCAATGTTGGTTCATTCTTAACTGATTTTATATTAGGTTTATTGACTAAGATAAGCGGCTCATCTTGCGGTATTGATCCTGTCGGAGTTGACACCTTTGCCTTCTTCCTTTGTACAAAATTATCTTCGTCATTATCAGATATACCTGATGATGACGAAGTATCGCCGATCTTATCTAACATTGTAGGTGATCTTGCCTCAGGAGAAATTTCTTTTTTCACCAAGGATAATTCACCAGAACCGTTATCAACATATTTGTTAACAAGGTTTCCTGCTGGTACAATACCTGTCTGAACATTATCTGGCATGAAAAATTGTTTAGGTGTAGCCTTTGTTTGCTTTTTAGTTACTTTTTTAGTGGCCTTTTTCGTTTTCTTTGTTGCCTTTTTACCTAACATACATTGAGTAGCATACAGGATAAGATCATCTGTATCTTCCATGTTATTCACAGTTTCATCTGATTCATTAATCATCATAAATTTCTTGACACATTCTGGTTCAATATCCTTTGGAATGATACGATCCGATTCCTTATAGTCAATATAATCCTGACTTATCATCTTCTGTAAACTGATATAGTCTTCCATGGCTTGTTGGAATTTAAATGATTCATTACTAGAAAATAATAAAACAATACGACCGTCTCTCTTTCTACCTGTTCTACCCATACGTTGAATATTCTTGATCGGACTACTTGTAGTGTCGTAACAAATAATACAATCGACTTCACCAATATCTAAACCTTCTTCACCAATAGACGTACATACCAAGACATTAAACTCACCAGCTTTGAATCTTCTTATAACATCTTTCTGCTGCTTCTGATTCATCCCATTAATCTGAGCTTCTTCAGAACTGGCCGTACGCCTGGCGCTTCTTTCATGCTTCTCTTTCTCTTTTTCTTCCTTCTTTTTGGCTTCAAGCATTTCTTGTTCTGCTTGTCGACTCAAACGATCTGCTTTCTTTCTACCTTTTGCTTTATGTTTACGAGTAAATTCAACTTCGTCAAATCCTTCTTTACCCCTCGATTGACCTATAAAAATATGAGGTCGAATATCGGAGTTACTCATGGAATCTACACATCGAACAATCTCCAAGGCACTTTCTCTTAACTCTGTAAATATAATTATTCTTGAAGTTGGATCACTTCCTATGAAAAACATTTCCAATTCTTCCCTAACACGTTCCAGCTTACCATGCCCAAGGAATTGTGGATTCGCTACCATTCCATCACAAGTTTTCATCATCACTTTCAAAAGAGGATGAAAATAGAACGATGCTGCAATCTTGTTCGTGGATTTACCCATATTGTATTTAGTGGTAAATTCGCTATACTTATTTTTAAAATAATTGTAGAACGTTCTAATACCATATATCTTGATTCTTTTCAACATTTGACCAAAATGGTTTAATAGTTGTAAAATAAAGAAATTTCTCCATTTAATACCTTCAGGGATACCCGGATTGGCGATAATCTTCTGACTCTGTTGCATCGCTACGAACGCATTAATTCTTGTTGGTTCACATTCCTCATAGATTCCTAACTCAACTGCTTGTTTCAATATAGGTGTAATTGCTATACCTAACTGTTCGATTATATCCTCAATTTCTGGAGTTAGTTCAATCCTAACCTCTTCCCTTTCTTTATGTTTCATATATTTCACAATATCTTCACTCTCTTCGGTCCTAATTTCAATAGTTGATATGGTTAAGTTGTTAACTACTTCTTGAACGTTTTCTAATGTCGAACCAGGCGTGGCAGTCAGTGCCAATATTCTATAGGATGTGTTGAATCTGTTGATGAATTGAACAACATTTGTGTATGCATAAGAACCAGTCGCACGATGTGCTTCATCCACTACCAAACAAACAATATCCTTTGGGTTCAACACCCCTCTCTTTAAATCGTTCTCTACCACTTGTGGGGTGGTGAAAAACACTCTCTTCTCTTTCCAGATATCTTCTCTATTACGTCTAGTCTTATCTAGTAAAATAGCAGTTGCACTACTCGGTATACCAGATACACCAAGACATGCTTTAATCTGTTGTGCTACCAGTGGCCTAGTTGGGGCCATGAAGATAACTTTACCCGTTTTGGTCCATCTAAAGAAATTCAACATTACGGTACTAGCAATAAACGTCTTACCCATACCTGTCGGTATGGCACATAGTAGATTTGTAAATAGAGCTTTTTTCACAATATCAAATTGGTAATCTCTGACTTCAAAGTTTGTTGGATAGATATAGTCATGCAATGAGGAATCATTAAATTCGTGATGTGTTCTTCCAAATGTTACATCACGTCGAATTTCTTCATAAAACGCTTGTTGGCCTGGAAGTACATTATTAAACAGATCTCTTTGCACAGGTACTGAAGTTCGTATTACTGTTTCTTTCACACTTTTATTGATGTTTTTCTGGTACAGAGATTCGTACTCATCTTCATCAAAATCACTAAGCTCCATGCAGCTAACCTTTCTCAGTACAAATTTCAATCAATTGCAGAGCTGACAACACATTAAAGAAGTCCCCTGGACTATTTGGTTTTGATTTACAGAATTGCTGAGTTTATGGCTGAGTTAAACAAATATAACACTAAAAGGTCACTTCCAACGGACAGTTTAATCTCTATTCATGCAACTATTTGGTAGTCAGATAATATCAGAAATCGTGGCTAAATAGTTTATATTATTTAACAAATATTAAAGAAATATTAGAATTGATGGCACAATCACTTGTTCTTGTTTAAATATTTCTGTGGCTCGTTTTCATGTTATTTTCATTGTTCATCGATTGGGTTTTCTTTTATTGACAGAGAGAAAAGCGAAAATCGATATATTTTTAATTTGGCGTTTCCATTCAATTTAGTATATAGCCCTTAAAAAACCAAAGAACCTGAACTTGAAACTGCGAAAATAACCTTCGAGGTGCGACCAAAGAGATTAGCAATTGTGATCATCTAAGCCGATTGGTATCACATTTAAAGTTTTTTTCAACAAAACCAACGAAATGAGTACCGACGAACCCTCAACGAGTACACATCATGAAGCAGTCCAACCAGGGGTCATTCCAACATCAAGACCTTTACGGAAATCCAAGACTTCAGAATTGCTAGGTGAAACACCATCCCACGAAACAGAAGAAGAGAACGAAAATATTTCTCCACAAGTACCATCTAGACCAACAAGAGGTTCTTCGATAAAATCCACTAGAGAGTCCAGAAATCCCGAAGCAATGGGAACAAATGATGAATCAGAGGATTTGAATAGAGCAAGTGATGTAGTGGAAGAAATAGTACCTAATATTCCTAGTAGACCTTCACATGTCCATCCAAGCAGCAAAATACAGGAGCCACATATACCTACCAGACCTACTCATGACCACAATGCTTCTAGACATGAAGCCGAACCACATATTCCCACCAGGCCAATTAAAAATGAAGCCCCCGTCGATCAAGAAATAGTAAGTGAACCACATATTCCAGCAAGACCGATAAGAAAAGGTATCTCAATTGATCAAACAGAGGTGAATGAGCCACATATTCCGGCAAGACCATTTATTAAGAAACTCAACTCTGCCGATGAACAAATAGTTACCCTAGATCCTCAAGCCGAACCCCTAACTACCGATGACACGAACCAATCAGAAAACTCAACACCACATATATCAGAAGTACAACAGAAAATTTCTAATAGTGTTAATGTATCAGATAGTGAACCGGGATCTGGAAAGGTTAATCCAGAGGTTCCACAACCTACAGAGGGAAACAATGAAAACGAGGAAGAAAGAACAGGTGAAACCAATAAACCTTTATCTGAAGAGGATATTGATGATTCAATGCAAGCTGAGCCTGTTGCAGAGGCACCCATAACACCATACGCAAATAATGAGACTGGGCTAGTGGAACCATTAATGCCGAAAAGACCTATCAGAAGAACAACCACAGAAGTTCATAGTCCCTCCGTTCCTCAAAGACCAAGAAAGGCAGCTACTTCTATTGACCTAGAGACTGTACAAACCTACCCTTCCTTATCATTGAAGAATCTTACCCCTACGGATGATATGAAAGAGAACAATCCAGAAAATGGAGAATCTGATTTTGAAGAAATTATTGAAGATGAAAAAAAAGTTCAACCAGTAGATATCATTAGTCCTGGCCCTACAGATGCTAATAAATATTTATTAGAGAAGGAAGAACAAACGATAAAAGATATTAATACTGAGAAGCCTGAACCCCTATCTGAAAATGTTTCAGATGAAATTATGAAAGAGATTACTGAGCCAGTATTAGAGAAGTCCAATGAACTTACCAAAGACGAGAATGAAGGACAGTCGCGGGATTCTACCCCAAACTCTACGGCAAAAGAGGAACAACCTTCAATTCCATCAAGACCTGCCAAAAAGGGGCCTCCTCCAGTACCCAAAAAACCATCTTCAAAGATTGCTGCGTTCCATCAAATGTTGCAAAGACAGCAGTTAAAAAATTTAGGTTTAGATGATGCAGAATCTGAGGCGGATGTCCAAGCTGAAAGCCCTTTGACACCTACTACAGAAGATTCCACCCCTTCCCAAACGAAATCCCTACCAACTAGACCTTCCCAAATGGTTGGTGGAGTGAATGGAATGTTTGCATTACCTGGAATGGTTTCGGGTGGTGCGTTACCACCTGGGTTAAGCAAGAAGCTAGGTATTTCACAAGACAACGAGAATTCCAGCAGTGACAATAGTAGTTCAAAGGGTGGGTTGAGTGACGTTCGCCAAAAGAGAGCCAGAGGACCTCGTGGCCGTAAACTGCCAACTAAAATAAGTGGTATCAAAAAAGTTGTTGATTCTACTGAAAATAACGATATTGAAATGTTTAATAACTGGACTATTACTCTTACTCCAATAGAGAAACAAGAAAATATTGATGCTGAAGAGACTGCTACGTTTGATAATGTTGAAGAAAAAGAGACATCAACACAACCAATAGACATCCAAGCTCCAAAAGACAATGAACCAGTTACCCCTCAGGAAGGGGAACACAAACCGGATGGTATACCAGGGGATGAAGAAAGATTACCTTCCCAAACACCAATATCTATCGGTGAAATAATTGAGTTAAGAGACGATGACGAGAGACCTATCTATTTGGAACAACAAGTTGAGAAAATGGCAGAATCACTAATGGAACAAGAGATGTTGAAAGGTGACATTGATGAGATGGAGATTGAAGAGAATGATCAAGCAGTTAACTTTGTTGATGATTCAACTCCTGAAGATGAAACGGATAATTAAAATAATGTAATACATATATATTTTATGCAAGAATACGACAATAAACGGATGTTTTGTATCTATTATTTACAGAATGGCCATATAATATGTTACATTACGATAGCACAACACAATTTGTAATGTAAATAATATCCATTTGCCAAGTTCATACAGTTGAAATGTTGATAAGTGAAAAGGCAGTATATTCCGAAGCAATAAGGGAGGGGACACATACATATGTCAATTATAAATAAAATGCAACAGGTAATATCCTTACGAAGATCAATCTAAAACAAAGAAACGAGTGCTTATGGTGACGCTTTGTCCTAAGCCAAGTCTTCTCTGTAAATATTCTTTAACTTTGCTTTAAGATGCTTTCGCTTTGATAATTTTATTATGAAAAGTTTTAAAAAGACATGCATATGAGACTATCAATAGGATACCAATAAAAGAGGCCGACCGATAAAGAAGCAGAAGAGAACCATATTGAGGTCATCGTTCCATTAAAGGCCTAGCTGAAATGAACCAGATTAAGTCTACTCAGAGGATAAATTCTGCCGAGCTTGAACAGGGAATACTCGATCCAGCGAAATCATGGCATCACGAATACGTTGAACAGGCCTACATATACATCGGAGGTCTTAATAAGGAACTTACAGAAGGTGATATAGTTACAATATTTTCACAATATGGAATACCAGTTGATATTTTTCTCGTAAGGGATAGGCAAACTGGTGACTCTAAGGGGTTTGCCTACTTGAAATATGAGGATCAAAGATCAAGTGTCCTTGCTGTAGATAACTTAAATGGTGCAAAAATCGGTGGAAGAACTATTCAAGTAGATCATACGTTTTTTGAGCCCAGAGATGATATGAATGATTACAGAGAAGCCGTTAAAGAAGAATTAGACAGAGATATCGTTAACAAGTTATTGTTCCCTTGATAAAAATAATAGTTTAAGGACATATATTTCCAAATTTTTTCTGGTCTTATTTCAATATAAGACTGTTTATAATCCTCAGCATTACAATGTATTCATTTATGCTCTGTGGTTGTAAGTTGATCTCAATTCTAACTAGTAGGAAACGCCCATTTGGATTATCCTTAAACACTAATAAAACATTCTGGCATAATGTTAAGTGAAATCCGGTGGTCGAATTACAAATAGTCTTTTGCATTATCATTATTGTGTATACCATAATTCATGAGCGAAAGGACATGACATCTCTATTGCTGATTACAATGTTAAACTTTTTAAGAACCACCACGACACTGAACTCAGTACAACAAAGATAGAGTTTACCTGTTTGTTATTCAATAGAAAAATTTAAGTGTATCACAAGTAAATTAACCCATTGATTTAGAATATTTGTATCTCCCATAAATTTTAAAACAAATAGATGATTCCACATTCACCTGGTTCAAAACTATTTGGGTGAAACAGATGCGATTGGTTTTGACAGATTTTCGCTGTAGTAAGGAAAAAATATTTAACATATACCTACTCATTGGATAATACACTTGAAAGTGAAATTTCTTCCAAGCAATTCAATTTATATCCGTGTACTTTTTATAATGTAATGCAGATACAATGCTAACAAATTAAAATCAGAAATTGGGAGAAAGAAACTTTGCTGATTTACCTCTTATATGTACAAGAAGAATTTTACTGCGTTTCTGTGTTATTAGAAAGAACTTAGTTAATTGTTGACAAAACTAATAATTTGTCTCTAATCCTGGTTTTACGCCAAAGTATGTTATGGCAGTTGAGGTCAAATAATTACACACAATAGAAAAGCCCAAATGACTATCAGTATTGATAAGTGACGAAAATTATCGGGATTGGTAATATCTTGAATGATTTACTAATATTCAAGGTTCAATACTGATATACGGTGTTTTTTACGAAAGTATTACGTAAAAATCACGAACTGGATTACCACACAAGTAAAGTAAGTAGTAAAAATACAATTGACCCCTGTAGGTTATTACTGAATAATCCAGGTGTAATTAGAAATAAATTAAAACATATAAAAACGAACAAATCTGAACTCTCAATCTGAGTTAGATTCTGATCAACCTTTAAATTAAATAGTAAAAGGAAAATGACGGAAGTAATATGATATGAGTATATCTAAAATGTTTTACCAATAACGTGGAAAGATCACGTGAAATTTACGTAGTAGTGTAAAGAATCTGAGCCTGAGTTTTCAATCTCATTTGACTCTTTAATTCCTTGTTTGTTGGTTAAATGTAATTCGGACATTTTTTGGTATTATAATTGATCAGTTATTTTATGTTTTATGCTGGGTTAAATAATTTAGCTGGTCTCTTTACAATACTGCTAATTATTTACAATATTTTTGAACAAAGTGTCACAGTGAGTTACCCTTAGTTTCTGACAAAAGATATAAAATTTATATAATTTATGAAAGTCTTTGCTTCATATAAAATTTTATTCAAAAAAATATCGAAATGTACAAGACAATTACACAGTGCTTCATACACTCACTATTTCCAACAGTCTGATATGGAGTGATTATTGTATAACGAAATATATATAACGAAAATGGATTATCAAAGTCAACAATATTTGAGTCCCAAATATTGTAAAGAAAAACTTAACAATATTGGATATAGACCAGCAAAATCTTAAGCGCCAGTACAAAAACATTGTATTATTTTGGTAATACAGATTTAGAATAGAATAGCTCATTGTGTAATAATGAAAATTAGTAAATAAACAATGATAAGAGATTAAAAAAAGACGTAAGAAAGACAGGTAGATTATATAACTCTTGTAGATTATTTATAACATCCAAAGAAGAATATATACATTATTCATTTCAAATACTCAGGATTACGATTCTAACTTAGGAACCCCGATTACAATAGTTCTAATATAAGCGAAGACTCTAAGGCCATTTGCTAAACAACCAGAACAAAATATGTATTTCCCAGTTTTAAAAGGCCTAACATTAGAGTATATACAGAAAGCTGATTATCTCAGCAGAATTTCCCTTGATATCATCTGGTTTAGATTGACTGAAGTTTTTTGGTTCTTAAAAAATAACAACAGCAGTGATTTAGAGTAAAATATGGGAGAACTGTTATCTGTCCAAAAGAGGCCTCTGGGCGAAAACGCCCGCCCGCATGTCTCCAGGTGACACAAAAGATGTAATAAAATATAAAAACAGAAAGAAATTAAAAGAGTTCTAACACCCTTTAGATGTTGACTACTTCTGATGTTTACGAAAAGTCTTATTTTTATTTTATTTTTTCGTCAATTTTCATTCTTCTAAATCAGACCAGGCAAGATTGTCATTATCATTAGTATTATTCTAAGAAAATTAAGATATTATTGATACTAATTTTTCTAAATTTCGAAATAGCAGTTGATTCAAAAAATGAAGACTTATTAGGCCTAGCTAAACTTCCATGTGCTTCAGCTCTCAAAGTTGAAAATAGTTTAAAATTGTATGGCTGTATCGGTTTGAAACTAAAGGACTTAACACCTAATAACTGGACTACAGAATTTCGAGCCACCTTAACCGCCCATAATGGTGCAGTCATCTTAATTGTGAAAGATAGATCAGACAAGAAATATGCCGAACTGTTGAAAATATATGCAGAATGGAGTCAGGCCAACCCAAGTCATTCATGTTGTTGCGGAAATAGCCCAATGACGTGGTTCGAACATAATTCGGAAGTTAAACGCACAGATGGCGTGAAATATTTCACATGTGCTATGCAAGCTAATATGCTAATACTTCCAAAGAATTTCCTGAATTCGCATTTCAGCTAATAGATTTGTTCGAATGTTCTCTTATTGCTTCAAATAAAAAATTGAATCTGGTGATGTTTGGAATTTTTGATCTTCTTACAAAGAACCTACATAACTATGTCAAACGAATGGCTGTTGATATTGCAAGAGATTCAGCAGAATCGGGGCATACTACTTACCTATTTCCAAAGTATATTGACACATTCATTCATTCCAAAAGTACACAATTTGCTGAGTTATCGAGGGAAAGCTTTCAGCAGAAATTTTTTACTTCATTGATGGAAAAGAATGTATAAATATTTGATTTAGAAAGCAATACTAAATGGATAATTCGTAAGAACAGAGTTATTCAAAAGAAAATTGAGGGAGATATATCTAGTTTATTTAGCGACTTATTAACGATGAAAAAAACCTTAGAAATAAATCGAGCCAAGACTTTTAAGGCCACAAGAAGAGTGGTATGTGTTCTCGGGGGATTTTTGGGAGTAATCTGTGTTTCAGTTAATCGTTTCCTAAAAAAACGAGAAGATAAGTTCAGTCAACGACAACTCATCTTTGTTGTAGCCTTGGGGGTAATCGGGTTTTTGGATATGTGCACATTCTTTTCTGGAAAGATGGTCTTACCAAACGTTCCGTCAAAAACTTTGATTTTAAAGCGTCCCTGGCCAATACCTATGATTTACTGGTATAGTTAATTTATTATGCCATTACTGAGCTATTTTACAACGCTCAACATCTTACATTCATATATAGCCATGTGAAATATTTGAATGGCACGTTTACCTATTCAATATTATTTGTGTTAATTGTCAATTGTATTTTCAATGTTGTCTACCTCTTTTTTTTTTGTTTCAACTTTGCAAACACACTCGTTATGTGTTTATGAATAACGTGGCAAGTTAGACGCACTACGATAAAAGTGACTAACGAAAATACCATTAACAAGAAAATAAAGTTCGTGGCTGTTAAAGTACACTTCTGCCCAAACCCATGGATAATACGGCTCTGGTGACTCTCCAAGGATAACCTCTGTGTTGGAACGACATTCATAATCTGACACCATATATCTCTTCATTCGATCTAAAAATTCTTCTCGGCGAAGGATATATTGTTCTTCTACCACATCGATATTGCACAGGCGTTGTCGATATACTAGATGCTCATCGACAATATTAAATATCAAAGGACGAGTAATAGCGTTAATGAATTAATTATATTAAAAATACTATGCCCAATAATGTATGTTATATGTTTCGATATCTCCCTATACAGCAATTTGTATATTAATTACACCAGTAAATCCTAAGTATTGGCTATGGACGTTTTAAAATTAAAGGTTCTGACGGAACATATGATAAGGCCATCGTTCCAGAAAAGAATGTGCACATATCCAAAAAAAAACAATAATTCCTAAGGCTGCAAAAAAGATGAGTTGTCGTTGATTGGACTTATCATCTCAATCTTTTAGGAAACGATTAACTGAAATACAGATCGATCCCAGTACTCCCCAGAGAAGATATACCACTGTTCTTATGGTCTTAAAAGTCTTGACCCGATTTATTTCTAAGGTTTTTTTCATCTTTAATAAATCGCTATAAAAACTAGATATATCTCCCTCAATTTTCTTTTAAATAACTCTGTTCTTACGAATTATCCATTTAGTACTGCTTTCTAGATCAAATTTTTCTGCATTCTTTTCCACCAATGAAGTACAAATTTTCTGTCTTTAAAGGTTTCCTTTTTAGGAAAGAGTTTGATTTATTATAATGCCTTAAAAACCTAGTTAGGGTTAGCAACGAGGGCTTTTGATCTTTCTCATTATCAACAGCTACTCTAATTCATAGTATAGTCATATAACTTTATTATCTTATTATTTCCGACAATATTGATGTTAGATTTGGATTGGTTTTGCATATAAAATAAGTATTTTTGAGTAACGAAGATTATTACGGTGATAATAAGTTGTAAAGCAAATGTATGAGTTACTTTTGTTCTAAATCTGCATGTTATTTTTATATCTTATTTGATATACAGAACGAATAAATTCTAACTCAGATTATAAGTTCAGAACGACTCGTCTTTATATAATTTTTGTCGGAAAACTGGTAAATAGAGAATAATAATAGTATATATTTTTTCTGTAGCTGAGGACTATGTGTCCGTTGCTTGCCGCAGAGCACCTCCCCCTCCTATCAGAGAGAGACATGAGAAAGTGTAACATGTAATTCTATATAATTTGGAAAACGGGTTTCTTCATATACAGAAATTTTCACAGAAATATCGCATTGTACGATGACCACTGTATGTAACACTGTGATATTGTGAACGTAATTGACTATGAGAGAATACCAAAGGTGATTCGAAATTGTAAACGTTTGACTTAATTATAAATATATGCTTGTATAATTATCATTAGTTGTTTTCTTGAGTAATAAAAAATAATTTACATATAATACACAGCAATTTGTAATATAAAGGAATAAATTGAAGAGTAAAACATGTCTTCTATTCATATGAATAATTGGAATTTTCCACCGTAAAAGTCACGGCGGTGTAAACTGAGATTATTAGTAATCAAGAATATCTTGGAACATTCTAGCATAACCTGAAAAAGTCCAGAGTATTCTTGTTGAAAAAGTTGTTCTGGAACACTATACATAAAAACTCACGAGCAACTATTGCAGCTTATATTCTTTCCCAACATATATAATTTCCAACAACAACCACCATTTAAAATCAAAAATTAAAATTTTCAAATTAAAATTTTGATTATCTAATAGCATTTGTATAATCACCTTTTTTCATTAAATATTATCCGATATAGTGTAACGGCTATCACATCACGCTTTCACCGTGGAGACCGGGGTTCGACTCCCCGTATCGGAGTGTTTCTTTTTCACCAAAAATTCTAAAAGTCACGTGATTGCTCGTTTTTAAAAAATATATATTTTCGGAACGGAACAATGTTGAGATTGGACTCAGAAATGGATGTACAAACCAGATTTATTCACTATATTTTTTCGTTACATACTAAAAGTACGTAGAAAAATTGGCCTTACTTTTAATCTTTGTTGCTAAATAGTCCATCTAAACGATTAAAGGTAAAGATATATTAGCCATCTTATTAATATAATTAGTTAACTACTTCAATTGATGGTCTTTGATGATGATCGTTGATCTCCAAACCAATTTTCAGATTAACTATTTTGTTCTTTCAGGCTTTATTTTTAAAAGGATATCAGTTATTTGCCTATTTTTGTTGTTATTTTTCAGGATAGATAAGAAACGTTCCAAGGAAATCAAATAATATAATCATTCGAAGAGATGCCTGAAAAATTATTTATCTCAAAGAAAGGTGAATTTTGTGATAAAGATGGTAATGTTGTTGTACTAAGAGGTGTAAACTTGGACCCTAATGCGAAATTACCCGCTAAACCTGATCTAACTACACATGTACCAATAAAAAATGACGAATTTTGGGATTTAGCAGATGACGTCAGTTTCATTAATCATCCTTTCATATTAGACGAAGTTGAATCACATATTAATAGGGTAAAATCTTTGGGATATAATCATATTAGGTTTCCATTTTCTTGGGAATCAATTGAACATAAAGGACCTGGAATATACGATTATGAATTTATGGATTATGTAATAGAAGTATTGAAAATTATTGATAAAGTTGGTGGTGTTTATGTATACCTTGACCCACATCAGGATGTTTGGTCTAGATTTACAGGTGGTTCAGGTGCTCCCTATTGGACGTTATTATGTGCAGGGTTTCAACCAAAGAGATTTCGAAAGAATGAAGCGGCAATTGTTCATAATACCTTAATAAATGTAAGGACAGGTAAAGATAATATTAGCGATTTTCCAAAGATGGTATGGGCTACCAATTATTACAAACTGGCTTGTCAAACTATGTTTACATTATTCTTTGGAGGGAAACATTTTGCGCCTAAATGTTTGATTAATGGTATGAATATTCAAGATTATTTGCAAGAGACATTTTTAAATGCAATATTAGAATTTTATAAAAGGATCCAGGAACGTGCACCTGAATTATTTGAATCTAATTGTATCATTGGTTTAGAAAGTATAAATGAACCGAGCCATGGTTATATTGGTACTACTAATTTAAATGAGATTGAAAAGGAAAGAAATTTAAGATTAGGTTCTACTCCTACTGGATTTCAATCTTTTATGTTAGGGGAAGGTATTAATACAACGATTGATAAATATGAAATTACTGTATTTGGACCATCAAAATCTGGAACGAAAAATGTTCTTTGTCAAGGTGAAAGTGCGTGGTTAACAAAGGATGAAAGAGATATTGTAGATTCTAAATATGGTTGGTCTAGAAATGATGAATGGTCACCTGGTATATGTATATGGAGACTACATAAAGTTTGGAAAATTGATCAATCCGGACCTAAATTATTAAAACCTGATTATTTTGCTAAATTACATAACCCAGAGACTCTAGCCACAGATACCGTTGTCAATGAACGATATTTCATGAATAACCTTTTCACTCATTATTTTAATAATTTCCATCGTAAGTTTAGAAAAATAGACAAAGAATCGTTTGTATTAATTCAACCTCCCGTATTTAAATCTCCTCCACACTTGAGACAACTAGATATCATCATTGGGAAAACCATTTGTGCATGTCATTTTTATGATGGGTTATCTCTAATGTATAAGACTTGGAATCGATTTTTCAATGTGGATACGTTTGGAATTGTTCGTGGTAATTATTCAAATCCAATGTTTAGTGTTGTGTTAGGTGAATCTAGAATTCGTGATTCATTTCAATCGCAATTGAAATTGATGAAACAGGAAGTACATGAAATCCTTGGGAAGGATGTACCAACATTTTTCACAGAGATTGGGATGCCCTATGATATGGATAACAAGAAAGCTTACTTCTCTGGAGACTATACATCTCAAACAAAAGCCATGAATGCTATTGCTCACGCATTAGAAGGTAATAATCTTTCATTCAGTCTTTGGTGTTATTCTTCTGGAAATAATCATCGTTGGGGGGATAATTGGAATAATGAAGATTTCTCTATCTTTTCAAACGATGATCGTAAGGATACACCACAAGAACCAATATCAAGATCGGGATCTCCACAATTAAGTGTAAAATCCCTAATGAGTAGTAGTAGTGGTAGTAGCAATGGATCAAAATTTATTACCAAGACAGCAGCATTTGAAGATATCAAATGGCCACCTGCTCCTCGATTGGAGCAACTAGATTTCAATGGGTTCCGTGGTACAGATGCATTGGTAAGACCATTCCCATTAAAGATACATGGTCAATTTATATCTGCAAAGTTTGATCTTGAGATTAAAAGTTATTCATTGAAGATACACGCAAAAGCCAGTTCTAATGCAGCAAATACTACTAAGAACGCTACATACATTTTCTTACCAAAATATCATTTTGATATTGATCGTATCAATATTGGCACATCTTCTGGTACATTTTTGTACAATGAAGAATATCAACTTTTAAAATGGCATCATGATGCAGGTCACCAATCAATTGTAATTACTACAAAAAATAAATTCAATAAAGACGATGGATGTATTATTATATAAGTTCATACCACATATACACATATCTATACAATGTTTTTTTTAAATTTATTTTTGTTCCTTATTTGAGTAACTCCTCATATTCTCTCTTTGTTCCTGAATCTACATTATGTTCAATGACTTGGTTTACATATTTTTCGAAATAGTCAAGGAATTTTTGCAGAGATGTAAATTTGACGTTATCATTATGCTCTGTCATCTCTTCTTGTAACCCTATCAATTTTGGTGCTTGGCTAGGTTCAAATCCATCAACAATAGGTACACATACATTACCAGTAGCAGGATGAATACAAAATGGTGCTTTCAACAAATGGATTGTTTGTTTTGTGACTTCAACATCAAGCTTTGGATATAAAGTTTGCAAGATTATATCTTCTTTACATTCTTTCAATTTAATTAAATAATCATGTCTTTTATTTGCTTTCACTTCACTAGAGGCTAATACATCAATATCGCTCCATTTTTGTCTTGAAGACCTTCCTGGATTTTCTGTCCAATATTTACGACATGAATCCATTAAAGATCTATCATGTAATGCAGTCAATAAAGTAGCAAATGCATTAGCGTCATCTGCCCATGGATCTTGTTCTTCAAGGATGATATCAGCAAAATGAGGTTTCAATAAATCCAACGATCTAGCAAGTAAAGGATGATATGGTCTCATTAAAGACAGTCTCTTTTCATTGGATCTATCCCTTACTACATTAACATAATCTAAAATGTTCCTCCTTTGAATATCACCCATTTGTCTTGCACGTTTATCACTAATCCAACAATGAGCACCACGTCTCCCTGAGAATACCCAAACAAAATCTTTAAAACCAAAATCTTGGGATAATGTAACGTTCATGACCTCCATAGCCAAAGTGATAAACTTCCAACATCTGGAACACACTTTTGCACCTGTACAACATGTTCTGTAACTATCATAATCATCCATATCAATATCAAATACCAATTCTTTCTCTAATGCTTTCATTTCACTCTTTAATATAGAATCACGTTCTTTTGGAGGTTTATTATAAATAGCACCAATTTCAAATCTATCAGGGTTTGCACGTTCAATTTGTTGTTTGAACTCTTGAATAGAATTATACGAATTGTATCTCTTGTATGCACCTGAACGAAATGCCATGGCGAATTCTCTTTGAGTCATATCTTTCGAAGTGGTCATCGAATGATTTAACCAATGATAGATATCTGCGAATGGATACAATTTACGATAATAGTACTCCATATCAGAGGAACTTGGCCCGGACGGCGTCACATTTACAGTTGCCATAATCACTTTTAGTTTCTTGATCTCTTGTGGTTTGCTTGTATCACTGTTTTATATTAATAAGTATAGGTTTATATATATATATATTGGGAAACACGAAAATATTTCATTTAAGAGAATTGTTTATATAAACTTTCACGCGTCGCAAAAAATCACCCGTTCAAAATTTTAGACGATGTTTGCAAAGATTCAAGACATATAAAGAACGAAAGAGGATTAGTTCTTATCCCTTCAAGAAATGTCAAGAGTGTTCCACCGGCGGTTCGTTCCTTCAAATTAAAGTGAACACTTGAGCCGCTTGTCTTCGAGTTCTGTTTTTAATTTCGATTCGTCGTTTCAACCCTTCGCCAGTTAGGTCCAGGACCGGAAACCCTGACAGCTCTAGAGTAGTCCTTGAAACACGACTTTATTGTAGAAATACCATGGAATACGGATCTTCTTTATACTTGCCACACATATATACAAACGTTGTAACCTTTCTATGCACCGCCCCCAAAACCCTAATTCCAACAGCAACTGCCCCCCGAAAACTGCCGCGCCCTGAAATAAAACGGGGCGCCCGCCCGCTCAAACTCGAAATCCTAGCCCTCACCCGGGTAACGCCCTCCTGCTCAGCGCCCCAGTTTCCAAAGGGCCAAAATCAAAAAAAGAGTTGCAGAGATTTAGTTTGACGGGTGGCAAAAAAAAACTATTAACTTAAGAGAGTAAAAAAGAGTTATAAAGGGCCATACCCTGTTTAGCATCTCAATATATTCGACATACCAACCATTTTTGGGAGTAAGATACATTGATTAGAGGTTTCTTTTAACAATTGCTCAATTATTATTTTGGGAATTACGCTAAATTTTTTTTTTCAAGGTGAATTGATTGATCTCGAGGTATTATTAAGTTAACGCATAAAATATTTTCAATTACAAGTAATCATAACAATAATAATAGAATATGGATATTATATTAGGGATAAGAGTACAGGATTGTGTAATCCTTGCTACATCAAAGGCTGTAACACGAGGGATTTCTGTGTTGAAGGATTCAGATGATAAGACTCGTTCACTTTCACCTCATTGTTTAATGGGATTTACTGGTGAAGCAGGTGATACAGTTAATTTTTCAGAATATATTCAAGCAAACGTACAATTATATACTACACGCGAAGGTGTTGAATTATCTCCTCAAGCTACAGCAAGTTTTGTTAGACAAGAATTAGCCAAGAGCATTCGTTCACGTAAACCATATCAAGCAAATGTATTAATTGCAGGTTATGATACTTCTAGCAATATACCTGAATTATACCAAATTGATTATTTAGGTACAAAGGTTGCTTTACCTTATGCTGCACATGGTTATGCCGGATTTTATACTTTTTCATTATTAGATCGTCATTATAGACCTGATATGACAAAAGAAGAAGGTTTATCATTATTACAACAATGTGTTAATGAATTACAAAAACGTATGCCTGTAGATTTTAAAGGTGTTCTGGTGAAAGTTGTCTCTAAGGATGGTATTTCAATTGTTCAAGAATAAACTCACTCTTTTAATGAACTTAAACTTCTTCCACTTTCTATAACGAAAAAATAAAAATACAAGAAAATTTTTTTTTTTATGTATATTTTAAATAAAAACAAACAAATATATATATATACATCCGTGTACTTGCATCATTACATACAGCAACGAAGTACTACGAAATCGAACAAGCAAATGAGTGAACCAGAACCATGCAATACGTTGCATGTTGCAGGTATTCCGGACTCTATTTCTAGTGATAGAGCTAGAGAATCCCTGTATTTATTATTTTCAACATATGGTGAAGTGATAGATATTAAACTAAATTTTAGAACATTTAGACACAGAGCATTCGTTACAATGGCTACTGTGGATAGCGCCAACTTGGCTAGGATAGCATTAGACAAACAATCATTCTTCAACAGTCCCCTCAATATACGATTCAGTAACTCCATCACCAACGATATTTAAATCTGTGCATTTCCCACAATTTATTCATTCTCATTATATAACTGAAAAAAAAAAATTAAAAATTAAAAATTAAAAATTTAAAAAATTATATAACAATTATTTAACATAAACACACACACACACATACAACAATAAATAACTATTCTAATTACGCATAAAATAACCATAGAAAGTATTTTGAAAAAGAGATGTCAATTACAGATGCTGTGAGTGATGCCCTGGAGGCACGTCTATTAGGTGCTTCTGCAATTGAAACCGGTATAAACACTTTGGATACCGTTTTGTCCTTGCAATATAGACTGCATTATCACACTCTAGGTAATGGTCTGGCAAATGATGTTGCTAGAGTACTGAAGAGTGAATGTCGTAGATTGCAAGTTGCTTTAGATGGGTCAATTGCCATAGCAGGCGATCCAGAAGCTTATAGTATTGTGGAAAAGACTTTGTTGAATTGCTTAGCTGTAATTGCTTACCATCAAGGTGATTCTGAAAGTTTACCTTTGCTTAAACAAGCTACTAAATTGAAAATTGGGAAATCAAAGAGCTATGCTGAATTTTGGAAGTTATTAGACCTCGAGAATCTCTATTATCAGGGTTTAATAAACAAAGATCCCAAGGACCTATACATCTCTCAATTATTAAGATATATTAATGAAATTCCACTGATATCACATGGTTTATTACATAGTTATCTTACACTAATCGCAAGAAAATTGAAAACTATATCATTGAATCAACTATGTAATGATATGAAGAGTCAAGCACCTTTTGTTTGTTATTTGTATTTACTATCTACCTCAAAACCTTCGAAGGATGATGATACGTTTTTCTTAAGTTTAGCTACTAAAATCGTTAATAATGCAAAATTCCCATTAGCATCACAATCAAATGATTCAAATTTAGAACAATTACATGTATGTTTACATCACTATTTCGAAATTGAAGGATTAGAATTTGCAACTGAATGGAATGACCTTATCATCTCTTCTCTTAAACGGACTTTCCAAAGTAAAATTGTCGCAAGGTCTACAATGAGTTTAAACGGGTTTAATAACACTGATGATACAATTCGTGAATGTATATTAAGTTTTAACAATTACCTTAAATATAGTGATAAAGAATTAGAATTAACTAGTGATACCCACGATATTTATAATGATCCAATAGCAATCATAGACGCATTGACTATCATTTTACAAAGGACTACAGAGAGAGATAATATTACAAATATTTTTGATTTCGAACATGTAACTGAATTATTACAAATCAATTTGAAAAAACTATACTCCAAATATCATTTGGGTCTCGTTGAACCTGCAATTGCACAAAAATACTTATCCAATAGCACTCGTTTGGTTTTACCTGTAACAATATCATGTATTTTGATTAAAGCGTGGAGAACTCTTTATAATATTAGGTCGGCAAGTCTGGATTATTTGATAGCAAATGAATTACCATCTTATCTTTGTAATTCCATCTCCTTAGCAATGACAAATAATAATGGTAATGAGAACCCATATCTTAGAGATTTACAATTCCAATATGCATATTGTTTAGCACAACAGAGACAAATTGAAGCATGTATTGAATACTTAGAGAATGCCATTTTAGAAGCAGTCCCCACTTTTTATAAAGCTTGGCACTTATTAGCATTATGTCGATCTATACAAGAGGATAAAGAGATATCATATAAAATTATTTGTTCCGTAATGAATGCAATGGATCAAGAATTTGCCTCAATACAATTCAAGAATATTTCACAAGAGAATAAATGGCAATATATCCATATCAAGATCACAGAAATTCATCTGATCAATGAAATATTTGGTACGGATGAAGCCCTAGAGTCATTACCAGAGTTGTTTACATCATATCATAAATTGTTTGGGGATTCACCCAAAGATGAAATAAAGGGACCATTAAGTCGATCTCCAGAATACTTATTACAATCCATATGGTTACTAGCAGCACAATTGTACATGAACAATGCAGAACATTTTGAAGATGCTAAAGGTGCTATCAAAGAAGCTAAAGCTGTATCCAACGATTTTACAAATGTCAATATCTCAATTACAAACGGTCACCTGCTATTTAAACTGGGTAAATTTACTGAATCCATCAGTCATTTTGAAGATGCATTACATTGTGATGACTTAAATGTCGATGCTATTATAGGGTTTGCAGCTTTTGTGTTCCCAAATGACACAACAACAAGTGCCTCAGAACAACAACTTATAGACTATTGTAAATTACAAAATAGTGAGGAAGTAAATGAAAAAAATAAATTTGCTGGTGACGATTATGAACTATTCTGTGGAAATGATGTAAATAAATCTGCCGCTTTTGCTAGATTAAAATTATTAATAGATTGTTCATTAAATAAATCTATTGATGCTTATTACTCCCCTGAGATATGGTGGTATCTATCGTTGATACATGAAAAGTATGGTAACAATGAGATCAGTGATACTTTATTGAATTGTATTCAAAATAAGGAAACCTGCCCGTTACGCTCATTTAAATTCTGTAATTATTAAAGTATTATATTACAATTATATGCATGACCTTACTCCTTTCTTTTGAAAATACAAATGTATATATACATATCTATAATCATATAATCATTCCAATTTAGAGCCCTCTTTTATAACCTGAAGTTGTCTTCTTCTGTTTACTTTATCTACGTATTTGAGAATAATAGGGCAGAGAACAGAATTAACAACTATCCATGCCACCAAGACACCATAATTTCTACCCATATGTCTTCTCGAAGTATCCAAGAAAATAACTCGAAATATATCAATCGCATTATGAATCGGCATAGCATACCCATACCTATAGAATACGTTATCCAGAGCCATTGGGAAAAATGAAGGTGCAACGTTCAACATTACAAAAATTGTGATCCAAAATCCCATAAATTCTGGTTTCCACAAAAATATTAGACTAATGACATTTTCGTTGGTACTACCACAAGCCACCATATATAACCAAGTTGACATCCAATAAATTATGAATCCACTGCGACCAAATGCCCTTCCATAATCAAATCCAAAAAACCCAGGAATTGAACAATAAAACAACGAAATGAAAAAGAAAGTGATGATGGATATCGATAATCTGTATACTATATAGTTCCTAGGACAAAGTAACTTGGACATTTCCATATGCAAAGGTGAATAAATTAAGAATTGGAAGACTGTTAGTAACAAACCATCAATAACACCAACTTGCGTTGGTGTAATGAGTCCACGACGATAAAATGGTCTATAATCGTTATAATAGAACCCAATATTACCCGCTGAAGCCAAATTTTCCAGGTTAGTAGAAATAGTGTAATTGCTGCTATCTCTTATATTAGCTAAAAAACTTGGTAAATAGGTACTATAGTAATAGGCTTTAAATCTGGCTTCAAGACCTTGAACTAATGGTAAGATGTTTGGAGGTATATTTGTAGGGTCTCTTCCACTGACAAAAGTCACTTCAAATATATCTGTCGCATTAAATGGCACTGCAGTGGAGTTCACGATAGAGTTAAAAAGTTGTAATGTTGCATTAGGCTTAACATTTAAAGATATCCAAAAGTATTCATGGTATACTCGTTCAATTATTTTACTATTTATCGTTTCAGTATCCATTGAAATATTATATTTTTCTGAAAAAGTTGTACTATTATAAACACTCCATTTCCCTGGAGTCGTTTGGATAGTTGCATTTACAATTTCAGTCAATGGTATTATTGGAAGTTCCATCATTTCTGAAGTCAATGTGTCATCCTGAAGTACAGCTAAAAAATTTAATCTATGATAGTACTTCTCTGTATCGACAGTAGATCCCTGATATAATGTGAAAATTGTGAATATAAAAACAGCAAATATTAGAATTGTTACAACGAATTTTATTCCAATTTTCTTTCTTTGATCCTTCAATTTTCTAGAGAATGGATTCGTTCTTATTTTGGTTAGAGTCTCTAAATTATTTACATCATCAACAGATATTTCTTCCGATAATTCAGCTTTATCAGCTCTAGTATCATTTCCTAGTGATCCCTCAAGGTCCGACATATTTGACCCCTTAAAACCATCATAAATGTGGTTCGAATCTGCCTGGGAGTCTCTTCGCGGATAATCTAATTCAGTTTGGCCATCTGAACTCTGGCCTAACGTATTACAACCATTAACAAGATCACTTAATATCTGTGGTTGATTTTGAGCAAGCATTTTATCCACAGACTCTGCATTTTCTGTCTCTATGTTGTTTGACATAGTTCACACACCCTCATAGATAGCATAAAAATATAACTTTAATGCCTTGAAAAAACACAAAATTGTTGTATGCTATTAATAATATATATATACTGTTTATGTACTTGCCTATTGATATTAATCGTTTAACGAGGAAACATGATTTTCTTATTTTTAGTAATTTATTACTAATAAATTTTTAAGTGCTCCCTGGTAGAGGATGAAAACGGAATTAATGCATTGGAAAATGTGAAGAAGAAGAAAAGAACACATAAAAAATGATATTAAGTACTAATAACATGCAATGATATAACATAGACAACCATGTAAGCTTTCTCATTTAATACTATCAAGGACTAATATATCTCATAATATTTTATTACGCCAGTTCTTTCTTCAAAGGCGCTATATATTTTGAAACAATAATCATTTTATCCATACATTTTTTCTATTGTTCTATTTATGTACGTTTATATATGCTATAATGTCTATGGTCTAAGATATGAAACTTATTTATTGGAATCTTCTTTATTTTGATCTTCAGTTGGTGCAGCTGCAGCTGCCACAGCAGCTTGTTGTCTTTTTCTATTGACTTTAGCAACAAATCTAATAACAAAAGGTTGTAAAATAGTATTAATTACAATCCATGCCACTAGTACACCATAGTTTCTACCCATATGTCTTCTTGAAGTATCCATGAAAATGACTCTAAAGATTCCGACTGCGTTATGAATAGGCATAGCGTAACCATATCTATAAAATACGTTATCTAAAGCCATTGGGAAAAATGCTGGGCCTAGATTAATTATAACAAATGATAAAATCCAAAACCCTAGGAATTGTGGTTTCCACAAGAAAATTAAACTAACGACATTTTCATTAGCACCACCACATGCTAACATATATAACCATGATGACATCCAATATACCATGAATCCACCACGACCGAATGCTTTTGTAAAATCAAATCCATACATTGCTGATACAGTACAATAAAATAATGATGTGAAAAAAAATGTAATGAAGGAGATCAATATTCTATAAATAATATAATTTTTAGCATTTAAATATTTTGCCATTTCCATATGAAGTGGTGTATAAACTAAAAATTGGAAAACTGTAATAATTAAACCATAAATGATACCAATTTGTGCAGGAGTAATTAAACCACGACGATAAAATGGTCTATAATCAATATAATTAAAACCAATTTTCCCCATTGTTGCAACATTAAATGGATTAAATGTAATATTTGGATATTTGGTGGTAATATTAGTAATTAAACTTGGTAAATAATTATAAGAATAATATTCTTCAAATGCAGTATCTAAATTTTGCATAATTGGTAATATTGCAGTTTTCATATTTGTTGGATCACGTCCACTTTCATACATGACTTCAAATATTGAAGATGAATTAAATGGTGTTGCAGTATTATTAACAATTGAATTATAAAGTTGTAATGTTGCATTTGGTTTAATATTTAAAGAAACCCAAAAATATTCATGATAAATACGTTCCGTAACTTTTTCATCAATAACAAAGGATTTATTTGTATTATCACTTGCCAGATTATATTTATTAATAAATTCATCACTAGTATTATATATACTCCATTTCCCTGGCATTAAAGAAATTAATTGGCCCATTACAGCTGTTAATGGTATAACATTTAAATCTTCCATTTCTGTTGTCAATATATCATCTTGAAAGACAGCTAAAAGTTTAATACGAGGATAATATTTAACGGTAAAAGCATTTGAACCCCAAAATAATGTGAAAATAGTAAACATAAATACAGCAAAGATTAGAATAGTTAAGAGAAATTGTAAAAAAACTTTTTTTCTTTGATTTTGTAATCTTGGTGAAAAATATCTTGTTTGAATCTTTTGTAAAGTGTCATTACTTGAATTTGAATCAATTTTATCAATTGTTGATTGTCCATCTTCATGATTTCCTGTAAAAGCATGAACTGAATCAGCTTCACTTGAATTAATACTTGGTTGTACTTCCAAACTCTCATTATCTTCGTCTCTTTCTACAGGAACATTATATATTACAGAATTTCGTTGTTGATAAACTTTTTCTGCATCTTCATCAGCATGCTGATCTAAATGATTTGATAAATTCACCATTTCACCTAATATTCCTGCTTCATTTTGTAGTATCAAACTATTATCTTCGTTAATAATATTTTTATCGGATTGTTTCTCTATATCGTTCATCGTTGTTTCAATTCAGTTTGATAGTATGCTATGAAGTACTAAACGTCACTTACCAAAAAAATAAATAAATAAGTATATAAATAAAAAAAAAGTCTCTCTCTCTCTATATATATAAGAAACGAAAAAAAAGAGGAAAAAGCAAGCATTTTAATCATCTCTTCTTATCGATATTGTTCATAGCAACCGTCGGTTGTTCGGGGTCACCGGTCAGCCTTTGCAAGCCCATTACATAATTATTATTAAGCTTCTTTATACAGGAAACTGAAGGGGTGTAGCCAGCGACTTCCAATATTCCTGTTTTGGGTTTCTTTTACCTGCAGAACGGCTCCTTCAGCTGCCGTTTCTTCGGCCGAAGATTTTCAACTGAAAAGCAGTGAAACCTTTCCTCCGAAAAAAGCAAGCAAATCGGGCTTTTTTGGTTTCTTTTTTTGAGGTAATTTTCTTTTTTTTAAGGGGCCGCGCAGCAAGATGTTCCGCGGGCGAGGGGGAAGGGAGCAGCAAGCCCTGGGAGTCGTTCGTGGCGAGTGACGCTAGGGCTTGCCGCTCAGAAACAATTGTTTTTTTGTGCAGCGGTTAGAGCCGCGGATATATAGGGCTGATGGGAGGAGGGAAAGTGGAACTGTAGAGATGAGGATGGGCGGTTCGTTTGATATGTCGTAGCATATGAGGTGAAACTGTATGGGCAGATCAATGCTGTGTGCTGTATTATGTTGTGAATTACGTGGCAATGAGATTCAATATGGTGGCAGTACAGGTTTTACCGCCTGTTCTGTATGGAACACATATGACAGAAAACTGTGCCCCTCTCATCAAATCGGATTATCAATTTTGCAACACACGTCAACATATGTGGACCCTTCTTCTTCTTCTTCCTTGTGTTTCACATAATCAGTGCACTACGTGTACTACAGTTACTAGGTTGCGACAGTGAGCAGTCCATGACTAAATGAGCGACACTTTTGCTCACGAATAGCTTGTCCACGCAATCTCTTAGACCTGCATCTTACTAACCGTCATCTATGTGGGTTTCTTGCAGCCGACGGGACATAGCTTCGGGAATTTTCAGCTCTTTTTTTTTTTTTTTTTTNAGCTCTTTTTTTTTTTTTTTTTTTCGCTCTTCCCTCTCTGTGTGCTTTGGGCATCTTTTCAAATTTTGCACTCACGTAATCAATTAAAAATAAAACTGAAAAATTATGAATTATTTATTCAACTGAATCATTCAATTGAGGATATATTTCAATGATGAGCTTTTGACACATTTATCTACTATCATTAGTCTTCAATACACAGAGAAAAGCAAGTTCTTCTACAATTATAATTATCATGAATGAGAAAAGAATTGCTTCACAATCACGAAACAATAAAATAAAATGGTGGTTACGTAACATTCTTTGTCCTTTACTATTTACAATAATATCATTCAAATTAAGATTGCAAGATATCGATGCTAATAAATCCGTGGTTTGGGATGAAGCACATTTTGGTAAATTCGGCTCTTATTATATTAAACACGAATTTTATCATGATGTTCATCCACCTTTAGGTAAAATGTTAATTGGCCTAAGTGAATGGCTAGCAAACTTTGATGGAAATTTTGAATTTGAATCAGGTTCAACTTATCCTTCCGAGGTTAACTACAAGGTTATGAGACAATTTAATGCTATCTTCGGTTCTTTATGTGTACCTGTAACTTATTATACAACTTTATGGATGAATTTTAAATTTTTAACAACGTTATTGATCACTATAATGATTACTTTAGAACATTCATATATTGTTTTATCAAAATTTATTTTACTAGATTCAATGTTATTATTTTTCACTTTGACAACTTTCGCTTGTCTTTGTAAACTTAATAGTTTAAGAGATCAACAAATGACTAAAAAATGGTCACTTTGGTTATTATTAACAGGTATTAATATTGGTTGTGTTTGTTCAGTTAAATGGGTGGGTTTATTCATCACTGTAATTGTTGGATTATACACTATAATCGATTTATATCGTCATTGGTGCAATAATCAATTGGGTAGACTCACTTATTATAAACATTGGCTTCTTCGTATAATTTATTTGATCACCATTCCATTTTTAATTTATTTATTCTGTTTTAAGATTCATTTCCAATTACTTTATAAATCAGGAACAGGTGATTCTTCAACAAATACTTTATTTCAAGTAAATTTGGAAGGTACAAAGATTAAACAAGGTCCTAGAAATTTATTGTTTGGTTCACATTTTACAATGAGATCACATGGTCTAAGTCCAAATTTATTACACTCTCATCCTCAATTATACCCCGACGGTTCTCATCAAAGACAAATTACAGGTTATGCTCATTTCGATAATAATAATGTTTGGGAATTTCAATTTATTAGAGGTCAAAAATTTGATTTAGGAAAATTATATTTAATTAGTGATGGTGCAGAAGTTAGATTAATTCATAATAATACTCGTTCTAATTTACATTCTCATAAAGTACCATCTCATGTTTCTCGTGGTAATTGGGAAGTTTCAGGTTATGGGAATGATGCAGATGGTGATGATCATGACAATTGGGTCATTGAAATTGTAGATCAATTACCTTCTGCTAATCCCAATTATCCAAAGGAAGATGATAACCTTGTACATCAATTTTCGACTTTCTTTAGATTAAGACATAAATCCTTAGGCTGTTATTTAACCTCAACAGGGTTATCATATCCAGCTTGGGGATTTTCACAAGCTGAAATTGTTTGTAAAAATTCATGGAGTAAAAGAGATAAATCTACTTGGTGGAATATTGAAGAACATTGGAATGAAAACCTTTCAATAGATGAAGATTATTTACCGCCAAAATCTAAATTTTGGACAGATTTCATTTTGATAAATTTTGCAATGGCATCTTCAAATAATGCTTTAGTTCCTGATCCAGACAAATTCGATAGTATTGCATCTGATGCTTGGGAATGGCCTGTATTGCATAGAGGTCTACGTTTATGTGCATGGTTAAAAGATACTCACAGATATTATTTATTAGGATCTCCATTCAATACATGGATATCTACATTATCAATCTTTGTGTTTTTTGGAATCATGATTAGAATTGCATATAAATGGAGAAGACAAACTCTCCTTTTAACAGAAAATGATTTTTGGTCATTATTAATACAAGCAATATTACCATTTTGCGCATGGTTATCTCATTATTTACCTTTTGCTATAATGGGTAGAGTCACTTATGTTCATCATTATGTTCCAGCATTATATTTTGCCATTTTAATTTTTGGTTTCGTCGTGGACTATACGTTTGGTTCATCAAGATCGTACATCAAATACCCTGTATATCTAACCTTAATGGGTGGTTGTATCTATATTTATATTCTATTTGCTCCAATATGTCAGGGTCTTCAAGGGCTAGGTGCAAAATATTTGAAATTACAATGGTTACGTACATGGGATATCGTCATTTAAAAGTAGTAAATTATCCATCAATTGTTTTCTTCTTAATATATATACATATTTACTTAAAAATTTATGTAATAAATAATGAACACGGTCTTAATATATTCTCATTAAGATGTTACTAAAAATATAATGATCACAATGTGATAGAATAAATACGTGCAGTGTTATCACTACTTGCAGCGGCTAAAAGGTATTTGTTGTCTCCTATCATAGTGGACCATCTTAATCTGGTTAGTTTATCGGCAGGTGTATCTTTATCACTTACTTGGCTTATTAGTTCAAACTTATCATTATAGAAGTAATATAGCAAAATGGAACCATCTTCTAAACCTGCAGCGACCAATAACTTTCCATCAATCAATGTTTGGAATACCGATAGTGCGGTTACGGGTTTATCATGCTTTACAGAATCTATCATCTTATAATCTTGTGTTTCATTATCAAAATTCCATAATTTAATGGTTCTATCTCTAGAACCTGTAACAAATGAGTTACCAAATTCTAAAGGTGTCCAATCACCATCCCAAATAATTCTTGTATGAGGTTTATCATTCTTACATTTCAAAGTAAAAGTGTTATCTTCGAAATTTCTTTCCCAAATACTCCATTTTCTATCTCTACATACAGCTAACAGATATTTGTTATCTGGGGAGAATCTTAATTTGTTTATTGTTAAACTGTGGAAGGCCAATGTTGGTTTAATCTCTAACCATGTATCTATGCTGAATATTCTAATCACGGCATGTTGTGGTGTATTTGATCTACAAGCTGATGCAATCAATTTACGATCTGGACTTACATCTAGACAAGTAATTTCATAACCGTGCCCATATAATTTTTCAATTTCAGGCCATAATAAATGCCTTTGCAATTGGTCCTCAATAGGTGGATGTTCCAATGAGGTGACAATCTCATATGATATATTCTTAGCGGCAGTTTCATCTTCCTCATTGTCTTCATCTTGAGTCTCTTCACCTTCTCCTGTAGCTTTATTTGATAAACCTAAAACTGGCAAAGCCGCAGACTCAGGCATGGTAGATTCTTCGGCAACATCAATATGGACAAACTTCTTCAACAGTTCTGCAACACCCTTTGGTTCATCGAATGATCTAACAATCTTTTCATCACCACCACTTAAAAATCTTGTATCGCTAATAGGTTCTACACAAATCATATCATAACCATGAATCTGCGGTCTAGAGAACTCATGCCATGTAATAACACTCCTTTTAGAGCCATCAACGTTAAATAACCATGGAGCGTATAATCTTGTAGTTTGGTCTAAAGAAGTGGACAACAAGTATTCACCGTTCGGCGACCATGCAATATCGGTAACTTCTTTGGTAGAACCGGATATACTTAAATGCTCATCTACTTGTAAGTTGTCGGTGGTAGACCAAACCCTCCAGGCACCTGTCTTACCATTTGTCAGAATATAATCTACACCTTCTCTGTTGAACCATAAACAGGACCAGAACCCACCTGAAGAACCAGTGGCTGTAGATGCACCCTTGGAAGATATTTCACCAAGTCTTAGACCACAAACCCAAATACCAGATGATTCATCTGGTTCCCAGACCATAAGAGAAGTGTCTGCTGTGGAAGCTAACAATTGTAAACGGGTTTCATGCCATTGCAGAGAGGAGATCCAGTCATCATGACCCATGATAAGGGCCTCAAAGTTAATGCAAATTCGTAGTCCTTCGTCTACATTGAACTTATATTGTTTATTATTCAATAGGGTCAAAGTATTTTCATCTTCATCATCATCCTTAATGAGATCATTCGTTCTAATTCTCCATATTCTGATATATCTATCCTGAGAACCAGAACATAGTAAATAATCACCGGGTGTCTCTTGGTAACGGAAAGCAAGAGATTTCACCCAATCTTCATGACCTTCTAACTTAGCTTGTTTCTGACAATTTTTAATACCATTATCCAAAATGAAAGAGTATATAAACACGTGAATATTGGTACCACCTACAGCTAATAAATACTTATTCTTTTCAACATTAGATATGGAAAGAGACAAAGGCAAGACATTTTTTTCAACTTCAAACTCTTCACCTAATTGGAACGTATCTGTGTTATCTTCAGTCTCTTTTTCGTACCACAAAGAAACCATACCATTTGCACACCCAATGGCAACTACACCTTCTAAGACTCCAAGGGCGACAATCGTTTGAGTATATTTAGTTATGGTTTGGATACAATTCCATTCATTTTCTTTCAATCTCCAAATCTTGATGTGACAATCCTCCGAGGTTGAGACCATGTAATTAGTATTATGAATAAATCTAACACATGTTACTATAGAGTCGTGACCTTTTAAAGTTTGTGTGATCCCATGGCAATCTTTATCCAAAGGATTCCAAAGGGCAATTGTTTTAGACGCACCAAACGCTACAATTCCAAGCTGTTTGTTATAATCACTAGTTTGGTTCTGCTGGTTTGCACCAACAAAAATGGCTTTTTGTTCAATATCAATGGTCATAACTCGTTAACCGACTTTTTTTCTTTTACTAATGTTTCTTCATCAATTCCCTTTTAGTAAGCAATTAATCGATGAGCTTCATGATTTTTATATTCGAAAAGGTCTAAAAATTTTCGGGACTTTAAAGGAAAATTCGTATTCGATGACGAATCAACTGGAGATAAAAAGAACAAAAAACAAAAAATTGACAAACGAAATCCATTCGATTGGATAAGTTACTATATATGTATATAGTTATAAATAATATGTTCTAAAATTATGTACGTTGATTGGTAATAAATAGTGAGTATCCGTCATTACTTGACAATGAGACTGTAATGTAGTAATGTACCTTTAACTTGTTGCTAAAGCATTTAGTCAACCGTAAAGGCGTTCTTAATTAAACCTTGTTATTATTAAAAAAAACTTAGAGAGAATGTGATCATAAAGGAGAAACAGTGAACTCAAGCATCGGTGATACAACCGTGAGAAGCATCACTGACAAGCTTTCTGTACTTGGATAAAGTACCTCTGTTGTAACGTGGAGCAGGAGGTGTCCATTGAGACTTACGTTGAGCCAGCTCAGCTTCACCAACTAGAAGATCGATTCTGTTGTTGTCAGCATCGATTCTAATTTGATCACCATCCTTGACAAGGGCAATTGGACCACCTTCAGCAGCTTCTGGTACAATGTGACCAATTAAGAAACCATGAGAACCACCAGAGAATCTACCATCTGTCAACAAAGCAACATCCTTACCAAGACCGTAACCCATTAGAGCAGAAGAAGGTTTCAACATTTCTGGCATACCTGGACCACCCTTTGGACCCTCATATCTGATGATGACAACAGTCTTTTCACCCTTCTTGATTTCACCCCTTTCTAGAGCATGAATGAAACCAGCTTCTTCTTCGAAGACTCTAGCTTTACCTTCAAAGAAAGTACCTTCTTTACCGGTAATCTTACCAACAGAACCGCCTGGGGCAAGAGAACCAGTTAAGATTTGCAAATGTCCACTTGACTTAATTGGATTATTGACGGATCTGATAATATCTTGACCATCAGGTAAGCCAGGAGCCTTGGCGGCACGTTCGGCTAGAGTTTCACCAGTGACAGTCAATGCGTTACCATGCATGAAACCGTTGTCATATAGGTACTTGATAACAGATTGAGTACCACCAACAGATAATAGATCAGCCATAACGTATTTACCAGATGGTTTGAAGTCACCTAATAATGGAGTCTTATCACTGATTCTTTGGAAATCACTTGGAGACAATTTAATGTTGTGAGAATGAGCAATAGCAATCAAATGAAGGACTGCATTAGTGGAACCACCAGTGGCAATAGCGTAAGTAATAGCATTTTCAAAGGCTTCCTTAGTAAAAATATCAGATGGAAGAATATTTAATTCCATAGTCTTCTTAATAGCTTCACCAATGCTATCACATTCAGCTAATTTTTCCTTAGAGACAGCTGGGAAGGATGAAGAGTTTGGTAAAGTGATACCTAAAACTTCTGCAGCAGAACCCATGGTGTTTGCGGTGTACATACCACCACAAGAACCTGGACCTGGGCAAGCATGCTCAACAATATCTTCTCTTTCATTTTCAGTTATATCCTTAGCGATGAATTGACCATAAGATTGGAAAGCAGAGACTAAATCAATCTTTTCTGGAATCTTCTTAGAACCACAAGTTGGATGACCTGGTAGAATGGTACCACCATAAACCATGATGGAAGGTCTGTTATGTCTACCCATTGCCATCATTACACCTGGCATGTTTTTGTCACATGATGGAATAGCAATATTAGCATCATAATGTTGAGCCATCATAATGGTTTCAAAGGAATCGGCGATAATTTCTCTACTTTGTAGAGAATATCTCATACCTTTAGTACCCATAGAGATACCATCAGAAACACCAATGGTATTAAATTGCATAGCTTTCAAACCAGCTTTATCAACAGATGCAGAACATCTATTATTTAAATCCATTAAATGCATGTTACATGGGTTACCGGACCACCAACAGGAACCGACACCGACTTGGCCCTTAGCAAAATCGTCTTTCTTAAAACCCGTTGCGTACAACATGGCTTGAGATGCACCTTGATCCTTTGGTTCAGTGATCTGGTATGAATATTTATTCAATTTCTTAGCGACATTACGTGTTGTAGAAAACTGTCTACGCATAGCGTTGGCAATAGTCATGATTGTATGAACTGATTTTCTTTATCTTACTTAAATAAATGGATTGAATACACTTGAAAGAAAAAAGAAAAATATATAGAAGTTACCAACACACAATCTTAAATACTCTTTCTTCCTTTATATATAAAATATAGTAATAAACTGCTTCGTAAGCGGAAAATTCAAAGGAATCAAGTGAATTAATATTTGTTTAACATATAAAGAGAGCAGACCCCATTAGAGCCGGGCTTCTTCTTCCTCTTCCCTCTCTACCATACTTTGTATGACTCAATAACCTGGTAACTCTCTCTGCCTGCCATAAGCAAAGGGGAAGAAAGGTAGTGAGAGAATACTATATTGATGCCAATTTTTGCAGCAAACACATCTGAAAAAAAAAATTGCAGAATGAAAAATTTTCGGTTATTAGAAATTCGATGGCCTGAACCGGTCTCACACAGTGTTAAAAAGATAGATACTAACACCAAGAAACAACCAAAAACAAAGGACCCCTTGCCATCAATGAATACTTAAAAGGTTCTAAAGTAAGGGTTATAATTTGTCAGTGATGAGTTATAATATTGGAGACTTGGAATACGTGGACGCTGGTCAATTATGTCAATGGATAAAACAAGGGAATCAAACCAATCTGGGTGAAAAAATTGTAGTTGTGGATGTTAGAGGTCATGATCATATTGGAGGACACATTAAAGGTAGCATCAATATACCGTCTAGCAAGTTTGTTAACGAGATGGCTAATCTGAAACAACGTATGGAAAATGAACAAATAAAAATGGTCGTTTTCCATTGTGCACAGTCACAACAGAGAGGTCCTTCTGCCGCCTTAAAGTTTCTACGGTATTCAGAAGATGAATTTCATATACGTGTCTTACGAGGAGGGTTTATCGAGTGGCAAGAACGCTATAGTTCAGATCCTCAATTGACCTCAAACTATATAAAGGACCTGTGGATGTAAATATACCTCTATACGAAAAAATCCCAATACATACAATTTAAAAACACGATAGATTGCAATGCACTAGTACCATGCCTGTTAATACTAAATGACTGTGTTGTTTCATGTGAACTCGAGGTCTAAGAATACATTCAATTTGCATTGAAAGAAGTATACAAACATGTTTAAGCACATTTTTTTGCCAAATTAGCCGCCCAAGTTATACAGAAAACGGGAGTTCCGCGCTTAATTGTTTTATATATAAAGAAGGGACACTTTGAGTGGCAAATATTTAGCAAAACATTTTCTTGAACTACAAGAGAATAAAAAGCTCAATGAGGTTTCGGTCGAATATTTGAAGTTGGTTTCTAACTCAAGATATTATTAAATGTTGTTTCTTCCCATTTGTATCTTTGATGCAACACGGTAGAACTAATTGAAGATATATATATATATATATACATATGTCAACTATATTTCAAGTGAAATTATTGAGTAAATGGTAATATTCGAAGGAGTGCTCGTTTACTGGGCAAGAAGATCACAACTAACATGTGTAGGATAGCCTTTCTTCCCCCCACACAACCTCAGCAATACACACGCTAACTTGGTCACTGAAGGAAATCATTGAAAGGTATACCTTTCAATCAACAGAAAAGGGCATCGCTAGTTATAGTTTATTAATTGAACAATAACTCGATAGTCATTTCACGAAAATAGACTGAATTCTTTTAACCGAGTAAGGTATATTAATTTAATCAACATAATTTAACTCTGTTAATGATAATTGCGCGTGATTTGCTGTTACTTCTCCCACAGTATTCCGAACAGATAATAATTTTGATTTATCCTCCACAGTTATAGTGCGCTTCAATATGGCACTTGCAGATGACTCTGTTTTTTTTTTTGTTTTGTTTTGCTTAGATATTAAGGTAGATAGAGTGAAATAGAATAGTACGAGAGAAAAAAAACAACCGCAAGACGATAAAGCCAAAATGGGACGAAATCTCTAATCCTTAGATAATATATAAAAACATGAAGCTCGAATGGTTGTACCTTTATTGACCTATAGAAAAATTCAACGAACTCGACAATCAGTAACCTCGTAAACCAAGTAACTATGGCTGGGGAATTAATTGACGGTAAAGCCGTTGCTACATCTATTAGAGTGGAGATCGCTGAAGAGATCAAAGTCCTACAAAATGAAACTCCAGATTTCAAACCAACTTTAGCCATTATTCAAGTTGGTAAGCGTGAAGACTCTAATACATATGTTCGTATGAAACGTAGAGCAGCTGTTGAAGCTAACATCGATGCTCAATTTATTCATTTCGACAATGCCGATGAAGTAACCGAACAAGAATTATTAGATAAGATTGCCTCCTTAAACGCGGACCCATCAGTTCATGGTATTATTGTTCAATTACCATTACCTGCTTCATTGGATGAAGATAAGATTACTTCTGCTGTTCTGGCTACTAAAGATGTTGATGGTTTTGGTCCATTTAACATTGGTGAATTAAACAAGCGTAACGGTCGTCCACATTTCTTACCATGTACTCCAAAGGGTATCATTGAATTGTTGAACCGTTACAACGTTCCAATGCAGGGTGCTAATAGTGTTGTTATTGGCAGATCCGATATTGTTGGTGGTCCAGTTGCCGAATTGTTAAAGTCTGGTAACTCTACTGTTACAGTATTACACTCCTACAGTCAAGATATTCCAAAATACTTAAAGGATGCCGACATTGTTATTGTTGCCATTGGTAAACCTGGATTTGTTAAGGGTGAATGGTTCCAGGACAATAAGAGAGATTGTGTTGTCATTGATGTAGGTACTAATTATATTGAAGATAAGACAAGAAAATCTGGTATGAGATGTGTTGGTGATGTTGAATTTGAAGCAGTGAAGAGCCATGTTAAATTGATTACACCAGTTCCGGGTGGTGTTGGTCCAATGACTGTCGCAATGTTGATGCAAAATACTTTACTTGCCGCCAAGAAAACTTTAAAGAAGGATGGTCCAATCTTTGAAACTTTACCATTAAACCTTGAAACTCCAGTACCATCTGATTATGAAATCTCTAGAAAACAAAAGCCAAAAGAAATTACTCAAATTGCTCAAGAAGCAGGTTTATTACCATCAGAATTTGAACCTTATGGTTCTACAAAGGGTAAGATTAAGCTGGATATTCTTGATCGTTTACAAGATAAGACTAATGGTAAATATATCTTAGTGACCGGTATTACTCCAACTCCATTAGGTGAAGGTAAGTCTACCACTACTGTTGGTTTAGCTCAAGCCCTCGGTGCTCATTTGAACAAGAAAGTTTATGCCAACGTCAGACAACCTTCTATGGGTCCAACTTTTGGTATTAAAGGTGGTGCTGCCGGTGGTGGTTACTCTCAAGTTATTCCTATGGATGAATTCAATTTACATGTAACAGGTGATATCCATGCTATTTCAATGGCTAATAACTTATTAGCCGCTGCTATTGACACTAGAATGTTCCATGAATCTACTCAAAAGGATGCTCCATTGTATAGACGTTTAGTGCCAACTGCTAAGGATGGTTCAAGAAAATTCACTAAATCCATGTTAAGAAGATTAGAGAAATTAGGTATCAATAAGACTGATCCAAATGATTTGACTGAAGAAGAAATATACAAATTTGCTCGTCTAAACATTGATCCAGAGACCATTACTTGGAGAAGAGTTGTTGATTGTAATGACAGATTTTTAAGAGGTATCACTATTGGTGAAGCACCAACAGAACGTGGTTTCACTAGAAAGACAGGATTTGATATATCTGTTGCCTCTGAATGTATGGCCATTCTTGCCCTATGTAACTCTTTGGAAGACATGAGAGAACGTCTAGGTAAGATCGTTGTTGGAGCTAATAAGGAGACTGGTGAACCAATAACTTGTGAAGATATTGGTTGTGCAGGTGCTATGACTGCTTTGCTGAAGGATGCAATCAAACCAAATGTTATGCAAACTTTAGAAGGTACTCCTGTTTTAGTTCATGCAGGTCCATTTGCTAATATATCCATTGGTGCCAGTTCTGTTCTTGCAGATAAGATTGCTTTAAAACTAACTGGTACTAGCTCTAACGCATCAAAGGAAGCTCAAGAGAAAAATGTTGGTTATGTAATCACTGAAGCAGGTTTCGATTTCACCATGGGTGGTGAAAGATTCATCAATATTAAGTGTCGTTCATCGGGTTTAGTACCAGATGTTGTCATCATCGTTGCCACTGTAAGAGCTTTGAAAGTCCATGGTGGTGGTCCAGAAGTGAAGGCAGGTGCTCCATTACCAAAGGAATATACTGTTGAAAACTTAGATTTATTAAGGGAAGGTTGTGCTAACTTAGCTAAACATATTGAAAATGCTAGACAATATAACTTACCTGTAGTTGTCGCCATTAACAAGATGTCATCAGATACTGACAAAGAGCATGAAATTATCAAGGAGGAATCCTTGAAGGCTGGTGCTAGTGATGCCATTGTTTCTAACCATTGGGAAGAAGGGGGTAAAGGTGCTGTTGATTTGGCTAACGGTGTTATTAAAGTTACAAACACTGAAAGTAATAAAGATTTCAAGTTTTTATATGAAACCAATACCGGTTTATCCATCGAGGAAAAGATTACCAAGATTGCACAATCAATGTATGGTGCTAAGGATGTTGAATTCTTACCAGAAGCGCAAAAGAAAATTGAATTATACAAGAGTCAAGGTTTTTCAAACTTACCAATATGTATAGCTAAGACGCAATACTCTTTATCACATGACGCTAATTTGAAGGGTGTACCAACTGGATTCACATTCCCAATCAGAGACATTAGAATTGCGTCAGGTGCCAATTACTTATACGCACTGGCTGCAGAAATTCAAACTATCCCAGGTTTACCTACCCATTGTGGGTTCATGAACATCGAGGTGAACGATGACGGTGAGATTGAAGGTATGTTCTAAGACAAGTAACTCTTATTTATTTCCACCCCTCTCCTTTACTTGATATGTAACTTATATATATAACTCTCTTATTATATTTTTCATGATTATCTCTTTCAGATACCAATATTTTTTGCTATTAGTTCTTTATGTCCTTAAGTAATTCAAGGGGTAGTTTAGATATCGGAAGGGGGCCCTGTAGTTTCTTCGCGGGTTCATTTTTCTGCCTTTAGGGAAGCTCATATAGATATATATACAGATGATATTTAAAGAGAGTTGATGAAGTTGATATGAAAAAGGGGAATTCCTTCAATTGATAAAGGTTAAAAGAACGGTATGAAACTTATACACTTATCTAACGAGGTACTAACGTTATTTAACAATGAGTTTGAAGAGTTCTGTATATGATCACGCATGTGAATTTTTAGATAAATATGTCGACGAATGGTTTTCCAGAGATCTAGATCAACCATTAGTAGTATTGATATCTGGACCACAAGGTTCAGGGAAAAGCTATAATGGTCAACGGATATATACACATCTACGGGACAAGTACAGTCAGAAAAATGTTGCCTATTCATCAATCGACGATTTCTATTTGACTCATGAGGACCAACAAGGGTTAGCTTTACAATACAAAGAAAATAAATTATTACAGGGACGTGGTTTACCGGGTACACATGATCTGTCATTGTTAAACGAATGCCTCGGTGAAGTACTAGGTCGTAGAAAGGACGGTTTACTGAATTTACCACAATATGATAAATCGTTATTTTCAGGGGAAGGTGATCGTAGTGATGATAGCAAACTATCTGTGAAATTACCTGTTGATATATTTATCTTAGAAGGTTGGTTTCTTGGGTTTGAACCTCATTTACAAACCGTTGAAGAAGATTTAATAGATGGAGATATGGCCGACATCAATGCGAAGTTATTTATGTATAGTGATTTACTTTGGAATAATCCTGAGGTTCATTCTTTAGGGATTGTACTAGCGACAGATGAAATTCAAAATGTGTATATGTGGCGTACTCAACAAGAACATGAGACTATACATGTAAAAGGTAGTGGGATGAGTGATATTGATGTCAGGCGGTTTGTAGACCGATATATGCCTTGTTACGAACTATATTATGATGATTTTGTACGTGGAGAGAATCTAGGATCTGTAGCTACATTAACCATTGGGATTGATAAGGATAGAAGAGTATTTTCTGTTAAGACCAGGGCTATTGAGTAAGAAACATGTATTAAAAAAAATAAATTGTGTATGTATATATATATATATATATATGTAAGAATAAGAAAAAAAAAAATTTAGTGAGTACTATGAAAAAACAAAGGACTGTGAGTGACGACAAGTACAACGAGTTAAGGAAATTAGAACTAAAAGTAATGACATATAGCGAATTATTAAGACGTGTTCCGTTGAGTAATAAAATTGGAGTGACGTATCCTGATCAAATGCCTGCATTGGCTGTGATTCCTGAATTAAGAGTCCCACCAATTCCACCAGTAGAGGAGATGTTTCAAGCTTGGTTCGATGAGCTTGATCAAGCGCTTGAAGGAGTAAAACAAAGACTGGATAGAAGTAAGCTTTGGGATCAATGGTATAGTGAAACGTATCTGAGTAAGAAACCTATGGGGATCCAAAGCACGTTACTACCGTCAAAAAGGTAAGCGGATCAAATGTGTTACAGGGGGACAACTTATTTGTAATTAAAAACAGAAAAAAGGAATATATAAATATATATATGTAAGGTGATTAAATAAGTTTAGCATCTTTCAATTTTGATACTAATTCATCTACATTCTTTAGCATGATACCAGGAGATTTTGTTTGTGGTTCATCGACGGATAAAACGTTTAGTTTATTTGTTGTATCGACTTGAGGAAAATCCTTGGTGATAGATAATTTAGGGATTTTAACCCTTTTCACTTTCATTAATTTAGATAAACCAACATAACGAGGTTGATTTAATCTTAAATCTGTAGTGATCACTAAAGGTAATTTGGCTTCTAAAGTTTCTTCACCACCATCAATTTCACGAGTCACTTTACAAGAAGTCATTGAATCATTAAATTCAACTTTACAAGCGTTTGTCGCTTGCGGCCATTTAAGTAACGCAGCCAGCATTTGACCTGTGTTGTTACTATCATCATCAATGGCTTGTTTCCCCATCAGGACAACATTATAATTCTGCTGTTTAACATGATGAGCTAATAATTTTGCAATGGCTAATGGTTCCAATGATTCATTTGTTTCTACTAATGAAACTCCGTCGATCCCTTTAGCCAGACAATTTCTCAAAATATCCTGGCATTTATCCACACCGATGGAAATCGCATGAGTGGATTCAACATCCTGAGGCCTGTGAGTCTTGATCCTTAATGCTTCTTCAATGGCAATATCATCGAATGGATTAATACTAAATTTACAACCTTGAGTCTGCACACCGTCATGGGCTGCGTTCACAAGGGGTTTGATCTGGTGATCCAGCACACGTTTGACGGGAACTAATATCTTCAACTTGCTGCTCATCCTGGTATTGAACTGTATGTGTAGGTATATGTGTACGTGTGTGTACGTGTGTGTGTTGTGAGCTCAAAGGAGTCAACTGGTGCTTTAAATCCCTGCTGATGGCTGATTCTTTTCAATCTGAAAATTTCAGCGCTCCTCGAAAAAAAAACAACCGTGAACGATTTCTGGTATATAAAGAGGGAGAGAAATGAGCAGGGGATGAGGGAAGTAATCAGTTCAATGATAAGGGAACCAAACAGAAACCAAAGAAGATTACTATGAACAAGTACGTGTTGACGTTTATTGGCCATGGCCATGAAGTTCCTGCTTTGGATACTTACCTATTAAAATTTATTGCTAGAAACCCAGATGTCAAATACACGAATTGGGAACAATTAAGTGATCATGTAGTTGATCAATACTTCACTAGCGATGAGGATGAATTGAATCAAGCTAATGTTGTAGAGTATGCTGGTGTCGATGTCGTGTTGCAACGTGATGACGAATACAGACGCAAGAGACTCTGTGTGTTCGATATGGATTCGACTTTAATTTATCAAGAAGTAATTGAATTAATTGCTGCTTATGCTGGTGTCGAAAGGGAAGTTAAAAAGATTACTGATCGTGCAATGAATGGAGAATTAGATTTTAAACAGAGTCTTTCACAACGTGTAGAATTATTGAAAGGTTTACCCATTGAACAATTATATTCAGAGATTAAACCTAAATTATTAATGACAAAAGGTGTTCCAGAATTATGTAAAGTATTAAGACATGACGGTGTAAGACTAGCTGTATTGAGTGGTGGATTTGTACCATTTGCCGAATATATTAAAGAACAACTTGGTATGGATTTTTTTAAAGCAAACCAATTAGAGACGGATAACGAAACAGGTCAATTGACAGGTAAAGTTCTTGGTGAGATTGTTGATGGTGATTTAAAGGCAACTACCCTTGTCGAATTAGGTCGTAAATTTGATATACCAATTGATTCGATAATGATGGTTGGTGATGGTGCCAATGATCTTGCCGCAATGGGTGTTGCAGGGTTTGGTATTGCTTGGAACGCCAAGCCAAAAGTACAACAATTGGCGCCAGGTCGTTTAAACAGTTCAACATTATTAGATTTGTTGTTTATCATGGGTTATACTCAAAAAGAAATTGATCAAAAATTATAATATTAATAATATATTTTAAAAAACAAAAGTAAATAATTTATATATGTATGTAAAAGATAACTTTTTTTTTCTAAATATTTGAGACGATATTTTGCTTGATGGCAGCTAAATTAGCACCAACGACCTTTGTAACTTCCTTACCGTTCTTAATGAAGAGTAAAGTTGGCATGGCACTAATTTCATATTCTTGAGCTAAAGCTGGAATAGCATCGACATCAACTTTCAAGAAAGTAGCATCTGTATATTGTTCACTGAATTTCTCGACCATTGGAGCAATCATCTTACATGGACCACACCATGTAGCGAAAAAGTCGACAACAACTAATTTAGAACCAGCATCAGTTAGAGCAGCCTTGAAGTCGTCAGCAGAGTTAATTTGAGTAACAGCCATTGTAAATGTGTAATGTAATGTGTAATATGTAGTATAGTATACTTAGTTATTCTAGGGTTACAATAAAGACTAGGAGTTAAATTAAGTTAAAATTATGGTGTCTCTTCTATCTCATCATCCATCCCTTTATATACCACGACGTCCAAACTATTTCAATTATGTAAGCGAAAACTGTTCGCGGGCCGCGTTTTTTGTTTTGGCCGGGCTACGCTTTCTGGCTTAGTAAGGGTGTGAGGGTAAGCGGGGGGAGAGCGCCGGCGGGCGGTCGCGGGNCATCAGTTCCCGCCGCGGGAGGGTTGCGGCGGGGGATTTGGGGCGCGGGCTAGGGTGGATGGGGGGTTGGTTGGGGTTATTTTGGGGGGCGGGCGTTCCTATAGAGGATGAGGGTTCAGCGAATATGCACAAGGATCAAGGAGTTAAACAGTTCTATGAAGGGATTAGTCTATTTACACTGTGAATTCAGAGGTCAAGGGTATTTATGAGTATAGCTTTACAGCTAGCAATGTTTGCCATAAACGCCGGTAATAAGAAAAATCTTGTAAAGGAAGCCATGATAGTACTCTTTCGGGAGCGGGACTCCCGCCCCCTCTATCTCCATTTCAAGGGCCGCCAAAATGGGGCCCCGTTTATTTTTTGAGGGACCTTGGGTTGGGCAGGCGAGGTTGCTCAATGGGGGCGGTATTTTTTCATATCTAATCCCCAAAGCCAAACTGTGATAAAGATGATGAGTAAGGGAAGATGAGTAATGAATGAGTGGTATCGACCTGTGTGTCTCGTAGTTCTCTAGGTACCATTGTATTTGGTGTATAATGAATAGGAGTACCAATGTATGTCAGCAATATTGAAAAGCGTCACAAACTTGTCTATTCTAATGAGCAAGCTTGAACGTTGATATGGTAATACTATAAATGAAATTCGTAACAATTTAATTCATTTTTGAATGAGCATCCTGTGCAATTCATTAGTAATATATCGGAGTTTTTATCTCCTTTTTGTCATCTAACTTCATGCTGGTGCTGGGAGTAAGTAGCTGGTTTGGGGGATATGTAGTGTGAGATCAACCCCAATGACAGTACTTAAAATGGGTTTATCTTACCAAAGATGATACACATTCCTAATTATAGCAGGGTTTGCTGCGGGTGTTTTGAGTCATCAAAAAAAAATGGTTGATGAATACATAAGAAAGAGAGATCTATATCTCTATTTTGGCCTTCAAGAATATGTAAATCCCAATTGCTAGCTTTACTTCCTGTTCAATTTAAATAGAGTGTCATTACAATTTTTAATTTTTTTATCGATATTAACGACACACCTCATTTATTTGGTCAGGCAGACGTTTTAGACAGTAATTTAGGTCCCATAATTTGGACTCCAGGTTTAAGAGCAAAATTTTATCAGGTATCATTCAATGGTTCTGAGACTGCAACGGTTCGTAAGGGATACGTTACCAATAGAAAATATTTGACTGAAGATACATGTTTAGGTGAAAGTTCAAGGGGTTGCTTCTTTAGTCACTAGTTATATTAAATACTTGAAACCTACAATGTATGGCTTTCGTATGGATCCCAACGTTGAGCAGTTCGTAATAGAATTGAGAGGTTATTATAAACCACACGAAACTGCAAGCGAGAAAATGTCTTCAATGGTAAATGCTGTTTCAGGTTGTGAGGCGGAATATCAACCAACTATATTATCAGTTCTTGCAAAAGTTTCAAACAAAGTTTATTTGAATCCAATTGATTCAGATTAGATCTGTTACCAAAATAACTCTGCTACGCGACCCTTTGCAACTTTGTTTAGTGAACTTTCTGGTTATTCTGATAATTATATGGATGTCACTTGAGGCAGTTCAACACCTATCTTCGTTAAGAATACATATTATCCAATTAGAATGATATTTTTAAGTAGAGGTGCAGGTATGAATGCAATGTTTTCAAATGATAATGAAGATTATGATACAGAAGATGATAATGTAAATGCTGCATTCCCTGGAAATTGCCCTCAATTTACTCCAACAAAGAATCATAATACTATAAATTTTTCAAATGGTATATTATTGAAAAGAGATGAATGTCTAATAAGTTCAACTTCAACTTCTAGGGAAGTTTCACGTTCAACATCAGATATAACCACTAGCTCATCATAAGATATTGTTCCAAATTCAAGCTCGGAAATAATTACATCAAGTTCTAGTTTTGTTTCTTCAAATTCAGATGTTACACACTCATCTATTCCAGATTCTAGCATATCTTCAGTATTTCCTAACATTTCGAAATCATATTCATTCACTAGTTCCTCTGACCCATTGCCAAATGAATATCCAAGCTCTTACGTTGCTCTGGTCTCAACTTCAGACATTATTGAAAGTTCGTTTTCCCTTACAGCCGATTCTACATCCAAATTGGAAACAAGCTCTTTGGATTCCTTGACAGCAACGACAACTAAGGTCATTGAAACAACTAAGCATACAGTCACCACATATTGTGATATTTCTAGGTCTCACATCTAACTGGCATCTCAATCAAAGAAGACAAATCCATGAACCGTTACTCAAACAAAAACTATTGATGGATCTCTGTCAACAATTATCACGGTGGCTAGTTGCGAAAGTTCTTGTAAACCTGGTGTTTTTCGTCAAACCACAACTCCCAAAACCCGTTCAATAATAATATCCAATAAAAATCCCAGCACCTAAATTACGGCATTACGTTCATGGGTAAAGTTTCCCAAATAGTTGTTCAAACTATATTAAATGGTACGTAGGGTACAGAACAGCACCTTTCATTAAAACTTTCCAGGGGAACTCGAATATTTTAGCATTCTGCCCATTAATGCTTTTCATAATGACATTTGTGACTTTCTGTTAAATATTGCAATTTTTCTACAATAATGAACCATTCTTATATACGTTTATATCACTAAATAATAATAAAAGATCTATACTTACTGTTTTAAGCAAATAAAGTAAAAAAAATGGTTTATTACTTAGCTCGAGGAGCAATCTTGAAACACAAGATGTCATTCTGTTTTACATCCACTAATGCGTCTTCGGATACCCTTATCCCACCAACTGTTTCAATTGCGGCAATTGTCACCTCCGTACCAAGTATATATCTTGCAACAGTACCTGCTGGCGTCCCCCTTTTAACTAGGAAACAGTCCCTAAACACATTAGTACCATTCCCACCTGCAAAAGTTTGTATGTTTTTCACCGTATACACTGGGACCAACTGTAAAATATCTGCTGCAGCTTGCAACACTTGAACGACACCAGTAGAACCAAATCTATAAAGTACTAGATCTCTAATGTCTTCAATTCTTGATAAAACTTTCTCATCCAATGGTTTCAAATTATCAGGATCATCCTCACATGTATCTATAAACTCAGTACCTTCCTCGTAATGCACAAATCCTTGTTTCTTTAGTTTCCTTAGGAAGATCTCAGTTAAAGCACTTGTCAGCACAGATTTTACATTAGGATATTTTAACATAATTTTGGATACATTCTTATCGGCATCAGCATGATCCATTTTATTCAAAGCAAGCACAGTAGGGAATTTCTCCATCATAAATGCTTTCACAACATTAGTAATCATTTCATCATCCCATTTTTCCAAAGGCGGTATACTTCCAAGTCTATCTAGAGCCTTTTGAACCATCCAAACTTGTGAGGAATACCCACCAAATTGCGTCTGTAAAGTATCTACAACACTAGATTTTGTAGCAGTATGTCTACGAACGATAGACCCCCATCTTTTCTTCAAGTTCCCTTCTATCCATAATCTAATTTCATCCTGTAGCCACTCAATATCGTTTAATGGATCATAACCTCTAGTGTTCTTTCCCTCGGCATCAGTAGTACCACTGACATCCACAACATGGATCAAAGCATCCGCATGTCTTAAATCATCCAAAAACTTGTTCCCTAGACCTCTACCTGAATGTGCACCTGGCACCAGACCGGCAACATCCAGTAACATGATTGGGACATGACGTTTTCCTTTCTCACACCACCCATAGTTAGGCTTACAAAGTGATTCTTTACCATACCTAGAACAAGCACAATCAATCTCTAAATAACCAGTGGCTTGGTTTGGTTCGATAGTACAGAAAGGGAATGCACCAACGGCAGCGTTCGCATCAGTCAATGAATTCAATAGCGTGGACTTCCCACTCGAGGGTTTACCCACAATACCTATTAATGGATCTCTTGGCATCTTTATCAGATGTTGTACTGGTCAAACTAAAGATAAAATGACTCAAGTACCTTTCTACCAACCAAAGGGGTTCTAACCCTCAAGAAGCTCCAAAGAATTCTCTGGAACTTTCTAGAAAAGTTGCTTATCAAATGGTCTTCGCATCGCAAAATTTTCGAAAAATTTTTCAGCTTTTGGGAAAGGGAGACTAACTTACATATAAGAAGACCTTGCGATGAACAAGGGATGAACAATTCTGATTCTTATGAGAGCAGACCATATAACAAGTAAGATAACTTGCAAGTAATATAATTAACGATATCAAATATGTCTGAGGAGAAAGATAATCTATTTAAACCAGTTGGTGAGGCCGCCGAAGAGGTTTCTGAGGGCCAAATGTTACCTAACGGTGTCAAGTTGACTGGTGCCGAAGATGCGATGGGTCATCCAGTGCAAGAGATCGAATCTCTATGTATGAACTGTCACGAGAATGGTACCACCAGAATGTTGCTGACATCTATTCCTTACTTTAGAGAAGTTGTTATCATGTCCTTTGAATGTCCACACTGTGGTTTTAAGAATTCTGAAATTCAACCTGCTTCTTCGATTCAAGAGAAAGGTTCCAAGTATACTTTGAAAGTCGAGAACAAGGATGATTTCAACAGACAAGTTATTAAGAGTGAAACTGCTTCATGCAAATTTATTGAATTAGACATTGAGATTCCTCCAAAGCGTGGTGTGTTAACCACTGTTGAAGGTCTACTTGAAGAAATGATTGAGGATTTACAATCAGACCAAGAGATGCGTAAGAAGATTGATGAAGCCATGCACGACAAGATTGATGCGTTTATCAAGAAAGTCAGAGCTACTATTGATTGTACCCCTGAAGGTGTAAATCCTGTAACTTTTGAGTTGGATGACGCTTCCGGGAATTCTTGGATAGAGTACAAACCAGGTGAAGCACAACACAAATGGTCCCATTCTGAATATGTGAGAACCGATGAACAAAATGTCCAAATTGGGATGCTAACTCAGGACCAATATGAAGAACGTCGTAAGGCTAAATTGGCTGAAGTTGCTGATCATGAACGTAACCCTTCAGAAGCTCAAAAACTTGAATCTAATTTCTTATCGGATGAAACTGATATTGAAAATTTTTCTAACGAAGTCCAAACGTTCACAGCTACTTGTCCTAGTTGTATGGAAAAATGTGATACCCATATGAAACCTGTTAACATTCCTCATTTCAAAGAAGTCATTATTATGTCTACCTCTTGTGAACATTGTGGCTACAAATCTAATGAAGTTAAAACTGGTGGTGCTATCCCAGAAAAAGGTAGAAAAATTACATTATTATGTGATGACCCAAGCGATTTGTCCAGAGACATTTTGAAATCTGAGTCATGTTCTTTAGTGGTAAAAGAATTGAGTCTGGATATTCAAGAAGGTACCTTAGGTGGTCGTTTTACTACAATCGAGGGTTTACTAACACAAGTTTATGAAGAACTAGAAGCCCGTATTTTCTCTCAAACATCGGATTCAATGGATGAAACCGTTAAGAATCGTTGGATAGCATTTTTCGCTAAATTAAAAGAAGCCATTGCTGGTAAAGTGAAATTCACAATCGAGATGACAGATCCTCTAGCTGGTTCATATATTCAAAACGTTTATGCCCCTGATCCAGATCCAAATATGAAGATTGAGGATTACGAAAGAACCGCTGCACAAAATGAGGAACTTGGTTTGTCTGAGATGAAGGTATAATCGGGTAAATTAAGTACTATTTTCATAACATTTTAAAAAAAAACATTATTCTATATGTATATATTTTTTTTGTATTACTATAAAAAGATTTTTAAAACAAAGCTATTGATGATAAAGGTTTTATCCGCCAGGAGTTTACTCGTATTTTGTAATTGGTCTTGCATAATAAATTCCACATTTCTTATTTTATCCTTAAATATGTACCATTAAAATCCTTTAAATAAAATATATATATTTATTTATTTACTCTTCTAATGGAAATGTCCCTAGATCTTGGTCCATAGAGTTTGGCCCCTGTTGTTCCAACGTATTACCTAACCACATAGCTTGATCAGTAATATCTTTCCATAACTTATTGTCTGTCTGGTTGGATTTCAACATATCATCTAATAGATGTTCGACATCGTCCATATTAATAGCTGTCATTGGATCCAATTGATTCGTATTTGTTTCAATGATACGTGAACCTTGTATAGTCAGTGGTGCATTATATGACTGAGCAATCGATGCATTTATTAAATCATCAAGCGTAGACATAGGTTCATGATTTAAAATATCAGGAGATGCAACTGTAGTGGCAGTAGTGGTAGCAGTTGCAGATGAAAGCGAAGTAGTGTTATCATGAACTGGAGTGTCTGTTATAGGCGTTGTAGTCTCTTTAGGGTCGTTGATAGTAGTCTCCGGTGAAGTTGATGTGTCAATATCGGTATGTTTTAAAATTAACCCTTTTAAGAGGTTATGGAAATCCAAATTAATCATTAATGTCAGCAATTGAGCTCTTCTCAATTCAGCTGCGTTGTTGCCTAAACTGATCATCTTGTTAAACATGGTTAATGCATGATCTAAATGTTCGTACGTTTGTTCATGAATACCAAACGTTGTGGTAAATAGTAACAAAGTACACGAGGATGTAAATAAGTATTCACGATCCATATAACCAAACATAGCTATGACATCAGGTACCATTAACTCCCAGAATGATCTGATAGTGTTTACAGAGGCCTGTAACGAACAATTTAAAAGCATTGTTGTAGAATCTGAATAATCTTGTAGGTTCAAGTATGTATTGTTGTCCTTAAACGTTTTTAATTGAATTGATACGAAATGGAATAATAAAGGTCTTATTGCTAAATTAATCCCTTGGAAATATTCTGTAAATAAATTTGTTAATTGTCTTGTTATCTTTAATTTTGTGTCAGAGAAGTCTACTTGACATCGTTCAGACAGGTTTGCCTTCCATTGAAATAATTGTTTAATGATATTACGTAGAATTGGCAGTACATTATCCTTTGGTTGTCGTTGATACAGCTGTCCCAGTATATACCCGTTAATTTGTACAATTTTAACACAATTTGATAAACATTCAGCCTCAGGGAAAGTATAATAACGATATTGTTTTGGAGGTTTCGATGTATCGAAATCTGCCGGCAATTCTGTTGATATGGAATAGTCTGTGAAACTTAATGGTAAACCAGCTTTGCTGCTTAGCATACGTTCAAACATATAGACAGTCCACCACAGTCGACGTTGATGCTCTACTTGAAACCTTGATAAAGTGTCACTTTGTGAATCTACATGCATCCCAATTACCAAACATGTTCTTAGAGCTTGCCCAAAATAAAAATATGCTAGTACGGTGTTATCAGCTACTTGTAAATAAAATGCATATAGGAGGAGAATCTCAATACCACCTTCTTTAGTCAATAATTGTAAATGTTCCCCTGAAAAGACAACATTAAAGATCTTTGACGCTTGAAGGAACCATCTGGCACCTGGTAACATTGCGTCTTCTGTATCTTTGGGTGTTTCTTGTCCGATGCGGTGGTAGACTTCCCCAATGGCGAAGATTAAAAATACTTTACAATGCCAAATTAATTGTAAAGTGGCATTATTATAAAGTTTTCTATTGGTTTTCCCTGAGTAAACAATTTCTATCCCATGACGGACCAATCCTTCGTTGAAGAAATAGAAGCATCCACCATTATAAGAAATAAATTTATCAATAAGCACTATCGCATATGGGTAACTTGGCATAGTCAAATCTAAAGATGGAGGTGCATGATAGAATTCTGAGGAGTTAAAAGTAACTTTATAATGTAAAGGTCCTAGTTTTCTAATTTGTTTCACACTATTAGGAGTCCCACTTATTGCTCTATATAGAGTTGATGGTCTCAAAGTTATAATATCTCTCTTCAACATGGGCATAGGTTTGAACTGTTTATTTGTCACATAAGTCGAAATCAAAGATTGAATCTCTAACCCAAACAAAGTCATTGATGATGATCCAATGAACAATGCTTGTCCTAACGACAATTCAACGATTCTTCCTGTTCTTGGGGCAAACGTAGAGGCTATTTCATCGTCCGAAGAGTCCCCCACATCACCAGTTTCATCCTCATCCTCTGCATACGATAGTGCTGCATCTGAATGTCTCTTATGTTCTTCTGAATCTAGTAAAGGTAGACTGATACTTTTCTTTGCTTTCAATCTCTCATTCTCTCGTTTTAATTCTTGAACAGCATCTTGCAATTCGGATAAATACTTTACCGACACTACAATTTTCTTTGAAGGCTCTACGTACTCACAGGTTGCTCCACTTGTACGGCACCGATCACAGGGCTCACCTCCTGGGCATTTCAGATGTTTCTTACGGCATGTCTGACAAGCCAACACAGACCTTACCTTTTTAGCTGGACCATCTTCGTTTTTAATACGTTTTATAGCCAAATCTAGACCATTTAAGTGTGTATTTCCTTTCTTAACACATTTTGCAGTCGAATTCAGTTTACTTGAGGGCATATTCTTCCCACCAAACACATATACTTCTTGGTTTCCGAGGTTGCAATTACGTTGAGTGCTATTTCAAATAAGTTTAGCAAGTCTCTTCTACCAGCAACTTAACAAAAATAACAACCACCAATCTGATAATCACCCACTAATATAGTAGTAGCCGTTTAATACTGATAGGAACTGTGTAGTGAATGCTCTTTCTTCCCATCTTGTAGTTGTTTTTAACTTCCTAGCTAGGTTCCCACCAATCAGCGTCCAGTTTTAAAAACAGCTTTCCACGTGACGCGAAGTTCCCTCGTTTTCCCTTTTAAAAGGAAGAAACTCAGATTTTTGGTGAAGTTTATACTGATGAACTGCATTTTATTTTAACACATAGATCAAAGAAAAAGGGTATATTTGTAAAACAATTACAGGATATATTTATATAAGGGTGTATTACTTATCAATAAAATACATATAATTTAAAAGAAAACATATAAACAATGTCTCTGGCTAAATCTGCTGCCAATAAACTGGACTGGGCTAAAGTTATAACTTCATTGAAGATCACGGGGAAGACTGCCACAGAACTATCTAGTTTCAAGAAGAGAAATGATGAAGCTCGTAGGCAATTACTAGAATTACAACAACAACCAGTGGCTGTTGAATTTAATCAGTATCGTTCTCTATTGAAGAATCAAGCTGTAATTGACCAAATTGAGGGGTTCTGTAAGGCTTACACTCCTGTTACTATTGATAGCTCCAAACAGATCCGTACAATTGAGTCCTTCCAACAGCATGCACTAGCCAACGCAGAGGCTACAGAGAAACTAGTCAACCATGAATTGGCTACATTGAAGGAGACTTTACAAAACATTGAAAATGCTAGACCATTCGACGAATTGACTGTCGATGATTTAGTCAAGGCCAAGCCAGAAATTGACGCTAAGGTTGAAGAGATGGTTAAGAGAGGTAAATGGGAAGTACCTGGCTATGCTGAGAAGTTCGGTGGTTTGAATGTCATGTAGATGTGGTCTTGAGGTCTTTAACATTCCTACTTCTCTTCATATATATATTTGTCGATATTGAAAAAAATAAAAATATAATTTCCTAAATACAATAATAAATATTCTATCCTTAACTCAATCAAATAAACGAAAAGCAAATAAACATAGAAGCAACACAATGAATAAGAATCTGGCGGATAGGTTTTTAAGTTGTATAGACCATGAGAGGGAACAAGATGTTGAATTGACCAGTCAGTTACTCAAGAAGTTACCGATTACGAAATTGGTTGAAGCTGGGTATGCTGTAAACAAGTTAACTTTGGAAAATGTAAGAACAGGTCTTGCGGGGAAAGTATACATTGAATTAGCTAGTGAAGATGGTGGATCTATTGATCGTGGTGGTGTTAAAGTTGGAGATATTGTTACTGTGGAACAACCAAAGCATCTAGCCAGCAAAGACCATCATAAAAGCTGCTCTGGAGTGGTCTATAGAATTAGTTCAAAACAAGTTACTGTTACTATCGATGAACAACAAGAAGAAGACGTCACAACTTTATATAATTACCCTAGACTATGTTTGGTGAAAACTACAAACACTATTACATACAAGAGGATGGAATCCACTATGAGAAAACTTGCAGAGATTGACAATTTAAGTAATGCACCACGATTGGTGCAATTGTTGACGGATGATACCATTAAGTTGATGCCTACAACTACCTCAGGGCAACTGGTTAAGTTTAATAATGGCATGTTGAATGAATCACAACAGCACGCTGTGCAATTTGCTTTACAGAATGAAATAGCAATTATTCATGGTCCACCAGGTACAGGTAAAACGTATACTTTAGTGGAATTGATCCAACAATTGGTCAACAAGGGTGAACGTGTTCTAGTATGTGGACCTTCAAATATTTCTGTTGACACCATTCTCGAAAGGTTAAGTAAAGTGATTCCAGGTGATAAGCTGTTACGTATTGGGCATCCTGCAAGATTGCTGGAGTCTAATTTGAGACACTCCTTAGATATTCTAAGTAAAAGTGGTGATCGTGGGGCAATTATTAAGGGCATACGATCTGAAATCGATAGTACAATCAAAGGTATTAAGAAATTGAAACGATTTAAAGACCGTAAAACAGCTTGGCAGGATGTTAAAGAATTAAGAAAAGAATTGAGAGCTAGAGAACAAAAGATTGTGAGTGAATTAATTCTGGAGTCGCAAGTAGTTGTCGCAACTTTACATGGTTCAAGCAGTCGTGAACTGATTGGTATGTATCGTGATCATGACCATCTTTTTGACTCATTGATCATTGATGAAGTTTCTCAAGCGATGGAGCCACAATGTTGGATTCCATTAATCTCTCACTCACAATCCCAGATGAAACGACTTGTATTGGCTGGTGATAACAAGCAACTACCACCAACTATTAAGACTGCAGATAATAATAAAATTTTACACACATTGGAAACGACTCTCTTCGATAGGTTAGTCGCCATGCAAGGCGAGTCTTTTAAATGTTTATTAAATGTGCAATATAGAATGAATCAAGATATAATGAAGTTTTCTTCGATGGTAATGTATCAGGATAAGCTGGTCGCAGATAAAAGTATTGCAGGTATATTGTTACAAGATTTACCAGGTGTCGATGATAATGATGAGACTTCAGTTCCTTTAATATGGTATGATACTCAAGGTGATGAGTTTCCAGAGAGTCTTGATGATGATGATAATGCGATAATGCAATCAAAGTACAATGAAAATGAGGCACTACTAGTGAAACATCATGTAGAGGCATTAATTGATAGCAATGTATCCCAATCAGATATTGGCATTATTGCACCATACAGCGCCCAAGTGAGTCTATTAAAGTCTTTGGTAAGAGAACAGTATCCTGGAGTAGAGATCTCTACAGTTGATGGTTTCCAAGGTCGTGAGAAAGAAGTGATAGTATTAACACTTGTCAGATCAAATGACAAATTCGAAGTAGGGTTCTTAAAGGAGGAAAGACGTCTTAACGTTGCAATGACAAGACCAAAGAGGCAATTATGCGTTATTGGGAATATTGAAGCGTTACAACGAAGTGGTAACAAGTATCTGAAAAATTGGGCTTCGTGGAGTGAAGAGAATAGTGAGATACGGTATCCAGATATTGATGATCTTCTGTAAAAACATTATATTAATTATGTTTATATATATATTATATATAACGGGCACTATTTATCTTCGTCAAATACATAGAAATCGACATTTTCATCAGCAGTTACAAACATTGAATATTTAGGATTCATGGCTATCGATCTAGGACATGAATCTGGTGCTGCGGGTATATATGCTGTTGGTTTTAAGGTTCTGTTACTTATAGAATCAGAATGATTCCATATGGCGACTTTTCCATCATAATCGGTACCTAAAATAAATTGACCATCCGGTGTAAATGTTGCTGACCCAGCATCCATGAATTCTCTCAAGGGGAATGGCTTAGTTCCGGTTAATTCGAATAATTGTACACCGGAAAATGCATCCAATACTAGATGTTTCCCATATGAAGTTGCCAATAACAAATATTTTCCATCATTCGAAAATTCCATCTTATTCCAATTATTAAACTCATTATCAATCTTCACTGTTAGGAATGGTCCTTTTCCCAGTTGTTTCAAGTTATATAATGCTAACTCCATTGATTCTGGGTTACCAAGCGCAACTACTAAACCAGAAGGGTCGTAAGCAATACAATTTGGAACCAAACTAGGGATAATTGCTTGAGCCTTTGATGATCTTAGGTCCCAGAGTCTGACAGACTCATCATAAGAGGCAGAAATAAATGTATCATCCAATGGGCTCATCTGTATATCATGTACTAAAGCTCCATGGCCTGTGAAATAACGAATGTATTGATTTGTTTCGAGGTTCAAATGTCTGATATCAAATGATTTCATCGTCGATGAGTAAATACATTCGTTCTGAGCATGTGTAAATCTTGCTGAATGACAGCCATACTTCTTGGATCCTATCGTATTAAGAAATTTACAGGAAACTGCATCATAAAGGTGCATATTGTCATTAGCTGCTGCAGTGAGTAAATATTTCCCATGATCATCAAACGATAAAGACGTCACTGGTGACACTTCTTTTTCTTGAACCGAAAATGATTTCACAACTTTGTATTTTGATAATGTATCTCTCGATATATCCAGCGACATCCTTACTTTATTTGAATCTCTTTGGTTACTTTTGTTGTTATTTCCTTGAGCTTCTTTTTGTTATTTTTAATTGTTAAATAAAAATAAATTTTCAGTTTTAAATGAAAGTCAACAAACATTGAAACAAATGCAACATTGAAGAAGAACAAAGAAATATCCTAATAAAGAAAAGAACGATATATTTCAAGGATGGGTTTACAGAATATAATTCGTTGGGGTGTGGACCTGACATTGGTGGCCATGTTGCTAGCGGCTGTAAGACGTGAGACTGGATTAGTATTTGCTTACGAACGTTACGACTTTACGCAATTGATAAGGCGTTACTTGACCTGGGGTGAATATTGTTTCCAGCGATTTGTGAACCATGCTCAGGGAGACTCTCGTCGGTTCCGTAAGCAACTTGATGGTGTCGATAAGTTTTTAGAATCGCCATGAGATTATTTATGGAATTTTTTATTATTATTATTTTTACAGTTTTAAACAAAAACAAATACTACATATTATATATTCAAATATCTAATGTCTATTAATCCTTATTGTTATATTTATGATTTCTGTAGCAATTGAATCTTGTGATCCCAAAGATTCTTTCTGATAGGATCTGCTTTTGTAGCTAGAGTAGTATAGGCTTCAATAGCTTTTTGGGGTTCATTAACTTCAGGTAAAGAATTCAAATAAGCGAAAAATTCTAAAGCATATGATGATTCATCTAGGAATTTAGTTGTGAAAGTCAATAACTCATCCACAAGTACCTTTGGTGTCTCCTGAGATTCCAATAGTCCTCTCAGATAAGTCCAAGTACTTATATTTTGTGGTACATACTCGATCTTCCCCTTGGCATATTGTAATTCTTGATCAAAATCAATATCGCATTGTTTCAATACCGATAATCTATGATTCCATGCACTATTGTTATATACGTCTCTCTCGATATATTTCTCAGTGAATGTCAATTCATGACCATAAGTTCTGAAATGAGAACAACACCATTTACGATAGGACCAAACATGATAATTTTTTGAATCATCATCTATCATAAGTTCCATAATAGGTTGTTCTCTAGTGAAGGTTGCGTGTAGATGTAAATGGGTCAATAGAGCTTGACGATATGACCAAATTTGATAGTTTTTAGGGTTATTCAAAGTGAACTCATCTAACCAATCTAGTTCTTTGTTCAACAGATATGATGCATCGTGACCATTTTGCAACAACGTCTCCTCTTGCAGCAGATGTTCAAGGATTCTATAACGATAGTTCCATACTGTATAGAAAGCAGGAGACAATTCAATTGCCTTTGAAGTCAAACTCAATGCTCTAACAGACAATTCATTTTCCTTAATCAATGCTCTCACTAGCGACATCACTTGTTTGTACTCCTCCGAGTACATAATCCGGCATAATTCATTGTCTTCTTCACCGTCATGGGTCAGTGGAACAACTGCAACATCATCATAATCCTTAATATTGAATTGGAAACTCATTTTTTTATATTACTTGCTTACTAGTCTCTATCCCCCTTGAAATATCCTTATTGGTAACTTCAATTAGTCCAAACTTTAACTCTTGACAAAAAATAACACAAGTACTGCTATCTTGGTATGATATATAACAAACAATAACAGCGATCCAAGTGCAAATCCCAAGCTGCAAACCACCCAGAGGCATCCTTTCTCTTCTTGAGGTTCAATGGTTTCTCTCCTTATACCAAACTTTGCTGCAGGATCATCGCGGGCGACGAAGCATCATGTTTCACTTCCAAACAAAAATGGAAAATGAGAAGAAATTGAGAATTTAAAAGAGGAAGCAACAACCAAAACCATAGAGAAGAACAAGATAAAAGAGAAGACAGTAAAGAAGAGATAAGCAATAGCATAGAGGTTCGAAGGGATGGACCGTGATATATTGCTAGAGAACTCGAACATCGAGTCGATGGTGTCCGATATCCTGTTTCAAGGTTTGTTGACGGAACAAGAAGAAAAGGAATCCCCACCACATGACGACTTACAATTTGGAAGAAAAGAAGCTATCAACACGAAGTATGTGGACCCAGCGCAGTTTTTGGCCATGGATAGTGCTAAGATACAGTCGACATTGACTGTACGGGGCTTACCGGAAATCTCGAGAGTTGAGAATCAATTGAAGTTGCATCTGACTCTTACGGGAGGTCAATTGTTAGAACATAAGTCCATGGTGCATTTACCTGCGGATTGTATCGCAAAGGAAAAACTATATTTGACTAATGATGATATTACGACGTTTCCCGCTTCTTTGAAGCATAAACTTGTACACCTCGAAGCATATTTGTTATGTGCTGGGTCTGAAGCTGATACTACTGTTTGCAAACGATGTGTCGAAAGAGAATTGAAAAGGGCTTCAAGGAGAAAATCAGGACTGAGTGATAATATGTTATGGTGTAACAATCCTCATAGAAGAGCCATTATCTTTAAGAATAGACAAATTATGAATATGACCAAGATGGGTACAAAGTCACTAGAGTTTGACCTTGTGGCTAGAATTGTGTGTTATTCTCGTCATAATAAATCCAAAGAAGGTTTTAAATTGTTATTTGTAGTGAGAGACTCCGAAGATGGGACAGTAATGGCAAGGACAGTGACACATCCGATTGTGATTATGGATAAAAAACAATCAGCATCAACTTCGACCTCTACGTCGACTTCCCTGGCTGAAATGTTTACTTCGAATCAATTGTTTTTATCATCAGAACTGGAATCATCTTCACCATTTACCACTGTACCATTCCCATCACCATCATCACTTAGTGAAGATAGTAATGTTGGGTCTAGTAAACGATCGCGTACTAGTATAGACTCTACAGGTTCCTGGCAACAGGCCATTGCAAATATAGCAACATTACCAACGCCTCAGGATGAGATTCATGCACCAACAATTCAAAGGATTATTCCTGCACAAGGCCCAATCAATGGTGGCATAGAGATTACTTTATTAGGGAAAAATTTCAAGCAAGGTCAACGAATTAAATTTGGTGAAAATATAGCATTGTCCACACAATGTTGGAACGATTCTACTATGGTAACGTATTTACCCCCTGCATCAACGCCGGGACAGGTAGTGGTAACGATAGAAGATAAACCAGGGACTGTGTCACAAATTAATGTTCATCAATTGGCATCTTTACAACTTCCACCACAATCACCACAGACGGTAAACTTGAATGCAATTTTTACTTATGTCGATGATACCGATAGACAACTAATTGAATTAGCGTTGCAAATTGTAGGATTGAAGATGAATGGTAAATTAGAAGACGCTAGAAACATTGCTAAGAGAATCGTTGGAACAAGTAGTACGCATAGTACTCCAAGTCCCATGTCTTCCTCAGCAGGTGGTTACACAGATGACGAATCCCTGATAGTCAACGTATTAACATCATTCAAGATCGGTAGTAAAAATTTGAATCTTTCCGTATGTGATCCTCAAGGAAGAACATTATTACATCATGCGGCATTAAAATCTTATCATTCTCTATTAAGAACATTGATTAATTATGGTGCTTATGTCGAAAGACCCGATTTGTTCGGGTTCACACCATTACATCTTGCATGTGTTGCAGGAGATTATAAAACAATTGAGATGTTATATGAAGGTTGCCATTGTGCTCCTTCTGCAGTAACTATCAATGGAATGACTGCAAAGACTTTACTTTGGATCAATCATCATTTGAAATGGAATAATATGTTTGATACTGAAAATGATACGACATCTCAGTTGTCATTATCTGCAGTATCCTCATTCACAGATTTATATTCACAGACAAATATTACTGTTCCGATGAGTAACGATTCAGATGATGCCATGGCAGACGATGAGAATGAATCAGAAACATATGAGGATAAATCCGTCTTGACCGAAACCGAAGAGGATATTGATACTACTTCATTATGGAACAGAATGGTCACCAATCTAACGAATAACGATCTATTGCCTAAATACGAAGATTTATTCCCTAAAGGTCTACTTGACTTGAACACTAAGGCTAACACCTTATTACAACAGGATCAACCTCACGTCAATATTGAGGACGAAGAGTCCGAAGAAGAAGGTGATGATCTTGAAGATCTCCGCAACAGTGTACAACAATTCTTTTTACAACAACGTACAAAGTTCCAGAATGATAGTATGCTATTATTCTTTTGGATTCCATTAATGGTTATCCTAATTTGCTCGATGACTCTTTACACTCTAGGTCATGATGATAATTTTATCCAGACTCTAGGTGATAGGGTCTCCAAATATTTGAGGATGGGATTAAGTCATGTCATCCTAGGAAATGAACGTATGAAAACAGTAGTACGTAAACAGTTCCAAACTTTCCAAACACCGCATGTCCTTCCAGAAATGACCTTGTAAATTTTTTTTGCTAGCTAACTTTACAAAGCTGAACATTATAGCTATATATATAAACTACATACAACAAACAACAACCCTTTTGCATATCTATACTTTTAATAAACTTTTTTCAATACTAAACCTGAAATTTAATTTTTCGCAAGATTACATATACATACATCTTAATAATATACCAAGCAATCTTTCGCAAAGGTTTAATGCCAGCAAGACAAGTTCAAATGGAGGCTGCTTTGCTGATAAAGAATGACTCGGGATATGTGTACTTAAGATTTGGTGTAAAAACCAATTATTGGCAGAAATATTCACTCCTTACCTACAAGGACCTTACAGAGAGGTTTGAGAGTACTCTCCGTGTACGTTTCCTTTCACTTATTTTGGGAAGAATCAAGTATAACCTGGGACCAGCACCAAAGAGTTTCCTGTCACTTTGACATAATCTACAAACCTCAAGATGATAAACGTAACTTCAATAGTCTCGCAAACTCTATTTATCATCTCTTCTTGTTTTATATACTTGTCTATGTCTCTCAGGTGGAAAATTTTTCAAATTGAAATTCTTTGATTATTTAAGAAAATTTGTTTTGCGATGAGCTAAAAAGTGCACTGAAGGAACCCTTTCCTCACTCCACATAAACCTAATTCCAGTAAGAACAAAACATTGCTCTATAGTATATACAACGATGGCTCGTAATCAGTTTAGAATTGTCGTAGGTTCCTACGAACATAACATCCTCTGTCTATCATTAGATCTGACTCTAGAGACTCCAGTGTTCACTCCGATCTTCCATTTCCAAGCTCACTCTCTAAGTGTCAAGTGTCTAGATATTTCCAAGAGATACCTAGTCTCAGGCTCAAACGATGAACATATCAGAATCTATGATTTGCAAAAACGTAAGGAACTAGGTACATTATTGGCCCATCAGGGATCTATCACAGCATTAAAATTTTCAAGAGGTGAAAATAACAGTAGTAATAAATGGTTGCTGTCTGCTTCAGATGATAACAAGATTATTATTTGGAGAGTTAAAGATTGGGAGAATTTTGGTACTTTGAAGGGACACATTGCTAGAATAAACGACTTAGCAATTCATCCATCAAACAGAATTGCTGTAAGTGTTAGTGATGATCATTCCATCCGTCTATGGAATTTGATGACAGTGAAAAAAGCAGCTGTATTGAAACTAAGAAACTATAACCAAAACGGTCAATTCGTGAGGTGGTTGGGTACTGAGGGTCAACATTTTGCAGTTGGTTTGATGACTAAAGTATTAATTTATTCTACTGATGACGCTAAGGTGCACCACGAACTTGATTTGAAAAGAAAAACATTGATGCATATGGAGACTGTCCAACTTGGTGATATTGAATATCTATGTATTGGTCTAAACGATGGTAATATTGAATTCTATGAAACCAAGAAACTACTTGCTGAAACTGAATTGGTCTCCACATTGACCCCAGAATTTTCTTTACTAGGTCACACCAATCGTGTTAAGGACTTCAACTTTTACAAGAACGAACATGGTACTTACTTGGTTTCAATTGGTTCCGATGGTAAAGTTGTTGTTTGGAACATAACATCAGAGAAACAAGAACAACTTGCTGTATACGATTGTGGTGAAAGATTGAACTGTTTGGCTCTTTGTGATGAAGCGATTGAGAAGTACGATACCATGAGAAAGAGGGACTCTGATAAGGCTGACCTAGATGATGTCCAAAGTGAGGTAGAAAGTGATACTGAGGAAATCAAAAAAGCTATGTTTGGTAAGAAGCAAAAAAGGTCCAAGAAGCAAAAGAAGGCCAAGAAAATCAGTGTAGAACTTGAGTAGTTTAGAGTACTATCCATTTTCCTTCATCACCATCACCATTTATGTATATTATATATATTTCTATCTTTCCTTTGTACGTTTTCCCTTTTTCTATAATAACAGCAACTTGTCACCAACCTTTTGTGACGTTGCCAATTGCACATAATATAAGAGAAAGCGATCATTAAAAGAATTTCACATTAAACTCTCGAACTACACAGAACAAAGCAAAAGAGATTAAAGAGAGATAGGTATACACATGGACAGGATGAGAAATGGCATGTCACCAGGAAGAACACCTTCTCAGCATAATTCGACGTTAGCGATCTCACCTTTTATAACAAATAGATACTCCAGATCAGTTGCACCACCGCCCCAACAACAACAGCAACAACAGCAACAACTAACGCAGCGACAAACACATTCGAGAACACAAAACAATGAGAAAGATGGAGATCTACTGCCTAACAGTAGTGTGAACCACAGTAGAATAGATAACTTTCAAGCTATTGTAAGCAGTCCTTTAGGTTTGAAAACGAGAGATCCACCTGCACCTCCATCTTTGGCCACTCCTTACCATCAGTTTAAAGGCAATAATGATTCCACTAGAGTAAAGAATGGAAGTATGTTTGGGTATGCAGTTCCTTCCACAGTGAGAAAAGTTAGTATCCAAGAGAATGACTACAGGAACACGACGACAAGAAGTAATAATAACAATAACATTGATGATGTTATGGATCACAGTGAATCAAAGGATGGAGATCGACTGACTACCACATTGACCACAACTACTACAGCAGCCACTGCTGCTGATATAGATGTATCTGATTTATCATCAGTGGAGAGACTACGTTTGTGGAGGCACGATGCCCTGATGCAGCATATGTATGATACTGCAGAATTTGTTGGAAACAAGATATACACGATAACTAAGGATCCTAATGATGCATTTTGGCTTGCTCAAGTTTATTATTATAAGGGATCCTATAAGAGAACCATTGATTTGCTCTCATTGGACAATCTTGATACAACTAGTATAATGTGCCGATACTTAATCACATTATGTCTTTTCAATTTACAAAAATATGATGATGCATTAGATATAATTGGCGAAACTAATCCTTTTGCTAGTTCCAATAGTGCAGATATGGCTGCTGATGAGGACTATGACGAAAACCACGAATTCCAAAGTGATGGTGGTATTAAGATTGAATCCTCACTGTGTTTTTTAAGAGGTAAGATATATAGTGCCCAGAATAATTTTACGAGAGCTAAAGAATGTTATAAAGAAGCAGTACTAATTGATGTTAAGAATTTTGAAGCATTTCAACAATTGACAAATAAGAACTTGTTGACTCCGAAGGAGGAATGGGAGTTGTTGGATTGTCTTGATTTTTCGAGTCTGGATGATAATAAACAAGTTATTAAACAGCTTTACACAATTGCATGTTCTAATTATATTAATAAAGATCGGATAGAGACATCGAAGCGGATCCTTTGTGAAGAGTATACTTTGGAATCCAATGTAGATGTAATCAAGTGTGAGGTTGAACTTTGTTTCAGCAATTGTAAATATAATGAATGTCTAGATTATTGTGAAAGGTATTTAGCTAAGGATGAGTTAAACCCAAAGATCTTGCCGACATACATTGCATGTCTACAGGAACTTGGAGCAACAAATAAACTATTTTTGGTTTCGCATAAGCTAGCAGAAAGGATTCCAAAGGATGCTATTACATGGTATTCTGTAGCAACTTACTATATGTCATTGAAGAAGATTGGAGAAGCCCGAAAATTTTATTCAAAGAGTTTAATTATGGATCCATCGTTTGCAGCTGCATGGTTAGGATTTGTACATACCTTTGCTGCAGAAGGAGAACAAGATCAAGCCCTTGCAGCGTACTCTACAGCTGCAAGGTTTTTCCCTGGAAACCACTTACCGAATATGTTCCTTGGGATGCAATATATGTCACTTAATAATTACGCTCTTGCAGAAGAGTATTTTACATTAGCATACGATATATGTTCTCAAGATCCATTGTTATTAAATGAAATGGGTGTATTATATTTTAAGAAGGATGAATATGAAAAATCAAAGAAGTTTTTGAATAAGGCTATGGAACAGGTTACCGGTTTGAATCCAACAGCTAGAACAACAATATCAATCCAGTTAAACTTGGCACATACTTATAGAAAATTAGGTGATTATGAAAGGGCTATTAAATGTTTCAAATACGTTCTTGAAGATTCGGAGAAGGATGGTGATATTTATTTGACTTTAGGATTTTTATATTTGAAGATAAAGCAATTAGAGAAGGCTATCTCTTACTTACATAAAGCCTTAGCATTGAAACCAAAAAATACAGCAGCACAAGAATTGTTGTTACACGCTTTAGAATTAAATGTTGTTTTAGCGATAGATGATGATCATCCATTAGTAGTGAGTTCAAAGATTCAAAATGAGATTGATAGAACAGAAATGTCTCCTCATGGAGTCCCAACAATGGAGCAAGCGGCCAACATTAAAAAGAGACCCTCGATTCCATTTCTCGATTCCGGTAGGACGATCTCTAAAAGAAGTCGTAGGAATGACGTATTAAAGAATAAGTCACGAACCAATTCTAATCATTTTGAAGAAGATGAAGCTATGGATTTAGAATAGTAAGTAATGGTACGTGCGTTTCAAGCAACATAATGAAACAGGAAGTAGGGTATACGAATATATATAGAGATATAGATACATATATCAAATTAGCTAATGTCGTCACGTCATAAGAAGTTAAAACTCCACAGAGAGTAATTTTGTATCATGTATTTTTTGTGATCGTTTGATCTTATTCTCGTATCGTTTTTTCGATCGTTGAGATTCATTAGTCTCATTAATACCAGGTTTTTTTTTCTTGTCAGTTTTCTTTTTGTCGTGGGTCTTTTTAACATTGGAAGTTTCAATTTTTTGTTCTTTATTAGATAAATTCGTGTCTTTAGTAGTAGATCCGGAGTTATGTTTCTTCTCCTTATGTCTTTTTGTCTCTTTTTTAGGTTCTTCGAAAGTATTATCTTCCGCCCATTTTTTAGATTGATGTTTCTTCTTTTTCCTTTGCTTCTTTTTTTGTTCATCTTCTTTAAGAACTTCAGTAACTTGTTTAATGGTCTCATCAACGTTAAATTCATTACTTTTAGCTTGAGTTTGTTTCTGAGACTTTTTCGATGATTTCCTACGTCGACTAGCAACTTCAAGTTTTTTGTTTAATCGTTGCAGTCTGTCCAAAGGTTCATTTTCCAAATTTAGTTCTTCTTCCACTATTTCCTTGTGTTTCACCTTCTTCTTGTGTTTATTCTTTGTTTCTTTCACATGTGGTGGTGGCAATGGTGTCGGTACCGTGGTCTCCTCGCCACTATCGGCATTATCATCATCTTCAAGGATCAGTTCGTCAAGTCCATCAAGCAAATCCTGCATATTTTGCATGTCCTGATAACGTTTCTCCTTCTCTTGAGCGATTCGTTCGTTGTGAGCCTTTGCTCTTCTATCTTTCCCTCTTATAGCTTTCGCTTCCTTTGGAGAAATCTCTTCTTTGTCAGTTTCTTCATCAACTATTTCATCACGTATTTCATCACGTACCACTGGATCCTCTAATAGGAAATCTAGTAGCTGATCGTCATTCATCTTGTTTCTTTATCCAATCAGATATCGAGATGTCTTCGTCTCTTCCAACCTTTTCAAAAATTTTCTAACCTTTTTAAATGGTTTGCAATGATTTTTTCTATAAAAGATAATATGTACGCTCCTTTTAAAAAGGAAGCTTTAAAAACATCGTCAACCGATATAAGTAATACACAGATTAATATCTGTTCAAAATGAGTTTTATTATAAGTTCTGTGCCATGTACAATTCTTGCACGTTCATCAACCCGCTATGCCCTAAGGGTTCCGTTACTGTTTCGACCTTTGACGTCTCGAGGATTTCATGCGAAAGTGAAAATTTTACAGAAGAAGAAATTCCACGAACCATCGAAACCCATAAGAGCAGAAGCAGTTTCCACTCCACCATCGCGCAACAGTGGTAAGAGTCTATTATTAGTAGCTTCACTTGCTATCGTCACAACTATTGCATCATTTCTTTATCAAAAGGACGAACCTCAAGAATTTATTGAAGAAGAAATAAAAATGTCTCAAACTCCAGAATTTACCACAGAACAAGTTAAAGTGATCTTTGTACTTGGAGGTCCCGGTGCTGGTAAAGGTACTCAATGTGCTAAATTGGTAGCAGATCATGATTTTGTTCATTTATCAGCTGGTGATTTACTAAGAGCTGAACAAGCTCGTGAAGGTTCCGAAGTAGGTGCTTTGATTAAACATTATATTACAGAAGGTTTGATCGTTCCACAGGAGATTACAATCCAGTTATTAAACACAGCAATTAAAGAGAATTACTCCAAAGGTAGACAAAATTTCTTAATCGATGGATTCCCACGTAAGATGGATCAAGCCATAACATTTGAAGAAATCGTTGTTCCATCGCGATTTGTTTTATTCTTTGATTGTCCCGAATCAGTAATGCTTGAAAGATTATTAGAGCGTGGGAAGACTAGTGGTCGTGATGATGATAATGCTGAATCCATCAAGAAACGGTTCAAGACTTTCGAGGAAACTAGTATGCCAGTTGTTGAATATTTTGCTAAACAAGATAAAGTTGTAAAAATTGTTTGCGATAAATCTGTAAATGAAGTGTATGCTGAGGTTGAAACTGCCATTGAGAAAAGATTATAATAGAGCAAAGTTTGTTTTTGAATTATGATTTATTTTTATAGATAATACTGCTTAACGTATATATATATAGATATATGAAATGTATGTATTTATAATTTTTTTTGTAATTACATTTGATAATCCTTTAGTTCAGGAGCATCAAAACTGATATATGTACCATTAATAGCCTCTGGAATACCATTTAGAGCCAATTTAGAGTAAACAGTAGCAGGGACATTTGAGTGCAGCAATTTGTTTGAGGCCTTTAGATCCTTAAACATTTCATGATGTTCCTTTGACATATTAGCACCGACATTTTCTCTAATGTTAACTTGCATAGAGGTATCAACAATACCTGGAGCAACAGCCAAACATTTAATAGCTTTCTCTTCATTAGCAATGGTTAAAGCCAAATGGTTCAAAGCAGCTTTACTGGAGCCGTAGGCACCCCAGTTACTGAAGTACATAGTACTAGCATCAGAAGACACAAATACATAATTACCATTAGCCTTTGATACATATGGTAAAGTGGTCTTCACTAGAGAGACAATACTAAAGAAGTTAATATCATAAAGCTTCTTCCAATTAGAGATATCAGCATCATGAATTCTAGCCACCGGTTCTAAAACACCAGCGTTAGCAACCACGGAATCAATCTTACCGTGACCAGCAATGGCATCATCAGTCAACTGTTGTAATTTAGATTCATCAGTGATATCACCAACTACATAGAAGAATTTATCACCATAAATCTCCTTCAATTCTTTCAAAGGAGCTTCAGATCTAGCGATACCGTAAACAACGGTTTCTGGAGCCAATTTGAAGATGGTCTCAACAATGGATCTACCGATACCTCTGGAGACACCTGTGACAATAATAACTTTACCAACCATATTCTCTGCCTGTATTATACTTGTTTACTTTTCAACAATGAACAACAGCAAAAAAAGTAATATATTTCAAGACAGCTCTTATGGCAAAACAATTGGATTCACATCCTTCCCTCTTATATAAGCTGATTTACGGAGCAATCAGGTCCTTTGGCTCTCTTACCAGAATAAGAAACGACAAGGACTAAATTCATCCTTTAAGAGATTATGCAATTAAAAGTGAAAAAAACGGGTCTATTGTCACGTGGATACCAGGCCCAGAAACCTTCGTATCTCACTGGTTTATTAAGTCATGATCATCACACCGACCATTGCAGTGAATGGGTTTCCTGTGCAGTTTAGTACCGATACTGAAACAGTTTTAATCCATACACTATGCATAAATCCTAGTAAATGTATTGGAAGAAAATGCATATTGCATAATTTATTAACCAACTTTTCGGAATTCCGATATTTCTGAAGACGATGAATATTGCAATAGCAACGTTTTTTTTTTCAGTGTATTATGGATGGAGTCGAGAGAAACTTGTCAAGACTTGCTAATAAATAAAGAGTTATTATGCTTGCTACTCTCATAATATTTTATTATGACGAGGAATCATACCATCTGACTAGATACGATAAAAAAATAGAGATGACTTGGTCCCGTGTGACTAACTTGACATCGTAGTCTGTAGAGATAATAAGAAACAGGGTGTTACATAATTGTTGAATGTAAATACTCATTACACTATTGTTGATCATATATTTGAGTCTTCCTTATGGTCGATGGTCCTCTTGGAGCAGAGCAGAAGAGACTAAACTAAGTATTACCCGGTCTTTTGCACGTGCCTATCACGTGCCCCGTATCATTCCTCACGACGCCATTTTAAAGCGTGAAATATGAAAAAAAATAAAAATCTTTAATAAATCACGTAAAGCTTAGTCAAAGGGGAGGAGGATAAAGGAAACTAAAATTAAAGAAAGTTTTCACCAAATTTTGAAAGCAAATTTACTAGATAGATAGGTAATTTGAATCGTTGCAAGTACTGTCCATTCATAACTGTATCCCTTCCCGACACTCTATTTTTGTTTGTTTGTTTGTTTTTGGCAATATTTGAAGTTAAGATTGCTGCTGCCGGTGCTGTTTGAGGATGGAGAAGTTCAACCCTAAATGGGCTAAAGACGTACCCTGTAGGAATATTATCATCTATGGGTACTGTAAGAAACAAAAAGAAGGCTGTCCTTTTAAACATGATAATGATTCCTTAACTGAAGCTAGTACGACCGTGACTAGTAATACAAATACCGCTGGATCGAGTGCTGCCGTACATAGTGATGTGCAATCGCATCCAAATACAGTTCAATTAAATGGTTCAATGATACCATCATTGATGTCCTTAAGTAGTCTTTCTAAGACTAGTAATAATAATAATAGTAATAGTAATAATAATAATACTAGTACCTCTCCACAATTTCCTGCAGGACATAAATTTAATGCAAAGAATTCTGAAAGTTTTACACCAATGGGGACAGCTCCACAATTACAACATGATACGATTAATTCGGTAGAGAGTACTACTTCACCTAAATTGACTATTGATTTCACAAAAACTGCTCCATTTACACCTAGCTTTGACGCATATACATCAGAATCATTTACGCCTACTTCGACTAGAGGTAATCCGATGGATCAAATAGATCCTACTTTGATGGCTTCGTTGAATCTAAATAATGTTGCTGCTGCTGCTGCCACTGCTAATGGTGGCCCACAGCAACAGCAACAGCAACAGCACGTTGTGCCAGGAGATGTACCTATGCCAAATAATATTCTGGGGCAAAGTATACCGCCTCCACAACCTTTACCAAGGACTATTCCTATTAATGCTAGACCTGCCAATGGGGCACCTCTATTTGCGCCGCCACCACCTCGATATCCATCAATATATCCGCCACCACATAGTATATTACAATATCATCTATATGCCCCAGATCCACCACCACATTTACAATTACCTTTGAAACCAAATGAAAGGACTCCCGAAATGTTATTTTTACCAAATAATATTAGAGAGGAATTAGTTAAAAAAAATCTTGCTGCTTTACAAAATTTCCCACCCGGCGGTGCATTACCTGATGTTGTTCAGGATTATTATGGTTTAGTTCCATTAGATTTTCATCAAAAATCTTCAGAGAAAGATAGATATAATGGTAATAAAAATTCTCTTTATAAAGTATTTTCAAATACTGATGGTTTTATTTATGTATTGAGAAGAATTCATGGTATTACAGATATCACTGAATCATCGCAAATCTCTTTAACTTTCAAGAAATGGAATTCTTTGAAGAATTCAAATATCATACAATTACATGATTGTTTTTTGACCTCTGCATTTGGTGATTCATCATTATGTTTCGTTTATGATTACTATCCAAGAGCTGTATCTCTATATGAAACACATTTTGTCAACTTTCCTTTGGTTCCGATTACACAAGATTGCCTATGGGTATATTTGATTCAATTATGTAACGCAATTAAAGCTGTCCATTCAAAGAATTTGGCTGTATATAATTTGGATTGGGAAAAGATATTGGTTACTGGGAACCCAGGCAGAATCAAGATTTCGAGTTGTAACGAAATAGAACCTTTGGTATATAAAGAAGAATTCAGTATTGAATTGACTAAAACTAAACAACAACAGGATTTTATTCGTCTTGGTGAATTGATGTTTAAATTAGCTTCTAATATTCAAAATGAAACAGGTCATACAGATACTGATGACAAAATTGATAAATTGAATGTAGATGATCGATTTAAAGGAGTATTAAGATATTTACTTTCAAAAGAAATTTTAAGTAAAGATATTCAAGAATTAACCACTATGTTTGTGGATAAAGTATATTTAGTAGTCGAAGCCATGACTACCTATGCTGAAAAGACCGAAAATATCCTATCAAGAGAATTAGAAAATAGTAGACTATTTAGATTGATGTGCAAATTGAATTTTATCTTTGGTAGAGTTGAATCACGTATCGATATCAATTGGTCAGAATCTGGTGATAAATTTCCAATTATCCTGTTCTATGATTATGTTTTCCATCAAGTCGATCCGCAGGGTAAATCTATGATGGATTTAACACATGTACTGAGATGTCTAAATAAACTGGATGCAGGTGTCTCTGAAAAATTGGTACTTGCTACACCTGATGAAATGACATGTATCATCATCAGTTACAAAGAATTGAAAGAATTGATCAGCTCTACATTTAGATCATTGACACAATGAGTTCAGTAATAAAATCAACAGCAAATAAAAAAAATTAAGAAATTTTACAAAAAAATGTATATATAAGTATATAAATATAACGAAAAACAATAGAAAATTCATTTTAAAAAAAACGTCACACATCTCAGTAACCTTTTTATAAATAGGTAATGGGTGAAACACCTTTTGTATGTATATATGTATATAAACATATATCGATAGATGTTAAAACAGAAGTTAGAAATATTTTCTTTTCTGTACTGTCGTAATTGTAAAGAATATTAATCAATTAATGAACCCATGCAAATAAAGAAGAAACTACATCAAGTGAAATTCGGGATACAGTTTAAGAATATTCAAGTAAGACTGTTTATTCATCAAAAGAAAGCTGTGACTCCAATAACTCCAGATTTTGAATACTCCCCATCTTCGAATATGAAGTTTTTCAAAGGTAAACGTACAGAAGCGATTAAAATATTGCAAGTTTGGAATGAAAATATGCCTGGTACATTGGATTATGACAGAAATTGTAAATGTAAATGTCACTCATGTGCCAACACAGAAGAGGTACAATTCCACTCACACGATTGTCTTTGTGCCTGTCTGACCTCCAATGAACAGTATATCCAGTACTTGATGACATTAGTTCATCCTGTGTACGTTACGTAAGACTATTCATTAAATAATCAAAAAATACAAGAAAGTGAGATAATTAATAGTAAAATTCGTTCATATATGTACTGGATAAGTTGGGCAGGGTGCAGTTTGTAAAGTAAAATTACTTTAAAGGTAATAGCGCAAAAGTTCTTTCTATGCAGAGGTTAGAAGTTCTATGGTTTATAATGACTTGGACGGTATTTCCTTAGTGAAGACGTTCGGGCCGAATTTTGTTCCACTGCTAAAAAAGGCTCGTGTGACACAGAACGTTATAATATATCATCCTAATATGCATAATGGTAGAGATTTGGACGATAACATGGTAAAATGTTCCTCAACGGTTCGATTAATTGGAGTTTAGTTGTTGTAATAAACTAATTAGTATGAAGAGTTGGCTAAATGGAATGGTATTTGATTGAAAAGGAGGTGCTTTTTGTCAGGAATGGTGATAAATGAAAAAAAAGCACACGAAAAATACAAATATATATATGTGTATGTGTATGTATACAACTATATACTAGACTGGCAAAGTCTTTGAAGACTGATGTTTTAAAATTCTATGATAGAAAACCATATAATTAGCTAATGACAACTGCTAAATTAGAGGCGTTCCAAGTTGAACCTGAATGCAAAGACAAAACATCGATTTTATCTAATGCGTCATCAAGTAAAGAAAAACCAAGAGAAGTAAAATATTCTGGTGTTTATAATGCTGAAATATATGCTGAATATTATGCAACTCCCATTAAGAGGTTGATGATTTTTATGTCGCTGTTTTTGATTGCCTTGGCGTATGGTCTAGACAATTCAGTTCGAAACACCTACCAAACATTGGCAACATCTTCATACTCTAAGAATGCTTTAGTGTCCACAGTTAGTTGCATTGAACAAGTATTATCTGCTGCATGTCAGATTTGGTTTGCGAGAGCTGCAGATATATATGGTAGGCCAATAATTCTAGCAGTTGTAACAATTTTTTACGTAGTTGGAAGTATCATCCAGTGTAAATCCTATAGTATCGCTAGTTATTCTATCGGATCCTGTATATATGCAATAGGTTACGCAGGGGTCATTTTGATTTGTGAAGTATATGTAGCTGATTTTTCAAATCTCAACTGGAGAGTTGCTGCAGGCACAGGTCAAATATTACCGAATGTTATTATCACTTGGGTAGGCGGTAATATTGCAGGGGCCATAAATGATCGTTGGCAATGGGGGATTGGTATGTGGGCATTTATATTTCCCCTTTCTGTACTACCTATGGCAATTTGTATTTGGCATATGCATTATTTGGCCAAGAAAAATGATGAGATACTCAAAAGTGTATGTACCGTTCCTTCAAATTCTTCTAGATTAAGGTATTTTATTAACATGCTCATTTGGGAATTAAATTTACCTGGATTGATTCTAGTAGTGGTTATCCTTGGCTTAATCTTAATACCATTAACATTAGGAGGCGGATTAAGTAATAAATGGAGAACACCAGGGATTCTGATACCGGAAATTCTAGGGTGGGTTGTAGGAATACCGTTGTATGTAGTTTGGGAGGCTAAGTATGCAACACATCCATTGATGCCTTGGAAAGTAGTTAGGGACAGAGGGATTTGGAGTCCGTTGTTGCTTGCCCTTTTAATGGATTTTTCATTTGGGATGCAAAGTACCTATCTAGTGACATTTCTGCTGGTGGCTGTAAATCAATCAAAAACAGCAGCAACTAGAATAAACAGATTGTTCTCCTTTATAAGTGTCTTAACAGGATTTGGGTTTGGGTTTATCATTGTCAGAGTACGCAAAATGAAATGGTTTATAATTGTTGGAGTTAGTATATGGTTTGTTTCATTTGGGTTACTAGAAAAGTTTCGTGGTGGGGATGGTAGTTTAGTTGGGATTATAGTGGCAGTGTGTCTCTTGGGGTTTGGTAATGGTCTAATTAAGTTTCCATCAAAGACATCTATTCAAGCATGTGTGATGACGCACGATATGATAGCATTGGCAACCTCTCTGACATTGGCTTTGAATAATGTTGGTAAAGCCTTTGCATCAGCTGTCTCTGGTGCAATTTGGACGAATATTTTGCCAGATCAGTTAGAAAAATATTTTAAAAATGATCCTGAATTGGCAAAACTTGTATTTGAAAAACCATTAAAATTTATAAAACAATATAAATGGGGGTCTTCAGAGAGGAACAATGTTATTTCAGCTTATAGATATGTATGGAGGTTGTTAATCATCGTTGGTTTAGTATTATTAATCCCATTGCTTCTAACATCCTTTTTCTTAAGAAATAAAAAGTTAGAGGATGTTGTGTCGTATGATCAAATGGAAGAAAACAAGATAGTAATTTCTGAGAAATCGATAGAAGTAACTACATTACCCGCTAAAAATAAAACGTCTGAAGAAATAAAATCTATAGAAAGTGTTTAATCTTTTTTATTTATTTATGAATATGATTATTTACATTAACAATTAATTTTTTTTTTGGAGAGAGAAATAAAGAAAAAAAGTTTATAATGGATATATGAATTGATCATTTTCAAGGTCAGTTAAATCCAATTGAGCTCCATCGACTGCAACATTTTCACCGTCGACCTCGATATAACCTTTATGTGATTTCCCATTTTTCTCAATATTTTTCAATCTTTCAATGTTTCTACGTCTCAAAATGAACCAAATAACTAATGCCAAAGAAGGGGCCAAGGAAAAAGATAAAACTATTTGAGTAATCCAGGCAGGAACAAATCTGGGAGCATCGTGACCTTGCCATAATTGAGGAGAAATTATATTAGCAATACAGTACCAAAACATAACCATACCATTTCTTGTTATTCTCTTTGTATATCCTGCACAGCTTGTGATGGACCAACTAAACATTAGAATCCATGGAATACCAAATATAGGTGACGCTAGACACAGCATTGCTAGTAATGCTACATTATTACCCCAAGGGATTGCAAGCATGGCAATACAGGCAGCTAAAGAGGGAAGACTCCAAAAGACGACAGAGAAGGCTGTGAAATTTTTCTTATAGAGAAGGAATACAGTGGCAATAAGAGCACATACGGAGGCAAACCCACCTGAAGCGATAGACACAATTGTAGTATCTAAATTAGAAATTTGACCAATATTTTCAAATAAAATATTTTGCATATAAGTTAAATTATTTGCTAATTGTTGTAATAGGAAGAAAGCACAAAATAACCATGAGACGGGATCCTTTAATGCTTCAATAATTTGATGCTTTTTAATTCTTTTTTGTTCAATTGATGAATTTGATGCTTTTTGAATTCTTCTAATAACCCAAATTTTTTCATTATGGTTCAAAAATTTAGCATCTGTTGGATTACTTGGATAAATGTAATATACCACCAACGTAACTAGTAGCGTCATACCCCCAATAATAATCATGAATAATTTCCAAGTATGTATAGCAGCATGAGCATGCAATATCCCATAAGCAATTAATGAGACAAAGACACCACAACCAATACAACTACTATAAAATAAAGGTGCATAAGCATTTTTTTCATTTGGTGTTAAGAATTGATTCATTGTAATATTCAAAGTTGGTACAGCAATTGCCTCAACAAATCCAAGGAAAAATCTTAATGCATAGATCCCTTGATAGTTATAAGCTGTACAATGTAAGAAAATAATAATTGTCCAGGAAGTACACATGAAAGCCATAACTCTTCTTATAGGAAATTTTTGAACCCAAAGTAAGTTTAACAACCCGATAATATAACCAACATAAAATAAAGTATTTGAATTATTGTATCTATCTTGAGTCAAATGAGTATCATCCCAAAGCTCAAAAATTGATGCATAGGATAAAGTAGCCTTATCTGCATAAAGTAAAAAATCGATTGTGCCAGTCAGCGACACGACAATCCAAGCAACTTTTCTTCTTAAATGTTTTTCTTGTGTCGGTGTAATTAATGGTACATCTTTATCAAACTTTTCCATAAAATTAAATGTAACATCTGCATCTCTAGAAGAGAAAAGTTGATTAACAGCAGCATTAGAATCAATATCTGACAATTCATTCTCTAAGGAAGTTGATTCTGATAGACTTTCCTTTGTAGTTTTATTATTAACTACAATAACATCTTTTTCAGAATCTGTAGACCCTTCAAAGTGGGCATGTTCTTCTATCTTTTCAGACATGTCGAAGTTATAATGAGTTTTTATAAGTTGTTCATCTCTTTTTTTTCTTTTCAATAACTGAATTCTTGACCATTTCAATGCAACAGATCGTCCGTTTATATATCAAGGATTTAAAGGTTGCCAACTGCTACTAAATGGCAGTTCAAAGACATTTTCTGTCACTTCTTCTGCCTCATCTCATCCTATTTTGGAAAAGATAGTTGCCAGTGGAGGGATTGTCTCCAGCATGGATTGAACCCTGGAAGTAGTGTCTTCGGCCGAGAACTCCGTCAAAGACAAAAGAAATCGGGCCAAGAAAGACATTCTGTCTCGGCCGGAAGAAACAGCGGCTGTTCCAGCTCTAAAAGAGCGAAACTGTGGTCAAATTTCATTGCCAGTGGAGGTGAAAATTAAGCTAAGAGAGTCAAAAGTCTTTGATTCTGACTCAAGCAGTGAAAGTCTTTTAAAATGCATAGCGACAGGCTAGTGAGCATAATTAACAACTAGCTTGGCAAAAGGTAAAATTTTTTAGTCAACGAAGAAAAACCATTCAGCAACGGCTAAACCCAGACAAAACAGAAACTGACATATTCTGTTTGGAAACCTAGTCACAGTTTGTGTTTTTTATCCCATCAGTGAGTATAAAACCAGGTATGCACTCCGTCACCTCTCGCAGCAACAGTTTATCCACAGTTTTGGCTTCTTTCGTCCTTTTCGCCCAAAAAAAAGGTGCTCTCCCATCGTGTGTGTCAGCAGAAAAAATTAAGACATTCTCGTGATAAGCACTGCTGCAATTTAATTTAGTTTAGTTTAGTTTGATAATGTGTGTATTGTTAGTCGGTTGGTTGTTTACGGCTGATGAAAAGTGAGTACATTTTCATTGCTTCTGCGTCAGTTTCTTAGTGAACCGACCTACGATCCACAATTGAAAAAGCAACGGCCCGACTGCACGATGCCGGAAAAATTTTTCAGCTTGGCTTACACAAGCGAGGGGTGATGAGAAGCAAGGCTAAAAGGTATATATAAAGGATTGCGATAACAGAAGTTGTGCCATGGGCTTAAAAGTTGTTAGAAATTAGTTATATGGTTGTGCTGTGTTTGTATAAATGATTAAAGAACTTTAGGAAAACAGTAACAATAGTTCAACTAGAAATAATGAGCATTTCATCGGAGAAACTGACGTTGAAGGAGAGTACGGCTGTCTATGCGGACTCTGTTTCAGTTTCGGAGAACTCAGTTACACATCCAACATTGATTAATAGAATGAAGGATTCATTCAGACGTGCTGATATGCCTATGATTACAGAGGAAGAAATTAGTGATCTAGATAATGTGGAGTCTCAAGATCGTTTGGGAGGTTATACTGCCGATGAAAAGATTCAATTAAGACTCGCTACACAACCTTTAAAGAAAAAATTGAAACAGAGACATCAGACGATGCTTGCAATTGGTGGTACTCTAGGTACAGGTCTATTTATTGGATTAGGTTATTCATTGGCCTCGGGGCCTGGTTCTTTATTGATTGGGTTTCTATTAGTGGGTACTTCAATGTTTTGTGTGGTTCAGAGTGCGGCTGAACTATCATGTCAATTTCCTGTATCGGGTTCGTATGCTACTCATGTTAGCAGATTTATCGATAAATCTATTGGTTTTACAGTCTCTACAAATTATGCTTTATCATGGTTAATATCATTCCCAAGTGAATTGATTGGTTTATCAATGACAATTTCTTATTGGAATAGTTCAGTGAATCCATGTGTATGGATTGCCATATTTTATGTGTTTGTGATGGTTTTAAATCTTTGTAGTGTAGAAGCATTCGCAGAAACAGAATTTTTCTTATCAATTATTAAAGTTATTGCCATTATTATTTTTATTATTATTGGTATTGTCCTAGTATGTGGTGGGGGGCCAAATTCGGATGGTTATATTGGAACTCATTACTGGCATGATCCTGGTTCTTTTGCTCATCCAGTCTTTAAATCGTTATGTAATACATTTGTCTCTGCTGCATTTTCATTTGGTGGTAGTGAATTGGTATTATTGACAGCGGCCGAATCTAAGGATGTTGGTGCCATTTCACGTGCAGCAAAAGGTACCTTTTGGAGAATCGCAATTTTTTATATTACTACAGTTGTAGTGATTGGTTGTTTAGTACCATATAACGATGAAAGATTATTAGGTGGTTCTTCTAGTGAAGATGTCACTGCATCACCATTCGTTATAGCATTATCTAATGCTGGATCAATGGGTACTAAAGTATCTAATTTTATGAATGTTATTATATTGATTGCTGTGGTATCCGTGGCAAATTCATGTGTCTATGCTTCATCTAGAGTCATTCAAGCATTAGGTGCATCGGGACAATTACCAAGTATATGTGGTTATATTGATAAGAAAGGTAGACCTTTAGTAGGGATTGGTATTTGTGGTATATTTGGTCTTCTTGGATTCCTTGTTGCATCAGATAATGAAGGAACAGTCTTTACATGGCTTTTTGCACTTTGTTCCATTTCATCCTTTTTCACATGGTTCTGTATTTGTTTCTCTCAAGTTAGATATAGGCTTGCTTTAAAACGTCAAGGTAGATCAACAGATGAAATTGCTTATAAATCAATGCTAGGTTTGGCAGGTGGTATTCTAGGTTCAATTCTTAATATTCTTTTAATTGCAGGTGAAATTTATGTTTCTGCATCACCTGTAGGGGCACCTTCTACAGCAGAAGCATTTTTTGAAAATTGTTTAAGTATCCCAATAATGATAGTGGTCTATATTGGTCATAAATTTTATACTAAGGATTGGTCTACTTGGTACATTGCTACAGAGGATATTGATCTTGATACAGGTTGTTCCTTTGACGATGTAGAAGCCTTTAAGAAACAGAGATTGGATGAAAAAGCACGTATTGCTTCAAGATCATGGCTATATAGAACATATAGATTCTGGTGTTGATAAACTATCGATTATTGTCAACTTCTATTGAATCTAAACTAAATAAACTAAACTAAAATTCATAATATAATAATAGTAATAACAAATATTCATCAAGTTTTCTTGCAAAGTATCCAGTATATTGATATGTGGTTCAAAATTTATAGATCCGATACTCTGCAGCACGTTGGAACGGACTTCAAAAGCTTATCGGTACTATATGTAAATGTGACTTCTTAGAATTATGAAAATTTCCCCGTGGTGATACATTAACAAGAAAACTTATCGATCTGGCAATTCTTCGAGGTTGCCTCCTTGTCTAGTTTGTATAATAGGCTAAAAACTTTGAGACCGACCCCACTACGACGACTCAAAAACAGCATCCCCCCACTCCATTTTCTAAATTTAAAAACATGGCTGTACTTGCAAGGGTGATTCAAGAAAAGGATAGACAGATCGAATGATCTCTTACAGCGTCTCGTCGTTTGTTGATGTGATTATGGAAGCCCGATTCTCTTAGTTCAAGTTGGAAATTTTATAACACCGCCAACCATCATATATAGCATTGTTGTGCGGCGTTTTCTTCTCTCCCACATTGTTTTCCAAGGGGTAAAAACTTAAATTGGGCTTTGTTAAGCACCTTGGCTGCGGTATATTCTGTGTCCCGCAGCCACCTGTTGCGCGTTGGCACGAAGTTCCTTTTTGTGTCAAGTTTTCCTTGGGGAGAGACAACTGCTCTGCGGCAGTTTCTCTGCAGTTGCGCCGTTAAGAAATGTTTCGGCATGGGGGTAAATCTTAATTCCAAGAGATCACGTGTAACTTGGATACTTTTGGAAGAGACGTTATAGCAACAGTATCCTTGATCCCAACCCTTCATCAATGAACGGTACTAAACAACTCCGACGTCTGTCGAATATCCAATTTAAGGCCGCCCCTTTATTTCCTAATTGTTTTTGTTTTGATGAACTGCGTCTTGAATTTGCATGAGGGGGTATGGATCAACCTGCCGGTGCCATGACTTTTTTTTTTGTGAATGGTTGAACAAACTTTTGGCTGGTTCAATACTGGATGGATGTGTTTGACTATTCGGTGACATTAATTAGGAGGGGTGTTAAAGTGTCTCAATATTTATTATAAGCCGTCACGTTCAACTTTAGAAATGCAAGACACCGATAAGTAAAATAGCGGTTCTATATTTTGAATTTTCATGGTGTCCATCTGTTGTAAACAGAATAAATGTTAATACAACTTGATAGTTGAAGATAAAGATATATTCCAGTTGTTGTTGGAATATAATATTAAATTAATAGAAGTGCAAAGTATATAGGAAAGAAAACATATATAAAGGCCTGATATATTCAAAGTTTTAAGATTAATTTTTAGAAGCTTTCCCAATTTATATTCTCATATCTTCTTTTATTATCAATTACCAAAACATCATCAACCAAGTTATATAAATCATATAACAATAAAATAAAATAAAAAAATTTTATATTTCTAATAACAAATAATTAACAATGCCTGTCGCTAACCAAACAATTGCTTTTGAAAAAAATACTGCCTTTGTTTTATTTGGTGCTTCTGGTGATTTAGCCAAGAAGGAAACTTTCCCAGCTTTATTCGGTTTGTACTCAGAAGGTGCTTTAGATCCAAGTACTAAGATCTTCTGTTATGCTCGTTCCAAGTTAACTGTGGATAACTTAAGAGAAAACTGCAAACAGTACTGTAGACCTTCCACTGGCGGGAATGACAAGTTCAAGATGGATCAATTTTTCAAGATGGTCACTTACATTTCTGGTGCTTATGATACTGATGATGGCTATCTAAGATTAAAAGGTGAAATTGAAGCCTTTGAAAAAGAAAGAGGTGTTACTCAACCACATCGTATCTTCTATTTAGCTATTCCACCAACAATTTTCTTAACTGTTGCAGGTCAATTGAAGAAGAATATTTATGCTACTAATGGTATCACAAGAGTCATTGTTGAAAAACCATTCGGTAATGACTTAGACACCTCTAGAGAATTACAAAAAGGTTTTAAGCCATTATTCAGGGAGGATGAAATCTTTAAGATTGATCACTTCCTAGGTAAGGATGATTTGAAACGTCTATTGGCTGTTAGATTTGCCAACCCATTCTTAAATGGAACTTGGAACAAGGACTACATTGAATGTATTCAAGTTTGGTTCAAGGAACCATTTGGTGCTGAAGGTCGTGGTGGTTACTTTGATGTTGTTGGGATCATAAGAGATGTGATGCAGAATCATTTACTTCAAATTCTTACTGTTGCTTTAATGGAAGAACCTGTCGCTAACAAGGCTGAAGCTATTCGTGACGCTAAAGTTACTTTGTTGAAAAGCATGGAGAAATTAGGCCCAAAGAATGTTGTCTCTGTTGGTCAATATGGTCGCTCCACCGATGGTAAACTACCATCTTACTTAGATGACGATACTGTCTTAAACAAAGAATCCAAATGTTTGACCTTCACTGAAATTACTATGGATGTTCACAACGATCGTTGGGAAGGTGTCCCAATTGTCATGAGAGCTGGTAAAGGTCTAGATGAAGATAGAGTTGAAATTAGAATGAAATATAAGAAGAACGTTTCTGGTATGTTCGCTGGTTGTACACCAAATGAATTTGTAATTCAATTCCATCCAGAACGTAAAATTTACATGACTTTCAACACTACTGCACCAGGTTTCGTGGATAACGTTCACCAAGTTTCATTAGATATGACTTACTCTGACAAGTATGCCAAGGACTGGGTTCCAGAAGCTTACGAAAGATTAATCAGAGATGCTTTCTTAGGTAATCCAGCTAATTATGTAAGAGATGATGAATTGGATGTCAGTTGGGATATCTTCACACCTCTATTGAATTATGTTGAAGGTCCAGATGCTCCAGAACCAGAAATTTATCCATATGGTTCTACAGGTCCAAAGGGTATCCTTGAATAGTTGATTAATTTCTATTCATAATGATTCTTATAAACTTTTGTTTTTCTTTTGCCTCTTTTTACTTATGACCCTTATTATTTTCTAATCTTTTGTTATATACTTATATTTTTATAAAGTGTTATTTAAACACAACTAATAAAAAAAAATAATTCTATTAAAATCTTCAAACTCATTGGAACAGTTATATCTCTTGAGTAGTATTGCCCAGTAGAACTTCGAAATCTACTTGTCACCATGAATGAAATTAATATTTGAAACTAACATTAAAGAACGCCATGTTTTTATCTACAGGGTATGAATTTGGGGAGTACATACAATGGATGAAAAGAAAAAAACTGACCCAAGTTTGGAAGATATGAAATTTCGGATTATTTTTATTATTTTCTCTTTTTAACGATCAAAAAAAAAGAAGTCTATCACTGTATATTCATCCTCATTTCAAGATTAAACCTCAAGATAGTTGCGGTAAATAGAAGATGCTCTTCGGAAGGATGACAAGCTTTCTACTGTGAAAAGGATTCACTTATATTAGCCTAACTTCATAACGAATTAATGACTGTCTTATTGTGTTCTCGAATTATATGGTATAGCACACTTTGTTAACTTCCTCCCTTTGTTTTACCGAGTTTCGGGAAGACCATCTCGAGATGTATATATAGTTGTTTTTCATTTCTTTTTCCTTTGTTCTCTTTATAATTAATCCGCACACCAGTAATAAGTATAATTTTCCGAAGGGGGGGGATAAAGTGGCATGATAATCCGTTTTGGGAAAACAAAAACTATTGTTTGAAACAAAGAGTTTAAAAAACAATAGGGTAGTAAGTAAATATATATAAGATATTTATTAAAATTATTAGAAATAAGGAGTATATTAAAATTAAAATTAGTTAAACGTATTATTATTAAACTTGATAATATTTTGCGCTCGGATAAACATATAAAGAATCCAGTTTGTAAAGAAGAAGTCTCCCCTTTGCAAAAACATAGAATTCAACAAAAAAAGCGCAGTTAATTAAAGGTTTTGTATTAGAAGGATAAATATATCATCATGAAATCATAATAGGAAAAAAAAAAGATTTAATGTTTGAAGAAAAATTAGTTCTTGGAGAACATTCTCTTGTACATTGGCTTATCGTCAACCTTAGTAGCTTCAGCATCGTAATCAGCACCTCTCTTGGAGGCTGGAATCCATGAAGCGGATTTCCATGGTAAGATACCTTCTTCCCACATTTCGTTAACTTCTTCTAGAGTTAAACCTTTAGTTTCTGGAACACAGAAGAAGACGTAGAAGTAAGCGAAAACCATACATCCCATAAAGACGTAACCGTAGTAGAAATTAATGGCACCAGTGATAAATGGAGTGAAGAAAGAAATTAAGAAATTCCATAACCAGTTACAACTGTTAGCTAGAGCCATACCCTTTGGCTTAATCTTCAATGGGAAAGTTTCAGAGACGACAATCCAACAGATAGGAGCCCAAGTACAAGCAAAGGAGAAAATGAAGAAACATGAGAAGACAATCATACAGTTACCGGCACCCTTAGAAGAGTTTTCCTTATGTTTAGTACCATCTGGCCATAATCTTGTGACACCGACAGAAGCGTAAACAACGTAACAACAAACCATAGCAGCAGCACCCCACATTAGACAAGCACGACGACCAAATCTATCAACGACGTAGAAAGCAACAAATGTAGAGGCGAAATTGACGATACCAAAGACAATAGCAGTTTGATAAGAATCAGTTAAACCGACAGCTTGGAAAATAATGGTACCATAGTAGAAGAAATAGTTACAACCAGTCAATTGTTGTAAAGTTTGTAACATACAACACATAATTAGACGTTGAACAACTTTACCGTTAGAAGAGAACATATCAGCCCAAGAAGCAGAACCAGCGGCTCTTTCAGCTTCGATACCGGCCATAATCAATTCGGCTTCACCAGTGACAGCTGGATCATCGGTAGACACCTTGTTAGAAGTAGCAATAGATCTCTTGGCTTCTTCAGTCTTACCGACTTCCATTAAATAACGTGGAGATTCTGGAACGAAGAACATAGCACCAATCATCAGTAAAGCCCAAGCAAAGGATAAACCTAATGGGACTCTCCATTGAACAGAGTTTGAGTAGGTCTTAGTACCGTAATTGGTACAATCACCTAAGAAAATACCGAAGGTACACATCAATTGATACATGGAACCTAAAGTACCTCTCAAATGTTTTGGAGCAACTTCAGATAATAACATAGGAGAGAACATAGAGATAGCACCAACACCCATACCTGAAATAATTCTACCGATGAAATATTGGTACCATTTGTCAATAGAGGCAATTTGGATGATAATACCGACCATATAGATAGCAGTAACGGCGACTAAAGCCATCTTACGACCGACTCTGTTAGCTAAACCACCAAGGGCTAAACAACCCATCAAACCACCGATATTGAAAATAGAGACAACTAAACCAGTTCTCACATTAGAGAAATAGTGAGTACCATCATGATGTTTGGAACCGAATCTTTGCAAGAAATCTGAGTGGGCCAAGAAACCACCGATAGTACCAGTATCCCAACCAGCAATGAACCCACCAAAACCAATCATAACACAAAAGATAGAAATGGTAACATAAGCGGAAGCAGGTTTAATTGGAATTTCAATGACATCACGGTCAGCAGAGTTTTCACCGTCTAATTTCATATCGTCATCAATCTTATTTGAATCAGCAGTTAAGATGGAATTAGAGTCGGAGGCAGAAGCCATAGCATTATTGTCGGGACGTTCGACTTGAGGGTCGACTTGAACGTCAGCAGCAGACATAATTAATTAAGTTATTGTTTTATTATTAAAATGTTTTGTTTTTGTAGTGGTGATATATATGAAATATATAAAAAGGGAAAGTTAGAAAGAAACGAATGGATGGAACAAAAGGCAAATAAATACACCAGATATGATCTGTATTTATACGTTTTTTTTTCTGAGACCATCCTTTCAAGAATAATTTTTCCAGGAATTTCATTCAATTCTTCTCAACGGAACAAACTCAATAGTCCATTCTCCAGGGAGGAACATATGCAACCAACAGGAATCCAAAAATAGGAAAGACCAAAGCAACAAGAAACAAAAGAAAATTTTACCGTCATCGATTTTAGTGGGAAAAAAAAAAATCCGCCGTTTACAGCCATGTTCGACATCAGTTCGATATTTCACCGGCGTGTTGTTATCGATGTTTATTTTCCCGTTTGGGTTACTCCTCGAGGTCTGCTGTGCAAATTCTCTCCTAATGGTGATGGTTGCAAAACTTTTGCTGAATAAAATTACGGCGACACTCGCTGAAAGCATCAAGGCGGGGGCGGGGCAAACGACGAGCAAATACACTTTGACGTGGGGGCGGGGACAAGGACTCATGCGGGCGTTATTTACTATGGCACACCCACACACCGCACACTGGCGCGGCAACCCGCAGCGGTGTCACACCACTCGCCAAAGGTGGCAAAAGCACCGTGAAACGTGAAAAACGCGGCCCGTGCGGTGCGGGCGTTTCTGTGCGGGCATGCAATAATCTGGGGATTTCAGAAATAAAACCAGAAAATAGCGCCGACGCCCAAAAGAAGAAAGAGGTAGAGGTAGAGTGTGGGGGGAGTGGGGGGCTGCTATTGTGTCACTTCCTTAAATGGACACGCTATGGACACTTCGGTAAGCTGAAAAAGAAACAAGGAGCTATACAGGTGATGTTCAAAGTTGGAAGACGACGACCTTTCTGTAAGATTGTGGGGTTAACTAACTAATGCCTTTCTTCGGGGGCTGCGGTATTTATTGAGTTCTTGTTTCCTGGTTAGTATTTTTTGTACGGGAGTATTTACTGAGATTCTCTGTCTATTGTGAAACAATCTTTGCGAAATTGTAAGACCGCTGCTTGTGAGGCACCTCATAGTAAAGATTTGTATTCCCGATACGGTAAGAAACTGAGCATTAATACTGAGAGATGTCCTCCCTTTTTTCATTATTTCCTGGGGTAAAAAGATTTACCGATTTGTGATCTGAATTTATGGGAGGAAGAAATAAAAATAAAAATAAAAATAAAAAAGATAGCATGCAGTTCTTGAATGATGTGTGTTGATGTCACACCGTTTTTACTAACTCCTTGATGTAAGGAGTGTGGAGTTATAAAAACATTGCCACCCCCCCCCTTGGGTTTCCAACAAGAAGTACCGTGATGATGATGATGATGATGTTTTAATGTCAATTAGTAAACTTATCATGAGTATCTGAAAGGTTGCTTATTTTCCATTCATGGCTCGATTGCAACTTTGATACTTTTAACTTGTGATGTTGTAAACTAACAAGAAACGCCATCTTATTGAAATGTATAGACTACTGGGGGGGAAAGAATATCTGTGGCCCCCTACTCTCAGGAGAATAAGTAACGTAAATTGTATACAGCAGTAGTATTAGCATTGTGCAAGAAATGGTAGAACCTTGTGGATACAACTTGCCCTTTTCTTGAAAAGTTTTTTGGAAAATTTTATGTTTTGTTTAGTTTTTGAATTTTTCCCAAACGCGTTGAACCATATGTGCCAGTAAACAAAAAAACGATAGTGATCTGGACAAAAAAAAAAGTTCCAAGAAAAGGGCAAGTTTCTTCCTTAATTACATATCTTTTACAATCGATGAGTTATCAAGACATTATCTACTATCCTTCATCGTGCATACCCCTGACACACAATCGAAACATTATTTTTTTTAAAAGTCTCTTGACACTGCCTGATGACTATCAACACTTAAATCATTTATTCTTGGACAAAAGGTGGACGAACAACGTAAAGCATACACAGACCGTCTTCCAAATATATAGGAAAGCTAAATATGTTATAAATCTATAGTTTTATTGTTACTATCATATCAAGACGTTTTTTTAAGATAGTCCGAGTTATATGAGATTAAAGAGTAAGGTTAGACATGCAAAACACACACTGTAACAATTAAAGAAAAAAATAACAATTTTTGTTACTATGAAACGGGATAAAACATTACAAGAATTTTTCCGTTCCGACAATAACAATATTCTTTCTCCATACTACTATAATAAATTATTAGTTTTTCCACTCATTATATTATCTATCTGAAACGAAAAAACACAATCTATTGTGATTTAGAATAAATATTGTTTGTCTTATTCTATTGTTGCACCTCAACGAAATTAAAAATTGCTTTGAAAATTTCAGTTTCTCCTTTGGGACTGCAAGAAAAAAAAAAGTTTTTCTTTCTTCCGCAGAGAAACAATAAGCGGCGAGGGTGAGCCCATCAAACGGAATAAAAATAGATACGCTGCATTGTTCTTGATTCATGTTAGGATACAAGTATAACTGTTGGGCTGAAATAGAGAAATTCAAATAACAATACACATGTTCTTGAATTGTTCATTAGAATTAGTCCGGCATACTTATTGTTCCAAACGGTTCTAAAAAAAATTCTTGTTAGATGGAACGAAAAAATAAAGGAATAATAATAATACTTATAACCTCTCATGTGATGAGGGTTATTTTAAAGACTATTACAATAGAAGACTACATTGCAATATTGTTAATCGTGTCGGTGTTTGCAAATTCTTCCAGTTAAGTATTGCACAATTGCAAAAAAAGAAATTGTTCCATGTTTATCCACCACATGGCAACAATAGTGAAAAAAAAAAGTTATTCCAGAAAAATTCTTTTTTTATTATTCTTATCTAAAATTGTATCAATTGAACACCTTCACCTGGTGAACATATCTTACACAACCAGTTCACTCTTGAAAGATGTCTATAACCGTTAAAAAGGTTTTTTATTGTTTTTTGATCTCCTCATTAAACAGTAAATCCCGTCAAAAAACACTATATTATCCAAAATGTCAATACTCAAAAGAGAGCAAGATGAGACACGTATGTAAATAAAACTAGATAACCATTGGAAAACGTAGTTTTCAGCAGAGTTCAACTACCAAATCGACTGTTAATCAGGAACATACGACTACCTTTCTCTCTCGTACTCTTTGAAAACCTAGCTTCTTAGTATCGTCATCTATAACTCTTACTTGAACTCATTGAATATGACTATAAAGACTTTTGAACATGAGTAAAAAGGTGATTACTCCCACGGAGCCTTCCCAAAGCGGTTCTTTTAATTCCCGTGGACCCCCTCTTCTACTGCGATCGAGGAATCTTCCGTGTCGGCTCTCCCACGGAACTTTGGCGGTATTTTAAATATAAATATTAAATAATCATTTTTTTGAAAATTTATCAACTCTGAGTAACAAACACCCGTACCAAACCATCCCGATAGATGACATCAGTCTCCCGTTACATTGACGGAAGCGGAAACCAAAAAAATATAAATATATGAATGGAATAGCCAGCGACAGACAGATACACAGAGAGTTGAGCAGAACTCCCCAAAAAAGTTTCCGTTTTTAGAATTTTCTTGTAAGTCTGTCTCTCTCAGAAAGGCTCGTTTGAATTGATGGAACCGCAACTAACGGTAGGTTTGCCTTGGTGGGGGTTTCACCATTCCTAGTATTCAGGTTCAAGATTTGAGGTAATCTGAATTAAAGAACATTGACAACAACATCAAAAAAAAAAGGGTCCTTTGATAATCTTTTATATATAAGAGAAGAATCAATTGCTGATAGATTCATTTCCCGTAAAATATATACCTTTCTCTTGATATATTTTAGTTTTGTCTCTTAATAAAGAAGACACAGTGATTATGTTGTTTTTACTTACACATAACTTAGGTCAATTGACTTTATTTTTTTGAAATTTCATCTATTGCATTATTTCCTAGAACAGCATGAATGAATTACTATTTAGCTGTCTTTCTTTCATTCTGTAAAATTTCGATAATATATACAGACATCTATATATATATCAAAAAAAAACGGGGAAAAATTGCTCCAAGATATAGGATTCAAAAATTATCTCAATTTACTACGTTTAATGTTTGAATTTAAGACATTAATTTATTGACGATTTTTACTAGTTTTTTGAGGTATTCATTTACCTCTGTGCTTAAAGTAAAAATTCAAATATATATTGTTTTATGATTAAAAAAATAAACCAATATCTTTGAGAACTCATTTACTTGATCTATGAGTTCAACTGGAATTACCTACTTCGTTTACTGCTTGTCATAAGATGATGGAGACTCTTTCATTGGTCTCTTACTGCTGGTACATACCTGAATAGGCTCTTTTTTAATTTTTATTCTTTTTAGGAAAATTTAGAAAATAAAAACAGACCTGTAGTTGATGAAATTTACTATTTTTTTTTTAAAAATTAGTAGGGTTGAACCTTAGCTGTTTGGTGCTATAATTATTAGTGTGTTTAAGGTTTTTTCGAATAACAATTTTTTTTGTTTAACCGATAAAAAGTATTCTCACCATGGATAATAAACAAAATTCTTTAATAAATGAACAAGTTCCTAGCAAAGTCTGGGATTTATTGAACGCAAACCACTTTCTTCAATTGCTCGTACTATAGGATTTTAAAAAACGTCTATTCTCCTTTTTCCCCTGCTTAATTTGATTATGTTATACATTTTCACTTTTTTGACATTTGAGATATGCACACATCTAACTTTTATCGGGTTTGTTTTTAAAAAAAATTTTTTACTGAACCTATTAGTGCATACAGGAAAATAATAATATTATATTCCGCTCTGGGTTAACACTTCAGTAAAAAATAAAAATAAACAATTCTAGAAGAAGATTTTTATTTTCCTAAACGAGTACAAATAAACTATAGGCAAATCTTTAAGTATATGCAAGGAGAATCTAGGGGGGAGAAGAACATACTTTACTTTTGTATTTTTTTGTGTTATTTTTTTCTTCATTTGTTTATTATTACTGAAATATTTTTTTCCTGCAGTTTTCGTTATTTGAACTTAAATTTTGTGGAAAATAACGCAGAATATTATGAATAACAAGACATCGATTAACAAAATTGTAACTACAGGCACGCGAAGTAAAATTAAGAGAAAAGCCTGATTTTAATTTTTTTTGATTTTTATGAATTTTATAACCATAATAACTAACTATAATTGGTTGCAAAAAAATTAATAAATTTAGATATGGAAGAAATAAACAAGTTATCAAAATAACTAATATTTTGAACTCCCATTTCGGGACACATTTCCGCGGGAACACCCAATTTTTTTTATTAAACTTTTTTTTATTTATTATTTTAATGAAAATTGATTAAAATGAATTATACTATCAAACTCTTGTACATCGACCAATGAAATTATGATATTTGATCTTGACTCGCATATTATCAAGGAGATATGCACAAATAACTGACAGAAAAAAGTATGAGAGCCATCCTAACCCCATAAAAAACCAACACCAACAATAACAACAATTGAACTTATCTAAATTTTTTCAATCGAAATAACCACAACGAATAAACCGATAGATAATTCACTAACTTGAACATCTCTATTAGTAAAATATTATTCATTTATTTGAACAGGTGTATTTATTTATTTATATCACAAGTTCCCATTGCCAAGTAAATCCAGATTCAGCCAACCCTCATAAGAAATTTTTTCTTTTTTTTTCCATTCAAGAAAAAATGAGAATTGAAGGCAAATATTTCAAAAACTACAATGGCGAACATATAACGGCAATAATCACTCTTGCCTAACGGACAAGGAAAAAGGTGCAGGATCTCTCTCCTTGACAGAGGTACACAATGTAAGTGAAGTTGGCGCAGTTAAAAAATATTCAAAAAGAGGTCAAAAAAAATGAGCTACAAATTTTTTATGATTATGTGATTACAATTTCTATGCAAGTGAGGTAACCAATCGTTAATTTCCCTATTCGTCGATGGAATCGATGGAATCGGCAAATCACAGATTTTTTTTCTTTTTTCACAAGAATGCGAGGGCACCGGCCAACGCCGTGTCGTGCGGCCGTTTCTTTGCAGGATTTTCCTCTCCCCTGATCGTTTCTTTTTTATTTCTTTTTTCTTCTTTGACGGTGGCCTCCGTCTCCTTTCCAATTCATAACCAAATAATACTCATTTTGGAGACATCTTCTGCACCTCTTGCTGGGTGAAAGTGAAAGAATAATTTGATGGTTGAGGTATATGTTGGCTCAGTATTCACTGAAGGAGTCGCACAGTTTAATAGACGAACACATGCACAGTGGCGATCGATTATGTAATGGTGGATCCTTTCCTCATCAGGAGGCCACTATTCCTCTGGTACCTTCTCTTTGGATAATTTTCAATTCGACTCCTCCTCATGATGAGTTTATGCAATGAACTGGGCGTAGCAGAGACATCTTAAAAAATTATATCGGTAAGAATGCTTTTCGATTCCAAAGAGCTTTTTTTGTCCTTCTTTTCTTTATAGAACTGTCAATGGCAATGCTTTGCATACTACTAAATTAAATGTAGTAATAGATCAATTAATATAGATCCTACGCTTATTCAGCAGATTACAAATAAGTAAGGTATTATTACATCGAAAACTTATCTATTCTGATTTTTTTTTAGATCAAGATGGTGTTGCTGCAAGGATATTTTGATGGTGATCCTTTAATTTGTTTTCTTTGAAAATGTGATGAAAATCTTTGATCTAAAGAAAGAACCCACAAATCGACGTACTAAAAAGTTATGCTTTTTTTCTTCTTTCTTATCGGTATGCAATATTTTTTTTATTAGAAAGAAATTCTAATATAGGGAACTGAACTGAATTGACGAGCACCACAGACTGTACCCTATTTCCATTCGAATCAAAACAAACAAAAAAACTTTCGACTTTTTATTTATTCAAATTTTCTTTATGTAAGCCTATTCTAAACCGAAAGAAGATAGAAAAAGATTTACAAAGAAGAAGACGTACATAATGAATATCTTTAAGTCGAACATGTATCTAGGAAGATGTCACCAAAAACAAGAAAACTACTTGGCAAAAAGATCAACTTAACAGATCATAGATCCTGGAACAAGTATATATAGACCATGTTTATCCAATCAAGAGGTTGTTATTTTTCTGATTCCTTTCCAAAATGGTTTCTAGTTTTACTATTTTGTTAATACCTTAATTATATTTAAATATATTCAACAAAAAAAATATATCATATCAACATAAATTAATAATTAATTCAATATGTTACTATTTTACTTATTATTCATATTTTCAATATTTCAAAAAATTGTTCTCGCATCTAGTGGTACCGCTATTAATGGTTGTCCAAATTTAGATTTTACATGGAATGCAGGTAATCAAAATATTATGCCTTATACCATGGATATTACTGATGTTACTTTAGTTCAAGATAATTTATTTGAAATTACAATTCATGTTCTAGGTGAACAACAAATTCCTTTAAAATACCTTTACTCTTTAAAAATTATCGGAATTAACGGTCCTGCAAGTACTGTTCAATTATATGGTAAAAATGAAAATACTTATATAATTGATAATCCAACAGATTTTACAGTTACTTTTCAAGTATATGCTACATTATCTAACTGTCAATGGTGGTTACCAAATTTCCAAATTCAATTTGAATATTTACAAGGGGATGCTTCTCAATATTCGTCAACTTGGATTTGGGGTTCTTCAACTTTTGATTTAACTACTGGTTGTAATAATTATGATAATCAAGGTCATTCTCAAACTGATTTACCAGGTTTTTATTGGACTTTTGCGTTACCATCTTCTTGTGGTTTAGATTCAAGTTCATCTACTATTGCAGCTTCTAGTTATACTAGTGAAATTACTTCCTCTACCGATGTTATTGAAACCACTTCTTCTGCTAGTGAAGTTACTTCTTCTACCGTGGATGCTAATGCTAGAACTAGATCTACTGTTGTTTCATCTTCTATTGATGAAGCTACTTCTTCTGCTAGCGAAGCCACTTCGTCTACTGCTGCTACCGAAGCCACTTCTTCAGCTAGTGAAGTTACTTCTTCTGCTAGTGAAGTTACTTCTTCTACTGCTGCTATTGAAACTACTTCCTCTACAGCTGCTATTGAAACTACTTCTTCTGCTAGCGAAGCCACTTCGTCTACTGCTGCTATTGAAACTACTTCTTCAGCTAGCGAAGCCACTTCCTCTACAGCTGCTATTGAAACTACTTCTTCAGCTAGCGAAGCCACTTCCTCTACTGCTGCTATTGAAACTACTTCTTCAGCTAGCGAAGCCACTTCCTCTACTGCTGCTATTGAAACTACTTCTTCTGCTAGTGAAGCCACTTCCTCTACTGCTGCTATTGAAACTACTTCTTCTGCTAGTGAAGCCACTTCCTCTACTGCTGTTATTGAAACTACTTCTTCAGCTAGTGAAGCCACTTCCTCTACTGAACAACTCACAACAAGTTCTACCTCAAGTCTTATTCCTCACCCTTCACCTCGTGATGATTTCCCAAGTACTTTCTTTTTTAGAACATCTTCAATTGAAAGTAACTCTGTAACTCCATCTTCTACTGCTTCTGATCCTGTTACTTCATCAGAAACTACTACTGCCAATACTATTGCTTCAACTGACACTATCTATTCAGACTCTGTTGCTTCGTATGAAACTTCTACTTTTGAAACTGTTGAATCTTCCTCAGTTTCCTCTAGTTCTCCAACACCTTCAACTCTAGTAAATATCAATTCTTCCTCTACTGTTACTTCAAATGCTTCCAGCTCTACAAGCGGCGCCTCTACTACCGAATCAAGAAGTTCTACAGTTGTAAGAGAAACTACAGTGATAACAACACCCTGTTTCTTTTCTAATACTTCTATTACCTCGGCTGGTCCATCGTCTTCTTCAAAAACTTCATCTACACCTGATATCGCTCGCTTTGATATCTCATCTGTTCCAGCGGTATCTTCAACTGGGTTAACATCATCCCTACATGTTTCGTCTTCTATCATCTCAAGTGCTACCTCTACCACAACTGATGACGTTTCTTCCGTAAAATCAACTGAAAGTTCATTTTCCACTATAGATGTGCCTTCCTCTAGTCAAAAGAGTGAAACTAATACAGAATTGTTATCAACATCCTCTATTTCTACTATATTATCAGTTTCAGACTCAACAGAAACTACTCCTGCTACTGTTAGTCCATCATTTTCTAAGAGCTCTTCGTATTTTACTGAATCGTTCACCAATCACCTAACACCTACTGCTTCTGCTGATACAACAACATCTGCTTCTGTTGATACAACAACATTTGCTTCTGTTGATACAACAACATTTGCTTCTGTTGATACAACAACATTTGCTTCTGTTGATACAACAACATCTGCTTCTGTTGATACAACAACATCTACATCTACACATATTTCTGTTACAAGTAGTGCTTGCAGCTATTGCACAAATACTGTGTTGATCTTCCATAATACCACTGTTTCTAGTGCTTCATTTACTTCTGCAAGTATCGAAAGTAAGACATCATCTGGAGAGATAAAGAGGTCTACTACAACTCTAGTTCCTTTTGAAAGCTACAAAACAATTACTGTTAGCTCATCATCAGTGGAAACACCCGTTTCCTCTCAAAAGGTTCATAGTTCAATTTCAAGTGTGGCATCAACTCAAGTTGTAACCACACCAAACACAATAGTCCAATATACTGCTACTAGCTCAACTCCCACTGTCATAAATTCAGAAAATTCTGGTTCCAAATCAAACTATTCATACTTTTTCATCACTGCATCTCTATTCCTATTCCAATTCATGTGAGTAATTTGGAAAGGATTAAGGGCACACATTTTATTTCATTTCACATACAAAAACTACGATCTTCGCGATCTTCGCATTTCCGCATTCCATTCTCATTTTGCATTAATTACTAAAGGCCAAGATTTAATTGTCCACCTTTGCATTCTTTCATTTCATTTATAGCTAAATAGCTTTATATTAAAATTATTTTTGTAATCAAAATTTATATAAATACAATTAAATTTTATATGTTTTAATGAACTCTATTTTTAAAAGTTATTCGATTTCACTGATTTCTAATTAACGAGCTAGCGTGTCTGCTAAAAAGTGGTTAGACTTTAAAACTAATTTATAACAAAACCACTCAAGAACATAGTATTTGAATTATGTTATGTTACATAAGAAAATATAACCTCAAAGATATTTTTTATTAAACAAAAATATCCAAACAATGCTGTGTTAGGTTCTCGAAACTCTTCAAGATGTTCGATAATGGTAAAATATTTCGAAGATTGGTGTTTTGAATTATTTTAACGAAATCAAATAAATTGTGTTTTTTTTGTTAATCATACATATGTTTATATATCTCTACGGATGTTCCGATTATATTAATATTTCATGAAGGATTTGTTCAAAGTATCAAGTATTAATAAAAAGTCATCACCAGGGTCAACTGTTTCTGACATATATGCTTGAACGCTCTTTTCGTTCATATGGGCCCCTATATTATCTATTTTAGATCACCGTACAAATTACTATGCTATATGTAATATGTAATTTTCTGAGGACCTTCTAATGTTATGCGGACCTGGAAGACATTTACTGTCTTCAAGTTTTAGAAAATTTACTGACTTTGGTTGTGTGTTTTGTGATATACCGTTATAATTTTTGAATTAAACGCAAAGCAGAAGGATTGTTAGAATTTTCGACCATAACTTCGTGAAGATTTTGGTTTGTTAGTAGAAGACATCTTAATTTGGATGAAATAGATGTTTTATTATCTATATGTAATTACATAAGTTTCTGAGTGTTTTCTTCATTATATGAAAGAACATATATGAAAAGGTAAATACATTTTTCTAAAAGGAATGAAATTATTATTCTTAATTTTATTCTAGATCGTTCTCTTTTCTATACCTTTATTTTCTGTTTAGGACAAGTGATCACTTGATAACTTTCTGCCATAGCATGCTTCCACTTCCTCTCGACATTTTATGTTCATTTCATCCCTGGCAATGTTATCTAAGCTTCATCATAGTAAAGTTCGGGATAGTCATTCTTATTTTATAGTTCTCCCTGATTCTTTATATTGTACACTAAGGTTTAGTACGACCTAGAGTGTTAATGCTGTGCTACATTTATCGCCGGGAGAAATGTATTTTGTTGATAGTGTTGTCTCAGTTCACCTCTCTGTAATCTAGTTATCACATTCTACTTTCTGTTAATTCCATTGCTTGTCTATTCTCTAGTTCATCTTACTATCGCTTTTGACGGGTCTATCATTTACCGTTAAGAACAGCCTTTTCTATGTTCAACAATCACCGATGACAGGCTATTCGGGCCGAATATTTTTCCATTCACCAAAAAGATGGGATCAAACGTCAATAAATAGAAATCCAAAAAAAATAAAGCACTAGTTACAACCAAGAAGGCCAAATTAATCTTTTTATTCGAGAAGGTCAAACAGTTCACATAATGTGGCACAACTGAAGACAATACAAATCAGATCTGTCTGCAACAAAAGTTTGGAGTTCTTTTTGACTTGATATGTTCATTTCTGATTTACGCTGATAACTAATTTTTAATTGACTAAACTAGACCTGATGCTATATGTGAAAGTAAATAAAAATGTGGCAGCCATGATTGTAATCTAAAACATCTAAAAAAGTCAATGAATCTTTTAAATAACATTTTTGAAAGACATCTTTAGTTGAAGGAGTATTATTTATATCTTACTTTCTATAATCTTTGATTTATATTACAAATATTTCATATATAAAAAAAAACGACCGAGTTGTGAGTACATCAACATGGTTCATTTTGAGTACCAATTGTCATTTTCAAGAAATACTCTAACTAAAATGGAAATTTAAGAAAGATGACACCTTCTCCGGACACATCTCCTAACTATGATGTTTTTAAAAAAGAATTAAATATTGACATAGAATCCATAAGTATTGGAACCAAATACGAGGATTCAAATATTTTCAATGATATTGCAGTGGCTACCCATTACAGAAATGTATACGAACAAAGTAAATACGAGTGCCGCCACTTATTTGACCCAGATTTCACATGGTCAAAGGAAGAAGAAGCAAAAGTTGTGAGGAAAAATGACTGGAATGTAACATTCCTCACATTCATTATGTTTACTGCTCTAGATTTCGATAGATATAACATATCTCAAGCCTTATCAGATAATATGTTAGACAATTTACACATGTCTACCAATGATTATAATACTGCTAACACTATCAACTTAGTCTGCTTTTTGGTATCTGAATTACCTTCCCAATTAATTTCAAAGAAGATTGGTGGTGATGTATGGATTCCCATACAGATTTGCCTTTGGAGCATTGTATCAATGTGTCAGGCGGCTGTCACTACAAAAAATGGCTTTTATACCACAAGGGCGCTACTTGGCTTATTACAAGGTGGTTTTATTTGCGATATTTGTCTTTGGATGAGTTATTTCTTCACTTCTAAAGAATTACCATTCAGATTGTCGCTTTTCTATACTGCAAACCCCCTAGCTGCAGTTTGGTCCAGTTTATTATCCTTTGCTCTGTTGAAGATTAAGACCGGTGGAATCATGGATCAATCATGGAGGTGGTTATTTCTCATAGAGGGGATATTGACACTCTTTGTTGGTATATATTCATTTTTTGGAATGCCACCTTCTCCTGCTCAAACAAAATCATGGTATTGCAAAGACGGTTGGTATACTGAAAGTGAGGAGAAGATAGTAGTAAATAGAGTTCTAAGAGACGATCCTTCAAAAGGGGATATGCACAACCGTGAACCTGTAAGACCCAAAGAGTTGTTGGAAGTGCTACTAGATTTCGATTTACTACCGATATATATTATCCGTCTGTTAAGTGATATTGGAGCGCAACCTGTCAGTACTTACATGGCACTAACACTTCGAAAATTAGGATTCAATACGTACCAAACAAATGCATTAAATATTCCATATAATGTTTTGCAGGCGATCACAATGTGTTTATTAGGTTACTTCTCGGAAGTGATCAATGAAAGGTCATTGCTATCTTTAATTACTCCCATTTGGGTATTAGCTGGGTTGTTACCCTTAAGATTTTGGCCAGGAGCTCAAATTAATGTTTGGGGCACATATGCATTACTCACTATATTATTAGGTCATCCACCTTTATGGGCCCTTTCCATCAGTTGGTGCTCCGCTAATTCTAATTCTGTAAGGACTCGTGCAGTTTCTGCCGCGTTGGTTAATATATTTTCTCAAGTTGCAAATATCACAAGTGCAAACTTATATCGTTCTTCAGATAGTCCACTGTATCATAAAGGTAATAATTCATTAATTGGTATCGCATGTGGTGCGCTGGTGTCATGTCTGTTAACTAAATTATATTACATTCAACGTAATAAAGCAAGGGAGAAAAAGTGGGCTTCTTTTAGCGAACAAGAGAAACTAGAATATTGTACTAAAACTAGTGACGAAGGCAACAAGCGTTTAGATTTTAGATTTGTACACTAACATACTGTGAAAGTAATAGAAGTATGCATTATTCTAAGACAGTATATAATATTATTTTTTCAGCTTATGTAGCTTTCACTTAAATCTTTCAGAAATTTTATGTTTTGATTGCCTTTAGAAATTTTAGAAAATGCGCTGAACGCCTTGATTCAATAAACCAAAAATATTGAAAGTGATAGAAATCCTCGTTTCTATCTTGTTGAGCATTGATTGGATTTTTATTTTCATTTATTTTTATTTTACAGATATTATACAGATAATTCTTCTTACTTTCTTTCGGAAGGAATTATTTAATATACAGATTGTGTATTTCAAACCTCTGTCTTTATATATTACGAATTTAGTGGCGTAGTTGTTAACCTTCACATTTATGAACTTCTTATTCTAGTATCGTCGCATAAACCTATTCAATTATAATAATTGTGCACAATAGTCTTTGTGTTATTTACTTAATGTTAATTTTTAATGCTCATGTGAATATTTCGTACTATATACCTTAGAACATTTAGCTCAGTAGAAAGGTTTTTGGTATTTTCAATTACTTGTTAGGAATTCATTTTTCTTTGAAGATTAATTAATAATTGCTAACAAAATTTACATAAAAGATACACCTTGAACAGCAATTACAAAAAAACCAATACGTTTTTATTTAGTGCATAGATTATATAATTAGTTAGTAAATTTGTCCCTATTTGTAATAAATCTTTGTATAATAAAACTTTGTCTAAATTTCAATGTGACAAGTCTTGTCCAAGACGATAAAGCCACCTAACTTCTTACACAACAGGTTGGACTTTATATCACTACCGAAGAATCTTGTCCCAGTAGGTTCATTTGTACAACTATCATGGAAATTTTCTAACATTCTGTTAGTACCCAAAATATTAGCAAGTAAAAATGGAATATATAGAACCTCATGCAAGATCACGTTTCCACATTTGACAGCACCTTGGCCAATAACATAGATATGTGGTTCCATCATAGAAACAATTGGTTTTGGGAAAATAGTTTTAATATCAGTGAATAAACTGATATCATGCCACATGTGATATGTAGGGGGGGTACAAACGATAAATTCATCCTTGTACATTTTCGCATCTTCGGCAATCATCAGATTTAATCTTACACATTTCTGCTGGGGATCGGTTTCTGGGGTTGCTTCGGAGGCTATAGAGTCATAAATGGGTTTCATTGCTTCATATTCTGTTACTTCATGCGCTGCTTTGTTACCAAATGTGAATCTAAGCTCTTCTAATAAATCGGGGAACGAGGTCATAGTTGTAATAACTTTTCTTCCGTGACATAGGAATCCTTGAACTTGAAAAGACGTAGGTTTCTTTGTCTTGCGAGGAGCCTTTAGGACAGCTAAATCATCATCATCCAGGGAGTTGAAGGCTTCAGAGTACGTGGGTATGACTTTTAGCTTTTCACAGGTACCTAAATCAGAAAGTTTCTATAACCCCAAGGCAAAGGTCAATCAATTAGGATATAGTCTTTATATTATTTTAAGGTAATGTACAGCTCTGAGGCAATGCTTGTCTTGGTCTGTCTGTTTCAGAGTGTTAAATAGGAGATGTGCTCATGGTGCTGAAATCTGTTTTTATAGTAAGCGGACTCGAAACTATATTTTTATAGGATAAACAATACGAATTTTTATTATATAAACAAATTTCAATTGCAGTACAGATAGTGATACCGAAAGAAGTGTTAGAAAATCCACGTCAAAAGAAATATTTTTGCTGGACATACCATACTCAATGGTGAGTGATCAATATCTAGCAGTGACTTATCAATATACGTTGGCTTATATCCATTGAGCGTTATCAAGAACATGTTGAATTGCATTGTTCTGCAACAAGTTCTGTGTATTGTATTGTATAACTAATGAGGTTTTGGGGTTTCTTACTATTTATAACCTGAAACACACACACACACACACACACACACATATACTTTAAAGCAAGTATCGATTCCAATTCGTGAGATGATTGCATAAGAAGAGTGAACATAGCATTTGAAAGTTGTTGTGTAGTTTTCCTATAGAAAGTCCTAAAAGGAAGTTGACAATCGGTCAAGATAGCTACTACGTCAATTATTCCATGTATCAAGGAAAGAGGTTATCAAATAAGGTGTTATTTTTGAAAGGTTGAGATTATAACATCCTTGAGCAAGACAGGATGATGCCAATTATAACCTAGAGTGTACTGAACCAGTTTAATTCAACATGAAATCAATTTGCCTCTTTGAATTTAAATGGGTTTAACTGGTGGGATTAGTATGATGGCTTCATAGGTATTGCCAAACATTTAAAATTTTTAATATAAACATATCGCTAAAACACAACATATCCTCAAACTAAAATAAATAGAAAAGTGGTTGATATAAATCTGTGAATGAAACTACAAATTTAATATTGCTTCCTTAACGGCTTACTCTCACGATCGGTTGGTAGAGTTATAAACTACTATTATGAGATGAAATTTTCAACAGAAAGTTGAAAGAATCGAAAACCAACGACACATAGCTGTGATCAATGTTGTTTGTAATACTAACATTTTATTTGCTGCTGCATGTGAGTTGCCTAAGTATGAATTGATTGACTGTGCTTGTTAATAGGTCAATTAATGATATTCCTAGTCAATTCCTGGATTTGCGTTCAGAATGATAACAACGGCGTGAAAATTAAAAATCGATATGTTACTGAGTGATAATAACCATGGAATTGCGTTGGAGCTTGCTAGATTTTCGTTTCTTCTGGTAAAGTTAGGTTTAGTTTAAAAAAAAACACACTGACATAAATATTTTATACGGAAATGGAAGTTGATAAATGAGAATATATGCAAATGAAGTGACAAGCCTATTAAGTTGCCTCTTGTGCATTTTGTTTTAAGCTGGGATGTATTAGAAATAAGAGTTTACCTCTACCTTGTAGAGCTATATTTTAGTTAGAACACACCGGTTAAGCTGGCCGTCTCCTTAACTCGAAGTGAGACTTGTAAGTTGTGGTATACTGGAACTATTTCACTGGTGAAGGATAACTAAAAGATGGAATTTAAATGTGAACAGCACCTAAACAGTTCATAAAAACATGTTTTACAAATCAAGGAGCATTTTTTTTGTTTTATCTTCTGAAGTAGAAGCCATAATGTTTGTTCATTTTTTAAAAAAAAGAGAAAAGAAAAATGAGACTAATTCAATGCTTTCTGATTTTCTTCCAATGACCCCCATGGAATACTTTCTAATATTTCAATTGGGACGATGAAAGTCCATCTCTCGTCTTTGATTTAATCAAGGAATTTTAATTGTATTTTCTAAAAGCAGAAACTCAACAATCGGTTGACTTTCCAAACTTTAAGAAAGGTTCATTGTTTTAGTTATGTGAGATACTAAGCAGAAAAAAAAATTATTACAGCAATATTTAGGATTCAAAAGCTTTTTGAAAATTGCCTAAATGAATCCGTTTCTGGACAATATTTTTAAAATTAAACCAATTCATTTAACTTTTTATTTGTTTATTTTGTGCATTCGTGGTTGGCCCTAGCTTCAGTTTTTAGAAAAACATACAGTAGGAGGAAAAAAAAATTCTTTTGCTATTTGTTTTTTTTTTTGGGGGGGGGGAGTTCATATTACTATCTACTGTATGAGGGATAAATTTCCAATTTTATTCGAATGGTTGGTACAGTTTCCCAATTTCGATCAATGTGGTTGGGGGATTATGTCGAAATACTTAAAATTTCAACATATCGATATTAAATTTTTATGATTACGGTAAAATATTGCTATCATAGATTTACCAAAAGAAATGAAAGAGAGGGAAAGAGAGAGGGCGTGTGCGTGTATTTTTTTTTCCAACCAAGCATCTAAAAATACATTTCCAACCATTAAAAACCCCTTGTATCCGAATAGAAACAGGCAGTTTTCATCTCTATGTTGAGACAATGTGCATCAAGATTTGCATCAAAATTTGCATCCAATGATACACACTAACTATTATCATGAGATTCACGGGGACTTTCATGCAGAAGGAAGAGAGATAATTACCTCATCATAAGAGAGTGCTCTCGAGATGCCTTACCGATTAAATTTAGAATATTATCTGTTTTAGCAAGATATTGATAGATGAGCCATAGATAAAAAAAAAGTTTCTTAGTAACTGAACCATTACGTGTAAGAAATTTACATCACAAATTACCAAAATTGGAAGAGACGGGGGAACTTTGCTATATGAAACTTTGTTCCACGTGATATTTCCCAATCCATTCACTTGAATTAGAATGTAACGGGTTTAGACAAGTATGAAAGAAAGTCCACTAACAAAGTTCAAATAAGCCTCATTTACAAAAATCTGATCTGGAGTGAAAGCTCTGACATACCATAGTTTGAGAGATTATGGATCTGAGGTGACAATGAAAGTCAAAAGCCTTTCTTGAAGAGGAACTGCCGCAAGTCGATTCAAGTGAGGTCCACATTCCAACAGGCGTTCTGTTAACTAATCAAGTCAGCTTACCAAATGGAACATTATCAATATTTAGTAATAGAGAAAAACGGTATGCAGGCAAATCCGTGCGTCAAAAAGATGGTGACGTCAGTCCCAGGTCATTTCCCTCATATTATCGTGGAAACATCGTGCGGACGAAAAGTTAGACCAATTGGGGTGAAAATGTACCAAATACGGGAAAAAACACAAAGGGAGCACAACGGCCATCGTTGCCTCTGGAGACAATAGGACGAGATCAAGTTATGGTGCTAAGAAAACTATCTTTGCTCGGTGCTACAGACAATGGCCGGAAAATCCTGCGAGTTTAATTAGGTAATATCTAGATTTGAGGAGATCGCATGTGAAGAATCCGGTAACCTCATCACATTGTCCATTAATTCTTTCTTGGGGGACCGCACTGGCAATCCAATCAGAGAACATCTTTTCTCTTTGTTCTTCTTTGGATTTCCTGACTCGGCAAAAAAGAACGAGAGATTTTGTTTTTGCTTTTTGCGGACGGAATGCCGAATGACAGGTTCCGCTGTGCCGTTGTGTGGCGTTTCTTTAGCAGGATCTGCCTACCAGCCCCTGGATCAGCTGCTTTTCTTCGGTGGGAACCGTTCTTTTGTTTTTTTTTGTTTGTTTCCTTTCAGAAAGGTCTGCGTGCCCTCGGCCGCTCTGCGTGTTTTGTCTGGGGAAGAGAGATGCGAGGATATTGCACTACCGTTCAAGGTTGCCGCCTAGTTCTGCGCCATTTTCTGGCCAGAAACACGCATGGACGAGGACAATCGCCTTACATAATATGGGTTTTTTCCTCTTTGGGAAGTCTTGACTCCCCGACACCATGCAGTAAGACATATACCGATGAGTGTCAGCAAAGCTCATCTTTCTTGAGAAAGTGATGAGCTATGTGTCTTACCCACCTGGCTAAGGATGGACATTGATTTCATGGGCAAGTGCTTTGCATGTCTCGAGACACTGAAAATTTTTTTTTTCTTTTTTTTTAACACCTTGAACAACATCCACTTACTGCTTGAAAAGGGAACAATAACAGAGAATCTTTGTTGAGTAGCCGCTTTAAGATAAGTAGAGGTTCCCACATCTAACTGCATCAAGAAAAGAAAAAAGAGGAAAGATGTTGGCTCGCCCCTAAAAATAGCTTGCTGCCTTATCTACAATCCATGCTGGGTTCTCCAAAAGGGGAAGCTTATCGGTCGGCCCTTTTTTATTCATGGCAGATATGAAGCCCTGAAGCGTGCTATATTTAGCAATTGGTGTTTCTCCAATGGTCAGAAGCCATCCCAACAAGCCCTTTTCACACTCTCAAGACAAACACCTTCCAGTAGAAAAGCGGGGAAAAAATTCGAGCTTTTGGAGAACACCCAGAAAACAGGCACGTTGGTCGAGCGCAAGATAGCAAAATAGAACACACAACCATAGGACGTCAGCTGCATCGACTCCAATGCTGTCGCCATCGATGGATCCCTGACATGATTTTATCGAGAGATTTTAAACTATAAAAAGAGGACCTTTTTTCTCCAACACTTCCAAAAATTGTTTTTCTTTTTCTTCTCTTTTGATTCATTCAATGAAAACAACAAAATCATCAACAATCTAATACACTCAAATGTTATTCAGTTATTTATTCCTAATAACTCTTTTATTTCAAAAACTTGCTCTGGCGTCAAAAGATGCCGCTATCAATGGTTGCCCCAACTTAGATTTTACGTGGCACGCGAAAATTCAAAATATTATGCCTTATACCATGGACATCACTGATGTCAATTTGGTGAAAGACAATCTATTCGAAATCACTATTCATGTTGTAGGTCAAAAACAAATTCCTTTAAAATACCTGTATTCTTTGAAAGTTATCGGAATCAATGGCCCCAAAAGTACTGTTCAATTGTATGGTAAGAATGAAAATACTTATTTAATCAATAATCCAACTGATTTTACAGTAACTTTCCAAGTATATGCTACATTGTCTAATTGTCAATGGTGGTTGCCAAACTTTCAAATTCAATTCGAATATTTACAAGGTGCCGCTGCTCAATACTGGTTAACATGGATTTGGGGTACGACAAGTTTTGATTTAAGTACTGGTTGTAATAATTATGATAATCGAGGCCATTCTCAAACCGATTTCCCAGGTTTTTACTGGACCGTTGGGTTACCATCTAGTTGTAACCCCAAGCCTATTGAATCATCTGCCGAACCAAGTTCTGTTGCCCCATCTGTTGCTCCAAGTTCCGTAGCTCCATCTGTTGAACCATCTATTGCTCCAAGTTCTGTTGAACCATCTGTAGCTCCAAGTTCTGTTGCTTCAAGTTCCGTTATTCCAAGGTCTGTCGCTCCAAGCTCTGTTGAACCATCTGTCGCTCCAAGCTCTGTTGAACCATCTGTCGCTCCAAGCTCTGTTGAACCATCTGTAGCTCCAAGCTCCGTTGCTCCAAGTTCTGTAGCTCCAAGCTCTGTAGCTCCAAGCTCCGTTGCTCCAAGCTCCGTTGCTCCAAGTTCTGTAGCTCCAAGCTCTGTAGCTCCAAGCTCCGTTGCTCCAAGCTCTGTAGCTCCAAGCTCCGTTGCTCCAAGTTCTGTAGCTCCAAGCTCTGTAGCTCCAAGCTCTGTTGAACCATCGGTTGCTCCAAGTTCTGTTGCTCCATCAGTTGCTCCAAGCTCAGTTGCTCCATCAGTTGCTCCAAGCTCCGTTGAACCATCGGTTGCTCCAAGTTCTGTAGCTCCAAGCTCTGTTGAACCATCTATTGCTCCAAGTTCTGTAGCTCCAAGCTCCGTTGAACCATCGGTTGCTCCAA